TTGTGTGGAATTGAACGCAAATGAACTTGAACGAAGTCTTTTAGCTCCATAATATCAATTTTGGCAAATAAAAAGTTTGAGGTCTAAACCAGGCCTTAAACGCCAGTTTGTTTCTGTTCTGAAACAATGTCATATTTTTATAATGTAACTTTGACATTTCATTAAAATTAAAAAACTGGATACACTATTGATTGGTTGTTGTTTCACATAGCAGACCTACGCATGCTCTATATAAATTTACACCATGATATCCATCGTCATCTAAGGGATTAATAGTTTCATGTACCAAGTTGGTTAGCTCTTCACTGACATTTACTTGTGGTACTGAAACATCGTAATCATCATCACTGATTAAGACAGTTCCATCTTCGTCTAAATCTACACCGGCACCAAGTTGTTCATGGGCATTCTCTTCTGCCAGTATATTCCTATTGCAATTGGTCATAGTTCCCCTGATGAACATTTGTTCTGGACTTAGGTTCTCAGCCGTACTAACAGGGTGGCTATTCCATTGGCACTTAAATTCGTCAAGAGAATTTTGAATTCTCGGAATAAACACATAGTGTAATGCAAAAAGGTGATGTTCATTAAGACAGTCAAGCAAACCATCTTCTTCCATAGTCGTAAACAGCCAGACATAATGAGAAAGTACCCCACAGTAAACATCTCTGTGGAGGCGTTCAACTCTAACGTTATGCACAGATTTACCGGTTATCATACTGCCCCTGCCACAACCCCTATTAGTAAGCATATAGCGTGCAACACTAACATTTTCCAAGCCATGGTCAGAACGGACTCTTGATGGTAAACCAAACTCTGTGACTCCATGTTCAAAAAACTCTAGAACAGTTGAGGCTCGGTTATTATTTGCACATTGCAGGTAAATAATAAGTCGGCTGTAACCATCAATACATGCATGAATTATTATGCGCCATCGTATCAGCTTGTGGTTGCCGTCCATGTGCCACAGTGCATTTGGGTGTGGAACATGATACTTACGCCGGTAGATTGTCAAGTTCCATCTAAGTGCTGTTCCGATAGGATCAATTTTTTTTAGGCATTTCCTCACTCTATGCCTTTGTATATGCAGCCCTCTAGCCCGAAGGGCACCAACCATCCTACTCTGACCAATATTTGGGGTCACTTTCCTTATGTCTTCCATAGCTTGGGTAAGTTCTTCCTCCGAAATAGCAGAAAACTCATCATTCATACCTAATTCATTTTTTCTCCTCCTCAATGTTCGAGTAGACACATGCAGCAGTTTGGCTATGTTAACCCAGGAAAAGTGCTTGCTTCGCAAAAATTCAAGCTGATTCTTTGTAATATCATATTTTGGTCGACCAGGTCTGTTTGTATGATTAACTGGACACCTGTAACATTGCTCATCATTGATTGATTGGAGCCGTTCCATCTCAAGACTAAGTGCCCTTTGAATGGACATTAGGCTGTTTAAAGCGCTTGCAAGCACACCGAATGTTTCTTGATCATTGTTCGTGTTGTTCAGTAGGGTCGTAAAGAAGGAGCACGTACATTCTAATCGATTATTTAAGACCTCCAAATGATCGATTCTACTTAAGGCATCCTCAGTAATGGTTTCTGTTAATAGAGATGCTACGCCGGTTATAATTGATTTGGCTGACTGTAAAAATGACACCCATTCAACGTTGACGACGTTCTGACCGTCTCTGCGATAAACAGGCATTTTTACTGTTCATTTTTTCAATACCTGATTTCCTGTGAACTCGTCATTTCTTACCATCGCTCTTATTGCACTTAAAATATTAGCGTTTTCCAGTTCACTTATTCTTTGCAACGCGTTACTCAAGTGAAATTGTAGTTCATTCTGGTTTAGCATCTTCGACAATCGCAGAATCCGCTACAAATGGCGGCCGTTGCATTTTCACTAATTTCACATGATGTAAACAAGCCCGCAAAGCATCTTAATTAGAACATATATTTTTCGAAAGGCATGTATTTTTGGAGTTTGGCAAATTTTATAAAATTTCACAATTATTTTCGTGGTTGAGTTTAGTTTGCCATGGCGATACCAACTTTAGCCAATATTTATGAAAATATTAACATGTATATTTTAAGTTGAACACAAAAATTTTAAGTTTAGCATATATTTTTCAAGTTTGTCCGATATATATTGAGATCAGAACCAATTAATTAAGTTTAGCAGATACTTATCAAGAGTTGAGTGGATATATTTTTGCATTTAAGCAAACTTTCGTAGTTTGACACATATTTTTTTCTAAAAGACAATTTTGTCCGGTTCGGCGCCTCATAGATACACAAGCGCCAGATATGAGGTATGCTGCAATTTCATTGGTTGGCTACTAGACAGATATTAGCTCATATCTGTCTAGTAGAGAAAGTAAACCAAATGGCGGAAAGATTTGGGGAGTTGAGTGAAATAGAAATCCAAGCCTAGTTGATAATAGCACACCAAAATCCACCGAAAGGGCGACAAAGTTTGTGTATATAATAAAACAGTTATTCTGCTCACTGTCGTCGTATATGGCCCGATATACGACTCGAGTTCGCAAAATAACTGTTAAATATACAAACCATATAAAATATAGCCTCACATTGGAAACGTAATCTCCTAGGTTCTTCTGCCTTCCCGCCTCGGTTCCATCTCTCGGAACCTCAATCAGTTCTTGGGTCACTGTGCGGCTCTTAATATAGATAGCAATATGATAAACATGGATACATAAATACATGCATACAAACTATATAGAGCTTTGAATGGCAAACATAATCCCATAGGTTCGTCCTTTTTTCTATCTCTCAGAACTCTGTTCACTAGTTGGCCTGAATGTAGATTACATGCATGGATGTAAACGATGACATGGCAATGCCTATATATGGGATTATGTTTGCCTGGAAATGGCAAACATAATCCCATATATAGGTTCTTCCTTGTTTCTATCTCTCAGAACTCAGTTCTTCTGTTCACTGCTGGCCTGAATGTAGATTACATGCATGGATGTAAACGTACATACAAACCACATAGCCTTGAATGGCAAACATAATCCCATAGGTTCTTCCTTGACTTCATTTCTCGGAACTCTTAGGTCACTGCAGCTTTGAATATAGATAATTAATATATGAGACATATATGTTATTGACTGAGCTTGTTCGGTCCGTACAGGAGGATACTGGCCGAGCCTTTAGGCGAGGTCCATACAAGCGAAAAAAGAACGAGACCAGTATCCTCCTGTACGGACCGAACAAGCTCAGTCAATAAACTATTTATTATATGACTAAAAACGATTAAAATTCCCGACTAAAAAATTCCCGCCGAACCTGGCCGGTCCGTACTGTTGGTTACCGACCGCTCAGGAACCAATCAGAATGCTTGATTTTAGTTGATGGACCGATACTATTCTAGTCATATAATAAATAGATACATGAATACATGCGTACAAACCACATAGTCTGGAATGGCAAACATCAATGACTCCAAAGTGAATGTCCTTACGTTAAGACCTAAGATTTTGGCGTATCTTGCGAGTTTATTTGATATGTCATTAATAACCAATGGTTTTGTAATGACGTGGTATCATTAACATCCTTCTATGACTCAGTCTTAACCAGCTACGTCAAGATCATTAATCACGATTGTAAAAGCCAATGACCCATTTGGTTCTCATCTTTTCTAAGCCTTACTCTTAGCTTGCCGGAAATAACAATATCACTATAGCTATGATTACAATAAAATAGATGAGTATATATCATGCATGGTTTCAAATTATCTCAATGCATCTAAAACAGGACGAAGCAAAAACTGATAAATGAAATATTGTTTTTCTCCTGGTTGACTTCATTATCTCGACTGATGAAATTCGTTGCGGTTGAAGATTATCGGCTGTTGCTGATCAGTAATCTAGGAAATGGTCATGTGGGTGAGGTCTCAAGTTCTTATTTGAAAATTTTAATGGCGTAAAAAAATAAACCCCCAGTTCACATTATTCTATCGGATACTTTATTCTATATACTCCTGGGTATACGTCGTGTAATATATGTTGATACAGTTTCAATTCGGTTGATATCTCTTCCAATCTCTTCCAGAACTGCAGATTTGATAAAATCTTTGAATGCATAAAAAATGTTCATTGACGTCGCATGTACCTGTTTTCTCTTCAGAGTCAGAGGGCATCTGCTTCTCTCTTCCTTTTTCCTTTATCTCTTCCGACCTCCTTTAAATAAATGTGTGATGACCAAACGTGTCGTATATTAGCCTCACGAAATTGAACCTAAAGGGGGTTCAGGTGATTCGCGCAAGAATATTTATTGATTAGAGTCATTAGACCTTCTAGAAGAAGCACCTCCTGAACCTAACGGGGCACATCGTATTTTTCCTACCTTGATTCAGGGTAGAAAATAAAGAGAATAATACAATGTCTCAAGAAAACACTCTTGTTTTTGAAAAAGTGAGGGAGGAATCATGTTGAAACACTATTGAGATAGTCTGACACATACGGCTATGGGAAAAGGAACGTTTCTACTTATGCGCGGTGAAAAACTCGTTTGAAGTAAAATAGGCAAAGCGTGGTGTGTCTCTCGTCTGACTATCGGCGGCACGTATAAAAATGGTATAGAAAAAAGTTATCTTGGTAAAAGGTGGAGGGGTGGGGGTGCGCCATGCCTTGTTATGTCTAGAAAGTGTTTTACGCAAATATCGTCTCAACGTAAGGGCTGCTACCAGCTACTGTGGCGTTTTTTGCACGTACTCACGCGCGCGTAAAAGCTTAAAACTCTCTATAGTTGTTATATAATTAACTGTATGCCAGAAAACAGAATCCAACCCTATCAGTGCATCTATTCAACCGTTGATTTCATAAGTATCATTTACATGATTATAAAATTTTACGTGCGTGTACGTACGTACAAAGAACGCGACAGTGGAAAGCAGCCCTAAGTATTTGACAACTATGTTGGCTAAAGATTAAAAATATATACCGAGAGAGACCCGCTACCGACTGTGTCATAAAGCTAAGTCCAACAACCAGTGGCAGTGCTTTTACCTTGGTAAGGGGGAATGAATTAGTTTTGACCGTTCGCAATTCCTGGATCATATATCGAAGAAAGCCACGGGCACGGCAGTAATTATTCTTACGCGCGGGTATCACTTATTTGCATCGCATAACTAAGATCCTCTCGATGTTTCAAACGCTGAAATCTGGCATTAGTGCATGGCATATACTTTAACTTTTAGATCGATTTGGTGTGTAAGAATTCTGCAGCTGTTTTTATCACAATATAATAAACCCAATCACTATATATACACTCAGTATACTGAAATATTCAACATCACGGCAAATGTTCTTATCAATTTTTTCATGTTTGTTTCAAAGTTTAAAGAAAGTACATGATTAATGCAAGCTACTTGTTTCATTTAATGGACTTAGTTCAATTACTTCGCCTCGTTCCTCTTCACTTTCCTGAAAATTCGTGTAGCCTTTTGGATTTCTGGTGCAAAAAAAAAAGATTGAAAAAAACACCAGAAGAACAACAGTGAGCAGTGAATAACAACACAACGTTATCTTTGTTCCTACGGTTGTAAACAGATAGCCGGTGATTGCAGTGCCAGCCTCCTTTCCAATGCCATGGAATGTTAAACTCACTGCACCTGTTTGTGGGAAAAACGTTAAAGGCCCATTAAAAATGCGATTTTTGCTGCAATTTCATGCGCTATTTTCTTCTTTTGATAGATGCCAACGAGTGAATATTAACGAATGTTCATGCAAATAAGAGCTCTTAGTCGTTTACATCTATTAAAAGAAGTATTAAATCTTGAGGTATTAAAGTGAGTCTTCTTGACACAAGAACATGCTATTGTTAGGATGACTATGACGAGCAACAGGATCATGCATGTTGTTAAACCCATTTTGTTACCTATAAATTCATGTGAAAATTAATTCTAAGTGAAGATAATCTTTTACGGTATTTTTCCTGCAGTCACTCTTTAAAATTCCTGTTTCCTAATTAGCTAACAACCAACTATAAAATAGTTATATCAACTCAATGGCTAACGAATATGGATACATATTTACAATTAATAGCAAATCCTGTCAAATATATGAAAAAAACTAAACTATATATGGTGACTTGCAAAATTTAGTTCTCGTGCAGCCTTACTTTAAATTCTATAGTAGGCAGTAGGCGTACCTTGGAAAAAGGCAGCGGATGCATCCGAAGAAGTGTTCGAGAAATGGACAACAAACGATGCAAATGACAGGACGTATGATGCAGCTTGAAAATTATCAAACAGGATAACAAGCCAAGCATTTTCGATAAACGCCAGTGCCAGAAACGACAACGCGAAGATGAGCAATGAAAACCCGATGACTTTGAGCTCCCCCACGCGTTTAATTATGACACGAGACAGTAAAAACCAAACAGCTACGATTGGACGTCTCAGCAAGCCGGCAACAGCCATTACAATCGAGCCTCCCCCAAGCTTTTCTATGTACCAGAACTCCCAGCGAGTTTGAAAGGCCGAGCACAGACCAGAATGACAACAAATCACAAGGATTAAAATATAGTGGGGATCAGTCAAAACTTTTTTAACCTCCTCATAATCTATAACTCTATGCTCAAGGTATTGAAATTTCATAAACGGCAATGTCACGAGTGTCAAAACTTGAAAACCAACGACAAAAAAGAAAATAACAACATAATCCGGAGCCAGGGAACCACAAACATTGTGTTGGAAGCGGTATAGAGACATTCCAACGATAAACAACGCCAGACCACCGCCGATTTCTCCCCACGATGCATAATAACCGAATTTTGTTTTATCTTGCTGTAAATGCGTCATGGCTGCAACTGTAATAAGTGTGACAGTGAGTCTTTTCAACAGCTCGAAAATTCCGCGTAGAACCATAAAAATAAAGAAAAATCTAAGACGATTCCCGTCTTTCTCATTCTGAGTCTTTGAGGGTGATGTTAATTGTGATTCATTTAATCCGGTGTATGTGCTGTTGAACAATACATTAACTAAAGAAGTATTATCTACAGTCAAGTTTCCTGTGTTTCCATCGCAAATTGGTTCGGGTGTATCAGCAGCAAGAAAGAGCAACGCACTAGGGATGGATAAAAGAACAGAGAAAAATAGAAAAAGCTTTCTCGCTCTGAACTTGTCTGCCAAATATCCAAGCAATGGTATACCCACTGTTTGGGTTACAAGACCAAGTACTGGTGCCAAGCCAATGAATGAAGGGCTGTACCCAATTTGCTTAAGATATAATGGAGTGTATTCTTCTAATATACACACGCTTGGACGAAAGAGAAAGAAAGCCATACTAATGGCAACTCCACCCACAGTGAGAAAAGATTTTGCTTCATTTTCATGCTCGGTTGACATGATTTTCTTTAGGCTGTTAAGAAATATGAGATTAAATTCAGCTACAGTACTATTGTACCTTATATAACTGGAGATCAAATCTGGCTATACAAGTAAATATTGTATTGTGCCATTATTCATAATTAAAAGAGATATCAAAAATTGGTTTTCCTAAAAAACATGGGCACAACACTGACCCTTGAGTAATTTGTCTACACATAATCCAAACACAGCCTCACAATAATTTAATTGTGCATTTGGCCAAAGAATGGCAAACTTAGGCAATTACTATTTGATATTTTTATGACATTTTGTTCCAGGCTATTGCAAAATTCAGTCTCCCAATTCCTACCAGAGATATTTGGATGAGTGTATGTGCCCATATATGTGCAATTGTTAGGTTCTTACTGGAGATGCTGATTTTATGTATTCAACTGCTAATTTTTAAACTAAAGCCAACCACTGACCAGGCTCATTTGGGTTAAATTGTTGCAATATTTATAGGAACAGGATTGACCAAAGTTGTGCTGGCCATATTTTTTACAGTTGTGAACAATATAATTGTCAAATGTTGTTGACAAGTGTGAAGCATATAAAATTGGTGCGTTTTTAAGCCCTATAGGAGAGGCAAAGGAGGCTTTTTCTCCCATAATCACGGGACCCAAATATTATATTCTTTTAGAACCTTTTTTTAGATATGAAATTCTAACATGTCGCACTTCGCCAAATACAAACAAGACACGTGCACAACAATAAGTACAAAGATAATGTCTTACTTCGATGACCTTTTGTCTCAGTACTTCACATAAAGGGCTTCTACGAATATATTAAAAAATTCTTGAAGGCAAGCCGCCAAGCTATAATCTAAATTCTAAACCTCGGCAACTTCGAATCATCTGTGATCTGCGTGTTTTTTATTTTATTAGATATTTTATTTGTTTGAAGGAAACTATGGCAAAGCGCCAATTCGAGGAAGCAACAAGAGTAATCGACCTGGTCGCTAAGCTACCCTACCTGGTGCCGACACAGTAGCACAAAAAGCATTGCCATTGATGGCATACAGGAATTGGTTCATTTGGTTGTCCTACTTGTCCACTGTTTAACACTTTCATAGTTCACAGTTGCAAAAAATAGACATGTTTAAGGAAAATTTATGCGATCTTTCGGTCTCCCGATTTTATTTAAAGGGGCCGTTTTAATGAAGGGTTTCAACTTTCAGGGCGGTGGGGCAGTTTAATTTAGGTAGTCTAATAGATAATTTGCAATTCCGCATCACGGAAGACTAATTCCGCATTATCTAATATCATCGTGACTGAAAGTGTACATTTGAACAATTTTCTACCTATATGTTTTCTTCATTGATGATGGTGGCTAATGAAGAAAATGAAAGAGCTCTGGAATCGACGTCGGGATGGCTCCAAAATAAATCAGCAATAGACTCAGTCACTCAGATAGACCCATTTGTTTCAAAATTACATATTGCAATTTCACGAATTTTTGATAGTCTAAAATACGTATTCCTTTTGCGCAAGACAGTTTGGAAGACTTTTAAAAGAACTTTCCTGTGTCTGTGGGGCGAAGCTCGTAGTCTATGCGTATATCGTTTTCCAGCTTCCGGCTTTTGTGGTTCCCGGAATTAGAATTCGGGGAAAACACACGGATATTGTAATTTGTAATAACATTTTTAATATGTCAGGCAAACTTAGATAGGCACAAAACTTCATTTATGCAATAGGGAACACTTGTAATGTTGAGAATATTCGAGTTTTCAGCACAAAATGTGATTCTGTCGTGGAAAGAAGACCGAGCCTAGCCGGGTGGCTGTTAAGAACGTAACTTATAAATATCGTAAGTATTTGAATATAGCAGGTTCGTTGATTGCAAATGACACTCCTGACACTCCGAGGTTTACTGAGCAAGCATATTGCGGTGCACACATTATCAGAAGTTATCATGTCTTAGGATCTTTTACAGCCACAGGAAAGAAGAGGACTACAGGCCGTGAAATTTAGCTTCCGCTTGTTTATTAATTCGAGTGGTTCTTTGACAAAGCACAGGCATGGCTGATTGAGTTATATACCTTCCCATAGAAGCCTTTTATAGATACTGTGGACTGTGGTTCTATTGTCAGTACACAGTTCTATTTTATTGCACCATGCATGAAAATCGTAATCATTCGTAAACAATACCAGTCGTCATTCGTGAACACTGAGCAGAACAAATCATTCCAACGACGACGTATAGCCTATAGGCTATCTCGTCTTGTGCTAATCTCGGCTTTTATAATCTATGTGTTTGTATAAGAATGAGTCTCTACTCTCTACTATGGGCTCTACTAAAGAGATTTATCACTTTATTAATACCCTGTTGGGGTGAAAAAGGCAATAAATTTCCAGAGTATTCTGTATTCGTGCTTTGCTTTGTCCAAGAGGCAAGAGCATAAAAAAGTTAAAAAACGCTTTTACCTGATTAAATTAGTGTGAAAGTACCGTGGGCTCGGATTTAGGCATCAGTTATTTAGCACTCAGCCGCACGCATCTGCATACATTAATACCAGGGACTACCAGGGACTCGCATAAAAATTCAAGGTGCAAGTTTAATAATTGAACTTGTGAAATGTGACTCCCTAGTGAAATGACGAAATAGAATTAGGATAAATCTGTTATTAACGGCCATTTTTAAACGTCGCTGTTGCTATATGAACGCATGCTGAGTTCAAATCAGTGATGCTGAGTAGGTGGTTTGCAATAGACCTTTCTTATAATGACGTCAAACGCGGAAAGTCTGATGTTACACGAAATTTGATTGGCTCGAAAAAACTATCCAGCCAATCAAATTTCGTGTAACATCATGCTTTCCGCGTTTGACGTCATTATGAAAAAGGTCTATTGCCGCCATTTTGGTTGACTTTTCAAAACATGTGCACAAATAATTTTTTCATCGTTGCTGTATTTTAATACCCGCCCAATAATACGATAGAGATGAAAAGCAGTTACAAAATAAACAAGGAAAGAGTAAATCTGCGCAGTTTGTGCTCTTGAAAAATTAGTTGAAAAGCAGAAGTAAACTTTGTAGAATCAACCAAGATGGCGCCTAATGACTGATTATGACGTCATATGCAAACCAAGAATTTGGAATCATAGAGTTTGGAATAATGTTGGAAGTTTATGAACGAATCCTACTGAATCCACGCAAGATTGTGGCAATTAACTAGAATTTTGTAATTTAATTCCACATAATTGGTAACTTGTCTGAAAAGGGTGGAAGAAGAAAGAAAAAGATGAAGCAACAGTTCCTTTAGTTGAAACATTTAAGTCCTAGTGAATTGTCACGCGATAGCAGGATTATTTAAGCAAATTATACAAGACGGCGCATATAACTGACTTTCTTGTTTTAGGGTATTGTTTTTAAAATACTTTAATAATATCGATACAGTTATTCTAAATTGTAGTCACATGATCATACCAGTTAATTTGTGTTTAACATAGATTGTCTTAACAATGAAACTCAAGAGAAAACGAAGAAAAGCTATCGAGAGGGAACGTCCAACGTTGGTTGGCTTCTCAATTGGGAAAGCTACCGTGGACAGAAGGCTGTTTCCGTTGAGAATGGACAAAAAATATAGAAATACACTTGAACAAGCGGAACGTGAGATAATTGCGAAGGTAGCTATCTATATGTGAGACCGAAGAGTTTATATATGTAAGCGTACAATTTCCTTCTCTTCAACCCAAAGCACTTTTGTACCTACACTTGTAAGGTTTTGTGAAATGCCCGCGAGGTATGAGCACATTAACTACTTTTTGGGAGTTTGCTTTTCGGCGTGCAAAACATTATGCCGTTGAAGCAAGATTTTCATTACGAAAAGTTAATGAAGAAAGAGGATTGAAAATATAAGTGAATCATGCAGAAATGATGGAATGATCGGTCCATCAAGAAATAAGCAATTATTTTGAAAAGAAAGAGGGAACTTAAGCACCATAGTTCATGGCTACTTTCATTTTTCATGAAAGGTTTAACCCACAATGTATATGCCTTTTTCAGTACACGCCAATTAAAGGTCGCACCCATTCATATATATGTATGAAAAGCCTAAACATTGCAATTTCGACATTGTTTATATCTTTTATATATGTAATATAAATATATTTTATATGTATAGATTTCTCAAAGGGATAAGCTTGTTCAACAAAGGAAATACCTTAGTGGTTTGATGAAAAGCCTCGAAAATGAAAATAAGGGGGACTGCAACACTGACTTGTTAAAGGTAAGCATTGGCACCGCCACGAGGACGGAGGTTAATATCCAAAAAACCTGCCTGCGTTAACTTGAGCAAATATCAGTGCACTGTTCCACACATAATCAAAATGAATAGACAAAACATAGTATTCAAAATGTTTGTGTTCATATAATTACCCAAATCTTTTCATATACCACGCGATAACATATTCAGTGTTATATCAAATGTTCAATTATAGGAACTTGGCGAGAATAAAAAGACGTTGCAACAAAAATTGAACCGTTTACACGCTGAGCTGGAGTCAGAGACATTCAAAGGTTTGCAAATATATGACTGTTGTCTCACATGCACTACGACAACAACTGTGCACCGCGCAGTTTTCATGCACAACTTGTTAGAAACCTTTAGCTTGACGGCAAACGCCAAACCGCTAACAAGGTTTGTGTTTTAGCTCCACTATCTTTAGGTGTGCGGCAATTTCGCTAAACTACAAACGTCCTGCAAAAAACTTGTGATGTTCAGCAGAAATGAAAGAAAGCAATAGGCTATTTCTGATGTATTTTGAAAAGCATCTAATTCAGCTTTAATAATGTTCTTGAATGTTTGCATGGTGACAATCGAGCCTACAAGCTAAATTACTTAATTTGGCTGAAGGTGTATCTAAACGTTCAAGCATTACATTTTATACGGCGAACGTGAACTAAAGGTCTCTATTGTAAAGCATTGCCGTCGATTTGGCAAAGCAACTTTGTATGAATAAATTCTTACACATATGCATGCGCATTGTCGAAAGTCAATCGCATTACGGCTTCGCTGCATGAACTCGTTGCAAAAGTGCTGCGAGGTGAACTGTTAATGTTATTACACGTCACCTGTCCAAGTTTTAACAAGTTTCCGAAACATGTAATCCTAGGATCCACGTCTATACAAGGAAGAATGGCCGAAGCCAAAAGCATTGTAAATTATAAGGTAGATCATGGAAGAGATTCTACTTTAAGTGATGAACCTTGCCAAGGAAAAGAGAAATCGTGGTCATTTGAAAGAAGCTACCAGGTATTTTAGGTCGCAGGCTCGCAGTAGATGAGTAACAAAAATTTTATGATAGGAATTGAGAAATTATATTCATTGGAAAATAACCTGTAAGATTTTGTGTAAAAATTAGTCCACCATCTTGGGTGGCATGCGTGAGACTTTTATTTAATTATAATTGCTACAAATCCTATTCTTAATGTATTGCATTCACGTATGTATAAAAATGAGTTTTCTGTGCAGCTTATTGTGTCTTATTCGTGAATTAACAATGCACATGCATGCAACGAAACATAGTTCTACCTTATAGTCACATGCACTACCGCCTAAATCCTTCCCTTTTAGCCGTTGAAAGCAAATATCACGTGTGCCAGCAAGGAAAGGTATGCGAACTTTATTAGCAATATTGCCAAAACCCAGGATGATGAATTAGCGTGAATTTTTGAATGAAATAGATACTTAAGCATAATTTTTATATCACATTCTATTCATTTCTATTCCCCTAGAAGCAGACCGACAGGAATATTTAAAAGCCAGATTTTTATAAGGAGAAGCAATTCACAAATTCAACCTGTTAATATCGATCTTTTTTCAACTGGTCGAGATTTGTTGCAAGTTTTAACTGAGGAACTTGGAGATATTGAAGCATACAACGTGGTATTTGGAACAAATAAGGTAGATTTATTGAAGTATTATTTATAAAATGGCGTCCTAAATAAATATCTCCTGGCATTTTCTCGCGACCACATTACAACCGCTACACATGCATATATATATAATTATATATATATATATAATATATATAATATATTATATATATATATATATATACAGGGTGTCTCAGAAAAAACGCAACACTTAAATATGCAAGAATATTAATATTGTTCGGGTTTGCACCTTAGTTCAGCTAAAATTACTTTTAGCATTGTAAATGAAGGATTAAGAGCCATTTTCAATTCCCAGAGGTGCTTATCTATTGCGCTTTAGAGCTGTATTAATGTTCTGCATATTTAAGTGGTTGCGTTTTTTTTGAGACACCCTGTATATATATATATATATATATACGTTTTAATTATAAATCATAGCAATATGGCCAGGATGAATTAAAAGAAAGAAATTTCATTATTACAGCGTTAAAATTTAGTTGTCGTAATGTTTATAATATTTCGCAATTTCCCATTTTCGGGTGTGTCTGGAGTTCGTAACTATGCATGGTAACTGCACATTCATACACACATTCAGAATAACTTGCCTAGTAATATGGAAACAATAGATTTAAAATAAAAAAATTGACTAGCGGTCCCCATGATTTTTAGGGAAATTCACCTCTCGAAAATAGAAATGATGTGATGTTTTTTTAGGTTGATTTAGAGAAGACGTTATTCCAACAAGAAATTTATCATGGCACCACAGTTGACTTAAATATCCGTTTGCAAGGAGGTGCGTATAGCCTATAGACTTGATGTATCGTTTACTCAATTGTAAATGCATTGTGATATGCATGGGCGTGACTGCAGGGAAATTTGTATTTAGTCTGAAGCAATCTTTTGCCACATTGGCGCCCAGGTTGAAATAAAATTGGACACGGTGCCTAAGTACGTGCAATCCACACGCAGTACTTGCAGAACATGTTCAACATGTTTTAACTCTGGGCACGGTGCCAGGCACTACTGCCGGGAATTTTAATTTGTCTACCGTGAGTTGAATGTTTACTTGTCTTGATTTTGTAATATACTATGCTGAAATTGATTCTCTCAATCGAAGGCATGTACAAAAAGAAGAAATCGGCGAAGAAGCACAAAAGGAAGAAAAACACTCAACCGCCGACAGAAATACCTCATGTGACAGGTTTGTTAAATAGAGATCCCGGACACGGAACATCATCAAAACTTATTAACTACCTTGCCTTGTTTTGCTTTGCTTTGCCTTGCCTTGCCTTGCCTTGCTTTAATCGTTTAATTCCTTGACTTGTCTGCAGATTCACCCGCGTTGTGGACGAAACAACAAGTAGCTGACTGGGTGTCGATGAAATGTGTCGAATATGACATTAATGAAAGTGAAGTTTTGAAACTAAAAACTCTGAATGGCAAAGGATTGGACGAGTTGTCAAAAGAAGATTGGATTCGGCGATCTGAAAATCAGGGAGATTTATTTTTCAAACTGTGGCAGAGATTAAAGTCAAATTCTTCACCAGAAGTCGCCGATAAAGGTAGGCGGATATAGCAGGATGTAGCGACAATGTTCAAATGGCATGCCGATTAAGCCGGGCTTGAAAGTCATCATTAAACTATCAAAATCGGTCCGAGGCGAAGCATATATCCACTAAATATTTTGTAAAGGAACAAGCAGAAGCAGTATATTCAAAGGTGAAGGAAATTTCCACTTTTTTATACTTGAATATGCGAGATAAAATTTCATGAACAGGCCAACGGTAACGCTTGCGGATTAAGTTTCATTCATCCATGAGCTCGTATGAGCAACGCGTAATTGCCGTTAATTGAAAAACGATTGTTGGTTGATCTTGAATAATTATGTACTAGGTAGGAGCAAACTCATTCCATACAGCCTAAGCAATTTATTCAGATATAAGCAGCATCTAAGCAATTTTTTCTATCATTTTGCAGTCTGCAATAACCCCAATAATTGTGGATTGAGTCGCTCTTAATTTTCAAAAAAATCAGAAGAACGGAACGCTGATTGGAATGACAGTGCAGATATTGCTATTTTTATTAATGATTAGGTTATGCAAAAGCGAATCGAATTGGAGTTAAATGATTACTAATTCATACATGGGCGAAATTACATGCGACATGATTGGGGAAGAGGTGGATATTTCGGCCCTGAGTTCAAAAAATGACAATCTTGACATATCTTTTAATTCTGTTTTTCACAACAAGCTGATTTATTTTGTTACAGATAACAAAGACAACCTCTTACCACCTTCTTTGTCCCAGGATGCACAAGAAGAGTCTCCAATGCTTGATTTCGGCAATGACGACAACAACAAAGTTAATCAATCTGTCTTCAGGTATTGATCTCTATTTAATTGTTCAGCCTAATACTACAGATCGATGCATAAGAATGCTTTCATGTGCTGCATGCATGTGAAATATATTATTGTCTTACAGATACTACATTTTAAAACTCTCACTATATAGGGCTACTATAATGTTCAGGCTAAAATTGATGAGTTCAAAGGCTCAGTCATCGATTGAGTTCAATGGATTTGGAGTTCGGACACGAATAGTTCGTGGTCTTTGAAATACTCGCGCATGCTTATCCTTTGCTGCACTAGGAAATATACTAAAATTAAGCCTGATTCGAATAAGACGAAAATAATCGCAAGTGGAAAAGAGGAAATTAATAATTTGATGACGAATTTGAGAGTGTGAATTACTACTGTGTATCGTATGCCTGAAAAAGTGCATACGTGTCGGCATATTTCGGTAATACATAGGCATAAATATATTGCAATAATTTGTTATTTTCACAACTAGCCTATTTCTTTGATGTTCATGTTTTCAACTTTGCCTTCTTTCTTCCACCTTCCAGGGTTTTACATATTTGCGATGACTCGCGTCGTTAATTGTTTATCGTTAATTGTACTTCAATGGTATGACACAGGAAAAATAGTTTTTATAGTGCTTCTTATGCATTAACAGCAACGGTATTCTTCGCAAAGTCAGTGATATTAAAGACATTGAAGACCTGACGCCGCTGGAGGACTTTGCGACTGACGGCAAATCAACTATTCCGACATTTGGAAGCACAATATCAGTGGTCGGAGTTTTAGAAAGTAAGCAAAGGAAGGCTGAAAATTTTGGGTCCCTTTTGATCAAAGATGAGCAAAAGGATGTGGCAACTCCCTTTAATGCCTTAAAGGTTGATGTTCGAGGTAAAAAAGGAAATACAATTTTGCGACCATATACTATTAGATCGCTGTTTGACAACATCGGAAAAGGTTATGAAATAGCGTTAAAGGGTCGTGTTGAAGCAATGGAGGAGAGTGATCTTAGCGAAAGTAAAGCTTTATTGAAAAGCAATGAACTGTGCGAATTCCTAAGATTTAAGTTGGTCATCGATTCTGATCTGCATTCTTGTGTTTATGTTGAAAGAAAGTCTGTAGCGTTCAAACGACAACTATCACAACCTCCGTGGCTCCACAACATTAAACTTGGCGATCATATTGAAAAAACGATTGACATGGTTTTTTGTAACTCAGGAAATATTGATGAAATAATGAAATACGTGGTGGCCTTCAAGAACAGTTACCATGGAAATATATTAGTTGGCGTCACGGAAGACAGTGGGAGTAAAAAGGGAAAAGTATCCGGCACAGGTATGGATGAAAATGAAATCGCCAAATGGAGAGAAAAGTTATCGATGGCCATTGGAAGCATCTTGCCATCGCGTAATGATAGCGCTGCAATCTGTTCAACAAAAGAAGAAGCGTTACAACTTTATGAGAAAAATGCTTTTATCTTAACAATAGCTCTTTCGGAACATGAAAAACACATTATTTGGGTTCACGTTCCGAAAGGAGAAGCTCGACTTTATGTCACCAAGGCTTCTGATGTACATTCTTATGTTCGATCTGGAGCGGAAACTAAACGTATTACAGATTTTAACGAACTTTTTTCGCGGTTGGACTCGTTGGGTAGCCGGAAGATAGTACAAATCGCAGACGAAGAATTGGACATTGACAGGCAGTATGAAGAGCTGACAAAAAAGAACGTTGGCCTGGAGAAGAAATACCAAGTACTAAAAGAATTGAGCTACGAAGGTCAAGAGCAAGAATTTAAGATGATTTTTGGGGACAATCCAGTTAAAAAAATACAAGAAAAATATCTCACCCATTATTCTTGTGGTTTTTTAAATTCTATTGGAGGAAGTATAATTTTTGGTGTTCAAGAGGATGAACGATCTAAGCTTGGTCATATTGTCGGCGTAGTTATGGCCAGTGAGGAGAGAGAAACGTTAGTGAGAACAGTAGCAAAGACGTTAACTAATTTCTATCCCCAAGTTAACACCAGTCAGTATAGCGTTCTGTTTCACGACGTTACGGTGCCAAAAGACTTTATTGCAAAAGGCAATGATGGCATGTGCATACTGATTCGTGGACCGGCAGAGGAAGTTGGGAATAAGTGGCCAAAATTCGCTAAAGACAAATTTCCAGGTTGCTTATGTCGAGTGATAAGAGTTGAGACACAACTGTTTTGTATTGTTGCGGAAAATTTGAAAGAAGATATCGATAAAGAAGAAATTGTTAAGCAGTTTATAATACAGAATAAAAAGAAAATTTCGTTGGAATCTATGCAAGAAAATAGATTGGAACGTCTTTTAAAGAAACTCTGTATAATCGAATTCGCCGTCAAACGTTCCCAGTATCCTATTCACATGGTTCAACCAATCGATACGTATGTCTTTGACAATGGAAGTTTGCTTGCATTCGATTACAAAACAATGATGCAAAGGTTTGAATTGGGCATTGATTCGCCAATTCAATTCGATATAACGAAATTCATGAATCATGTTGACAAATTCAAGCATTTTGGAAGCTCTTACATGTTAATCGCCTCTCCATTTAAGTTTTCCCCAACTGAAAACGATGTTTATGGACTCGTTATTCCAAAATGGGCCTTGGCAATAGATTTTGATCAGAATCCAAAAGAGGAGGGTCATCTTTGTCAACTTTTTAATGAGTTTAATGATCGTCATCAAATGGAAAGAAACCATTGGATAAAAACTCCCCAAGATTTAAAGCTGAATTTAAATGCAGACAGAGGTATTTGCTGGCTTGCAGCTCGAGGATACGATGAAATAGAAAAATCTCTCTCCAGAAATGGACATGGAAGCTGGAATATGACTCACCGTGAACAACTACGATCACTTCTAAAAACAGACTTAGCAGGGAGTATCAAACCGAATTTCCTTAACGTTGTTGTATTGTGGGGTGAAGGGCATGACGGGATTGTGGATTCTCTGCGCGTGATTCTCGAGGATATTTTGAGTATGAATGGAAATCGCACTTCCGTAACAATTGTCTGTTGCACCTTAAAAGCAAAGAGATACATCATGGAAAATTTAGTGAAGCAATTACAAAAGAGCTATGGTCAAATTATCATGGAGGAACGTGTATACGTGGCACCGCCTCACGTGCTAGCTATGCATCTGTCGTCTAAGCTTGAAGATCCATACAAACCAGAAAACGAGTTTCAAGTTCCTCACAAAAGAGAATACCGAGGGGAATCTCAAATATTTCCACGTATTCTCCCAAAGCATATACGTCAAAATATCAATGGTTATCTGGAAATGATGTACATTAATCAAGAAAGAAGGAATGAACTGTCAACGCCTAAAGAGCGTCAAAAATTTTATTCTGGCTCAAAAATCACCTCATTAGGTTTGCGACAGAATTTTGGAATCCCGAGAGCAAAAATGGAAGAATTAGAAGCCAACTTTAAGATTCTTCTTAATGACCGAAAGTCGCACGTTTCAATGATTTCTGTCAAAGTAGAACGTGGAGCTGGCTCGACAACTATGTGTTTACAGTTTTTGTTTAAACATCACGGAGAATATCCATGCGCACAATTGTCTGACTTTGGTGACGGGTTATTAAGCTATATCAAGGATATATGCCGAGAAACAAAATTACCACTTATACTTTTTGTTGATGACGAAATTGCTCAACTTCAAGAATTCTTTGACTTCACAGAGAAGCTAGTTGAATCCCGGCAGGTCAATGTTATCCTGCTTTTCATTGAACCGAAAGAAGCGAATTCCAGGAAAGAAACGTCATCCCCACGGAAAGCGATGGTTAAGACACGTATAAAGAGCGCAAGTGATCATTCCATATATGGGACATGTCCATACAAAGAGGTAATTCTTCGTCGAGAACTGGAACCCCAGGAAATGGACAATTTAACGGAACATCTTATAGACATAAAAAAAAACAGGGAAAGTCAGCTTCGATCATTGAGAGAAAAGTCCAAGTTGAACCGAGACTTGCGGACATTCGTGCATTTTGGACTGACGGCCTTTGGCGAAGAATTTTCAGGGTTGAATCATTATGTCAAATATAGACTGCAAAAAGTCAACGAGAAACAAAAAAATGTGCTGATTTACCTATCACTTACTCATGTTTTTACGAATTCATTACTTCCAGCAAACGCACTCGCTGATTTTCTTGAAAAGAAGAAAGTTGATTTAGACGCTGAATTCTCTGATCCATACCTTCACGAACTCTTAAGTCCATCTGAGGATGAAATAGATTCGCGCAGAATATCATTCCATGAAGTGGCTCAAGCAATTCTTAAGTTACTAGGATCTGATGGACAGAGCCAGAATAATGCTTCAACTTATAATTGGCTTTTTATCAAATTAAAATCTGTTGAAATGGCAAAAAACGTTCTGAGCATTAACTCAACTACGAAGTCGATTGATCGTCTTACAAGACGGTTGTTTGTAACAAGCGAATACGAAAGTGAGAAATTCTCTTCACTTATAAGAGCAATGACCAACGACAAATGCAAAAAGATTGCTTGCGATACATTGCTAGAACTTGTGGATATTTTCCCTGAACAAACTTCATTTGGTTCGCATCTACTCGCCCATTTGGCCAAATATTATATGATAGAACTTGAAAACTTTGAAAAAGCTATTCCAAAAATTGAAAAAGCAGTAAAAAACCAGAAAGATGATTCACTTCTTCGGCATATTCATGGCGATATTATAAGAATCCATGTACAGAACCTTAAATCTATACCTGATATTGACATGCCGACAATTGTAAAACATGCTATTCAAAGCAGCGATTGTTTTGCATTTGTTCGCAGTAAAAGGCCGTACGTCAGTCACGGGTATATATCTGATGCTATGGTCCGTATCACGGTTATGCAAGCAGCGATTAAAGAGATGGGTGGGGAGAAGGATACAAGCTTCATTGACTATCTGTGCCAAATGATAGACAATATGAAAAAAGAAGGGAATCATCGATTACGTGTGAATGAAAAATATCTACTTTCGCTAATTCCAGATGTATATCAGTTTCTTAACGAAGGTGTTATTGATCCTGACCACAAAGAAAAATGGAAAGGCGAATTTCTTAAATGTATCAGGAAATTAGAAAATCTCAGACGACTTTGTGATAAAATTCAGGACGAGAAACATGTTTTTGAAAGAGAAGATTCCGTATTGCTTCACGATGTTGCGTTGCAAATTCTTATCTTGAATAATAGTCTCGAAATAGAACGCAAGACTTTAAATCCAGTGGAAATTGAACGTTTAGTTAAAGAGATCTACGATCCTGAAACGAGCAGAAATATGTCTGACCAGCAAATGAAATTTTGGTTGCGACACTCTCGGCACCAGAAAAAGGTACCGAATTTGGAAAACATTAGAAAACAAGTAAAAAATTGGATGGATCATGCGAAAAAAAAGGGTGGCATATTGCCGGATGCAGAGTTTTACAAGTAAGTTTATATTTTATTGATTCAAGTGATACGCATATATACATATATATATATATATATATATATATATATATATAATATATATATATATATATATATATATATATATATATATATAATATATATATATATATATATATATAATTATACCAAGCGCGAGGTCACGTCACGATGAAAGTTTCACGGTTTTAGTTACGTTATCAACTTCATGATTGCAATAAAGGATCCAAAAGACCGAGACAAAAGAGAAAAGGCAGAGAGAATAATTAAAAGGCAGCAAGGAAAAAAGTTCAGAAGAAAAGAAGATTCTCCACTTCCTATTGAATGGCTTAACGCTAAAGACCGTCATGTTAATTCGATCGACAGTCTGTTACACCACGATGATTTGGTGAAAGAAACAAATAAGCAAGATAGGAAACAGCGAGATGAACAGCGTGGACGTGATGTCATTGAAGGATTTTTGTTTGAAAAAAATGTCGTAAAATGGGAAGGAACTGTAAAAGAAATACAAAGAGATTGGCAAGGAACAATTGTATTTAAAAACCACTTTGAAGTTAGATTTGTCCCTCAAAATGTCCAGCCATCAATGCCAGAAACTGGTGAAACAGTTAAATTTTGTTTATCTTTCGACAGACTTGGTCTCATGGCCTGGGCGGTCGTTCGCGCTCCTCAAAACACTGTACAAAAAAGTATTTTAGAAACGGTGAGTAGCGAGGAATCTAGTAGTGAAGGCGAAGATGAAAATGGGGAAGAAGACGAGGTCGTATTAGATACGACAATTTTTAATCGATCAGTCAGTGTTGAAACAGATGCCATTAAAAAGGTTTGGGAAGATTACAATGGCCAAAGAATGCAAGGTGTGGTTGTTTCTACAAATCCTAAAAAAGGTTTCGGATATTTAAAGCATCAAGATGTATCAGGGGATCTTTTCTTTCATGCATCACAACTTGTTCAGCCTGTCAAGTCTCTGAAAGGAAATATATTTGCACATATGGTATTAGAATTTAAAGTCGAGAAGTTAACAGAAAGGACTCGTGCTGCAGATATCCATGTTCTAATGGTATGATTATACTTCTAACTATAAAAAAGCCTACGGTGTATGTGATCTAACTATAAAAAAGCCTACGGTGTATGTGAATGGCAATACACGTGGTCACAAATTCTAAAATTTGTGCTATAGACGACCGAGTGTTTTGTATTCTATTTATATTTCATTTTCTATAAGTGCGCACAGAAAATTTGAACTGATCCGTCGGAGGATCACAACTGACATTACAGTTTTTAATGGTTTTCTTTGCTGATAACGGTATATATAGTTATGCCTGACACCTTTCAATAGACCTTTCTTATAATGACGTCAAACGAGGAAAATCTAATGTTGCACGAAATTCGATAGACGCCACAAAACTATCGAGCCAATGAAACTTCGTGTAAAATCAGACTTTTCGCGTTTGACGTCATTATGAAATTATAGCATTATGTTTATTATAGCATTATGTTTATTATAGCATTATGTTTATTATAGCATTATGTTTATTATAGCATTATGTTTTGAGCTCAAAAATGATCGACGCTTTATTGATTAATAATAAAATGCGAAAACAAAAGTTGCCAAATAAAATAACCAACACCAATTTAATTTTCAATGGCGCATTAAAAAATGCTCGTGTAATCGCAGAAAAATCTTTTCGTCCAATTAGATTGCAAGCTGAAAGTTTAACCCTATCTCACTCAGTCTATACTATATACATGAACACATCCGGCTTGTTTGTCCCGAGTATCTTGCTGGTTAAATTTTTTGGAGAAAAAGGAGAAAACTCTCTCTATAGTTAACATTCATTCATGTTTGTTTCGTAAACTCCGATATTTATTATTTTTTCATCTTTCTTTTTTAAAATGAACAGGAGCATCAAATAGACGCAGCTGTGGCACGTTTTCGTGAGTAAGTACACCATAGCTGCCTTTCCGAAAATACCTAATACTTGCATGTATATATAAGAGCATGTATATATAAGAGCATGTTTCAAGTTTTTTACAGCGTGGGTTCTGACTTAAACGACGAATTTACCTGACCGTAGCGGGAATTTTTCTAAGCACTTTCGAACCTATGTCTTTTCTATTACACGAAAGAACTGTTACCACTACAGAACGTTGCTTGTACGTAGCGTAACCGCAGTATTTATCGTACATATACAACTTAAACTTAGCTCTTCCTTGAGGGAGAAACATTCGGTACAACAAAAGTTGCCATCAATACATGAAAACGCAAAATGCGGCAAATTTCTGCCAAATTTTACTACTTCCGTCATTCTGTACGGCAGATAAGAGATATATGCATGATATGTATAATGCATGGTAGTATAATAGATAGTAATTAAATTTAAACTTATGGAAAAATCATCTAGGAAGAAACAGGATTCGCCATCCATAAGTCGTCGGGAAAAAGAGCAAACTGTCAGACAGAAAAAAATCCCTGATACGAAACGTCTGGAAGAAGGAGTGGTTGTACGGTTAGCTAGCGGGCAAGACTTTGGATTTATCAAGCCGGACAGCAAGGAATATGGCAGGGCTGATATTTTCTTCCACCGTAGAAATCTTATGAACAGAGAACAGCGCCCACATGTTGACGACCGTGTCCAGTTCTACACAACCAAAACCAAAAAAGGTTACGAGGCAAATGACATTCGTGTGCAGGTATAGTACGAAATGGCTGTTTTATAATGTGTATTCAATATGCTATAGATAATAAAGTATAGCACGCATATTTTATACACACATGCACGAAAAGATTTAAAATGCTCTAAATTTTTATTTTTTAAATTTTATTAAATTTTTATGTGCCCATGAATCATTAGGCCCTAAAACAGCTCTGCAAGGCAGTACACTCTCACTCTCGTGACGAGTGTGAAACCCTCGAATGTGCCGCCATTTTTGGGGTACTTTTTTTCAAAACCGTGGGCGTAGGACATCGTAACTGTCTTCAATTTTAGGCTGAATTCATTCTTCAAATGGTCTGTTGATTCTAAAAAAATTGCTTTTCATGTTGTTATAATTTCTTAACCCCAGTTGAGAAAATTGAAAGTACCCCAAAAACGTCATGGTGAAATTGAGAAAGGCTAATTTGTGTATAAATTGCGACTTAAAACATTTGTGGAGAAAACTTTTTTCCGCATTAACGCACGTTCTATGATATCTTTTGCTGTCTCATAGAGTCAATCTGCCTCGGCCAAGAATTGGGACCAACTGTCTGGTATTCAAGAAGGAGTGGTGGACAGTATATCAGATGGCGGGGGATATATAACAAGCGAGTCGAACACTCATTTAGGTTTCCTACAATTTTATAATAGGGATGTATTAGACAGAAACGCACAAATCGTTGATGGAACGAAAGTCCATTTTAAAGTTATAAAACGTGGTAGCAAGTCAATTGCAATAAGAATTAACGTGATTGGTTCTCTTAACCAAGGAAAATAGAACAATATACAACGAAGTGATGTTTTAATCTTTGTCATGTTGTTAGATTACCATATTCGTCATTTAATTGTGGAAAATAAACACAATATTAAACCTATTTGATGAACACAAAGCTAAAACTTATATAAACTTAAAACCGTATATCGATAGTAGCCGCCGAGGTGACGACGCTATTATGAGAGCATTTTCGAATATGAGTTTATACCAGCCTCGTACCCAGGCGCTTTAATATTAAGATATATAATGTTACATACGATACATACGTTACATATATAACGTTGTAAAATATATGTTGTAATGTTGGTATCCACATAAGATCCGTTGGCCCAGTGGTTAAGGCTAGGGCCTACCAGGTTGTAAGAATAGGTTCGAATCCTGCGTGGGAAAGGTTCGATTTTTTCCCACCGAAATTACTATTTAATTTGAAATTCGTCGAAAAGTATTTAGTCAAATAAAGAACAATAGCTTTCGACAAATGATGTGATGGTCTAGCGGTTAAGGCGTTCATCTCTCAATCCGAGGACAGACATTTCAACTCCTCGCAATGCAAAAAAATTGGCCTGAAAAATTACGGTGTGATTTGGAAAGTTTAAATTAGTCAAAAGACTTCTCGGCCTTTCAAGAAGACTGTAAATTAAAAAAAGTTTGAAATAAAAAACTGAAAAAAATTTCTCGCGTTCAAAAGTACTTAAAAATTGAAAAGAAGCACAAGCAAAAAATTTTAAGAACATGTGTCTTCTAAAAAGACTGAAAATTAAAAGGAAAAATAATTAAAAAATTTCCCGCTTTTAAAAAACTCATGTTTACTTACCTTAATTTTTTTCACGAAAATTTGACAGGGTGATTTTCTCGAGAGTGAAAAAATTTAATTTTTTTCACTTTTTTGAAATTCTCTTAGATTTTTTTTTCGACGCGGAAGTATTTTGTCTTGGGCTACTGTGTCTGTCTTGGGCAACCTGTGTCTGCTTGACACAGGTAGCCCAAGACAAAATACTTCCGCGTCGAAAAAAAAATCTAAGAGAATTTCAAAAAAGTGAAAAAAATTAAATTTTTTCACTCTCGAGAAAATCACCCTGTCAAATTTTCGGGAAAAAAAATTAAGGTAAGTAAACATGAGTTTTTTAAAAGCGGGAAATTGTTAATTTTTTTTTGTCTGACTTTCTTCATTTTCAGGCTTTTTAGAAGACACGTGTTTTTAAAACTTTTTTTACTTGTGCTTTTCTTTTAATTTTCAGGTACTTTTGAACGCGATAATTTATTTTTTTTTATTTCAAATTTTATTTCAATTTACAGTCTTTTACAAAGTCCGAGAAGTCTTTTTCACTGTTTTACACATTCCAAATCACACCGAGATTATTCAGGCTAATTTTGTTGCATTGCCAGAAGTTGAAACGTTTGTCCTCGGATTGAGAGACGAACGTCTTAACCACTAGACCACCGCGTCATTTGTCGAAAGCTATTGTTCTCTATTTGACTTAATCCTTTTCGATGAATTTTAAATTAAATAGTAATTTCGGTGGGAAAAATCGAACCTTTCCCATGCAGGATTCGAACCTACCCTTACAACCTGGTAGGCCGAAGCCTTAACCACTGGGCAACCTCAATAACATATATTTTAAGGCTGCTATCAACAACCAATCCTACAGCCCAGTGGTTAAGGCTACGGCCTACCAGGTTGTAAGGGTAGGTTCGAATCCTGCATGGGAAAGGTTCGATTTTTCTCACCGAAATTACTATTTAATTTAAAATTCATCGAAAAGGATTAGGTCGATTAGAGAACAATAGCTTTCGATAAATGATGCGGTGGTCTAGTGGTTAAGACGTTCGTCTCTCAATCCGGGGACAAACGTTTCAATTCCTGGCAATGCAACAAAATTAGCCTGAAAAATTTCGGTGTGGTTTGGGATGTTTAAAACAGTTAAAAGACTTTTCGGCCTTTGCGAAAGACCGTAAATTGAAAAAAATTTGAAATAAAAAAACCAAAAGAAAAATTATCGTGTTAAAAAGTACCTGAAAATTAAAAGAAAAGCACAAGTAAAAAAGTTTTAAAAGCACGTGTCTTCTAAAAAGCCTGAAAATGAAGAAAGTCAGACGGAAAAAATCAAACAATTTCCCGCTTTTAAAAAACTCATGTTTACTTACCTTAATTTTTTCACGAAGAAAGATTTTTCTCGAGAGTGAAAAAATTTAATTTTTTTCACTTTTTTGAAATTCTCTTAGATTTTTTTTTCGACGCGGAAGTATTTTGTCTTGGGCTACCTGTGTCAAGCAGACACAGGTTGCCCAAGACAGACACAGGTAGCCCAAGACAAAATACTGCCGCGTCGAAAAAAAATCTAAGAGAATTTCAAAAAAGTGAAAAAAATTAAATTTTTTCACTCTCGAGAAAATCACCCTGTCAAATTTTCGTGAAAAAAAATTAAGGTAAGTAAACATGAGTTTTTTAAAAGCGGGAAATTGTTAATTTTTTTTTGTCTGACTTTCTTCATTTTCAGGCTTTTTAGAAGACACGTGTTTTTAAAACTTTTTTTACTTGTGCTTTTCTTTTTCTGAGTCTTTTTAGAAGACACATGTTCTTAAACTTTTTTTGCTTGTGCTTTTTTTTCAATTTTCAAGTACTTTTGAACACGAGAAATTTTTTTCAGTTTTTTATTTCAAATTTTTTTTCAATTTACAAGTCGTTCTGAAAGGCCGAGAAGTCTTTTAACTAATTTTAAGATTTCCAAATCACACCGAAATTTTTCAGGCTAATTTTTTTGCATTGCGAGGAGTTGAAACGTCTGTCCTCGGATTGATAGATGAACGCCTTAACCACTAGACCACCACATCATTTTGCGAAAGCTATTGTTCTTTATTTGACTAAATACTTTTCGACGAATTTTAAATTAAATAGTAATTTCGGTGGGAAAAATCGAACCTTTCCCATGCAGGATTCGAACCTACGCTTACAACCTGGTAGGCCGTAGCCTTAGCCAATGGGCCACCGGATCTTATGTGGATACCAACATTACAACATATATATAATTGATGAGAAAGATTTGATTTTTCCCACCGAAATTACTATTTAATTTACGATTCGTCGAAAAGGATTTAGTCAAATAAAGAATAGCTTTCGACAAATGATGTGGTGGTCTGGTGGTTAAGGCGTTCGTCTATCAATCCGAGGAAAGACGTTTCAACTCCTGGCAATGCAAAAAAATTATCGTGAAAAATTTGACAGGGTGATTTTCTCAGAGTAAAAAAATTTAATTTTTTTCACTTTTTTGAAATTCTCTCAGATTTTTTTTTGACGCGGAAGTATTTTGCCTTGGGCTACTGTGTCAAGCCAGACACAGTTGCCCAAGACAGACCCAGTAGCCCAAGACAAAATACTTCCGCGTCGAAAAAAAATCTAAGAGAATTTCAAAAAAGTGAAAAAAATTAAATTTTTTCACTCTCGAGAAAATCACGCTGTCAAATTTTCGGGGAAAAAAATTTAAGGTAAGTAAACTATGAGTTTTTTAAAAGCGGGAAATTTTAAATTTTTTTCTGACTTTTAATTTTCTGTGTTTTTAGAAAACACATGTTTTTACTTCTTTTTTACTCGTCATTTTTTTTCAATTTTCAAGTACCCTTGAAAGCGAGATAACCTGAAAGACTAATAATAACAGATAACCTGAAAGACTAATAATTATAAATAATAATAATGTTGCTTCCATATTGTGAACAAAATGAAAAGTAAGGAAATTATTTCGTTGCACTGCCTTGTTTTCATCCGAATATTGTTGCTGTTATGACGTAAAGCTAAAATACATTTTCTAATACATATAAATTCAGTCATTATTGAATAGCTTTACAAAGATGCGCTATCAATACTGACTGTATCCCATGCAAGCTCCCCATCGTAACCTGGATTAGGATAACCTTCAACGACAGACTTCTTTTTTCCCCGAGTATTTCGTCTACCCCTTCTTCTCAAATCATTTTCCCGCGACTCACCCTCCCCTCGCCTTATGTTTGCTGCCGCCACATCAGAACTTTGTCTTGGTCGTCGTCGTCGTCGCCTTCTCTTCTCTCCTCTCCCTCCATCAGTTGTCTGCGATGCAGCTTTTGGACGGTGTTTCCGTCCATTACCTCTCGATGAACTTTCTTTTACACTTCCGGTTAACCAGGTTGGGAAAAGGTCTTGGATGGCAGACACAAGACCTTTCGGTTGTTCTTTTGGAGGTGAACTGCCACGTGAACGGGAACCACCTGAAAATGGGGGTGAATAATCAATTTAAAAATCAAATCTTTAATTACTCTATAATCTTAATCATTAGCGACGAGTGTTATATCTGCTTCTCAACATCAATTATAGACAGCATCATTATCTTTCTACAATCTTATAATTTTATTACAACAAATAAATAGCTATTAATGTACTTTGAGAACGGATAGATAGGAAGCTGTTTTAAAACAAACTAAACTCAAAGTTTTTGGATATAACTTAGCTTAGACTTTTTCCTCTAAACTGCAGTTGTTAACCTAAATATATTCCAAGTTAGATTACGAACTATTGGAGCTAATTTTTAATATGCAGCCAAGTATGCAATCATGCATTCACATGCAGGAAACAGGTATAGTCCACCTTTTCACTTTCATTACATTGTAGAAATTCATTCATAACCATGCATACCAGACGATAATCTCATATAAGTTTGAAAGCTTTGTATCGATAATTTTAGGCCCCTTAGTTCCAGGAAGGGGCCTTCCCTGAAGGAAGTGATCAGATAAACTAAACCTTAGATTTTAACGTCTTTTTAAACATTTCAAATTTCGTGACTTACGTTTATCCCTTGAACGTGGAGCCTTTATGCTGATGTGGCGGGGCGATTTGCCTTAAAAATATTAGGAAATGAAAGTGGTCAAAAATAAAATAATTAAAAAATTATATTGAGGTCATGATAGGGCTGTGGAGCAAAAATGGAAAAGTACCTTTACCGGAGGAATGAAGATCCAGCATCTTGCGAATCTCTTCTAACTCATTCGTCATATCGTTTTGATGTTCGCAAACATTTTTAAGATCAGCTACAAGGGAATCAAAATCGGACGACTTGTCCTTGCCATATATTTTACCAAAACGGTCATCCAGAATATTCTTCAAGTCCACAAGATTTTCGCAAATTTCCTGCTCGGTTGCCTTCCTCGCCCTGCCTTCATTCCACGACACAGGCAGAATTTTGATAACTTCAGGACTGCAGTTTAACCTCATGTACTCCCTGTAGCGTAATTTCTGTCGCTTTCGAAGGATACGTTCCGATTCGACTATTTTGATGGCCCTTTGCATAATCGTGTTTGCGACAGCGTTGTTATACACTCGAGTAAAGGTCTCGCTAAGGAGCGCAATGAGTAAATTCAACGTGACAATTGTCATCGCGGTAACGTAAAGTACAACAAGTATTCTCGCCATTACTGCGTCCTTTTCGACCATACTCTCCAAGTTGAAATCATCACCCACAGCCATTTGGAAAACACGATAGAGTAGTTCTCCAGTTGTATGGTACCCGCGTGCAGATTGTGTAGAGATCGCACCGAAATTTATCCAGAACGAAGCTGCAAAGGGCACCATAATGAGAAAGAACAAGAACGCCCAGTTAAGAAAATCCCCCAAAGTCTCGGATAAAATCAAAACCAAGGTGCCGATGCCACTAAATGGACGCACGAACTTCAACAGACGCAGCCACACGAGGAGATTCACGATGCTAATGGTCCGGGTATAGAGGTAACGCGTGGCGTCTGTTCTCCGGTACACCAACACGAAATGTGTGCCGATAGTGGCAAGAATCAAAAACAGAATAACCCAATCCATGTAGAACCATGCATCGTAGGCGTCAAACAGAGGTAGTGAGCGCACCCTCTTTATTTCGTGCTTCACGAATTTTTCTTCCTGCGGCCACCTCGGATGGCAGAACTTCAAGTCGTATTCAAGTTGTTCGATTTTCCACCTGACCCAGTCTCTTTGGGATCTCCGAGATTTGAGTGTGGCTTGAATGAAGACAGGAAAATGTTATGCAGAAAGTAACTATTTATTAAGTACCAATTTAAAAAAAGAAGATAAGTGATAATAAAGCGATTTAGATAACTGTATAAGATGTATATCGCTATGATTTGTCATTTGTCGTGAGAATGATGAATATTGAATATAATGAAGGCATTTCGAGAGTTTGCGAAGGCCCTAGGACTTCGAGCAAAAATTGGCACAAAATGCATTTTGTTGCACATGTCCAAAAATTGCCACCAAAAAGAATTATGAAAAATTTAAACAATTTTCGTTATACCGTAAAACCAACGACTGAAATTTGTTGAATTTGAAAATAGAAATTTTCGCTGTAATGACCGCAAACTTATCAGAGAAAATAAAAATTTGACAATTTGTGTAATTTTACATGTATAAAATCGCAGTCCGTATTTCAATCTGTTTCCAGCTTTTTGAAATTTTAAGCAATTTATTATATCATAATAAATAAATAAGTATATATATATAGTATCACTGTGTATGCAAACGAAACCAATTACGTGTATAATAGATTAACAGCATTATTTTGAACATTTTACAAGATATATTTATATATTTATTTAGTTCTTGAAAATAACTAAATGCATGTAAACTCATTCTTTCAGATTGAACGCGCGTGTTTGTCATTTAAGATGAGATGAAAGTACCGTCCGAAATAATTAGTACAAAAACATGGCGATTTACAGATAAAATGAGGATCATTGCTAAACTACCTCTGAGTCCCTACTAACCTTGAATCTGTTTCCCAATATCAAAAAGAGTCATGAGAATTATGACAACACCAATTGTGATTTTCCATGCCCGATCCGAAAATTTACTGTAGAAATCTTCTCCCTGTTCGGGCGTACCTAGTGCGAACACGGTCCACACGATGCCAAAAATAACGTGAAAACCCAAATCAAATGCAGTCGACATCCAACCAAACTGCTTCCATTTTTTCCGAACTAATCTTTGCATAACCGGATGTGTTATCACTTCGTATTTCCGATTTGCTACGGCCGTTTCAAGCGCGGTCCTTGTTTTCTTCGTCGCATATTTTTCCCGTGAAGCTTCGAGATACTGTAGATAATAGGATTCACGCATCGTTATGACGTCATAGCTGTGCAGTTGATTCAGCGCTTCGACTGCAAGATTTGGCAGACGATCAATTAGAACGCAGAGAGCAGAGTTACCGGTGATATCCAGTAAGCAACTTGATGCTCCTTCATCGATCAAGATTTTTGCAACTTTCCCTCGACTCCATTCTGCAGAAACCTTGAAGAAAAGAATCCAGCCATGAATGCCCCTCTCAAGGAATTTTCGAGTGGGGAAGAGGTTATACGCAAAAAAGGGAACTGCATTACCGCTCAATTGTGGAATAAACGCTTACTATAGCTGTGGGCGTAAGGCCCGCAGTGGTACAGGTGTATGTCATACGGAAACGTTTCAAACTTGTTGTACGAAAACACCACCTCTAGCGTTCTGAGCCCTAGCCTAAAATTTGTGACATGCGCACCTGTCTTGTATTTCATGTAATCAAAAGTAAAGGAAGCACAATAAATATACATAAATATACATACATGCACCTGAATATATCACTGAAATTAAAACTTTGAATGGAGAAACGATTACTGAATTGGGGATACGTGGAGGTTTGAGGCAAAGGAGAACCTGCCAACAGGTTGTGTATGGTAATCCAATCATACAATAATCAATCAATCGTTGAAATATTACTGGATTATGCTACCCTTGTTTCATGAATGACTCTGTCAAATACCAGTGCCTCTCTATACAGTTACTGAAATATTGCAAAGTTACGATTGTTTAACTGGGTTTATCTGGTGTGAAAACGTCTCTTGTGAAAAGACATACCAAATGTTAAATCTACCACACATATCGATCAATATTCTGTTGGATATTGTTCACAACGTTTCAAACGACGACACACAGTTTAAATTTTCATGCATTTTTCCGCCAAAAATATCGGTTATTTAAAGTAACATTTTCTTGTAATGAAAGGAACCTTAAAGAGGAATTGCATGATAATAAAGAAGTGGATCAAAATAATACCTGAAGTGGTGTGCGTTTCTTGGCGTCAAGTGCATCGATATTCGCATGGAAACTCAACAACATTTTTAGTGACCGAGTGGCGCCATTTTTTGCGGCATAATGGAGCGGGACCTGGAGTTCACCGTGCGTCTTCGAATTAATGTCTGCATTGTTTACCAAAAGAAACTCTGTCATTTCGACGAAATCGACTGCGGCGGACACGTGTAAAGGAGTGCGTCCAAAACGGTCTTTCTTGTTAATATCACAACCTGTAAGGCAACAGAACCCGCCTTGAATGCAGTTGAATAAATCCCTCATGACCATTGCAATATGTCATCCAAACTGGTAGCAGTGGTGAATATATAGTGTTAGTCAAATCGAAAACCATGCTAAGATGGTGCTTACCGAGGTCTATAAGAAAACGTGCAACGTCTGTATTCCACGAGCGAGCCACTTCGTGAAAAATTGTCTGTTCATTTTGATCTGCGGTATTTATATTAGCTCCCCCTTTTACAAGCGCTTCAACGAACTCGTAATTGAACTCATCTTTAGTGCTATTGGAATCAGCGATGGTGGCGGTGTATTGAAGTAATGCTCTGTTTCGTTCTAAAACGCTATTGTTTTGCTCTTCTAATGCAGTTTCGCTGAGTTGATTTTCAACAACTGCTTGAAGCGGTTCATTTGGTCTTGACGTTCCTGGCAAAAGAAGTTCACAATAATTTCAACTCGGCTCGTTTAGTCACGGACTAACAGATTGGTTGGTGGCTTAATAATAGTCAATTACAGCCGATGATACAAGAACTAACTGGATTGCTAACGAATACATTATCTTCCCATCGAGAGGATTGAGAGGCTAAGGGGGAAGGGATTGGCTAATAAGCAGACAAAATGTAGGTAAATAAAAGTAGAATGATACAATAGAAAAGGGAGGGAACCGTTCCTGTAGGGAGAGCTATCACTCAAAAAATTGAGCCCAAAAAATCCTCTCAAAAACTATGACGGGATATTAGAATCACCCTCCGAAGAGCCGCTACTAGGGAGTTTGAGCAAGGCAACGAAGTACGAAGACGAAGACAAACTTCACAATTTCTTAACGTCTGCGCATCATTTGCGCATTGGTCAGCGGTGAGGGTTTAACGTCTTCGTCCTGTTGTCCTGGTTTAGGAAGAATATTTTGACAAAGTTCGTTGTGGTCAGAACGAAGTTTTCAAAGTAAGATATATTCAAGCCAAATCTTGGACAGTTCTTGTATGGAATATAAATGTTGTTTGAGATTTTTAAACCGTAAATAAGCATAACATCTTCCACTTCCAAAGCATCTTCTGAAAACATTGCTAAAATAGCCAGCTCTGTTCATGTTTACAAAATTAGTACCGTGTTCGTAGTCGTATAACTTTGACAGAACTGCTCAATTCAAATATCCCGCTGCACGAAGACTTAAGACGAAGACTACTATTCCCAGTCTACCTCGGCCGAAACACGTCTTCGTACTTCGTTTCCTTGCTCAAACTCGCTACTATATGGTTAGTGCTGCCACTATGTCGAAGCTAGAAGTTTCAGACGTCTTTCCGCCCCAGACTTGTGGGTTACAAATTCTCTCACGCTTGATCATTCATCCGCTCCTTGATAGGCAGAAAATGTTAAAAGCACTCACATAAAATGCTATAGCATCTCTCCGCTTGCATAGGTGTAGAATTGCACAATTTGCACTGCATGTCTGTAAGAATCTTTAATTTTTAAATTCTACACGAAACAAGGTGGACGCTTAATTTGATCGATTTATCAGTTGACATTTGAAGTGTCGAGACATTACGTGTCTGCATGTTTAAAGTAAGTTGAGTTTATTGATCAACACTGTATCACTGTCCATGCATGCAGTCATCTCAGACAGTTAACATTGTCCACCGCCCAGCCCTATTGCCCCTGTGAATTTCATTGCCATGGGTAAGTCATTATTGTTATTTTTCATTCCTTCGCATACAAAAAAGCATATTCTAAATTACATTTAGTTATATATCACATAATTCATACATACCCAAACGTTCCTTAATCAAGATCTCCTCGAAAGGCTTTATACGCGTCGTACTGGTGCGGAACGTATTTAAGTCCTTTTTCTGCATTTCGGCTGTAAATCACTCTGCTTAATTCTTTGTTTAAAGTTTCGGCGAATCTCACAGAAATGGACTGTGCATGATCATATCCCTAAATAGATACAGGCCTACCTGAATTACGTTATGCGGTGAACATGATCGACGGTTTTGCATAATTTGACAGCATAATTTGCAGGCTAAGTCACAAAGAGGTGACATGCAATCATGCAAGATGATTGACGGACCCCTTAGAGAAAGATCAGCTTGTGTGGGGTATACCTAGAGTTGCAGGCCGGCATTCATTATTAGGTAATCTGAGGCAGTGAGTGAGGAGGATACAGGACCGATAGGTTATAGTTTTTCATTCAACTCGTCACAGCTTCTTAATAAATACCTTCACATAAAATTGGTTCAGAGGATACATCAATGAAAACATGTATATTCTACGCAGGTATAATAACTTCACCTATTTAATGAATTTCTCCTTTATATTAGGTTGAGAAGCAAACTGCCTAAACTTGCGTGCCTGTGATGAAAGCCTGGGTTGCGACGCCGCCATCTCGACGTCTTCGTAACAAAGGAACAGCAAGACGCGATAAATTTTTTTCTATCTCATACCTGCTCAACAACGTAATTATTCTTAACCAATACTCCCGCAGTGTACAAGGAGACAAAGGATGGCCATTATATTTAATGGAGCCGAAGGCTTTTCAGTCAAACACATAATCCTTTGACATCTCGCCCAATCACAGTATTAAAATTACGAAAAGTGTACCACTTATAAGTTCCCATAAGAACTTTCTTTTTTTCTTTGATATATGAGTGTGAGTTATGAATTGATATATGAGTGTGAGTGAACTTTTTGAACACAGGCGTGAGACTTTAGGTGGTACACTCTAAGTAATTGTAATCACTGTGATTGGGTGAGATATAAAAGGAACAACAATTACTAAATTTCCATGCACAATCACAGGAATGCCAATAATTCTTAATAAGATCAAAAAGACAAAATACAAATTAAAATCAACGCCCAGAAACGTACGTAAGAGCCAAGAATTGAAGAATACAGATATTGAAATTTAAGAAAGTTCTATAAACTCTTTGCATTTACATAAGACAAATGAATTTATGTTTGCAAGTAACTGGACATATTTAAAAGTTTTCAAACCTCATACACCATTACTTATAATATGAATACGCGATGCTGACTCTATATTCATTTTATCAAGACCGATATAACTGCATGGTCAACAGTACTCAACGGTAACTTCTCGCGGAATGCTTTTTCAACGTTTCGATTATTTTAAAAACACACAGAAAAGAGCATGCATGGAATAGCTGAATGTGAATCGGAGGTTTGCATGAAAAGTGCAAAGAAAAGTTTTTTAAATTTCCTCAGGAATACTTCGGTATATATATTCAGATATATTTTATAATATGAGCAACCCCATGGTCATGCAATGTAGACTATTATTGTTCTCGATAATTGACACTTACATTGACGATAATATAGACACATCACAGATCACAGTAAACCGCTTTAACCGCAAAGCAAACTTTTTAAATTCGTATTCTTTAGGCGTCTATTACGTTGAAGCGTGCATGTAATGTGAACTATAAGCTGTTGAAAACCTGTGGGGTTTTCTTAAATTTCTTTCACATGCGATTTATAGATTAACGTTTGCGATTAGGTGTGAACTTCAATCTTTAGCCCATAAGGTCTCTAATCATATACGGACTCGCTGTCATAAAAACTGCTACATGTCCTTCCACTATGTTCTAGCCCCATGCCCCCATCATGCTTGGGCAAACTTTATGTGAAGTTTAAAACTCGAGCATATACTGACGTTTGAATATCATCATGTCATACACATAAGGCAATTAACGAGAAAACGAAGTTGTTGATTTAATCCCCTCCCAAAGAATTGGTGCAATACCAGGCCGCCTTCACGCCTTACCTTGACGACGGAATCACCACCACATTGTTGGCGAGTTGAAAAGAACACGTATATCGCGCTAAATTAATTACTGCAGTTGCTTACAATTTTTTGCATAAGTGCCAAAGATTTAAGAGCGATGTATTAATTAATTAATATTTAGTCCAACCAAACTCTGCGGCATATAGCAAACTAACCAGGCTCTCATCAACAATATACACACTCGATCATCGTAGACGTAGATGAAAACTTTGATCGAATTACCTGCACACATCTGACTTATTCAAAGCAAAAACTCTCTTGCATATATATCTGAACTGTATGTACAAAGCAATACTTTTGTCGTTGATTATTAATAGTTTAAATAAACAGTTAATTCTCACGGTATAAAAACTTTACGACTTCTTAGATGACATCTTTCCAATGACGATCGAAGCCACATTCTTTGCGAATTGTTTTCGGTGGCAGTATAAATTGTTATATCTTTGTATGCATTATACGAGAGACATCTTGTTGCTTGCCACGGTCTGGCTGTCATGAGTTATTGCATGCATTGAATTTGTCGTCACGTCTCCTCTTCCCATCACAATTAAATTTGATCTAAATAATTTTGTTAATATACATTTGCACAAAACGTCGTGGGACCGGTTGTTCGAATGGGATGTGCAAATTAAACGCATAAGATGCATGCAATATGAGATATATGAGAGTATTTTTAAACTTTGGCGTATCCACCGTTTAAGCTAAACGCCTTTCGAACAACCGGCCCCTGTTCACTATATATGGGTATCTGTATACCATTGCAGTAAAAACGAGGCTTAAGGTGCCCTAGAAGGCTGCAGTCTCCCCGGGTTATTTCAGCTTCACAAACTGTTCCCATGGACATATACAATGAGAGTTCCCATAACTGGGCAAAGATTTGTCTAGAACACTCCAATTTGTTTTGATTTTTTGTTTTCTATTAGCCCATTTTTATAACGTGTTTTGCCCCCATACAAAGCATGTATTCTCCCCTATTTATTTTCATCATAACTCTCCTGACGAAGGCCCTCAGGTCGAAACGTCGAGAAGTGTTTTGTCTATTTAGGCAGTTGTTATACCACATTTGATGCTAAGTTGTTTGAAGACGCTGCTCCTTGGTAATAAGGAAATATACGTACATAAACGCAAAAGCTTCGTATAGTTGCTAAATTTACATCTCTCGAAAGTGGAATAGGATTGCAAATTGCAAGAAAAATTGCATGGTAACACAGTGAACTATAATAAATAACTGGAACGATACCTCCTCATTGTTTTTGTGAAGCCAAAATTTGCGGGACTTTACCTCCAGACACGCGTGTCTGGAGGTAAAGTCTCGCAAATTTTGGCAAATTTTTGGCTTCATTCTCGCGTGACTCGCGAGACACTGCAGATGCAGAGCGAATTTGAAAGATATTTGATTTTTTGTTTGTTTCATGGTTTTAAATGTTTTTTTTATGGAATTATAATGGAATTACTCTTAAATTCAACCAGGTGAACTGTTTTACGAATTACAACTGGAGTTGCCGATCAGATTGGAAACAAATTTTCTTAAACGGAACAAGTTTATAGCGATGTGCAATTTTGACAACAATATTTGTACGAAACGGATATCCTAAAGCTAAAATTTCATCGCAAAATACACTTGGTAGACATTGTTTGATATTATAAATTTATATTTATTTAATTTCAAGTGACTAGATGGCAAAAAAGTTGTATTAATTGTAAAGTAAAACAAATATTCCTGCATTGTCACGCTAGGCTCTACGCTTTTTCCTAGCAAAGAACCGTCTTACTCCGCATTTCCAATTATTAATAGGTCCATAAAATTCATTCTACCAACTTCAAGAATGTCTCAGCCGGCTGTAAGCACTAACAAAATCAGTTATTTAACTCCCTAAAAAAATTTTTCGGGGAGTTTTTATCAAATTTACAAAATAACAAAAAAAAATTTGTTTTGGCCGTGTTTGTTTTTGCGTGTAAAGACTGGGGGTGACTTAGCTTCAACTTCCTGTCAGAAGGTAGCGTTCCAGTTATATTTATTTCACTGTGGTAACATGAATTTAAGATATGCTATTCACAACAAGAACATGTCAAGTTATCTTTAAATGCCGTCTAATACAAGAAACGATTTAAAGAACATTTTGGCTAAAAATTTTTTTTCAAGGGGATGCATTTTGTGAATAGTAATCATTGCGGAAATCCTCACAGCATAATTACATGATAAAAAGATCTAAATTAAATCGATCTAGACTTAAAATTTTATTTTTTTTTCTTACTTATTTTTTACAACAATTCTACCTATAAAACTCAGTGAAGACTCAGTACATATAAGGCCCACATAATTAATGTCCTTGTCACACTTGAACAAAATAATATTAAGTATACGTACCAAGACTTGATTTTACCATAATATTAATAACATATTTCTATCTATATATTTCTTTGATCAACTAGCAGTGTTGCTACATAAGAATCAATCTGAATCTATACAATTATAGTGTTGCATCATTGAATCGTGACGCGACTTTAAAGCATTTTGTATACAGCTGCATCATCGTTCAAGGGATGATGAAATTCCCAAGATTGTTTTGGTGAATCTTCTACCTATATATATAGTGGATGTTTACTAGTCCAGTTAAGCAATAACGGTTAATAACCTATCTATCATAACTGGCAGCTCAGAGTTCAAGGTATATAGAGAACGTTTTTGAACCTTTTTGTAAACCTAAATGAATATGCTAATTCCATAACGTGTTGGTAGGTAATTATTGGATCGACTGAAAGGTCACTCACAGTTTCATATATGCTCTCAAATAGTCCTAAATTTTGTTTGTAAAACAGGTTTCGGATTTTAGAAGGTGTGAAGAGGACTAATGCCTTTTAATATCATCCCGAGAGCATTCTGCGGCAACATGAACCCTTTAACAAACGAAATTTGTATCATTTTAGCAGCTTGCGCAGTTTGAATATTTGTTGTGACTAGCTTATTCATTGAAGATCGTTTTTAAAAGGTAAAAGTTTCATTAAAGATCTACTAGAAGTAAAGCTGAAAGCTGTATGCATGACATTGTACGTATACTTGACACTGACCTATACTAAATATACAGTACAGTACAGTTTAGTAGGTCTCTGGTAATTTATTACATATTCCGAAGTATTCTTATTTTTCGCCTTTTTTTCGATGATGCAACACTAATTACGTTCAATCATTTACCCCGGAGGTAAACCAATATAAAAGGTTAAAAATTACGGAACTTCAAATGAATTCCACATAATTTGATGGAATTAGTCCAGTTTTTCCATTTAGTGTTCCTTCTAACCATCCTGGTTCTTTGGAATCTCGAACTAAATGAGATTGCATTAACACTATTATTTATTATTTTTAATTATCTTTAACAATTATTCTATATGTAGGTTCTAAAATGAATCTTCTATGTAATGTAGTAATGTAATGTAATGTAATACAATGTAATGTACAAAGCTAGCTTACACGGGAAGCACAAGTAGAAGACGTGTTTAGCATGCTGCTTTCCACTTGCAAATGAATCCTTAAACACATGTGTTTGACTGCAACAAGTCTGCGGCATACTAGCTGGTACGATCTAAGCCAGGTTTTGTTAGGGGGTGTTAAATGAGCGCTATGCATGCGCACGAAACCCGTCAAAAATGTCAAATTAAAAGTCTCTGCAGTGTGCTTTAATCAGGGCGCTTATATAGTAGTATACTATATAAGCGCCCTGGCTTTAATTGATTACATTATCGAACAAAAGAACTCGCGAGGAAACAATTGCTATTGTGAATAGATGCTGTTGAAACGACTTATCTTGCTCGTGATTTTTTTTATATATTAATTTTTATTGCGGCAAGTATTTGACGGCTAGCACCATCTAGCAGCTTCCGTATAGCGCATGCCCAATTAGTTCAAACTCGCGTACTGATGGACAGACACAAACAAGAAAACAAACATACAGCGTGAGAGAAAACAACAAAACAAACATACAAACCACATCTTTGTCAACTCACCATTCGTAATAATGACATCGGCGTCAAATGATAATTCCGTGGTGTTTTCCCCAACGCATGGAAATTTTGTACGTACTCGTCTGAAACGAAAATATGTTATGCAAAAATATAGACATCTCAATACAATACTAATAATTATAGCACTTTCCAGGGTGTTTATAGGATCTCTATAGTATGGTTTTAGTTTCATGGTATTATAAGATCAGGATGCCTCGTAAGAATTAGGGCCAATTGGAAGATAATACTGTCAGGATAGCATTCTAGTCTTACATATGGTAGTGAAATATTACCGTGAAACGTCAGAATGGGAAAACTTCTTTCGACCCACAATCCTACAGGTATACTGCCTACACTTATATTTAAAGAAAATACATGCAGAGGAATATTCAATCAGATGCAATAAGGAACATTGGCAAAGCATAAAGATTAACATTCTTTAGAGGTGACAAACCCTACTTTTAATACCTCATGGTTCGTGGAGGAGGTGCCTGGTATACATCCCTGGGCGGTGGACTAGTAGGTAGAGGTGGGGGACTATTCTGTCGAGCACGAGTGTCAGTCGTGGCCGTAGTGGGACCCGTTGTCGCATACTGTGAGCTAACTGTACTAATTCCACCATTATTCTTTCTTCCATCCGTCGATTCACTAGAAATACACAAAACCCTTGTTATAAAATTCCTTGAAAGCTTTTTCAGGTTTTTTGTTAAAATACGAATACAAAAAACCGTTGATCGATTAGGAAAAATATCAAGAACACTTACAATGCTTTTAATTTCGACATCACATTTGACTCTACGAAAGATAGTCATAAAGTAAAAGAAATTAATTGAATGATAGGCTAATTTTATATTTCATTCTTTCGATTAAACTATACATATGAATTGGTGAATTTGTATTTTGTATAATTTTCATAGTGTGTAAGCGTTTCTGGGTATCATGATTGGTTGAGTGATTGTAGAGTATTCTTTTATTGGAAAGTCTGCATTTATGTTTAACAAATAGACATACGGATAAACATTTCTCCAGTATCAAACGAGGTTGAATATCAATTTGCATGCATTGTGGAATATGTGTTGCATGGAATATGTGTTACCTGACTGTGCCGCTACATTCTCATCTGAGCCTAAGGATAAAAATCATGACTCGGTTACACAATGGCAGAGAAAAAGCGATCAATTATTTCAGAGTAAAGTATTGTTACAAAATTTATTATTTTTACAAAATGATAAATGCTCAACGTGCGCAGGAAAATCACATCAAATGCCTTAAATTGCAAGAGGCATTTGTACTAAATCTTGCATGTGTACTTAGAGAGCATGCATGGCAACCCTGCTAACCTGAAAATAATTGTGACTGATAAACGAATTTATGAACTTTATTACACTTACTGGACGATTGCTTCTGTTTCCTAGTAAGCGACAAATTCTTAGCTCTACTTTGGGGAGGTAACGGTGCTGGATATGACTTTAACTGTGTCCTAGCCGCAGGACAGGACCTTGGAGGCGGTACAGTCGGTGGTACCGAGTACACATTCTTATCATCAAGAACCGGTTTCCTTCCGGGGAGCTCCGGCTTTTTGTTGGGTAATTCTGGTTTCTTCTCAGACGTCTCTGGTTTCTTGTCAGGAATGTCCGGCTTCTTGGCGTTTGAAGGTTTGGGTTTTTCGTCTGAGGCACTCGAAGAGAATGGATTCGACGAGTCGAACAGCTACATAGAAGGCGATACACAACGGGAAAGGTTATTTAATATCACCAACAAAGGTGATATTTGACTATCAATGTGGCGTCTGTACTGCGAAAAGCCCATACATAGACATTGGTTTAAAAACTTCGTTCTTTTTCCTCATGTTTATGCAAACTTGAAGACAATCGATGTTCTCCCTAATCGTCTAATGCCATCAGCTCATTGGATTATGCTCAATGTTTTGCAGAAACATTCATAAAAAAAATTTCAAAAGACCATGCACGGTAAAGCTGTGTCACATCGAAACCAAGCACATAATAGACACTTTAAAAACTGCAAGGCGTGTTTGCAGACTATACGCCTTGTCGACTCTGGACCTAGGTGGGTTCGTGGGATATTTACCGCATCGTATTCGTTGATCATCAACTCGACGACTATCGTTTGATACTTTAAATTCATGATGGCCGCCATTGTTTCTTCTCTGGATCTCATCAACGTTGGACCAAACACAACGCCAAGATTACTCGCTTGCATAAGGTTTCTTTTCGAGTTTTCTGCTACCCTATTGAAAGAAAAGACATGCACAAACAATTTATAACGCCACAGCCCGAGTCCTTCGAACAAGATGTGGCTCCCGGTCACCCAATGTAAGAGTAAACAGTAATCCACATCTGAAAGGCTAAACTGCAAAAAAATCAAAATCGAAATATATTCTGTAAACTAGATGCTGTGTCATCAATAAATCAACGCCAATTGAACCTCGGCACTTGAAGTAGTTTTATAATATTCCTATTATTCTTTCATCCAACGTTTAAATTGTTATTAAATAGGTGGAAATAGACTTCGTTCTAATGTTTTTTAACGGACAAAATTAATGTCAGCGACGTAGATTAGAACTTTGTATAGAGATCATTTCGATATTATCTTTATAAAAGACTCACTTTTTAAGATGTTCCGTAATAATGTCCAGCATTTCATAATTGTCATAAGGTAATTTGTCTAGCTGCGCTTTTAGTGCTTCCACTCTATTGTCGTAACTTTCTGTTTCTGTGTAAACAAAATTGTACAAAATACGTAATATATGCTGCGGTGCTGAAAACATGAGCGTAGGTAAAACTTACTTGCAGCTTCTAATATAGAATCGTGGTGTTCGAACGTTAATAATGGCGCTGTCATACTCCTAAATAGGTCAAACAAACAAAACAAGACATCAGATCGTGTGGTCTTACACTATATTAAGAGAGGTTTTAGCAGCTTTGTCCTCTCGGCCCAGTTGGAACCAGTTTCACGCAGCTGGGATAAATGTTCAAGCGAAATAATTACAAGCATTACGGGTCTAAGTTACAGTTAGTTGGAAGAATTTTAAGCGAATAAACCTTAGCCAGTTAGTTGTATCCAGCTATGTGAAAAAGGGGCAACAGTGATATCACTACATATATTACTGGAGTAACATCATCGTCGACCTGGTTTGCTTTACTTTACTACAACAATACGTGAGGAGTCTTACACGTATCGTTTTTTATTAGCTATATCCCCACAAGTTCACATCGCACAATTAACTAATGTTTCTGTATCTTTAAAATACATCTCTGAAGTGAACAGAATTGATTTGAATTAAGGACGTATGTTGGACATGCACGACCAAATCGAAACCGGGATAAAGACAAAGCACTCGAGCTACTTATAATCAAGAAGAAGTTGATTCGGCAAGCTCGAGATAAGGGTTTAGTTGCAGCTGCCTGCTGCACGTCGTAAAATATTCATAAGCACCGACCTGAGGAAATGTTTAACAGCGCTTGTAATAGTTTTGACTTCATATTCACATTCATCACTGTCAAGTTCCAATTCATCAATCTGTTGGTGAATAATATCAAGATAAAAAAGTTTATTAGATTATCTGCTTATGTAGACTGGTTTAGAAAGCTATAATTCAGTCAAGATTGTCTTTAAAAAAACAATAGTTCCTACTTGAAAGCGCAAGAAATGATGGATACATGCGTTTTCATCCTCGTAAAAACTTTTCATCCTTGAAAATTTGGTTTGTCAAGGATGGCCACGACACTATAAAATACTCATATTAAGTAAAAAATCATGCTGCATGTACTTGCGTTAACAAGAAGTTCGTTTTGTAACTTTTAAGCAGTTGCCTCAGCACATTTGATGGGAACTTATACAGGATTAATCCAGACAATACATCTTCGTGAAGAAATCTTACCAAAACAAACGTCCAATAATTTCTTAACTTTTGACCCAACACCAACAACTCTGTATAGCCCCTGCTCGTTAATACCTATTAAAAAAGGGAGCACCGTCGCTTGCACTGTTACAATGAATTGTTTATTTTTGATGATTTCGTAATTCATATTCTCAGTTGCATGTGAAGATGCTTTTAGTCACACATCGTCCAGTGTCCTATATTCTACCCTTATACGCGTGACATGGCTTTCAGAGTTCACTCTTGTAAAGAAGAAAAATTTATCATGCATTAATAATGTACCTCTGGTTTCAATTGCAGCAACACATTTCTTAAGAAACTTCACGCCAATAAGAAAATCATCGAAACTGGCTGCAAAACAATTAAAGATAATAAAGATAACTAATTGAGAGAACGAAACAGCTACTTTATGCGAGATTGCACATGCAGATTACACTGCACATTCAAAAGTATGCACTCGTTTGCATCTGCAGGGCAGTTCACAAAAAAACAGTCATGATTTTTTATGGACACACAGATAAGTAGCTAGCTAATAGAAAATAGGAATTTTCAGAGACTATCATTTCATTTAATCAGTCAACCCCGTTATTGCATCGAAGCTGTTCAGTTTCCGAGAAAAGATCGGTTAATCACAAACCTTTGTCCTCATTATTCGAACTGGCCGCCAATTCGTTACTATCAAGGTAGATCTAGAAGAACAAGCCGTGAAAAAATATCTGATATGAGAATGTAACGGTGCATACGTTGCTATCATGGCGATGTTGTTTTTTGTCATTAAGTTTTCATTAGGCTTGCTTTATTCCAGTTTGTCCCTGTTACTTCGTATTTGCCGTCTACTTTATTTGTCAAATACAATCACTTTAATCATTTACAGATCCAAAGCGAGTTGAACCGTGATGGCAGATATTAATATTTTATTTTTACCGGACTTTAAATAGGTCTGTGACCCAATTGAGCTAGTTGCAACTAGCCAATCAGAACATTGCAACTGAAGAGCCATGCAGGATTGGGCCGAATGACAAGCAAAATGCACGATCCAGATTCATTCATATCGATGCATGCAACGTTCCTGCAACAAATTTTCCTGATTCGCATGGTAAGCATAAAGGCGCGTTTATCATAAGTCTTCCCTGTGTGAGCCTTGGAACGCTTGCAGCAATAACCAATGAATTACTGGTATATATGAAATATGAACATCTTACCGGTTCTTTTCCATCCATGGCACAAAGCCATTGTTTACGATCGTCTTCGCTCTGCGCTTGAAGTGTTATAGGTTGCGGTCTGGAAAGAATGAGAAGAGATTTTTACTTCCCTAACCATCTAACTTATCATGTGAAATAATTTATACTTAATGAAGCAATCAAATGTGCATTATGCCAGTGTTGGAAAGCTGCAGTGGAAAAAAAACCTGAACTGATCTAATATAATCGGTGAAGTTATACAATAAATTATTGTAGACAGACATCTCAAATAAGGTTGACATAAACATTCCAACAAATCGAACGATGTGTAAAGGCCTATTTAGACTACACGATAAGTTGTATGCAATTATCATTCTGATGACTGCAAGAGGGCCCATACCACATGATTCATTCTATTTTGTTAAATAACCACATTCTCACCACGCTTTGAGAGCTCACATTTGTACAATTGTCAATTTTATCCCTCTTTTAGGATAGCTTAAATCGACTAGTTGCACTGCTGCATGGATTAAGTTTGTTAGTTTAACGACAGCTTTCTATTGTATGTAACGGTGGCGAATTGCCAAACCGTGGAAACAAAACAAAAGAGTGATCTTAGAGCATATGATCATTAACCTTACCTATCCTGAGCCGTTATGTCGAAGCAAAATCTTTTGTCAATAGATTCTGTCATTCTCCTGTAAAGACCAAGGATGTATGAAGAAAGCGTACTTTACATCAACACGGTCAAATCGATTCAAATCGGTCAAATTATACTACAGATAAAACACTAAACCTTCATGGGCTCAGGACATACAGGTGTAAAAAGAAGTTCGTATGATCTCAAGAAGAAAGTTTCATATACTGTCACGAAAATTATGCTTTAGAGTAATGTAGCTACAGCGCAATAGTGCTTTTTGAAAAGTACATAATATGAATACATACAAGTATTCATGTAATTTGCAAATGCAATTTATGCATGCAAGTATACATGTCGAGAATACATATCGTAATTAAATTGCATAAAATTCATCAGAAGATTTGTACAGTATATTTTCCTTGGCACATTTTTCACAAGATTTGTACAGTGCATTTTATTTCCGTCACCCGTTTTCACTCGGTGTAATAAATTAAAAAAGCAATACGTATCATATACACAGTCGTATTCGCTGTGCAAGACGATTTAATACTTATAAATATCATTGCATGCATTGTCCCATTGAATAGGTCTCCCGGTTGTATAAATAAAACCAAAATTAAATATCTAAAGTGAAGGGCAATTCATATAATCAGAGAATCTGCTACGTAAAGAAAATCAAAGTAACTGCTAAAATATTTTGCAAAAAGCAGTCAAAATAAAAAAAAACAGTTAAGTATTACACCGTTATAAATGTACTTGTATCGGCTGACCTTACGATCAGGCTCTTTAGCAGCTGAACTGTTTTTAGATAAATATATAATTCTCATTTGATATAACTTTAATGGCTAAATCTATTCCGTGTATCTCAAGGAATAGCGCAGAATCTTCTGCAGCGATTTTTTTTCGTTGCATTTTACACTTACTGTACAGTAAGTCAGTATGTATGTATACAAACAAGTTTTACCTCACACAGCTTTTCAGTACGACCGTGTCCGTAGAGCCACTCTGAAGAATAAACGAAATCGAAGTCAGTGTAAACGTACAGTCCGTCCGTAAGAGGGTCGTATATACACACAGATTCACGACATTTTCTGGTTTAATGGAAAAAATAAATGTACGGACAAGAGTATCCTCAATAGTTGTACATAAAATTATTGATATGTATCCATGAGATAAATTATTAATCAGATAGAATGGGCGTCAGGTGTTTTATTCCAAACATGTTTTAATTACGGCCTCGCAGGAGCCATGGGGGTAAAATTTCGTTGGCCGCATTTGCTAAACATTAATCTTTAACTTTACGAAAATTCGTTTTTTGTTTCAGACTTTATTCGATCACAAGTGTTGAAGTTAATTCGGCCAACGGTCGATCAAGCTAATCTCTTGTTTCTTGATAAACGATTGTCCTATACTCAAGATTGTAGATAACGAACACAAAACTGTAGTGGAAAAGAATGGAAAGCCAACAAAACTCAACGTTGAATGAAAGCCATGCATGAACATGAGAAATCCAATCAACACAACCCAGTTAAACGATGCTAACAAAAGTTGAATATATCACACCAAAACTATCCTTGAAAAAAGAGCCTCATCTAAGGAGGGCCAATAAAGCACCTCGATAACTCAAAGCCGATACGGGAACTGTAGGAATGTTTTCTTGCTGATTATACGTGCTTAAAATATTCCTGCAAAACACGTGCCATGATGATGATACCGCTGCATGACACATTTTGGGGTGTGCCCCAGTTAAACACTGCCTTCACACGGAGAAGACGAAACATTAACCGGTTTGGAAAAGAAAATTTATGCAAGTTGATAAGCCACCATAATAAATCTCTTTCCCCTATAGGTTAATGCAGGACTGCATGGTAATGCCATATCAGGGCTGGTTACTTATATGCTGATATAAGCGCCCAGTGATAAGCTGTGGAAAGTGTGGAAATTATGGCTCCGGAAAGTTGGAAAATTTGGGTTTTTCGCGCACAATTTCCACGCAAAACTCACACGGCGATATTTTTCACACTTTCCAATATTTCGCATCCAAACTATCCAACACCACTAAATTTTGGGTTGCTCTTTCCAGCTGTACTGATGAAATTTTCTAGTTTTAAATTTAGTTTTAGAATGGTCCAATAATGAAGCCAAGTATTCAAAGACCGTTCACTCGACATTAAGTTTTAAAGAAAACGAACTACTTTGGTTTCCGCTAAGCTGTATGCCCGATCAATTAAATTCGAGTTTGATGAGACCAATTTAACTTCAAACTAACCATTTTTGACTGCGTCTGAACATAAGGAACCATAGTGAAGATCTTGTTTTCTTTTGTGTACATACAGAAATTCTTATTCCACGTGTATCCCAAACCACCTGAAACAAAAAACAAAACTACCAATAAAATCTTAACTATGACAAAGTGACAACGCAGGCATATCGGTGATTACTACTGGTTAGATCAGGCTGATCGGCCTTGGATCGGAGAAGAATTCCAGTCCTCTTATCATGCAGGCTCCTATAAAGGCTGGCTACGAATTTATTTAATCCAATCAAGACGTATGGTCAATTTTAGCAAGGATTAATCAATTCATTAAAATTCTTGTAGCTAGCAAGCGGAGAGGCGTCTCGTTCGAGGAGTGAAACTCCATACACCATAAGCGTTTAGCTTACCTTTTCCTTTCTTTTGTACCATGAGGTATCCTTGTCTGGCGTACATCTTACTGCTTTGAAGCTCGCCAGCTTGCGCTTTCTGCAAAGACACGAAACACAGAGGTCCATTTTTTAAAATAAATTCAGTATTAATTTAAGTAAATTCAGTTCTATTGGCTAACTGGCAACGATGAATTCAATACATCAAATCATTGACCTGCTACAGTACTAGCGAAATAATACGATATTTGTGCGCTAGTTATTGTCAATTCTTATCACTGTAAAGATGTCACATTTTAAATTCGCACTCGCAAGAGACGACTGTAAAGGCCGATCTACACGATGCGATTAGTCGCATACGATTCGTATATATGCTGGCGTATATATTCGAATAAATGCGTATAAAAAAGGCCCATTTTAAATTTCGTTATAAACTGATGAACAGAAAGAGTGGCTTCACCAATCTTTTACATACGTCAGGATAAGAATCGCATACGACTAATCGCATCGTGTAGATCGGCCTTAAGTCACTCTAGGTCTGGCTCGGTCACATGCAGATGGTCATGGATGATCAGTTCTGAACAGTGATCGTACCTTTCTTGTTCTCTCTTGTAGCGACGCTGCTTGTACTTTTGTTATTTCAAACCTATCCCTCGTCTGAAAATGTTAATATCCTGATTAGCCTCGAACATTCAGATGCACTAAGAGTTTTTACACATGAACTTACATTTTGTAGTCGAACTTGAAGATCGACCAATGTATTTTTATGATCTTCAAACACTTCATGGCCTGAAACAAAATGATAAAATTAAGTTAGAGCGGCGTATGCGCGTACCAATGGGTAAGCTATTTTTAATCATCGACTATACCATTACACTATACTGCAAATGCTCGAGGAGTATTATATGGAATTCTACTAAACGTACCACTGTGAAAAAACGTCATTTGACCATATACAAAACCAAGAAGCTAAAAAAGAGAAAAAATATTACAGCAAATACAAACCAAAAGACACTTCGTTCGTGTGCAAAATAAACAAAAGCTTGACAATACAATAAACAATAGCTTGAAATTGAGCCAATCCGGAAAGAGAAAACAGAAACAGTGATACAGGAACGAGGTATCATTGTGTAATTTAATTTATTATACATGTATGGCTTTTCAAAATCCTGTATTCTGATTGGTTGACGAGCGATCCGTAAAAATCGATATCCGGACCGTGGTCCGTATATTCCGTATCTCGACCAGTATTCCGGATGTCTCATGCAGCTCAGCCATACAATAAACAGATTATTGACCTCGCTTGTTCGATCTGTACTGTGAAATATCAGACCGAGGTTTTTGCATGGTAATTTAACTTAAATAACATTAAGTAAGCAGTGGATCTTGAGCGCTGGCATTCCAATAGAATATAAGGCAGACTCATAACTAATGAAGAGACCATTTCCGTAATTAAAAAGTGGAAATACCACGCATTAACACGAAACTCAGGCCCTACGTCTCTTTCCCCCCTTCCATTGCACATACACTGTAGTATTATAGGTTAAAAGAGTGAAGTTATGACATAGCTTATTACTGGAAAAGTCTACTTGGTTCTATTTTCTTTAAAAATATCGAAAGAGTTCAAGAAAGGAAGTAAAACACGTCAAAAAGGAATTACATCATTTTCGACTATACGAAGTTAAAATACAAAAATTTAAGACGAAAATTTCATCATTTATTTGAAAAAAAATACTTACTGTTTCAACAAATTCGAATTTTTTCTTCTCATTGACCTCTTGCAATTTAAACACATAACTTAGAGCTATTTCATAAAAATTATCCCTTTCTGCGATTAATGATTCCTGAGAAAAAAGTGAGGTCAAAATGAACAACGATTTCTCACTATATACACAGTATCGAGTAGAAAAATTAAGACACAAGGGGAAGGGGAAACTGCTCTTGTTTGCATCATTGCTTCTTACATATGAATCATAAGTAACAGTGTAACATTCAGAGATTTTCCACACTTCGCCTCTGAATTTTTAAAGCAAAAAGCCACATTACACCATTTTCCTATCCTGACTTTCTATCCTTTCATTATAGTCAAAAATTATATAATTAAATTGATGGGGTTGACATATAATCCAGCCTTGCATTTTACTTGTCTCTTCCCAATTCAAAAGTAAACCCATTTAATAAGATTTATTTACTTACATACTATGTATTATTCATGAAATATTTACACAGGATAGAAGTTTAAACAGTTAAAACTTTAATATGATTACAACATACCTCTAAATTTGTGATACTACTTTTCTTGGATGAAGTTGCAAGGAAATTTTGTAAACAATTACAATATTTCTCTGTTGACCGGTCAAATTTTCTTTTTTCTTCCTAAATATCAATACATTAAGTTATAAAAATAAAATAAAGTATATATGTCCTTACAGTATATGCCCATGCGCAAATATTGCCACAATATATTCCTTAACAAAATGTAAAGAGGGAACACAGCAGCCTTTGCACATTGGTTCTGACTTCTGATCATAACAATACAAGGCTCTTATCTCAAAAACCTTTGTTTCCATTATAACACACATTTAAAAAATAGAAAAAATATACAGCTATAGAAACATGCCTGGGAGTTAGTGTGGGAAAACACAGGAAAAATGCTTTCTATTTCTTTTATAACATAACTCAATAAAAAGATTTTGTACAAATATTATAATTTGATTAAATACAAATTCTCATTACATTGCTTGCTTGTCAAGTTCGGCTCGTGTTTCCATACAGTTATAGAAACACGCTTCTTGACCAATCAGCATGCGCATACTATAAATTTTATATTATAAAAATAGAATGGAATATATTATCTCAAACATAATCAATATATCATCTCTTGACACAGGCTTCACAGTGTAACATGAGTTCCATCAAATTTCCTTACAATAATTATCTTATTTGAATATTTTTCAGAACAATGATCTTAGAAAATAAAGAAAGTTTATAAACAATTAACAAAGTTTATAAACAATTAACACTGACCCGAGCTTCACCAATTTGATCTTTTCTAAACCTTTCTAATGGATCGATGAGCTGACTTGTTGCATTTTCTACCTGTGATATTCAAAGAGAACTTAATTACCAGTACAAATTTTAAACATGTACTTGAGATTTGGCTTATAAACAGGTGTAAGCAACAATAATTTTTTACCACACGCTTTCTTTCATCATCAATTTGATCAAATAACTGGCTGAAAGTCTCAAAGGCTCTAGCTGTAATAAAAAATCCAAGAAATAAAAATGACAAATTCTCGATAAAAAATGAAAATGAATCTGAAATGAAAATCAGCTTAACATATGGTATTGACAGCAATTTACAATACTGACAATATCGAGTCACAAGCATTCTTAATTTAAAGAAAAAGTGATGCCTAATATATTATGCTGCATATTTTCATTATTGTATACCCTTACCAATTTCCATTTCATCGTCCGTGTCAATTTCACCAATACATTCCAACCTGAACTCTTTCAACACATTGGCAAAATTTCTCTGTGCTTTCGACAACTCTGTTTAAAAAATAATAGATATAATATAAATAAATTCTCATTGCATGACAAATATTAATTATCAGTTTGTAGAAACACAACATGCATTTGTTTCTGGAAAGCTTAGACTTTCGTTAGGCTCCAGCTGATGGACTTTTCAGGAACAAATAAATGTGGCATTCCCACAAACTAAAAATTGAATAGAATCCCTAAGCTGAAGCAAAATGCTGGCAAGGGTACTAATTCCTCCTGGAGATTAGGAATTACACCTATGTGATGTGACAGAGTGTAATGGAATCCAAAGTTATCTAAATATTATGACATGGGAGGTGTCCAGACAGTTGAAGTTGGATGGTTTTGCAAAATATGAACTAATACTGAATCAACAACACCCTGATTAGCCAAAACAAAGGGTTTATACAATAATTTAACTGTCATTTGTGAAACTTTTTTGTAAAAGCATTTTATGACTTTATACACAATAAATGTAAAAAAAATAGTATAAAGGCTGAAATTGCAAATTACCAAGGAAACATGGATACAGGTATCAATAATACATATTATACATATTATTAAAAATATTATTAGACATATTATTATATTATACATATATATGTTATATTATACATATTATACGTTATATTATACATATTATACATATTATTACATATTATTAAAAATATTATTAGCCTTTGTTTTATTTAGTGGGTCATGATATAAATGTTCATTCTGTGTTTTGCACCAAATATATACAATTCCATGAGATTTCTTTACTTCCAGAGGACAGGAAGAGTTCAAAATTATGTGAACCAGTTATAGACCTGGGGCCAGTTGTATAAAAGACTAGTTAACTTTTAACTGTATGCAAAATGTAGTTAAAGAGTTTTATACAACCACCCTCTGTAATCATGCCAAAATGATGCAATTATAAAATCAATTGTTAAAATCACTAAACTGCAGCATGATAATTTTTTTATTAGATTTAAACAATGATGCCCATTTTTTGTTCTCCTAATTACCACTCTATATGAGGCCCCCTGCAGATGAGCATTAGATAGCAAGATGGTTGCTTCATTGACAGAAAGAGGAAGTTCTGCCACTGAATTTAGGGAGAAATGTATTGTATAGTTTATCATGCTTATTACTTATCATGCTTTTGCTTAATGTAGTGAATTTGGCAGCATGAAATTGCGATAAAATGACTCATAATTAAAGAATTTAAAATATCCACTCATTAAAAAATAATGTACTATATAATAAGCTCAAGCGCATATATTATCTGAAAACAGGAAATACACTTGCATAGACTATAGAGCCAAGGATTCCTGTCTGAAAACTATGCATTCATTGCAACAGAATCCTACAAACGGGGTTCTATGAGTGGAAAAAGATATCTGACCATACAATCGTGAAAATACACAAAAATACAGTACGTTTACTATTTGGCTATTTCGAAATATGTATTTTTCTTGCTAGATAATTTTTAAGTCACCTACTGCACTCGACACCGGTAGTTAGTCGAACATTTGAAATCAGATCTGGGTACATACATGAGAACAATCGAACATCGCATACGATATGAAAACAATGAATATCGAGATTTAGCAGAAAACCTACTTAAACTCGGCTACTTCCTTCAATAAATTGAATGTGTACAAATTCAAACAGCGTGAGGTTGGGGGTCAATATATCAAGCATCAGCACAATTTGGCAGCTGTTTATGCGGCCTGTTACCGCGAAAATTTCACAAACGATAAGCAAAATAATTTAACACAAAACACGAGAATACTTCGCTTACGTTCTTGGGCCTTGATCAGCGATTTGCATTCCCTTATGAGCGATTTAATAGCATCATTGGTCCTGTCTAATTCACGTTCATGTTCATGGATGTTCTCGCGAAAGTACGGACTGTCCAATAAAGCTTCCGAAAATTCCAGAGGTTTCAATCCCATGATTTCACTTTTTCTTCGATAGATTTTGATCGCAGTGTCTTACATCGAGGAATCACCAAAGTTTAGTGGGTATCAGAAAACATTGTGGAAAGGTAAAAAGTTTTTATAGTTTGTAGATATCGAGGTAAAAATAATGACCTTTGCAGGCTTTGCTTGCTGCGAGCCAGTGGACTGAGGAGAGAGCGATCTTCGACGACTTCCCGGACGTAGCTTGACGACAAATTCCGGGAGCTTGCTGAGAGTCCAAAGTAGCAGCGGAACTCTCTCTAATCATCAGATTTTCAAGGCAGCAATTTCGTCATTTTCGTGGGCCCAGGGAACGAGATTACAAAGGCTGACTACATAAACACAGTTACATTTTCAACCGAGGATAAAAAGTGTTGATGGAACCCAACAAAAATTTGGCTGCTATATGATGACGTTTTTGGGTACTCCCAAATTTCTTAAATGGATTTAAAAAATTTTAACAACATGAAAAACAGTTTTTTTTAGAATCAATAGACCATTTGAAGAATCAATTCAGCCTAAAAATCAGTAAAGACAGTCGCCGTTACGAGGTCTCACGCTAACGATTTTGAAGAAACGTACCCCAAAAATGGCGGCATATTCGTCTATCTGTCAGTGTCAGTGAGTAGAGCTCACGTGCGTGATAAAGACCAGCGAAAAGAGTTTTGACTTTTGAGGCGTTATATTCTGATACCCCGACAGCCTGACGCCGGCCTGAGTTTAGCTTAGCCTCATATGGTGTGGCATGCAGAGAAATAGTCTTTTTGAGTTTTGTTGAAGTGAGAACGGAAAAATGTATATTTTTATCTCACATACATATTTTTAATTTATCTATTAAAAATTATGTTTTCTTATGAATCAGATGTAATAAAAACTGGCTTTTTTTTAATTTTATTGGTTTAGAAAAACATTGTCATGTTACACTGAATTTTTGGTGCGACGTTCGTTTTTGTTTATATTAATAAACTTCTTCATTGCCACTACAAGACGTCAATCCGTCGTTGACATTGCTAACAGCCAAATTGGCTCCATGCCTATGGCCTATCGTTTTAAAGCAATCCTAGGCTATGTATCTGGAAAGTAAAAACTAGTGAAACACTAGTACTCTTGAAAGATGGGTCCACAACCACAGGTTTAGTGATTGTGCTTATACTACTTTGGGCATTACTGTAGCTTTTTCAATTCTGTTCGCAGCGACATCGTCGGCAGGAAAAGACGGCCTGAGTTCGTTGATCGACGGATGACTTGTTTGCAAATCATCGTCATTGAGCTCGGATGACTCATCGGTCCCAGATGCGTCACATTGGTTGGATACTAAGAGACGGTATCGCTGCTGCCAACACACACGCCAACCAATAACAGTCATAGCATATACCGCCATTGCTAAGAACACTGCTCCGATAAGAAAGAAGTAGAAACCATAAACAATGAACTATATAAACAAAGAAACCATAAAATTCTATAAATACTATGGACTATTTTCAGTCGGACAACTGGGGTCAGACATGTTGTTGACGCGGCTCTTTTTAATTTTTAATTATTAGTACAAACATTCAGCGATTTAACCTCCGCAGTCTACAGAAGTAAAACTAACCTTAAATTCAAAGGTCAAAACGATTTTTACTAATAATCACGTTTTGCAAAAGTCATGGACAAGCTCCCTCGCGCTGCATTTGGGTATATATTACTTAAAATCAAATATACCATATTCTATACACCATATTTTGCAAAAATATATCATATTTGTAGCAATTTAATTGGGAATATATCACCCACACCCTAATAGATACAACTATGAATGAAGCAACATAAAACTAACAGAACGAGAGCCATGAAGATTGAAGAATGTCCATGCTTGAAGTATAACATAATATACCTGCCCAAAATACAAATTACCTGTTTCTTTGCTGGAAGAGCCAAGCCATGCTTCTCTGCAACAATTGTGGTAAGAATAGTTTGAAACACCAACGCCGCAAACATATTACAACCAAAGACCAAACCAAATCTATTCATTTCTGTCATTCGGGCTATTTGAAAACTAATAAAACACCAATTTAAATGACTTAACAGATGCTAATTCATGAGTGTACTTAAAATTACATCTAATTATTGTAATAAATTGCATAAATAGCAACTACAGCGTGTCAATGATAACCTACTTCTTCTTTTCGTCTCATATGTACCAGAATGTTTATAATTGCCTTGGTCCTTATCTAGATGAATTGTCACTTAGTTTGCTCAAGCAGAAAAGGCTGCAGGTAATATTGCACACACAACTACTACTTACCTTGCAATAGTTATGAGAAATGTGTATATGATTCGAAATAGAACATAACTGCAATATGCCACCCAGATATTGCTTGTACTAGCCATAAGAAACAATAGAAAGCAGTCAATGATGGAGAAAACTCCTAGGCACAATTCTCCCCAGATTGTCCAGTTGATTTTTGTGAATGCCAATAAGACTGCTATAGTGGATGATAACAAATGTGTCACTGCTGTAACACCACCATTGTAAATCCTATGGTTATGGGAAGGCCGGATCTCATCCCAAAGATTTTGAACATAATTTTCCACCTGTAGCTCACCACAAGTTGCCACAGCCCACCACAATGACCAACGTAACAATAATCGCCCAGAGTAACACTTTCTGAATCCATGCCAGAAGTCAAGAAAATATACTTTCCATTGCAGCCTTAGCCTTGTAAACCATGTATGGTTTCCACGTGGGGTACTATTAAATGCATCTGCGGAACTTTGCACACTGGGCAATACCAAAGAAAACAAAAAGGCAACAATGACACTGGCAAAAGATATATAGTTCAATGTTAAATAGCCAGCCCACTCTAGTGAGATCAGTAACTGGGCCATTATGCCAGCCATCATCCGGCCAACCAAGATGGCTGCTCTTGTGAAACTAGTCACTTTCCGGTAATGTTCAGCAGTCACTGCAGCATAAATGTAGGAATAATAAGCTACCTCTGCTCCAATTGCAATACCATACGCAACCTGCATGAGTTGCATGGACAAGACACTTGTGCCCCAAATTAGCAACACCCGAGTGGCAAGATATGCCAAAGCTTCCGCAATTATAACTGGTTTGTACCGAAGGAAATCTGTCACAAAGAAAACGAGGAACAACGCTACGAGATTGGCGTAGGTTGAAACTGGATAAATCTCGTTCACTAGCTGTTCGTCTGTAAAGTTTTTTGGTGCTTCACGCAGATATGGAGTGAGGAATGACTCCGAAGGTTTCATCTCTTTGAAGAAGCCATACAAGCAAAGTAATATAGTTTGATACTGCCACATTCTTTCTGTAATACAGGTCACAAATATTCTTTTCCTCTACTTTAAATGCTTTACTTTAAATGCTATTTAAACCAAATTTCCAAACAAAATTTATCGAAAATCAAAACTCAAGTTTGTCACAAGAGAGATCACGAGGCATCAATGTTATTGTTTTTCCATGGATAATAAACAGATTATACCCAATGAGCTATATAATAATTCCTATATAGCTCAGTGATTATACCACTCTAAACTTCCACTTTCAAATTTGAAATTTTCATTAGGTAAGGCTGTAATTTCCATCTAAAAGCTAATTTACTAATATATTTCGTTTTTAAGCATATTTGTTTTCGAGCAATAAAAAATTCAAAAATATAATTTAATGGAAACGAAGATGGTGCGATCACACCGTGACCATTAGCTTCAACTGGGCCGCATATAACTAGCTGATGGCGAGGTATAGTGCTCCTCCTTTGCTCAATGAACTCTATACCTGTGATATTTTATTGTCAGCAAAAATATTGATATTATTAGGTTAAAGCTACAAATAAGATTCAATTTTTTGCGTTTTAGACAAGAAAATTAATCGTCAAGTTAACTTATATAATTTGATGTAAAATCCTTTGAAAAAAGATTAAGTAAAATAAAATAGTGTAGTAATTCGCCACAAGTTTTGCTGGTCTAGTGGCGAAAGCTTTCCCATGTTTCAAACTGGGGGTTCGAGTCCAAGCATGCATGATGCATGTCCGCTTTTTATTACGTCTTTGGAGAAAAGGATAAAGTAAATCAAATAACAATGGCCATTCAGCACATGATCTCGTAGTCTAGTGGTGACGATGGTGTCCCAAGTGGTAAATCGATGGTTCGAATTCATTGGTAAAGCATTCGATACCCGATTGCAACTGGGGAGCAAATGAAAAAGCGTACAGACTCCCAAACTGGAGGCGTAGTTCTGTTGCAGTTCACTATTGTTCGTTTTAGCAAACTCGAAAATCCGGAAATCTACATCCTGCAGTCTGCAGAACTACCAAATTCTACCAAATCACGCTACCAGAACAAATATTTGTATTTATAATTTTATATACGATATAGCTTCAGTATATTTATCGGTCCGCGAATACAATGCATTATTGCAATAATGTATCATGATTTTCCATATTCGTACAGTGTATTTAAAATGTACACAATTCATCCTATATGCAGATATGGATGCTATGTTTTAGTTAGGTTTCATGTGTTGCATGAGAGAGGGATAAAAGTAAATGGGATTGACATTCAGGCTCATAAAATACCGGTGGTTGAGGATAAAGCATGCAAATTGAGAGAATATAGAATAATCGTGATCGTTTTTATTTTGCAAATACGAAATGAGATAGCTGGTCGTTCTTTCCTACATATAATGCAGTGGATATGCCCAGAAACGTCAAAATATTATGGAGAGCTGCATTTTAGACTGTAACTCATCAACACACATGCATTGCGTTGGTCACGTCCCTTGCCTGTCCTCTGTACATTTTATCCCTGAATTTTGTCAAACGGTGATTAATCATTTTTTTTGTTTATCCTAATACAATAGGATGAGGATAGAGTAGCTATCATAAAAAATTTTAGAAAATATATAGTTAACCGAAACAAGATATGATGCATAGAAAAAAATATTTACATAACTTACAGTAAGGAAATAGGGAAGATGACACCCAACTTTCTGAAAGACAAGGTTTTCGTGAACCATGCATGCATGGCGAGGTCAACTTGTCCTGCTTCACCAACCGACATCCAGGGATTAATTCAACGCTAAGAACTTTCACAGAAATTTTCAATAATTAAACAACATCCGTACTGCCGTACGTTGCTCTCTCTCTAACATTATCGGCTCCATGATTTGTTGCCGAACTTTCTTGGTCAATACCTAATTTATCCGCCTGAATACTTGTGTTGCTCGCGACAACAGTTGGTGTATCACTGGCGGTTGGCCCTTCGTCATTTATTGTTGCTACATTGTTGTCACTAGCTGCACTTGACGAACTGCTACCAGTTGTCTGAGTAAACGTGTACTCTGTAATAAGGTGAGTTGTTCCATGCGTCCTCTGAAACACAGCGTCCTGAAAGAAGCAATCAAACTCTAAATATTTCATATCAAAGTTTGAATACTTGCAATACCCGTATTTCTAGCCTCCCAGCAAAGGGAAAAGGGGAGTGTGGAGTGTAGGAGACAGGGAGACATTCCATAATGTATTTTCCTATAGATTTCCTCGCACAGGGATGGATTGGTGAGCAGAGAGAAACAAAGAACTTTTGAAAAGAATGAATAATTCATCCAATTAATAATGACCCCTCCCCCATAGTGGAGCTCTTTTCTAAGGAAATTTCCTTAGAAATGGAAATCCAGGACTAAAAGGAGAGAAGAAGGTAAGAAATGTAGCGAGGTGCATCAAGTACAGTAGTGTATGATACAATATCAGTAATCAATCCCTACCTTTACAGCAGACCAAGTCAAAAGTCTCAATGTCTCTCGGTCAAATGCGAATACTAAAGCGTTAAGTGCACCTGCAGAGTAAGTACAGAGCAAAAATTAGGAAAATATCATAAATATTATTTAGAGAATCAAATATGAGCGTTCAGATAAAAATTTCTCAAATTGGATTGATTAGAAACTATGCAACTAGCTTTATACTCCACTTCCGTTATAGTAAAATACGTTATTTAGTTCACTACCCACCATTTAGAGGAGAACATATGGTGTGTAACAACAACAACCAAAACAATCGATTATCATTAAACGCGTTTTGAATCCTAAGAAATACAAAACCACTGCCATATCAGTAATGTAGCTAATAGTTAACTTATAAATTGTTCAATGTATTCTGTCCCAGTCGCTCAATGATGTATACTACCAAACATGACATTACAAGAAACGAATAGCCTATAAGAAATATGTCCTATATAGTGTCAGTCATGCACGAAGGCTATTTTTTTGAAATTATATTAATTCTATATACGATTATAACTGAACTTGAATTTATTGTACAAAGGTGTACTACATACAGGTTGGTGGCCAACAGTAAAGCAAATATATAGAAATATTTGAAGGTATACTAACCTATTAATCGAAGGAAAGACAGCCAGAGCCATGTACACTACAGGATAAGCTCTCAGAAGTTTGATATCTTTTTTCAACATTTCCTGCAAAACATGTCAATAAGTCTTGCTTGAATTGAGAGAGAAAACTTTACAAATCAATCTGACTGGTAATTTACAGATATATTTGCTCTTGTTACATGAATACAATCATGTATTATGAGTTAACTGTGGTACACAAAATTTACCTTCTGTCTCTCATCTTCAGCTCGGTAAGTTCCTTCCCACCGACTCACCTATATAGTTTCATGAATATTACTCATATATCCGGGATAACTTTCTCCATGTAAACAGGTTCTTAGGATAAAACTATATTACCTCTCTTCGGAGTTTGACAACAATGTAAATATAGGTGATCAGCATCACAGCAAGTAAACACCACATCGGGATATACCATCTATATGATTATAATATACTAAATCAGGGAAAATATTGCATGCACATGCAGAAAGGCAATATTGCACACAATTATATGGACGTAAACTTCGTCCTCATTTGCTCCGCCCAGTCCTTAGAAATGACCCTATATAAATCTACTACTACCAAAAGAACCGTTTTGGTCCTATAAATACTGTGACAGAATCCTTTGTTCTTCTAATAATCTACCTACAAGTAATACAGTTGATAAAAGAAAAAAAATAGAAAGAAGCTGATCCGTTAAGTAAGTCCGGTGAAAATATGGGTATCACATACATAGTAAAACGCCATATTTGACTACGAGAGCTGTCAGCATCGATCCAACTAAAAAAAAATTCATGTGTGCTCGTCATAACCTTTTGGAATCACTGAATGTGTCATAAAACTGTGAAAAATGGGAAGCTATAGACAGTATAATGAACGATATTCATGAATATGAGAATATGAGGGCAGAGGGCAGGTTGTCAACTTACCACCAAACACCAGCGGGTCCGTAGTGGTCACCAATGAACGGAAGACAAGCAAATATTAAAGGCACTCCCCATGATATTATATGATAAAAACTACGAAGAAAATAATGTGCCTAACGTCAGCTGGACGTGAATACTCATTGATATGCAAAGTTTCAATTTCTGGCAATATATGATGGAAACAGGAATGGAATATAGACAGCTAATTCAGATTGCATCGCTATAAATAATTATATTTTTATGGAATATACACAAAGGAGGTCTTGTGTCGACCACCGTGATTTTAGTGACTGTATGCATGCTAGCTAACGATGCACTTCCATGTGATGAGTATTATAGTATACTAAATTACATACATTTCATAGCGTTCGGTTTGTACATCTTTTATTGCATTTTGATAGAGGTTGAAGGTAATACAACAAGCCCATAACAGTACGGACCAATCTAGACATATTAAGTGAATTGCGCAAATCAACGAAGCATATGCACAACCTATACATACAGGAATGACGTCGTGTATGGGATGAGTTTAGGGAATATCAGTGAACTAGGGAATGTATGAAATTAGAGAATTTAAAGAATATTTGAGAGAATATTTGAAATTTGTGTAATGCTCACCAAATCACACGTGGACAATGAAAATGAAACGAGGTGAGATGTCTAATAATTTGGGATGTTAGGGGAAGATTGCTATTAATAGCAGTTGAAACATAAATCTCTAGAGAAAGAACTAATGAATTAATCGAATACCAAAACATACATACCAAAAAAGGATAACCACCAAGCTTGAAATTCACACAAGGTACCATCAGGTACAAAACCAGGCTTTTTGGAAATAAAAGTATTGCTGGATATAAATTCATTTTATTACGCCAAAATGTGTAGCAAGAAGTAAATAAACTTACCATCAAAAATGCAATACTATCCAAAAAGGCTGCTATACTTAAATACAGGATTAGGCGCTGAAATTTAAAATCAGGTCGTTTCATTTTAGACTTTTATGAACAAAGGTATTTATAGCATATTTTAGTAGAGCTTTGCGCAAGAAGGTATTCATAATCATAGAAAACATTTTTATTATTTTGATCCTTATTTTTAACGGTTTCGATAGAGGGATAGAACAAATTAATAATAAGAGAAAAAGAACAGTAAATAAAGATAAGAAAGGAATGAAAAAGAAATGGTGACAAAATGTAAAATATATTTATCGCTATCGCGCATGCATAAGAACGTTAATTGACAATCCTGAGTCCTGTCTGTCCTGACAATTTAGTTTGCTAACAAGCTGCATGACAATGACATTTAATTACATTTCCACGCAATGTTTTATTTCCACACGAAAATTTGGCATATAAATAAAATTACAATAAAACAATATTAATATATCATCCTCTGTTACATATTTCAAAATTTAAACCCAAAGCATATACTCCAGCTATATGTAATTTCACACTGTCGCCTCACATGACTTGCTTATTTGCTTATGACGATCAATGATCTACTGTATATACAATATACCTGCGTAAATATTTGATACTTCTTGAATAACCATATAACAACTATTATGAAAAGACTAAAAATAAATTTTAAAAACGATGTCATTTATAGTTATAGCTCACGTTGAATTACCAACGCCAGTTTGAAAAAGTATAAATGCATATATATCTTACCATCCAATGAATGAGAGCGAACCCATTGTTTTTCTTACTATGACAATAATGTCCTATATATGTGGAATAGGAAGAAAATATACATTATATAGGTAGGACGTAATAACAATACACATGTATAACTGTATGTATTAATAATGAATGCAAATAATGAATGCAAGTCTGACTATAATTTACGCATGAGTATAGCAGTGGTGAATGATCAGTTGGGACGCTATTCAGGGAACTGATTTTTTTGAGCACCAAGCTATAGAAAGGTCCGGGATATCTCAGCATTTTCTCCCTATACTTTAGTAAGACTTAAATTGTTAACCTTCCCGTGTCATTGAATCTGGACAAATATATTAGCTACAACGCCCTTCGCTGTTTACATCACAAGCACTGAAATCGTCAGAATGTTACAATTATAGGAGAGGAAAGGAAGGAATGAAACAGTAGCAGACAGTAACATTAGTAACTATATCAAGTGCTTGGGGTGGATCTTATGTAGCAAGATTAATTTGAGCGATTAATAACTTCTAACCTTCACGAGTAAGATTTCATCAAGAAGTACTTGACGATGGAATGTTGAAATCAGAAATAGAAAAGGTATGTTTTGGTTTATACATTTGTGAGAAAGTATGAGAAAAGAAAAAAAATGACACTTGTATTTAAAGTAAGATTTCCGCCTGCCTAGTGTATTAGTATGTATCAATGTTACTAATCCCTAAACAATGCATAATTCCTAATGTAAACACGTACAGTTTACATGCAGTTTACACGTACAGCTATATATCAAGCGCTAGGCCTGGGATAATGCATTACATGTATATTACGTTGCCGTTGGCAATGACAGTCCCAACCACTGAGTGGTCCCAACCTCGTACCCAGGGTCTTTACCCTGGGTACGAGGTTGTGACAGTCCTGTACTCGAGTGATTATATATGTATCGGCCAAATCGGACACATGGCTGACAACTGCTGAAATGAACATTTTTCTCCGTGAAAATGCACTTTGGCCCACTTTTACACTAAATCTACCAGTAATATCCATCCTTTCAAAACATTAAGAGTGGATTCAAGCAAAGGAGGAGATTATGAAGATTTAGGATTTTTCCGTACGATTTAGCAATTATCATCATTCTTTACTTTCGGTTGACATCAAAACAATGAAGGTGCCGCGGCTATGAATTTATCACCTCTTATTTTCATAAGTCTGTATGGCGTTTTATTCGACACTTAGACTGGTGTTGCTTTAATTAGAATCTTAAATTTCTTCAAGATTCAAACAGTCCCACAGGCAGAGAGGGAAAAAAGCAACTTAAGTTAAGCGGTGCTTAGGCATTCCAGGTAGCTTTGCACTTTTTCAAACAGGAAAAAGAAAATCTAAAATTGGCAACAAAATACCTTTTGAAGAGGGATCACAACATTAATCTTTGTTTTAATAAAAAAAAATACATGATATGGTACACATAGCAAGTCTTTTCTATACCTTTATGGCCCTTTATTCTGTTCTACAATCTATACATTTACTTCAACTTAATAATCCAAACATAAGTTCATATACTTCTTTCAAACATTTATTACACATGCCCTATTTGGAACTGGTTATCTCAGCTAGATGGAAAAAAACCTGGATGGATAAAATTCAACTTCATTCTTTGAATTAAAATGGGAGTGTGTCAAAAACCTGAAGGTTTTCCCAATACTACACTATCACCTAAGCAATAAGTAGCTAGCTATTTTACAAGATTTCGCAAATAAAACAGTTGCACTAAATATATCACTCTAACAGAGTACAACGAGAGAGTAATGTATGGAATACAGATGCTGCAAATTTCATGAGTTTATTAATGCACAAAATCTCTTCCTACTGTAAACTCATTAATTGGTACAGCATTCCCTTTAGTCAATGTTTCTCTTTCCCTCTTGCATGCACTTTGCAATAATGTAGGAAAGTTGCCTGTAATTTGGACCCCTAGAGCTAGTCAAGTGGATACCTATATATCAACATCCTTCATATCAGGAAACATCAAATACATGTTTCTGGTAGCATGTCTTAGAAAAATACATGTTTTTGGTAGCATGTCTTATAAAGAGAGAGGACTTAAAGGAATGATGTACTTTATAGGTAAATTCACTAATTCAGACATATTGAAATGATATTCAAACTCATTTGACAAATTTTGCAATTGTATAAATCTAAGCAATTTACAATTGTTTTATATGCCTGATGTTTATGAACAGTACGAAAAAACTGCAGAAATGGTTTGACACAAATAACACAACGATCTTTGAACGAAATATATATTCGGCCAAATTATGGCTCCTTAATTAAAACAGGAAATAGAAGCAGGCAAGAAACCTGGCAAAAACAAGCACAGTTATTTAATAAATAACTACATATAAATATTTCAACGGTGTCGATTGGCAAGTAAGATTAACCACACAAAACACACATTTAACTGCTCAGTATAAACAAAAATATTGTAACAAATCTAACAGGTCGATGTAGCAAATTATTTCTCACGGATACGAATTAAAATTACGCAACTATCGATCATGAACAAGTCACTAAAATTTCGAATATGTATCTAGCATTATTCATATATCAGTCACTTACACATGAATGTGGATCGTCTGGAAATAAAGTACAATTCCTTAATACCATATTGCCGAGAGATATATCTAGCACGTAACACGGAAACAGATCAAAATTTCGGAGTCAAAAGACTCAAAACTGACAGGGTTTTCTGTCATCAAATAATATGTATTGAAAGTTGAAATATTTTTGCACAGGGGACCCAAGCACGATCGGTTATTTCAGATCAGTGTCAACAGCCAACTTCATTTCATGACGTCATTTGTCACTGCTGTTGAATAGGAAAGTCAAGAGGTAAGATGTCAAAAGTCAACCTCCAAAAACGTTCTGGTGATCCGCCCGAGGTCGGCCAACAGCCACCACAACTCCAATACAGCGACCAATCCCCAAAGCATATCTACGACGCTTTTCATACCTGGCTTTTCGACCCGAAGACCTTCCCAAATGCAGAGAAAAAACCTACATTAATTTCCGTCCCCACGTCCGAATCGCTTTTCCTGAAGCCCGGAATAACTGCTGCAAACGAGGACGCTTTCATGCCTCCCGAGGGTAGCCGAGAGTTTGCTCATCTTCACGAAGACGGTAGTTGCCATATTGTTGTTAGTACTGAAGTTGAAAATGAGGTACTTGCTAACAAATGGGGTGTTCGGCATATGTATTACGAACGCGGGGTGAAGGAAATTCTAATCTATGCTCCCAGGAACGAAGAGGAAATTGAGGTCCTTAAAAAAATTCTTCGCGAGTCGTATAAATACGCAAATGGCGCATGAACAATGAAACACTGTCATTGTATACTGTCGCGATACACTGCGACCTTTCTAAGAATCATGATTTCTGAATTGGTCATGTCTATTTTTTTATAATTATATATCTCTTCTGTCATAATAAAATTCTATATGTATATATATATCGTTCAATGTGTCCCTGACGGCTGATCCGGTTGGTGTAGATTGCAGAAGTATTTTGAACTTTGATAGGGCAGCCATTTTGTTTTGCATAATTATTGTTGCAAATTAGCATGTCAGTATATGCAGATTAGCAGCTCAGCTTAGTCGTATACGATTAGTGTTGTATTTATTTTTAATGTTTTATGTTAATCTTTTACCTTTTAAATCTTTCGATTGATTAAGAAAGGACTTTCACATTCGGATAAAAGAATTTCTATGTCATGCACACAAACTGTGCATGAATGTCTGTAAATTTATTATCCGATCGACGAATAATAAATTTCTGAAGTCATTCATAATTATATAATTAACAATTACTGAATGAAGCTGAACATGATAATCATGTGATATGTAAGGCTATGTGCACAGGGTAACGTTTTCAGTGCATTCGTTTTCATGCCAAAACGGTTTCAAATACCGTCATTTTACATTAGAAGTTGAAGCTAATTTAACATATTTAGCATATTTTTCCTTGGACAAAAAGATTTTGAAAACGCTCGAAAACGACGCTCGTGTGCACACAGGCACAGCCTTAGTTCTTTCTCGCCCTGGCAGCTCGTCCAATTTTAACAAAATTTGCAAACATCACTCGTATTATTAATAATCCCGAATGGCCGAATTGTACTCGCTATCGCATGGCTACCTTTACAGGGCCCCCCTGATTTTTCAGTACGTGAAGCGTGAATGGCTGTTTCGAGATGTCTGCGTTTAAGGAGACAGCAAGCCAAAAGCTGCTCGTCAAGGGCCTAAGACGGGCTGCTAAAACAAGTACGCGTCTATTTTGTGTCTATTTCACATGCACGAGGATCAGAGAAGTTGAAACGATTGATCGGTCCACCATCGTATGCATGCTATTTTAACTGAATACTGTTTACAACTTTAACGCAATTTTTCTCCTGTAGTATTTGAGTTTTACGCAAACCTCCACAGACGAAAGTAATATGGTGTGAAATTGTTCCGTCGTAAGGACAAACTGCTTGTATTATATGAAATGAATTAACAACGATTAATAAAGTTTTATTAAATGTTTGTGATGTACACCATGCAATTTATTTATTTCTAAGCTATAATATATATAATAATAATATATATAATATACTATATATATAGTATAATCGATAATATATATAGCATCAGGGTTGCTATCTCTGAACAGAAAATATATGATAATTTAAACAATTATCATACATTTCGTGTGTATTGTCATTTCTGATCATGGTCAGAATCACCAGTTCGTTTTCAATATTTTGCAATTTGCCGCAGTCATTTAAATATCGGCAAGAATCTAGTTTTAAATGCGTCTTTAATTTATTGATGATAATGTACCAGTTAGGCCTTACAGCTTATTTATTGAATTATTTTTCTCATTAACAATGTACCCTTGAATTTCTACCCCAGTCCCTGATATTTTTATGTTTTTTGCAGGTGTGAACTGTCAAAACCACATCTCAAGGAATCAAGTCAACACCAGAGTCAGAACTGAGGCGTGCATTTACGGGCAGACGGAGCAGTATAGAAGCGACTGTCGTTTATATTCCCACAAATCAACAACTCCCCGACTTGGCTTCATACGGAATTGTTTCAAATTATGGTCAGAGGTATTTCTATTAGATGTCGGTTCACATGGCGATCTGGAAATACAAGGTCTCGAAAAAGATGGTCCGTTAGAGAGTTTGTGCCTCTTTCTCTGGCGTTGACTTGATTCGGTCGTCCTGATATAGCATCAGACATTTCGACATTTTGCTGACGACGATAATATATATATCGATTTAATTCGATAATATATATAATCGATACACGACAATTACACGACAACGAACGGCACATTTTGGAACCTTCGACGAAACCTTGTACCGCTGACCGAAAATACAGTAAAAATTCAGTAAAACTTCGACATCATACGAACATATGACAATCGGACATATTTACTTTGTTGTGAATACTTTGAGGTCAAATATCACGGTCGTTAGCGACGCTCGTTTACATTTATTTAGCCTTGGAGAGAGAACACTATCTCCTTTTGTGTAGTAACAGAGAATTCGTGCAAAACCTGAGATAAAGAGAACAGATTCACAAAATGTCAAAACTAAATCTTACAAAACGACTTGGGGAACCGCCAGAGGTTTCAAAAGAGCCGCCACAAATGCAATATACCGACCAAGCTCCAAAGCATATCTACGATGCTCTTCATGCTTGGCTCTTCGACCCGACGACCTTTCCTAATGCCGAGAAGAGGCCCTCGCTGGTTGCAGATTCAACTGTTGAATCGCTCTTTTTGAAGCCTGAAATACCCGTGGCACATGATGATTGGCCGTTTAAACAAAAGGGAGCGGAGAGCCACGAGTTCGCCCATCTTCACAGTGAGGGCAGTTGCCATGTCATTGTTAGCGCCGAGATAATAGAGGAAGTTATCGCCAGCAACCGGGGAATTCGTCACATGTTTTATTACAGTCATGGAATCAAGGAAACCTTTCTTTATGCGCCAAGAAATGAGGAGGAAATCGAAGTCGTAAAGAAGATTGTGCAGGAGGCGTATAAATACGCCATTGGCGCATGATTGATATTTGCATGTGATACCATCAGCAAACTAGAATCAAGCATAGTTTATCAATTTTTAAGTATATATAATAATGGGGATTTGCCAATAAAAAATACCAAAAGTAATGTGCGAGTGGTTCCCTGTGTTTACATGTAATGTAATCCTAATATATATATATATATATATATATATATATATATATATATATATATATATATATATATATATATACACCCATTTGCAAAAACGTTGTCCGCAGATAGATATATAGATAGATGATTGAAACCCCATGCAAATGTATCATATGCAATTCTAATTAGACTTCGAGTATCTATCTATCTATCTATATAATATATATATATATATATATATATATATATATATATATATATATATATATATATATATATATATATATATATATATACTGTATACTTAAACAATATCTAGTCGCCGGGCAAGTTTTCCTCCACAAGAAGCCTTGTTCAAAAGCTAGTCATGCCCGCTTTTCAACAAGGAAAAATGCTCGTGTGTACGGCCGTGAAGGAATAGGGAAAGTATAGGGAACCGCGTAACAATCTTCGAGCCAATCGGGCTGTGTTTTGAAGTTTTTCAATTTCTGTTTGTTTTGACATTTTATCATAAGGAGTATATTATCGTAAAATATACTCATACTATCGTAAAACTTGTCAAGAAAAATTTGTCGCGTACACACGAGCAAATAAAACTTGACAAGGAAAACTTGTCAACGAAAACTTGTTCATCATACACACCAGCAAGTGAACTGGTCAAGAAAACTTCTGTACGGGGCTTAAACCCATAATTTTGCAAACAAATAGTTGCCCTCCACCACAAATATGTGATAAAACTAGAAAAGAACTCCACAAAATTTTGGCAAATCTGCATGTGTTTTAAACTTTGTATAGACGAGACTTTCGCTCAAAAAACCCAAAACCATTGAAATCACTCATTACAATGTAATAGCTGCCTTTATTAGCTGGAGCTTGCATGCCTAATTATGCACCCTGTTGCCCAACTTTATTAATTCCCAGAGGCCGACGATCTTTTGTTATTGAATAGAAGCGAACATATATGAATACTAAGTGTTTCAGATATTTATAAAAACTCGGCTGCATGTCAACAAACACGTCACGTTCCCCCCTTCCCCCGTACACAATATTTACGCGATATATCCCGTGAAATACCTCGGATCTTCGCCTGCTTCAACGATATCGCTAATATTTTCAAAAAATGTTGTTGTAACGACATAGTCACTTTGAAAGTATTTGGACTCATTGATGTATCGCATGTAACGATCTTTCTCCTGTGCAGACAACTTTAGAAAAATTTCTCCGCGTCAACGTTTTCTTTTTGGTACAGTTGACACCACGATAACCCAATTCGCACTTGCTGCAATCGTAACCGCCGTAGTTTCCTTTGCATTTGCAGATTATGTTGTAAAGAGCTCCTGGTCAGTTATGTCGTTCGTCGTCAATCTGAAACGGCCCAAAATGAGTGTAACTGTAATTCCAATTACGGATGATCAATTCCTCGCAGGTTCCTCGGTCCCCGTCACGTTTGGAAAAATGTTTTGGGATTGGACAATATGTCTTGCTTTTCAAGCTTGCAAGGGTTGTATAAATTCTAGGGAACTGGCCTTATCTAGCTGGTTATAAGTGTCTAAATGCGGATCTCTTCAAGCCTTTGAATGGTCGACGAGAATAACTTGTGACTAAAATATTATAGTGTATTAACTTCTTATTCAACAGAACGCGAGGTCTTTACCGAGAAATATCGGACCGAGGTCTTTTTGAACACCCGACAAGTTAAATTGGCAAATTTAAAAATTTTAATTCGAAAAGTCTAAGAAAAAATCCTGAATGCGTTAACTCTGATTAACATTGGGCAATAATGGGCAAATGGACTAGATTTTTTGAGACTCCAGGCACAATGTGTAAAGTGCAAAATTCGGGCAAGAAAGTTCGACCTTGCCCTTTGCTGTTTCCCGGAAACTTCCTAAATTACCTTGATTAGGTGCACACAATTCAAAAAAATACTGGCCCTGCACTTAAAAAATAGATATCTCGTGGTTTCCATGAAACGCCGTTAGCAACGAAAAGTTATAAATCCGGGAATCGGTGCATTCAGGAACCCGAGAATTGGGAATCGAAGAGACAGGAAATCTATGTAAGGAAAGTCTTTACCACCTGGTGATACACATGTCAAACAAAGACTGACGTTTGTCAGTCGACATGACCAATTTCGACTATGTAAAATCGGCATCGGTGTTTTGCATAATTTACCGGCTGCAAATGCGAAACATTGTTTAAATAGCTTCATTATTTCTTCAAGTTTGCCAGCATCATATTGAATAAACAAACTTTAAAGTTTGTTTAACGTATCCAAACATTTGCTCTATGAAATTAGAATAAGTCTAACGCCTGTATTCTAAAACCTCACTCACACTCAAACTCATTGAGTGTGAGATCTTAATCATAACGTTTGAATGGCGGTATTTCCAGCCGAATAGGGGCTTGATTTTCAGTGATTTACCTTATAAATATCTTTCCATCTATTCAGAGAAAACTTTCTCATTGATCAGCATTAACAAAATTTATATGTCACACTCAGTGAGTGTGAGTGTGAGTGTGATTGTGAGTGTGAGTGAGCTGTTTGAATACAGACGTAAGAGTCTAAAACCTAAACTAAGTAGGACGGAATCACGGAAACTGAAGAGTTAGTTCCGGCACGACATTTGCGAACAATCAAAGTGTAAATAGTATCGAAGAGCATTGTTTAGACATACAAGCACACATTAACAACACTATGTAAACAAATTATTGTTTCCTGAACAGGAAAATGCATTTGTAACGCCTACGGAGGATCGAAGCCAAGTAGAAAATCGTAAAAATCACCAAATTAATGCTTCGTTCACAGTACATGTAGTGTGTATAAAAAAATGCAACCTACATATAACCAAATCAATTCTCCTACTTAATTTAATTTCATATGTTTGGATATGTTAAACAAACGTTTGTTTATTCAATTTGATGCATGCTCGCATATAGTTGAAGAAATAATGAAGCTTTTTAAACAAAGTTTCACATTTGCAGTAAATTATGCAAAAACGCCAATTTTACATAGAATTAGTCATGATTCAGTAACATGCATGTTACAGACTTACAGCCAATATACTGTTATTTTGAGGCATCAGTGTCAGTCTTTGTTTGAAGTGTGTGGTAAGGACTTCCCTTATGTGGATTTCCTGTATCTTCGATTCCCAATTCTCGGGTTCCTGATACACCGAATCCTGGATTTACAACTTTTCGTTACTGACCGCGTTTCATGAAAACCACGAGACACGCGTCAAAGTATCAATAGCATAGCTCTGCAGTTTTTAAGTGACTGATTTAAGATGCGACAGAAAGAGACCCAAGCTAGGAACGAATATTGCACACTTTAATTAGCTACTTCATTCATCTTGTATGACTCACCCACGTGAGATATCATTCACGCTGGCCAGTATTTCTTTGAATCCACGTCCGGTCATATGCCTATCATATTATGCCAATCCATTTTTTAAAACAAAGGATTTCTGTAAGAGTTTGAGATATGATATAACCATTTAGGCATATAAAAGCTTCACACAAGTTATTCTAGTCGACCATTCAAAGGCTTGAAGAGATCCGCATTTGGACACGTATAACCAGATGAACATCATGAAAGCCATTCTGTGCTTTCTACTTGTTGCTGCTGTCCTTCCGTGGACTGAAGGCCAGTTTCCTAGAGTTTGTACCACCTTTGCAAGCTTGAAGAACAAGACATGTTGTCCAATCCCAAAACATTTTTCCAAACCATGTGGTAGTGACGGGGACCGAGGAACTTGCGAGGAATTGGTCATCCGTAATTGGAATTACAGTTACAGTCATTTTGAACCGTTTCAGATCGACGACGAACGACATAACTGGCCCGGAGCTCTTTATAACAAAATCTGCAAATGCAAAGGAAACTACGGCGGCTACGATTGCGGCAAGTGCGAGTTCGGTTACCGTGGCGTCAACTGTACGAAAAAGAAAACGTTGACGCGGAGAAATTTTCTAAAGTTGTCTGCAACGGAGAAAGATCGTTACATGCGATACATCAATGAGTCCAAATACTTTCAAAGTGACTATGTCGTTACAACCACATTTTTTGAAAATATCAGCGATATCGTTGAAGCAGGCGAAGATCCGAGCGGGCTGTTTCACAACATCAGTAGCTACGATCTTTTTACGTGGCTGCATTACGATTCGACACGCGATACCATTTACCCCCACAATGTCACGAAGACCCAAATCGATTTTGCACACAAAGGTCAGGGATTTCCCACTTGGCATCGACTGTACTTGCTCGCATGGGAGAGGACACTGCAGGTTAGTGTTTTAAAAATATTGAAATATTATATTAAACATTTCCATGTATATAACATGCATTCTACTTCGATTGCTCTCGTCGTATACTACCCGGGTTCGCCTCGTTCGCTATCAGCTCATGGTATATAATTGTTAAATAATTTGTGGCTTTTCGCATGCATGCATGCGTAGGAATCTGTCGTTATTTATAACAGGGATGGGAAATATGAAAATGTTTTAATTGCTAAAATATACAGCTGGAAAAAATATCGCTGGAAAAAATACTCCAATTCAAAGCGATGAAAAATTTAGCTCACCACATCGTCAAGACGTCAATCTTTATAACAAGCATTACGATACAATACTTGTAAGCTTTCAATGCTGTTTGTCAAAAAGCCGTATTTACTATCTCTCATGCAATGTCATTCACCTAATAGATAATAACTTATAATAGATTGTACAGTTCAACAGGGCCGAAACTAGAACGATAATTGGGGGGGTGTTTATTCATATATTCAGTTCTGCCCTGCGGATTTCTGTTGTAAGTGCAAAAGCTCACAATGGAAATCCGTCGGGCAGAACTGAATATATGAATAAACACCCCCCCAATTATCGTTCTAGTTTCGGCCCTGCAGTTCATGTTTGATTTCAGACTTTTACCATGAAAAGATCTATATCAGTAACCTTTCTTTACCCCATGCACTACTCAATTTTTCATTTTTACTCGACCTTATACATGCATTCCGCTCCTTTCATTTACCTCTCCCCATTTTCTCCTCATGAGGATTAATACTGATTATATATAAGATCACAGTCCCTAAAAAGTTCATCATTTAGAGGTACATGACAATGTTTATGTATACCCATCTTGCAGGAAATAACTAACGATGAAGATTTTGCTATTCCTTATTGGGACTGGACTGAAAACCAAACTCGATGCAACGCATCTATTTGCTCTGAGGATTCTCTCGGGGTTACCGACCAATCGAACGGCATTGTCAAGGGAAAATACTTGGGCAAATGGTGGACCATTTGCACCCTAGAAGAGACAAATCAACTCACAAAGCTTTGTAATCCTAACGACAGGGTAACTAGACTGACGAGAAACACGGAAGAGGATAAAGAAAAGGCGATGAAAGAACGCGGTTTCACCATGACGTTTCCAACAAGCGAGGAAGTCAGCTTTGCTCTTCGATTTAAATCTTACGACGTTCCACCCTACAGTAAAGAATCCAGCTGCAATTTCAGAAACATCCTGGAGGGGAACAGTAACAGTAAAACAGGTTATCGTTTGCCGAATGCTCATACTCTGCATAACCAAGTTCATATAGGTATCTAATCGATAATATATTTGAACTTTTGATGTTTAGTGCTTCAGATACTTATAACTAATTTATCATTGTTATTATATACCATAGTTATTGGTGGAACTATGGGATATGTGCCTTCGGCTTCCAACGACCCGATCTTCCACCTTCATCATTCATTCGTGGATCGTATTTTCGAGAAGTGGCTTCGAAAGTTTAAAAAGAATGATTCGGTTCTTTCCAAGTTCGATGCGCCTATGGGTCACAACAAAAATGACGTCATTGTGCCGTTGTTTCCATTGTACACTCATAAGGAGATGTTTAGAGAATCATTCGATTTCGGCTATGATTATGAAGATGTTGACTTGGAAGGTAAGCGCGAGTGAATGATGAAATCATGAATTATAGATGATGAGATCATAAAAGCAATCTTACAGGAGGTGGCAGTTTCATGACGCTAAAAAGATTTATCATGTAGCTGAGGAAAAGTCTATGCAAATGACTTATGTGCAGTTTGCACCGTTAAATTGATGTTTTTTCAAAGAGCGAACTGTTCTATTCGAAAGAATATATCCCACTCAATATTTGATTTATAACTTTCTCAATTTGCCTAAGCATTATTCATTCATATATTGTACAGGCAATTCCCTTGATGACGAGAGTGGTGATGATTCGAAACTGGGAGATTGTCCAGTGGCGTGTGATGATTCAGAAGAGTCTTTAGCTGTATCCGGCATTTGGTTTAGTTGGTGGCCAATGTTTGTAATTCCACTAAGCCAGTTACTTTTCATTGATTGAGAACGAATACCGCTCTCTCCGTTCCTTCTCCATGCTGAGGTGCATGGAGATGGCGAAAGATCTTGCATATGCATGACATTAACGCTTTTTTTAAACTGTTTATTATACGTCTTATTGTAGCAATATAGTCAATGGTCATAGAATAGGCTTCACTCATTATACTAGTTTCCCAAAATAAGCTTCCCACGTTGTAGTAGTTTACATAGAAGTATTCACGCAGGTTAATAAACCGACCTATAAATATTATAATAGTATATTCTACTGAATCTTTTGTAGCGTTTCAATAATTTACATCTTTAGGCCGGTTTACACCACACTAATTTATTAGCATGGCACTGCTAAGTTAGTACCCATGGTTATGCAATGCATTACTCGTACTTGGGCTACCATACAAACGCAGGGTACAGATATAGAATTGGTACGGATAGCGAATTCAGCCGTCCCGTTCCAATAAAGACACTTTTTCAAGGATGTACTGAACGAGTTAAGAAAGTAATATAAGAAACAGGGCTCTCCAATTTTTATGTTCCTGGTTAATCTAGAAGCTCCAAATTTATTTTTACTCGGTGCTAACCATAGTGGCGCCTTCATTGTTATGTTAGCTCCCTCTACTCTTAGAAATATTCGCTATGTACCTGTGATAACTATCAAAATTGGCAATCATCGACGAATACCAAATTGAATTTTGACCGCGGAACAAAAATGACCATATATAGTGAATGATTGTGTGTATGACGCGCCAACTGAGAAATTAGCACAGTGGAAAAGTTGAGTTATAAGAAGATGTTTAAGGTTATAAATCTGAATAAAAATAAACCTTTTTGTTAAAAAAAATGAGTTTCAAGTAATACATTTTGCCGTTTTCTTTTATCAAATTATAATCGACAAAAGAGAGTACGAGTATGAAAGTATAATGATTGTAGCTGCATGTATGATGTATGCGTTATATACATGTGCAGAGCGTAACAACTACTCTGCATACACGTCAGGGCACTAAAAAACACGTGTTTTATATAGCGCCTTGCAGGCTGTTCCATTTACTGTTCGGAGTACTCCAGATTTCATGAGCAGTAATGGAGTGGAACAGAACACTGTCACGCGAGAGTTCGGAACTGTTCTGATTACCCCTAGTTTTTAAGAATTGTTTTTAAGTAGGGGCAGCAAGAACACAACACGTGACACGTACAATTTTCACGTGTTTGAAAGTGGTGGTAACAGATGTGTTTAGCCGTGATATTATGTTGGCCTTATTTTAATATATATATATATATATATATATAATATTATATATATATATATATATATATATATAAATATATAATATATATATATATATATATATATATATATATATATATATATATATATATTATATCTGGAATGATAACTGTGGCAGATTTAGATTGCATTCGTCATCATATCGGACATAGTCTCCTGCGCGGTTATTACTCATTAGTTGTTTGTGATCTCCGAGTGCATTTCAGCGTATAAATGCCTGTTAACGGCCTGTTATACCGATACCTGATTGTACAAAAGATCTAAAATAGGGCTAGCATCTACAGGGCGGCAACACGTACAAAGAAATCGTACAAACCATCTGGTATCATTCCAGAGTGGTTGAACGCATATATGTAATAGACTGAACACTGTTTCAGAACAATGTGTGCATTCCATTACACAAACTTCTCGCACATAGTGTCCTGAATCATTCAGAACAGTAAATGGAGCAGCCCTCTGATCGCGCCTCTACAAGCACACCCAAACGCTCGCTGTTCTCAGCCGCAGATCTTAATGGTATGCAATAATTTATGCTTTTCAACTGATGATACGGGGCTGACTAGCGTCCTTAATCTGCGCCAGAAATATAGACACTATACAGCCAATACTTGGGCACCACGTGATATCCGTCAGTGAAAAGTTGCGGGATCTAGAGCTGGCAAGAAAGCAATCGTTCTTGACAACAATTGTAATGACAAAGACACGAGGTGACCGTTTCTATTTCATCAAGGACACGAGTTCGAGGGCACAAAACTGGTTGACCATAACACTGACGTTTCACAAAATCATTACTACATCAAAATAGCCTTTATTCAGGCAATGCATTCGGGTCTTTAGTAGTGGAATAATGCTATATGATAGGTATATTTTAAACGAACGACATAATTGCTGCACGATTTTACCTTACCACGCGCATCTCATTCTGGTCGCTGTTTTTATCTGATTGTGGTTAAAAAGTGAATCAGAGTGATGTATTCTTTTTTAATTATTTACAAGCATGCATATATGAATCACAATTTTGCAATAGTAAAATGATAAAACGCGGCAACACGTTAGAACAGATATGTTTGAAATACACAGTATTTTCCAAGACGCGTACAGAGCGTTTCTAAAATCTATGCAACGTGGTTTTTAACATCAAACATCATAGACATAGGACACCCTGGCGAGTTCTTGACATCACGTTGACTGACTGCCGGTGATGCGGAGAACGGACCCCTGATATTGAAATTTCGCAAAACCGAACGAACGCGTGGGCGGGAACAGTTGCGGGTTAAATAATACACCGTCATTGGTTCATCTCGGCCTTTCATTTTGACAGGTCCACGTAAGTCGAAGTCAAAACTAGGATCCATGCTACCTGGTTCTTGGAGACATCTATTAAATATACATGTCTGTGGATTAAACCCGGCGCACGTATTTCGGATTAAACAATCAGGGACAGTGCAAGCTAGACTCTCTCAACGACACAATAGTACAGGGGCCGGTTGGATCAAGCCCGTTTTGCTTAAACGGTGGATACGTTCAAAATAGAAAGTAAGTCTACCGTTTTATTCAAAGATACTATTTACAACTTAAGTAAAAAATACTGTTTACAACCAACCTCGTTCCCAGGGAATTTTACATTGATTCTGGGTTTGGGTAAAAGGCCCTGGGATCAGCCAGCCGTTTCTGACTTCTGATTGGTTAAATGATTTATCCTAATTTATGTGTAATTAGCGCAATATTTTTTAATAAACGGGGGTGCGTTCAAAAGGTGCGGTAAATGGCAGAAAACAAGACTCCAACAACCTCGTTCCCAGGGAATTTTACCTTGATTCTGTTAATTCATGCTTATTCAAAATACCCACGAAATGTGGGTAGTTTGAACGGCCGATCCCAGGGCCTTTCCTCTTCTCTCCTCCCCCCAGCCTCAACCGTCACCATAAAGTCCCACAAGGCTCTGTGAGCGAGGTTGGGTTTACAACTACATATTGAGTGCATAATACTAAAGTTGACTCAAGAGAGATGTAAAGTGTTATTTAACTTTAGACTTATCCACCGTTTAAGTTAAACGGGCTTGATACAACAGTTAAAAAATGTAAACAAAGCCGTCAAAGCGTTTGTTTGCTTTACGACTGGACAACATCTTAAAAAATGACATTTTTTCGGGACATCATATTTTTACATGAACGGCAATGATTTCAACTACGTATATACTGACCTGTACGTGTATTCACTAATATTGATCTTGCCGCTTGTACCAGTAGTTTCAGTTCGGCTGGTCAGGTTCACTGTGTTGCCAAACAAACAAAAACGTGGCATCACCTGACCAACAACACCAGCAACGACCTCACCGGAATGAATACCAATTGTAATCTGTCAATTGTGAACAATACATGATATGTAATAAACAACACCCAAATCGTGACAACTTGTGTTCATAACGATGCGAAGGACCACAGAAGCATTCCTGGGGCGAGTGTATGGTTACATAGCTACACGAGCTGAATGACCAAACTGCGGTTATTTTGTCCATCTCACTTGCTTCCCATGACGGCACGAGACCGTTCAAGCTTTCTTTATCTTAAGGGCTCAAAAACTAGGTTTACGAACTGAAAGCTATGCTGACAGTTAAAAAGCCACTTCGGGTGAAGCCTGTGAAAATTTAATAAGTGGTGGTAGTTTCGAGTGGATAAAACTCGGTTTAAACTTACCTGTATTTTTCTTTCCTGACTATTGATCTCTTGCACTATTTCCATCATATCTAACGCCATGTTACATATTTTTCGGGCATGGTCATTGCATCTTTCCGGCAAACCACTGACTGCCATGTACATATCTCCTACAGTCTCGACCTATTATAAAAAGCTCTTATAAGATATACCCGTAAGCATACCGGGTACATTTAAATTTCCAAAACGATTTCATAATTGTTCACCGGCGCTATAACTCGGCCTAGGGTATAATCTGTTAAAACTTTTTAACAGCAAGTGCATTCCTGTGGATTTTTACTAATAGGAGTAACTTATAACTTATTTTCTGCGTAGTTTGAAACAGATGGATATGCCGAAATAAGTTGCTCAAAGAAGATAGTTAAGATTAATAAAGAGCCTGGGTTCGTAAGCGTATATACGTGAAAATTTTTATGTGCAAAAATTCCATAAAACCTTACCTTGTAAACATCGTTGATGCGTGGATCAAGTAAAACATCGAAACTAGTATACACATCGTTCAATAACTGAACAATTTCGAGAGGTGAAGAGCTCTTGCAGAAATCAGCAAATCCAACGATTGCACTGAAGAGAATGGTAACCATTTCGTACTTCTCTGCAGGTACCGGCCGCTTATGTCTCAGTTCATTTGCGACAGACGACGGAAGAACAGAGTAGAGCAATTGATCAGTAAGTTGTTTTTCGGCCTCCAACTCTTTGTGAGTCTGTTTGAGGTAGTCTGTCAGCACTTCCAGACGTTGGGTAAGTTTGTACTCAGCAGCAAACTGCTCAGACAAGAGTATCAACTGCCTGGTTGAATCGTGTATTGGAATGTCACTCACGAACAACCCCTTCGCCTGCAGATCATCCAAGTCAAGTACACTTGGAGAGCATAAGTACAACACCAAGTCTGATTCTTCTATGTAAAGCATCTGACCTGCAAAAATATATTAGTATTCATCATTGAAATTTGACACAATCTGAAATTCCTTAGAACATCAAGAATAGAGGTATGGTTGTCTTTGAAGCTAAGGCCCGTTGCAGATGTCGAACTTTTTATGTGCCAAAGCTAAATGTTGTTTAAGAAATTAAAAAATGTTTTGGCAAGAGAATACCTCTGAGCTCCCCAGTCAACAATAAACACAACTCACAAGTGCTTCATTGCCTCTTATTACTTAGATATTTAGCCTTGTTAGGACCTATATAGTCTTCATGTTGAAACGAGAATCCCCTGGAAAAAACCTTCGCTTTCTCGAAACAGAATGAAATTCAAATCATTCCAGCTACACGCAAGACATCAATATGTAGTCGTTAAAAAACTACATAATCTATGTATACTGAACTCCTTCATACCTTTAAGTCGAAGGTTAACATATTCTTCTCCATTGCTTCCTTTGCGTTGCGGTGATCCTGGTACTTCATTTTCTTCATCCACCACAAGTACGCCTTGCCTGGTCTTCATCACAAAAACCGTATTGATATGTGCCAAGACGGAGTCCACTGTAAACTCGATCTGAGGTCGAACACATTGAAACAGATCGCCAAAATTGACATCCTCCACACTCAGCTGCGGTAAAACTCTGCATACGGAATCCCCAGCTTGAATGACCATCAGGTTGCGATCAAAGATGACATGAAATGGAAAAGCTTTACAAAACGACATTGGTGAAATCTTCGGCTCTAAGTTAAGTTGACCGCCCATTGTAAGGTCAGCTTCGTCCAGGTTCATTTCCGAGGTATCTCCACTTCTGATTTCTCTGATTGCGAGTTGAACATGGTCATTTTCTTCGTCTTTCGTCTGTAGTATTTCCACGGACACCTGTAAGTGAGATTTAATATCTTCAGTATCACCGTTGTTGCAATATTCTTTTGCAGTGTATTGGAAGATGTGTTGTTTAACTCGTTATGAAACTGATAGAAAAATTTGTTCCATCATTTAATGAAATTCGTCGCTATTGATGATCAATGCTGGTATAGTCAGAATGAAAAAAGAAAGGCATTTTGTATACACGCGTCACTTGCTGACCAACTTACTTCAGTATTTAGAAGTTTCCTCGCGACAGTCTTGACAATACCCAGTACAATATGTTCCAGACCATCTCTCACTGAGTAGTAGTGCAGGATTATCGCGCCATTTTGGTTTGTCACTCTGAAAGATGGCGCCCTCATACCGGGGTAGATACTGCCAAGATGATCATGCAATGCATCAAGGTTGCATAGGAACTCGCTGAGCTTTCCCCCAAGAACATGCAAGATTCTGTCATAGCCTGATTCTTCACAGAAGTCGAAGAAAGTCTCACCGAACATTTCTAGAATTTTCGTAGCCGGCACACCTGTACGCGAACAAAAGCATTTAAGCGGAAGCCCCATATTTTAGTTTTTTCACTTTTATTTATAGCAGGAATAACTATCGCAGGAGTAAGTATACGAAGCTGAAAGTGTTGGAAAACGTATTCGGTATGGAAATTTCAATTCATGCTTTATCGAAAGGAGAGGTACTTGAAAACAAAATGCCACGCTAGGATTTCGCAATCAAAGATGGCTGTCTTGTTATAATGGAATTAAGACGGGCAGAAACTCCGTACTGTTATCACAATTTTTTCATAATTTTTTCTTACCCCGAACAAGTTCCCCAATATTGTCATTTTCGGTAGCCGATTAGCTACTTTCTAACCAGTTTATATGTTGCAAGTAGCTAACGCGTTGCTGAAATTACATTGTTGGGAACCTGTTCAGGGTAAGATAAAAATATGAAAAAATTTTCATAACTATACTGAGTTTGCTATATTTGTTTAATTTCAAATTTTGTCTCGTGCTTTATAATAACAAGGCAGCCATTTGCATCTTTGATTGCGAAATCCTGGCGTGTTTGTAATCAATGCCTTGAATTTCTGATGATGCTGCTATGCAAATTTATACTTTTATTTTAAAAATTCATTGTTAAACAGTATTATAAAGACCCTAGACAGGAGAAAGTCTTACAAAAGACGCGAATATCTTATAGCGACAAAGGCTGTAGGTCGAAATATTCACGATCCCTCTCCCTCTAAAAAAGGTCACGGTGTGCATGCACACTGGCCCCGCTGCCCGTACGGATGATTTTCGAGGTATGACGGTTGTGATGTTTTCTTCATACTTCATGCTTTGTAGAGGTACCACGGCATTTTTATCATAGATATTACCAAATAAAAAGCTATATACCTAAAACTTCCGTCGCCGCTGCAACCAGGTCGTACGTTTTGAAATCATCGTAGACAATTCGTACAAGAAATCTTCCTTCCAATTTAAGCCCGGCTTTTTTTCTATAAATTGCAATGAATATTGAGAGCCATTGATTTTTCGGTGCAAACTGGCATGTGTAAACTCACTCTCTGTTAAATAAAGCCTTTATTTATTGAATCATCATGCATTCTTCCTTTAGCATCAGTTGTACACTAGTTAAAATTTGTTTAAATGCAAAATGGGATTTAATGTATCATAAAAATTTACAATTTACAATCATATATACTATACCCTCAACAACTACTGGTAGCACAACTATCAAGAAAAACACTTTGTTTTCTATTCTAGTTACGGACAACACAATATATGCATACTTGATTTCCTCCCACTTTTCCTGGCCATATCTTCTCAGGACCAGCAACTCCAATGCATGATTCACAAAACCATACTGGGGAAAAAGGGAAATTATGTAATATACTAAATGAGTGTAAATCTCCTGACAAAGGTCGGTAAGTACAAAACATGTACGAGAAGTATTTTTGTCTCATTAAATAATAGGCAGTTCTTATGCCTGATCGCAGACTACGGCTGAAGGCGATTGTTTCTATAGTTTCTAACGTCAGTTAAGCGTCCGGTCCAGCGACGGCCTGGGGCCGGTTATATAAAACTCTTTAACTACACTGACTTTGCATAGTTAAATCCTATTCTGTTCTTAACTACAGAATACAGCTAAAAGTTAACTAGTCTTTTATACAACTGGCCCCTGATGCTTATTCAATTTTAACTCAGGAGAATTATCGAATCATACGCCGTTCCATTCCTGATGGAGTCGACTCGATGTGTCGACTATAATCATTTGATGATAGTCGAAACATTTTTCTCGACCGTTCCTGGCTTAAAATTGAGAAAAGAAATTCCATCCTTATAACCTTCACAAATTATCCTAGATCGTGTGAAGTGCCATTAATCTAGGCTTATATGGCCGGTTTACATGCGTGAAATGAGTAAAAAATAAGGGGAATTCACTATATGTTTATTCAGTGACTACATAATATAAAACTCTGTGCACGATTTTTCGGAACACAAAGGCGGCTAGACTATTATTATCATTACATGTATAGGGCAATATAAAACACCATCTACAAACCTGAAGATATATTTATGAGTTTGAAGGTAAGTGAAAATTAAAAAGGCAGGTCATGAAACACCTGCTAATGAGATTTTTGTTATGCAGAGCAGCCCACAACAGGGAAATATACTCAATAACACATCAGCAACAAAAATGTATTCTGAAATGAAGACCTCTAGGATGTCGAGGCATTTCCGTGGCTACCACGATGAGCCTGGGAATGAAGGCTGCATGGCCTTTCGCTGTATACGGCTGTATAGCGACTTGCATGCAGGGCCGGTCGTCTCAATATTACGGGATATCCAGTGTTATTGATACTTTTTAAACAGCTGTATAGTCCTATAGCAACAATGTTTGTAATTGGATCTGATTCGAAGTTTCTTAGCACGGTTTGAAGTTATTCCGGTTCGGTTAAATGTGTAATTTCTGATCGACGGCTCAAAACAGTGAGACGACCATTACGACTTTACTCTTGTTGCTGGCTTCTGGAATTTATCTCTGTGGACTGTAGTTATGTTACGCATCGAAATTTTTCTTATACTTTATAGACATAGTACAGTATATTTGCATATGTACACAGTAATTTTACATTAGTCGACATACATCTCACTATAATGCAATACAGCATATCAGCAAATGTACACATTGACGACAATTTTACCTGTTTCTAGCACCCCCGAAGTTATTTTCTTAACACGTTAGAAAAAAACGTCTGCATCAGCAGGGAGACGGTTAAGCAATATACGCCATATTGCTGTATCTATAAACTACACAATATTCAAGCGCGGTCAAATATATATCTCACTTTCGTTTCTATTGTGCACTTACCATATCTCAAATAATCACAAACAGCCGCGAAGTAAAGACTAAAGTGATCCAAGTGCGATTGACAAACACTAGCGGAAGATACCTTCCTTGACAAAGCAGCTGGTTAGATAGGGAAACATATTCGTCGTGCAATGAAGAAACAGCTCTGAATGTCATTAACTCTCAGCTGCGGTGTCCGTATATTAAAGAAGAGTGAACATGCATACGGCTTTTGACAATGCTAATTATTATCCCAATCACGAAGGCCAATCACCTTTGATCTTTTATTAATCAAAAGATTACGGCAAAAATGAGTGGGCATTCGCCAGTAAAATTTTATTTTTAATCAAGTCTCTGTGCTCGTTCGCGGATTCAGTTATGGGCTTGAAAAAGCAAGAAGTCCGAATCGCTGATGTCGTAAGCTTTAGAGTGGTCGTCGCTGTTTAATGTAAAAAGGACAAATGAACTGCCTGCTTTATTTGTGCTCAAATATGACAGCTTATTTGAATTTTGAAGCAAATTAATTTTGTCCATCATTACTTTAGTTGCCATGGTAGTTTTCGGTATCTCCAATTAAATATTCATTATATTTTTGCAACTAATCTTAGCTCGCGATAGCTTTATACATTGGGTAGTCAATGCTGCCTATATATATATATATATATATATATATATATATATATATATATATATATATATATATATATATATATATATATATATATATATATATATATATATATATATATATATATATATATATATATATTCTACGCGATCTACATTTTGAAATAAGTGATTTCAGAAACATAGTGTAAAATTGTGAAACATGGTTAATAGTTCTGATTGACCGCTTCTATCAGTGGACTAAATGAACGGTTTAACATTTGCTTTGAGACCAGCTGTGAGCTCTGATTTACTTTTAGACTAGAACAATGGCTGAGGGGGGTTTTTGGCAGTACCATATTCGAAGAAGAATCGAGGACTAGTACCAATCCCTAATTCATTTCATCGTTCGCTGTTTCGATAAAACGATGACAAAAATGCAGTGACAATGGTCTTTCAATTCAGTTTTGAGTTGGCTTCAAAGATAGAGTTATCGTTGTTTATATATAGCGTTCGCTGCTTGAGATTCTACCGCGGTAACAAATACAGTTTGAGGAGTGTTTTCATTAAGTGAACGGCGATGGCTATATTGGCTAATAAATACTGATGCAACAAATAGAGCTTCGTTGGTTTTTTAAATTTACGTCTTTGGTCTTTTTGTTACCACTCTGTCTGACTGTCTCTTCGTATTTTGCAAAATTCTTCGGTGAAGAACTTTATGCCGAACTTCCTTTCAAGTCTAAAGGTTCATATCCATGCGCTTGCGATTTTGTTCGACTCTCGAAAAGAACAAAATACACTTATCTACGGCTTCGTCGGCTTGCTTTCCACAAATCACGCGATTCTACAAGGAGTAGCTGTTGTTATTTCTATAATATCTTTTTCATTGCCGTTCGTTCTCAATGGAAACGACTGTAAGTTTTTTGTGACAATTTTTAACCATCGTTGTACAAACATAGTGCATGTAATCAGAGATATATGTGCCATAGCAGGCTATCCAAAAACGTTGAAAACGATTCGTATTTGCAACTTGGTCTCCTAGAAATAGTTCTAATACTCTCTTTATTTGTATATTTATATTACTAATAGAAAATTACAGTTAAAATCTTACGTATTTACTTTGTAAATAGATGTACCGAAACTCCCTATACACAATCCGAGTAAAATAAGATGATATACTATACAACCGTATAACACAAAACAAGTATATCGCTCCTCTCTTTCCCTCTCTCTATATATAATATATGTTTACAAATAGCGCGTATACTATTTGACATGAATATACGCGTTGTGAATAAATAATACACAAGATCTAACTATTTCTTGGCCTTGCTCGTTGTTTCGCATCCAAGTTTTTAATAAGCACGCGAACCTTTGTATTATTTTCTTCATCTCTGATTTCTCTGGACGAAGTTCGAGTTAGGAAGTAGGTCGTCATTGGTTCCTTCTTACCTTTCATAGTGACAAAACCTCTGCACTCAAACTTTAAACTTGGATCTCTGGGCGATTGAAGGCATCTGGAAGAATCGAGGCGAGCTAGTGGTTAAGGGATTTGTTTGATATAATTTTTGATGGTCAAATGTAAAGATGAAAGCATGACGACTGCAAGTATTTAAACGTAGGAAGATCGAATTCCCAATATACTTTTCATGTGCCGAATCGAATGCAAATGAACTCAAACAAAGACTTTAGCTCATTTAACATAAGGTTCGGCACATGAAAAGTTGGACTTCTGAAACAGGCCTAATTGTAAGCGAAATAGATTAGCAAAGGGTGCATGGTAATGCAATAATCAAGATACTGATCCAGAATGTGGATTGACAACGCACGTATTTTCTATACTGAAAATATATACAGTGGCGTACGGGAGACGATAATTGGGGGGGGGGGTGTCACATATTTATATATTCATGTTGTGCAAGATCAATCTATTTTCAAATCCATTGTCTTTACAGGTCTGTTAACATGAACACATGAATATGTGGCTCCTCCCCCAATTATCATCTCCCGTACGCCACTGTATATATATCAACACTAATGATACATGGACGTACATGGCGGCACAGGTATACCTGCACTCATATTCAGAAAAAGATTACTCTACGTAACATAAAAGCATTTTTGCGTACTTGTATGCGGGCTCGGAAACATTAATCATTCCTTTCTCTCCAGTTGTTTCGGTTCTGCTGGCCAAATTGACGGTATTGCCAAACAGGCAGTAACGAGGTAGTTTCTGACCTACAACGCCTGCAACAACTTCTCCAGAATGAATTCCAATCGTTATCTAGGAATAAATTAGGTACAATGCATTATATTATGCACTAATATAATGCATTTTCCAATGTGTCGAGTGTCATCTATTCTTATCTATTCAAATCTATTCTTAAGATTGTGATGTGTAAAGAAATGTGTATAATTATGATATATTGGGGCTTTTGTTAATCGTGGAACTTATCTAAGTAAGAACGACGGAGGATAAAGTTGCAAGATTTAGTGTGCTGAAAAATTTGACTTTGGAAAACCGTCATGCTTCGCTTTTGGATTGTTTGCACACTAGCTAGCTCGTTGTTCAGCAGGTGACTGACTTTTCAACCTGATCGTGGGTGCAGAAAGTCGATAACGGCCATATTAGAGAATTCCAAACCCAATGCTTGTTCTTTAGAAGCAACCACTGACATTTAATATTTTTATTTCTATATCTACTTTGATGATACTGAATGATACTCGAGGTGATGTGATCTTATACCTTAAAGGGTTGACCTCTGATTAGTATACTATTCGCAGCATCCATCATATCTAACGCCATCTTGGCAATGTGGTGGGCATGCGTATTACATTTCGTTGGCAAACCAGACACAGCCATGTATTTGTCACCAACTGTCTCAACCTGAAATAATACCGAGTAAGAAAGGTTTTCACATGTACAGTTCGGTCAACACGCGGTCTTTGGAATATATTTTAAAACAGTGTAATGTTTGATATGTGATATTTGAGAATTTCTACCTTCCCTTATTACAAGGTTCCACTGCGTAGGAATTCTGGTTCTTAGTGCTTTTTCTAGAGTTGAAAAAAGCCGGAGTGGATAGTAAAATAACATTGGTTACCTTATAGACGTCTTCGAACGTATCCATGAGATTATCGAAGGTAAGATAAACGTTATTGAGCAAACTGACTATCTCCATGGGTTCCGTGATATCACTGCAGTATTGCGAGAAATTCACAATTCCGCTGAAAAGCACGGTTACAACTTCAAATTTCTTCGCTTTAACAGGACGCTTCAGCCTCAGTTCGTTGGCTACGGATGGAGGGAGGATGCTATAAAGAAGTTTGTCAGCCAGTTGCTGCTCCTTCTTTAGCTCCCTTGCCGTTTGTTGAAGTTTGTCCGTGACAATTTGGAGGCGTTGTGTTAGAGCGCATTCGGCATTGCGGTGTTCAGATAGCAGAATCAGATCACGCGTTGCATCGTGGATTGGGATATCGCTTAGGTAAAGCCCTGCAGAAAGGTTGCAAAGTAAGGTTAACTAATCCTCCAGACATGAAGTTTTGGTTGCGATATAGATCTACCGAAAAACAATAATTAAAAAGAGGCAGTGACTGGGGACATGTCTGGTGTCGCAGAGCTCGAAAGCTTTCGTCCAATTGAATAATGCTTTTCCATGCTTTTCAAAGAACGAAGCTATGCTATTTGCTGAAACAGAAATGTATTGTAAAGTTCAGCCAATGAAAATCATTCTTGCGAGGAGCTACGACACTGTCCCGGGGACTGCGCGGCTGGGAGTACCCGAAAGGAAAATTTTGAAACTTACTAGTAGGAGGACAGTGCTATATGCTCCCAAATTAATTAATTACTGAATTACAAATTAATTACTAATATCAATCAATTATCAAACTAAAAATATATTACGGGGCAACTTTTCCGGGCCCTCCATGCTTGCCGATCCCTGAGAGATTCCGCATTCCTGACATTGCCAGGTCATACAGTAGTTTAGATCAGCAGGAAGATCTTCCTAGTTATTGCTCCATTCCACCTGATTACGATTGACCCAAAAATTCACGGAAGAACTTGTCCTAGCAGCAAGTACTACAATTTGACTATTATTTGACGTTGTGCTACCAATTTTGATGGGACCCCATTCTTCGACAATTGTACCGAATCAAGGGAAGTTGTTCGCTGAAAAAACTTACTAGTGTATGGCAGTATGCCTGATAAAAGTGTTTCTGAGGATCAGGGTTTATTACATTCGACACAGTTCGGACGATTTTGCATATAATATAATATAAAATATAATAATAATAATAATAATATAATAATATAAATATTTCTACCCATACAGAAACACTGAAATGCTCATTCACCTTTCTCATTAAGACCATCCAAATTCAGCACCATTGGTGTACAGAGATAGCAGATGCAATCACTTTCCTCCAGGTACAACATTTGACCTTTAAATCTCATCGTAGGTGACTCGATACGCTGCTTGTCATCTTCTGTGACGGTTGACAGTGTAGTAGAATCTAAGATGCCTTCTATGGTCTTCAGCAAAAATACGGAATTGGTTCGCGATAAAATTGCTTCAAATTCATCGCGTACGGGTGGACGTACGATCTCGAATACTTCGCGTAGGACAGTCTTACCAACGACCAGGGTCGGTAGTACCCTCCGCATGGATATCCCGGCTTGAAAGATCACCATATTGCGGTCAAACATGACGTGAAATGGTATCGCCTTACAAAACGTCGCGATGCCTATCGTCGACTTATACGCGGCTACCTGGCAATCCTCCCTTACCATTCTCGACTGTCGACGTCGCGGAAGCAGTTTAATGGCTCCCGTGAAATCTTTTGGCCGCACCAAAAATGTAGTGCACCCCTCATCTTCACTGAAAGAATCAATGGCGACGTCCACTTCACTTTTGTACAGCTGCTTCGCGGCCGCTTTTATCATGCCTATCACCATATACTGCAGCCCATCTCGGATGGAGTAGTAAAACACTGTGACGACATCGCTGCCTTGCTTGGTTTCCACGCGAAATGAAGGAGCCTGCATGCCCGGATAACGGACAAGTAGCTGCTCGTGTAAGTTGTCAAGTCCTGAAAAGAAGTCTTTCAAATTGCCACCAAGGCAGGGTAAGATTTTCTTCCATCCAGACGAGTTGCAGTGCTCGAAGAACTTCTGACCGAATTGTTCCATGAGCTCATTTCGTTTCATACCTAAAATACACGTAACTGCTAAGTAATGTTTACAACAAGAGCCGCGAGTGATTGTATATCCAATACAACACGGCCGCGAGTGCTGTAAACGACTTGTGAAATAAATTTGTAATAAATAAGATTTGAATAGGTAAGCAAATCAGTTACAAACACTAGTGGTTGTATTTTTCTGATACAAAAACTAGTGTTTGTAACTAATTTGTGCATGTGACCTAATTCACGAAATTTGGTTGGGTATAAACAAGATAAGACTGTTTGTTTAAATATGAAAGATCATCTCGCATTAAACTGAACTACATGCAGTTATATATGCTGCTACAGGGTTATGAAATACTGAATTGAATTCCATTGAATTTATTAATAATCTGAATAGCAGCTTACAAGAGCTGAAGTATACAGAATTATTTACAATAAAAATATATTACCTATACATGTTTGGTGAAACAAATTTGAAAAGCACTTATATTCAATACAATATATATTATAGTTTAAATTTTCTAAATGATGCAAGTACGACATGTTATTTCAAAGGTTTATCCCATGCATGCAGAAAGAAGTTTTTAATTAAACGGATTTCGGGGCGATTTGTACTTTATGTTATAAGTTAATCCAAAAGATCCCCCTTCATATTAAGCGTCCTATTGCAGATCAAAAACACTATTCAAGGAGGTTACAGGACGCTGAGGTTTTTTATCAATACAGGAGGAGTGAAAAAAGAGCTAGGAGGTGGACACCATGATAAAACCGACGTGCAAATGCCGGTTGAACTACTCAGCATAGGTACCACTCGAAAAAAACGTTTTACTCTTTATCTACTTTTTTGACCCGTGTATTCTTGATGCATGGTGGAAGTAAATATTAATTTTTTATATTTTATTATTTATTTGTACATCCTCGTCGCCAGGAGGTCGCAGACACGAAAACTGGCAGTGATTTTCATCAGAGCCCTCAAAGTTATTACAATATAAATACTCAATTATACTCATACTGTAGTCTTTACCTCTACAAACATGCCGTATTTTGATCTATCAACACTCCTGGAAATGAATGTGTGAAAATCAAAATGCTAACAGCTGTTTCTATATTATAAGACATATATGCCAGTCAAGTCAGGGAACCCTTTTTTTTTTAATTAAAATAACAAAGAAGCCCTTTGCAAAGGTTACATTATATACTTTATTTGTGGACTTCTAAGGAGGCACGGCATCATGCAAGACTCATATATATATTAGATCATTATTCCCACATAAATGCACGGTGGAAGGTGATCGGGGACCGAACTGAAAAAGACAATTTATAGCTAGGGTTTGCTTTCCCTAAAAATTTCCAACTGAAGACTTTGTCATAGTGCCTTGTAGTTTACGGATTAGGAGAAAGCGTTGGAGAAAATTTATTAATAACATAACCTCTTTGGCTCTTTCTCAATATGTTGGTGCATGCCACGCGTGCAAGGAAATTTACTTCCCTGCGTTGCATGCATGAAAGTTATATCTATCCTCCCCAAGTTAAAAATTGATCAATCACCGAAAATCAGTAATATGCATATCAACGTTATCGTGGAAGATTCAGCTTTAAAAATAGGATATTTCTGCTGATATCTTAAGTACAGAACATGCAGTAATTGAAACCATAATTAAACTATAACAACGAGTTGATGTTCTGTCCAGCAATATCGATGATTTATCACACATCATCGATCGAGTATACCTAACCATTTAACTTTTATGCGATGCTGCAAGGCCAGTTCATGCATGGTAGTCCAATAGTTTTTATCACTTTTTTGTTACGAAACAGCCAGCAAAGTACCAATATAGGGTACACACTGGGAAATCACAACAGACAAGAATGCGATAGCGGTTTCTATTTAAAAGGCGCTGATTGAACAGCGCAAATCTAAACCAATTACGGCATTATCCCGTTCATGCACCTAATCCGCTATCCCTAATTGAGTAAATCGACGGACACTTATTAGGAGAACCTTAAATTAAATTTCAGTATAAAAGATTTTGCAGCAAGCCAATAACATTTATGGGTATAAAATATTGCTTCAACGAAAAAAATCATTATTACATTATACTTTGGGAGATAAGTTCTCTATTTGCGGTCTACCAAATCCCAACTCCCATTTTTGGTTTTAATTATTTGTCCACATAATGAAATTACACCGTGTCCTAGATAGTAAATGTGGTCTGACCCTGAGAATGAAATCACAGTCGAAGCTTTCGCAATGATATCCAATTAAACGCGCGGACAATCTATTTTAGGTGATACGTTTCATTAAATCTTTTCCGTCTCAACACCTTTGAAAGATTTATTAATTTCCACCGAAACCGGAATTTTTGGTAGTCAAGGAAACTTGAACACAAAAATATCTGTCCTGGGATAAACGAGTTCAAGATATCCAACCGAAACGGCTGCTTGAATTGCAAACATAGATTTTCAAACCTGAACCACGGGAGGAGGCTGCGTACGAGCGATTTTCAGGGAACAATGCAAAAATATAAAACACAGCACCGGGACAACAGCATTTTTTTAATAGCTTAGTGTCAACATGGGGCTAGGGTAGAATAATTAAACTTCTCAAACACTAGCTCGAAAACGTACGCAGATGAAATTTGACGAATAAACCGCAGACTAAGTTGCCAAAACCTCATAATTATAGCCAGTGTTTGTGGTTGAACGATAAATTACGAAGAGTTAAAAACGAGCTGGTGCCACTATCCACCGGATAGTGGTTTTTTCAATCGCTTTGAAAATCGCCCGTTGTTTGCTATAACTTTGATCAAATCTTCAAATTCCTAAATCGAGGATCCTCTTTAATATCTTTTGGTTCCAAAGATGAAATTCTATGATCGAGCATTTTGAGGAAAATCACTATCCGATGGATGATAGCGCTATCCAGCCTTCTTACAAACCGGCCCCTGGTGTATACAAAACCAAATACAATTATACATATGAATATTTTGCGTACATTTACACTCATCCTTTTCTAAAAGTCCTTTCATGCTCGAAAGCGTTTTTCACTTTCAGATCTTGAACGAAAGCAAATTTCTGCTGATGTTTAGTCAACAAATATAAGTGAATGCGGGGGGTGGCGTCATGGCGGGATGTAAAAATATTGTAAAATTGAAAATCGTGAGAAAAATCAATTTTGCAAAGCAGACGTGAGGGGATTTTAAAAACCATAAAACGAACTGCATATAGAGATGTGCACACAAAAGAACATATCATGCATATATGACCATAGCCATAGGCCAAACGTCAAAAACGTGCAAATTGCCTCGCAATCATATTAACACCACACGCGTGGCGCTAAGTAATGCCTGTAACGGACCACGTTTTGGATGATAAATTTGACCCTGCAGATGCTTTTGCTATATCTGTATCTCGTTGCCAACGTGTGTTTACCAATTTTTACACGCGGTGGCGCATTTCATGTTATGAAATATATTTTCGTATGCTTCGGACATCCATGGCACACATTGCATGCACACAAATATATCGTAATATTTAAAACTGATATATAGCTATATATAATTGCTGAGTTGAGGGCCTAAACTCCTACGTTGACGTATACTTCATACGTCAATGCTGTTTTTTGATATTCGTTCAAACATACATTTCATTTAGCTCTATCGACAAGATCGGTTTAATTACCGCGCACGCAAGGCCTTTGATTTAATCCCTTGTATTATTGAATGCAAAGCGATACGTTTGCTCAAGTAATAAACGTTATCAAGTTAAATACTTCAGTTCCGTGATTTAGTTCGTGTGTATATATATACCTATACGTGTTTAGTATAAATGCCTTTGACACAACCTTTGGTCCTTGTTCTTGACCTCATTTTATATGCAGATCCATATAGTCATAATAGAGATGCAAATGATGGACACATATATATGGCATGTTTGAATATGTACATTCTTGTTCATTATATATCAACACAAAAAACCGGACTCGTATACGAGACTGACGTGTTAAAACACATTCAATGAGATACTGGTTTTGACTCACCCAACACTTCACATGCGATGCTGACTAGATCTGACAGATCTTGGTCGTTATATATTCGTCTCTCGTCGAAAGAATATATATCATCGCCGCCAATATTTGCTTGGGCACTACACAAAACATAACATATGTCATCTAATAAGGTGAAATCATAAATCACTAAGTGCATAGCATATCCTTATAGTACAGATGATGTGAGGGTCTGAGCTTGAGATTGGTTATTCAACCGATTGGAGCCATTATTGGAGCCATGAAGAGTTTTCAAGTCCGCAAAAGGAATGCTCCGAAGTGCCTAGCAACTTTACAATTCGGTTAGAATACATGCATGTTTATGTACATATATAAGCAATATGGCAAATGTTATTAATAAATACTGGTATAATGTATGCTAGTCTTAAGATTTAAAAAACATTAAAAGGACAAAAGTGCAGCCCATTATTTCAAGCATTCGATCATTTGGCAAATTCTAGCTACACATAATTATACTTCTCCTCACCAAATTTCCTCCCACACTTCAACTCCATAGTCAAGCTCGATAAGCTTCTGAAATGCGTGATTCACAAAGCCATACATTCCCAAAGATGATGCTGTCTGTTCGCGATTAGTTGGTTTCGAAATGCTTACGCATCTGCCTCTCAGACCGGGCAAAATCTCACCGACACCAACCTAACGTGCATCTCTCACTCACTAAACACCGAGCTAGCTCTTGTCAAAGTATAAATAGATAGGAGATTGAAATTTATTCATCATAATATTTACATGATGAGTACATCTGCGTGACGGGTGACGAGTTGCCCATGGAGATAGTGTTGAATATTTGATGGCATTAATACCCATAAAATGGCATTCCGCAGCGGTGTATTTCAGAAGGAGGGGCGTATACTTCAAAATTTAATACCTTTTGCAAAAATCGTCTCCCTCGCAGCCTTTATCGTAAGCTCTTTTTTGAAATGCGCTCTCGAATTTTGCATCCACTTTGCTTAGGTCTGGTGTCGATAAATCCTACGAATTGTCCCGCTTTGTGGCTTCCATTTTCGAAATTCGTCGCAAGTCATTTCAGAGTAGAGGCTTCAAAAATATAAAATGATTCCTTCAGATTATTTAGTTCTTGGTTGACTTCAAATCCGACTTTCCGCATCATTCTTACAGCCAGGTAGGAATTATAAAGTATTCTTGGAATACTCTTGTATCACTCAGAATAATAAGAGAAGAAAATGCTACGGCTGAACTGAGACACATGAAAGTGAAGTGAATTTCATAATCTCTATATTTCGTCAAAGACAAAGGTGTATATAAATAATAGCTAATAAACTCTTTAGCGTCTAACAAAATTTAATATATGTGTATACTAACTTCGGTAACCCCAATTGCATATGATTGAAAAATAACTAGGATTTCTTGCATATGAAAACATAACGAAAATACTTATGCTAAACACCAGACACTCTGGAATAATTTAAAACGCTTTTTCAAAGAACCAGGAAAAGAACTTCAAAGCTCTGATCAAGCATGTAAGTCCTACCTTTTGATTAAGAATACTTTACACATAATGAGCAGATGTCTCACTCTCCACAAACCAAAGCTGATGACACTTGTTTAGCGATACGGACATGGCTTGATGGCATACAATTCGTACACTGTTAACACTAAACAGATGTGATGTGGAGAGTGGGAGTTCTGGTTAATTTTATATACTGATCCTATATAAACTGCCAGTTCTTAATACCGTTATTCTTTCACTACCCAGCACCTTTCTAAGCGAATAATAGAATCGGTTTGCTAAAAGCTCCCGTATAAGCAAAACGCTAATAGCAACTAGTTTATACTGGCATAAAATACTTTAGTTTGGCCTTTTAAGAAATATTGTGCATGTATCCAGGGATGGAAAATTTTCCTCATTTTGTAAGTACACAATAAAGAGCAAATGTTTTTGAATAATGTTACTTATCTTAAAAAAACATCAACAAGGAATTATTTGTCCTTGGTAATTTGATTTCACCTCATCTGCACCTGATACCAACCCTGGATAAAGCAATTTTCCCTAAAAATCGTTACAAATAATATGAATCATTTTAAAACTAGTCGTTCTTGTCGAATTGATCGCATCCATCGAATTCAACGAAACAGGCTTTGAAAAATACCACATCTTTAACACCTGACACCCGCCTCATCGATTTTCATGTCAGCTGATCGCAATATGAAGGGCTTGTTTTTTTTTCTGGGCTCGTTTATAATACACACTTGTTGTATACGGCAGCATAGTTCAGCAAAATCCAGATTTTGCGATATATCTAGTAGACGATTGCAATGGCAGGGGTAGCGGTTGGACATTCCTTTTGACAACGTTCTTGAAAAATTCCACCCTGGTGATGAATCGTTAAATCATTAAATTAAACGCCGTACGATGGCAAAAGCAAACGCCCTATTGATCAATTGTCATTTGCTCGAATCGTTGATAAACCCCCAGCTCCTTCCTATAAGAAGTATGCCAGAAACAGCTAATCTTTTTCATTAAATTTTTTTTCCAAAAAATTGTACTTCAACCTATAAACATTCACCTCTTTGGTCTTTTCTCCAGTGCTATGCGCGGCCTCACTTATCGCCAGTAGACGCATGTGGCCTGGTAGCGTCCTGAGATGTAGAAGCTTCCGATTTGTTTTGCGTTACATCGCTGTCCTCAGATTTCGCACGTTGTTGTAAACTATTGTCATTGCTTTCTTTCAAATCCGAATGCTTTGTTTCTTCGGGAGCAGTTTTTGCTTCAACCTGTTGTTGTTGCTCTTCCGGTACCGATTGTTCCTTTGCAATTTCGCGAGGTCCATCATTTGCTTGCGAGTTATTTTTGCCAGACGATTTCTCTTCTTTAGTCACAATGTCTTTTTCTTTCTGCTGATCCTTGGAAGAGGCGCTTTCTTTAGATGGAGAGTTTTGTCGTTTTTGTGAGGTATGTGAGCTCTTCGCCGAGCTGTGCGGTTTCTTCGACACAGGTTGCTGGTTTCCCGACACAACGCCTTGATCTTTCGGTGGAACACGATGTTCTTTGCCCCTGGCGTGGTGCTCCTTTGCAGTCGAATGGTATTTTGAACTTGATGCGGCGTGTTGATCTTTCGAGGCACCTTGATGGGCTTTGGGAGTGTGTTCTTTCGACTGGGTTTGATGGTCTTTTGATGAAGAATGTTGGTCCTTCGAAGAAGGTTGATGTGGTTTTGAAGCCGCTTGGTGATCTTTTGCCTGATGTTTTTTTGATATCGCGTGAAGATCCTTTGAAGACGTGTTTTGATCCTTTGGCGACGCGTGTCGTTCTTTCGACGGAGCTTGCTGATCTTTGGAGGGCCCGTGATGTTCCTTTGATTGTGAATGCTGATCTTTTGATGGGCCGTGACGATCTTTGGATGGTGCGTGATGTTCTTTTGAGGGCGAGTGCTGATCTTTTGACGGTCCGTGATGATCTTTCGAAGAAGCGTGCTGTTCTTTCGACGGTCCGTGATGATCTTTCGAAGGAGCGTGATGTTCCTTTGGTGACGAGCGCTGATCTTTTTGCGGTCCGTGAAAATCCTTCGCAGACGTGTGATGTTCCTTGGACGGTCCGTGATGATCTTTTGAAGTTCCGTGATGAGATTTTGATGGATCATTCTGATCTTTTAATGGTCCGTGGTGAGCTCTAGAAGTACCGTGGTGACCTTTCGGCGGCGCGCGATCTCTTGGCGAATGAGCTGTCGGTGGCTCGGGATGGTCCTTTGCACCTTGCACATCTTTAGACGAATCTGGATGATCTTTTGACGAAGCGTGCTTCCCTTTTGATGCCTGGTGCTCTTTTGGTGGAGAGGGGTTGTCTCTTGAAGAATGGTGGCCCTTGGATGGCGGATGATGATGTTTCCCTTGACCCTGGGTATCCTTACCTACCCAATGTTGACCAGTTCCATGGTGATCCTGTCCGGGACCATGACCTCTTCCAGGTGGACGACGGTTACTTTTCTGATGGTGATCCGAATGCTGGTTTTTAGTCTCCTCGCGGCCATGGTGCCCATCACGTCCGGTCGCTCCTTTTTCAGTTGGGGCTTTTTCCTCAACTCGACTCTCAGTCGCTTTATCGCGTTCATCCTTTCCTTTTGAAGGGAGTCTTGCTCTTCCATTACCTGCCGTTCCTTGGTTTGTCGTCGTCGTCTTAACGGCATGAGTTCGATTCTCACCCTCCTGGAGTTCTTGCTCTGTTCTAGTACTTGGTTCCTGACTGCGATCGTGTTTCGACTGACCGCCTGATTTGTGATCACCTTTCTTAGGGAATCTTACAGATAGATCACCTTCTTCACTAAACCGGTTTAGAGGCTAAAATAGATAGACAGTTTAAAAAGATAAGTGTGAGACCAGGATCTCTAAAGACTAAAGTTCCTGAAACAAGTACATACAGTATGTATGGCATGGAACCGAAGATAAAATACTAAAACTTTAGAAAACACAGTGTAACTACTTACGTCATTTCTAAAGTCTTCTATGGTTTTGTATCTTTCCAATCTTCGGGTTATTTCTGGGTTGATTTCTGGTAACATTTTGCCCTAGAAACGATAAATCAAGATATTACACGGCCAACTCATCTTTTATCCCAGCCTTGTCCTTCCACACGTAGGATGACCACCGTAAATTCAAAGTAAACACGTGTACCCTCTTCCACAAAACTTAATTGGTACAACTGATAACACAGAATAATACACAGTTGGTTAGGCGAGAAATCATTCTTCAATAGCGAATGACCTCAGAATGTATGGAAATATGGACATCGGCTTGTTGAGCTACCAGGTCAAGTAAGTATCCTTACCTTAAAGTACTTCAAAAATGCCCAAAACTTTTCAAGGCCATAAAGGAAGCCTGTAAAAAACGCAGGATTAGGGTCAGTCGTAAGAAAATATCGGTATTGAAATGAACAAACGTAATGAACTTGTGTACTAACCAGAATCGTGATCGGAGAGTGTTTCTTCCTGAAAGTCTTGGAAAAGATCGGGACGGAATTTCTTCTCCAAACCATAACTGTAATATCTAAATAGACACTCGACACCGTACCTAACAAAACGAACGTGTAGTCTTCGTTAATTTACATTAACTAGAAAGCAAGTTTCGAGACTAACGTATTTGTATACCAACGTAACCATAAACGGTACACATATATAACCATAAACGGTACACATATTATAAAGACTGCAAAATACGACAAATTTAAACGTAGACAATCAGCGTCAAGTACGTAATTTTTGCATGTACGTTTAAAATAAGTGTACATAAAGCATTCAAGAACCTTGCGGATGAATTGTGGATAACCATACTGTACCTGTATCCCGCTTTGGCATCTTCATTTGCAAATTTCCTAAACTCGGCGTACATTTTCCTGGTAAACATAAATATTACAGTTTTTATTTTAGAGCACTTGGCACAGTATATCATTTGCCATAATCTTTTACTAAAGTCATGATTGCCATTTTTTATATTCGGCACATAAAAAACATGATTCGGCATATAAAAAACAGACGAACTCTGGAGTTAAACACTCCGAAAAGACGTGAAATTCTTACCGATTGAAATGCGATCGTAAGAAAAAGGACCAAAACCGAAACAATGTGTTCATTTCTTGCGACTGTCCCACTCCGTTTTTGGCCCTCTCTAAAAGAAGATGAAAACCAAATTAGACAGTAGTTCACAGAGCAAGAATATACAATGGAGGGGTAGGGCAGAACCTCACTACCGTGTATATTTCAGTGCGCACGATGTTACCGTAACCAACCTTTAAAACATTTTTGACGAAACTTGTGATAAAGCTGTTGTGTGAATCCATTCTTTTTCAACAGCTCATGCGAAGGATGTTGGAAGAGTGGAAACGAGATAGGCGCCGATCCGAAAGTTCCGGACGACGTGGACGGCACATTCGGTCCCAAAAATGACGGCGTACTTAGAGGAGACGTCCCCGCAGATGCACTAGAAAGCAAGTAAAATGTTTATGCTAGACACTCAAAATTCAAGTTGGACTGGAATGTGGCTTACTTCCGAAGAAACGAATGCGAAATTTCGTTTGATATTTCGTACAGTGGCGCATTTAGCCTTGGTCAAAGCAAATTTAACGCTACATATTTTACGCTTATTTTAAGGAAATGTGCTTTCCGGGTGTAAACAAGTTTTTTGTACTATAGGTAGCTGAAATCGATCAATTATTTTCTAAATGGCTTTACATGAATGCCTAATTATCGTATTACTTTACTTCATTAGTAATAAAGCGAAAAGTCTAGTATTTCGGAGTGACCACTGGCGTGCAAGTAGCTTTATGAGTTAAAATAGGTATTAATTACAGTGTACTGTGTGGGGTACTGTATACAGTATGTAGCTACCTTGCTGCAGGATGCGGTTTACTGCCCATTATCCAGCCAACGTGATGTTCGACGGGGGGATTCTTGCTATACTTTGTTTTTCGTTTCTTCGGCTAAAGGAAGTAATAAATCCGATATAATTATATTATGGTTAACATTTGCTGCACGTTTCGAATACGATGGCACAGAATACCATGCAGCTGTAAGTCATGTTACGTCATTTGCTGCACGGTATATGCGCATGCGTTTCAAACACATATCGCAACTACTCACCAGACCATCATCGGGCACGTTTTCCTTACTAATGGCAGGATAAAACCTTGGAGCAATTTGATTATCTTTCAGATATTTTGGCGTTCGCGACCCCTTCGGACGTTTAGATGGTGAAGGAGGCAAACAAGGGACATGCGTAGGAAGCGATTTGGACAACTGTTCGACGGGTGCAGTCATCGCTCGCGGTCGGAACGGAGGAGCGCTTGGTGATAGCTGATTCGTTATCTCGGACAACTTTTGAGCCTCTTCGGAGGTTTGTTCGATGTCCATAACAAAGAACTCGCTGCTAGACCTCGGACGACCGTCGACATTAAGACTATCGAAGTAATCTCGGGAGATTACGTCAACCTTTTTCCACGAAGAGGACAGCTCGACCTACAAGTTTTAGAAACATAACGATTCGGAACTGACATTACCACTCAATTTTCTTTCCAATAATCATTTCACAGGACGGATTGAATTCAGTCCAACAAGGAATGTTACTAATAGTCTATTTACAAGTTGACGCAATTTGCAGACAAAATTTTTGACAATTTGTGTTCGTCATGAGGAACAAGTTTCCCCATTTTTTCTTGCCATTTATTAAGAAAACGCCCTCACGTTGTTTCCCTACACTTCCCCTAATGTTTACACAAAGTTTTCATGCTACGAACCAAATTGTATATTTATATATAAATAAGTAGAATTTTCAAGTAATGCTGCTTGTTCTGCTTGCCATGGCAGGCTGCCACTCGGTGTCATATCCTACTAAAATCCTTCCCTTTCCCGAGTACCATCTTCAAAATAATATATTTACTCGCTTATATACTCGCGATTTAGGGTGCAATTTCGTCTTCTGATAGATGCAAACAAACAAAATTTATCTACAGTACAGCATTTCAAAATTGTCAGATTTAGAAAAGATTTACGCACATTAAAATAAAAAAAATTTTGCAGTGGCACTTGAACGCAATGATAACCATTTCTCGTACCTTTTTACTTAAGTAGCTCTCGTCGCTGTCATCCCAGAGATCCTTAACGAAAAAAAGCACGCAAAATTAAAAATACACTCCGCTTATAGTTAACTGTAATTTTAACCAAAGAGTAGATATTATAAAGAGGTTTCACTCTGGCGAAAATCGGTCACACGCATAGCTGAGCCACACTACGCATGCGTAATATTCCAGCCAGTACCTTTGTGGTTTTTAATGAGGAAAACACCAATTTTTATCATAAAAACAACGATTTTAAAAAAACTATCCAAGCAATTCGCTGTTTTGTTACAAGTTCAAAAGAATGGGTTGGGATGGACATTTTGAACAACAAATTAGGCTGTGAACAGTACTTGAACACGGCGAAAACGTAAAATTATACCCGAAGGAGTGAAGTTCGAGAAAAACCTAGAATGTTTAGTGTTTACAAAGTCAAAAGACGAGGAAAAAGTTGTTTTATACGAGACTTAATGCGCTGCCTTGTGTAGTTTCTGTGGGGAAAAGCTCAGATGTTGTTGAGAAATGACGGTTCGGGATATTTTGTATGATAATGTAGTGGTAAGAACTTAAATTCACTTCTTGTAAATAGTGAAAAACTTGCGAAGAACAACAAAGAACAGCACTTGACCGAAAGCGTCTTTTTTTCCTAAATTCTCCTGTTTTATCCGTCTTTGTGCATTATGTTCTTGATAATTTTTATGCTTGTAACTTATTTTCTTCTCTGTCGTGTTTTTTGTACATTAAATACTAAATAAAACGTATAAACACAAGAATAACAAACATTTTATAATAGACCGGCATGACCGCTACTGTGGGCAGATCGCTCCTTCAAGTTTCAAAACCAAGTGAACGTTTCTCAAACGATAAACCGTACTCCTTAGTAGGTGGATAAAAATGATCGCTTACTATCACTGTTCAAAATTTTTTACCTTTTATGGGGATCTAAAGGATCGTTTCCTTAATATCGCCACTTTTTGCATTTCGAACTGTGTTTTCCTATACTTTTCTATGGAAAATCCGGCCATGGTACTAGCACAGATTAGCTATATACAGATATGAAACTGAAGCCAAATCGAGTCACACGGTTTTCTGCCCAACGTGCGCATGCTTTACTTGCTTGGCAAGTGTCATGTCGAATTTTAATGAGTAAATCGATAGAAAAATCGAATTTTTGACAAACAAATGCTGATTTAAACAAAACCTTTAGGGCCATGTCCCATTTGACTTAAAATTTTCAAAAAGATGGATAAAATGGCTCTTCTGAGCTAAGAACTGGTTTCTGAAATTATTTGATGCTGGCAAAAAGAGTAAAAAATATAGCTGAGGAGTGCAGGGCTTGCCGTATGGAAAGCTGTGCAATAATTTAGCACTGGCTGAGCTATTTTTGAGTTTACAAAACATGTAATACATGCTTTAGATACAATATATCTCCAGAAGGTAAGATGAAATGAATTAACAAATATCTATAGGAATAATAGAAATGTGAAAACGAAATGATAGGAGCTTAAAAAGGATTTTGTGTACTTGAAATGAACAACAACATGCCGAACATGGCATGTAAATTTGACGAGCAATTCAGCGTATTTAGCGATTTTAGGCGTTTGGCGATAAAAAAAAACAACTTCATCACCCTTGTCTTGGACTATTTTTCACACAAAGTTTACAAATTGCTGCTTATGTGCGATTATTATGACCATACACGGGTCTTTTTAGCGGAATTCTGAAAACAAAAAATAAAGACATCGCCATATTATGTTTTGAGTTTCGGGTTTAAAATTAGCAATCAAACACTCTATGCTTTGATATTATTTTAAAAAAACAGATTTAAAAGACGGTTAGCAACTTGAAAAATTCAGATAAATAATATTTACGTGTAGATATGGGACTTCAATGCAAAGAATTCAGCCAGAGTACATTGATTCCATAGTGCCAATGCAAATATAATTCGGCATCAATCGGACCAGCTTTTTTTGATTTTCAAAAGTCAATTTTGAGCTATAGATATGCTCAATTGCCTCTCCACAATTAATGAAAGATACATATACCGATTCTCTTTTTCTCTTTAAGAATTTATTCCAGAATTAGCTATAGGTAGCGAGGGTTTTTTAAAAAAGCAATTTTTCGTCTTAAAATCGGCGTTTTACTCATTAAATTCCCTCATGACACTTGCCAAGCTCGCCGGAAGTCATCACGCACTGGCTGCGCGTGGGACACAAAACAATCAGCAAAAACACAGAAGTTTCATATCTGTATATAGCTAATCTGTGGTACTAGCTGCTGCATATTAAATGTTTATTTGGCATATTTAATTTGCCCTTGATGGCGTGGAAATGGCGTGGAAATGACGTGTCACGGAAAATTCGTGTGACATGCTAAAGTATTGAATTTCGCCAGAGTGAAACCTCTTTATAATATCTACTCTTTGTTTTAACTATACGTTGTGCACGCGTCATTCTACGCCAACCTGGTGGTGCAGGAACTTTGTACCCCCATGGAAAAGTTCCTGCACACAGCAGGATTGCATGAGCAGGATACAAACTGGATACTAAGCGCCATAGTGCTTGCGCGTGTTCGCGTTAGGTGGCGTCACACTAAAAAAAACGGACGCCTGGTATAATGTCTATTCTCTGAATGTATCTGCATCTTTACCTGTTCGTAGTAATATAATCCATCATTAATGATCTTGGAAAATTCATCATTCAGTTTCGCTCGTGTTACAAAATTTCCAGTACGGTCGTGTTTCTTGCTGGCGGGAGGCGGAGTTTGTGTAACAATCATAATGTTACCAACATCATAATCATCAAGTTCATCGTCCGATTCATCAGACCTGAAAAAATCAGAACACAATGCAAATGATGTCAAGAACACTGAATTCAAGACAATATTTTAAGTCAGAAGCGATAGAATGTGTCTTTCCCACAAGTCACTGGAGAAAAAGTGTGTAAATCAACTTTGCCACTGTTTAGCAGACTTACCAGTCTTTGTAGTCCTTAAATTTTCCCATAGCGACAAGTTCTTCGTCGAATTTAAAATCCAGTTCTTCTTGTTCGAATGCTCCAACGGTAACTTTAGGCTTAGCAGCAATAATCTAGAATTTACAACAATGATTGCGAACGTGAACAAATATTATTTGAAATAATGACATCTTAATGTTTGCGTCAAATTCCAAAGGGATATATAACTGCCATTATAAACATTTGAGATGAATAAACTTAGAAATCATCGCACCTTGTCTGGACTCTTGTGAGGTTTCTTCCTCTTCACTTCTTTCCACTCCCACTCACTGTGAATTTTGTTTCTTTCAGCAGATGACTCTTCTGAGAAACGTACAAGACAAGGTTATTATGGATAACATTCGTTTAGGCTTCTCTCGACATAGAATTCCTGCTTTCAATCAAAGGAGACCCAACAACTTTTATGCACTGTGCATGCACGAATACTGCATGTACAGATAATGATGAGTATATTGATAATCATTAGTATGTATATATTTTAGTGTACTGTATCAAGTGATCTCTTTTTAGTTCTTAAATGTTGAAGTCGCATTAAGTGCATGCAAGTTCTTTAGACCAAAAAGACCATATCATTCAGCAAAGAGTTTTTTAGACATGCTTGTATGAGACTGTTAATGTCCAATACCTGTTTTACTGTCCAAAGTGACTTCGCCCTTAGTCTCCGTTTGAACTGCTGATCCGTTTGAATCCAGAGTTTCATCTTCATCTGGGATTTTTTCATCTTTATCGATTGGCTTTACTGATTCCGCATTCTTCTCATGTTCTACAAGATCCGTATATGCGTGTTTAAAAACACACATTTGAACCTCAACGGCCAAGGTAGTTAACTGCACGCGTGTGGCAGATGCGAGGCTGGGAGGGAACATGCGTGAGCGCAGATGGTCTACAATGTGGTTTTCTACACGATCAGAAGTCTCACACCCCGGTCGTTTTACAGTACAGTAATTAGCAGTTCGAGGGCATCTCCAACTATAACTACGCAAGAGTCGAAATAATTTGATCTCTTTCACGATTCTACAATAAACATAATAGTTTGGTCACTCCTGGAAACCACAAATACACAGCTGTACATCTTTAGCATACCTGTAGGACTAGTGACAGTGGGAGAGACTTGAATTGGCCATTTAGCTGGGTTATCAAGACTTCGAAGAAGTCCATCTTTCACTTCAACCTTGTCACTTTCCGACATCGCCTAAATATAGACAGTAAAATACACGACCGTACACGATAAACGCAGGAAGAAATCGAGCGTACTATCATTGAAATATCTATAAAATTTGCACTAATGTATGTGAATAGTTGACTTCGGGCATATTTGTGGGGCATCTTATCCGATTGCTAGGACATTTAAGTACATGTAACAATATATTGGGTGTTTAAAAGATTCTCCATGCAATAGTACTTGAAGGTCTACAATTAAGAGCACTACACCAACAGTAAGTCATCAGAATCAATATAGTTACAATAGTTACAAAAGTGTGTTCTCAAAGATGATAAAATTGAACTAATATAAACATCTATTAATACTTTGGCATTAGTGTAAATGGTTCTTCAATCTGAAACACTCTAAACAGAGTCATTTGTCCATTGGAAATTGCCTCAAAACTTCAAGTTGGATTTAAAAACACTAACTAATCCACATAGTTTGATGTAAGAGGATAGGCCATTGCATATAGTTATTCTATACGGTACTTAAAAGTAGTCTTTTTACACTAGTAAAAAGTGGCAATTTAAAGAATGAATTTCTTTAACTGTGTTTTGTTCAACTGAGCAAAAAAATCTTTCAAGTCGTTGGCAACGATCTTTTCTTCTTTTGTAAAAGGCTTATTGCTTGTTTTCTATGGTATGCACGAGCGAATTACTTCCATAAACGACTGGAGTGATTCGGAATATCTTTTATCTGCTTAACTACATATTAACCACGCTTTAAGTGTAATATGATCACCATGCAACACGATCATTTGCTTTGCTGGCATGTTCACGCCATTTGTCTCTAGTTTTCATTAGACTTTATCTCGTCTGCAACAAAGAGATTTGGACTTCTCGGCCTTATTCGAGTACGGAGAGCATGTTGCATGTAATGTAATGTTTTTCTGATGACATAGAGGAGCTATTTTTTGTTTGCACCCGTGAACATATCATTGATTTTTTACACAAACCTGCAAAATCAAATCCTGGTCTTGACTCAACGCTTGCACTCGGTAAAAACTTGCTATTAGATTTATAGGAATATACCCCTCGGCATCCATCTGCACAAATTAAAAGAACATTAAAATATTATTCGTGGCGGCTGCAATATTTTAGAACATTTACAAGCAAGCTATACCAACGTAGTTTATTGCATGTACAGTACAAATTAAGGGTTGATTAGTGAGCTAAACAATGTTGTACACACCTATGTTAAGAATTTCAACGAAGCTTTGAATTAGTGAACAATCGTGCGACAAAGATACCTTTCAACGTTTTTTTTATACTTTATAATATTCTAAGTTTCAATTATAACCAAAGCGAAGTTATCTCACGGAATTTACCAAAGTAGGCGTGCCTCAGTTAATAAAGATCACGTTGATCACGCGTTTACAATACCTGCTGTCTCAAGTAGACATCTTTAGCCAGGTTTTCAGTACTAAAATAATATTCACTAAAGGACGAAAGAAACATTGTTAAAGATGTGGATGAAAAGTCTGCAGCCACAAATTTGCCCCCAAATCCCGTCACCGTATTGACTCCGTGGTCGATTTGGGTTTAAACGGTTTAGAAACAAGCTGTCTCTGAACCACACAAGAATATTGTACGTAGAACTGCTTACTCACATTTGTCTCCTAATATAGTCCTTTAGTAAAGATTCGTCTAGCATGTTGCTGTAATTTCGATTGTCATAATAGCATATTCCATAGGGCTGCGGGGCCACGTACATCGCTCCATCGGCATAAGGATTGACATTAGGATATTGATATGGGTTGCTCCCGTAGTGCATTTGTTGATCAGATCCTACAAGGTCAAATATTTTTAAAAATACGAAGCCGTTGAACGTTGAGGAGTTCTCTAAACAAGCTTAAAACACATTTACACTATCAAATTTTCTGAGATCAAAGTTGGAAAAATCAAACGGCAAATCTAAGTTTCAAAGTATTTGGTAGATAAATTCAAGGGAAAGTTAACGATGAATTTCGTCATCGTGGTGGTCTAAGTACATTCCTTAAGGACCACGCACACCTCGGCAACTCGACGCGAAATGAAGTTAATTCTGACAGGAAATTTGGGACTCAAGACGAGTCAAAACTATTGTTCATGAGTAGTCTACAATGTCATTCTATGAGTATATAAACTGCATCGCGTTGGCGAATCGCGTCACTGGTGCGTGGGTTCCTAAACTTGTTCCAAGAATTCAGCGTGTCTTTAGTCACACTTTCCGGCCCCCAGTTTGTGGTTACCATCTCTGTTTTCTCTCAAAAACTACACAATACTTTTTATTGTCTGCGTTTTACAAATTTCCCCACCAAACTCCTGTGCATCGTCGAAAGGATCCCTTACCTCTCCCCCCTCCTCTTTGTCGACCTCTTCCGCCACGATACATACCACCGGCACCTCTCCTACCTCTTCCCCCTCGACCACCAGGTGATACACCACGCCAACTGGGAGATCTGCGTGGGGGGAATGTACCATCAGAGTCTGGCGAAGGGCTTGTGTTCTCACCGTCTTGGCCTTTGGGATCTAGTGGAAGAGGAACCCATTTACGGCTTTTTCCTAAGCGAAAGAAAATCAAATGAACAAAGTTTAGTGCGTACACACATACAATCCATTATCCATCGGGTTAAGGGGTTTCGTATTTGCCTAACGCTCTTACACTCAGAACAGACGGTTGACTTGGTATGGCTTTGTTTGGCAGTGGAACTATATTCACAAAATTCAAGACCAGAAACTCATTTACCGGAATTGGTGTACGGGTTTGTATTGCTGCGCTATCGCCAGTTGTTTGAAACGCTTAGCCAGTTACCAGAGGGCCAGTCATTGTATGTATGTAGTCGTGCTTTTTTGTAAAAACTACTGTCATTTCCAACTTTGATTTTGACCAGTTCATTAGTAGACCAGTTCAAAGGTTTCTACTTATGAAATCTCTGAAGTCTAAGTGTTTTGCTTTTTTTGTTAGAAATGGAATTCGCATTTATTTTCATTATGAAATAAGGGGAAAAGTATTTTAAATCAGGATTTCGACAGGTTTCCTTTTACAAACGCAGTTCCCCTTCTCTCATGACTACATAGATGATCCACATATGCTTGCTTTTTTTAAAGAATTAGACACTGATTGTTGTGTGCAGTTTTAAAGGTTTTGGCAAAGACACAATTATTGTAGTTTTCCAACTTATGCTAATAATCATGACCTTTGAGATATGGATCTTGGGTTTTAGTTCATGTACGTCATTTTAAAATAAAAATCTGCCACTTTGAACTATTTAAGCCCCCATTTTCAAAAATTACATAAATTAAGATTAAATAGAATAAATATGTTTGACAGAGAATTAGAACTGGCCAGTTAAATTACAGGGCTGGTTCACTTTTTCTGTAACAAAAGTCCATTATTTTTCAACCACTCTCCTTAACAATTTCTTTCCAGGACTTGCATTTATGAAGCATTGCAATAGAATGTTGATGAATATTAGAGAATTTTTTGGCTGTTACAGGTTTTAATTACAATGAAAATTGATTCCTGCAATTTCTGTGTACTGTAAATGATCATGGTCAGCATTATAGTTTTTCAACATTAAACATTCCACAGAAAACATGACGTAAGGATTTCAAAATATTTGTCAGTTTCTAAATTTCCAATGGCCCTCATGAACCATGACAACAGGCAGGTGATGATTGGCTAAATTCAACCTTAAATAATAACCACAATAAACTGTCTGTGGTCAGTGACTCTTGAATGCTTTACATGATAAACATCAAGCATGATAGATTGGCTGGTTTCAAGTACAGGAGGTTACATCCAAAATTAATGCACTGTTATTTAAACTGTGCTGAGCAAAGGAAAAAGATATATTCTATTGAGAGCTCTGCATGCTGAAAGCATTCTTTTCTTGCTAAATACAGGCAGATACAAGTGTTCTGTGGGCAAACATTAGAAACCTAGTTTAAATGTCCTACACATGCTTTTGGGGCTCCTCTTCACTGTTGCAGCAAGTAATAGTTCATGAGAAAGATTCTTCAAGAAGGATTTCAGGGAGAGTCTTTGAGCAGGAAAAGTTACCCGTGGTCAATTAACAAGCGTGAAGCCTCCAAAACCACTAAATCCTACAAAACCAATAAATCCTAGCAATGCTTGAATCCTGTCGCATACTGTAAAAATTAAATTTTTTTTTCAAAATCTTAAAATCACTACAAGATTTTTAAATAAATGTAAATGTGAATTACAAATATTTAATGATATTGCTCGAAGGAAGAAATCTTTTTTATTTAGGAAGCTTGACTGTACATAAAAGAACAAACACGGAATATTATTCACCTAACGTATGCTCCCAAGAGTCTCAAGGAAAAACAAAACTCACTATTTCCCGAGGTAGTGTACATTAAGTGTTTTGTTATATAGGAACAAACACATACATGTTACACAACAATTTCATTTAAAAAAAACCATTTACTTTGTTACGACAAGAAGCGGGCAACAATTTTTCACTTGTTTCCCTGGCAGGAAACATTGCATTTATTTAAAATAATGTGACTATGAAAGAATCAATCACATTTAAAATACAAAGCACCTATATAACAAAATTACTTACATAAAATAATTACTGTTTATAAAATAATTGGAACATTTAATGTCAAATGCTGTTGAGTGACTAGTTTGGTCCTAAAACCAGGAAACACAATATTTCCTATTGAACATTAGAAACCTTTAAGGCCCCATACTTTTACATCTAGAATATACTGTAGTCATAAGGTTTTAGCAGGAAGCTTTTATGCTTTAAAATAGCTGATGATGGGAACACCTTTTCGTTTGTTACAATACTGATAATAATAAACTTAGCATTTTAAAAATACTATTAAGATCAACCTGAAACAACCATTGATGCCATAAAAATAACCAACACAAGCTTCAAATAATTTTGGAATAAGCTGAGTGCTGACTAGGCTAAAAGATTGATAATCTAACTTGCATAATGCTTCATAATTTATAGATTTCACACCTCAAAAATGGCACTTAAAATATATATAATTATAAATCTGATAATACTGATGTTAATCACACAATTTAAACATTATAAAGCATTTACTGGCAGGTTAGTTAGAAAAAATAAACCCTTGGAATCATGCAAGAAATTTATTTAAATGCTGCTCTGCGTGAGTAAATGCATGCCGTTACCAAGTAATCGTATGGCCAGTCATTTATTTGTGTGGGATGAATTTACACTGAAATCAAACGAATGAAATTAGTGAGTTACCTTTCTTTCTTGGGGTTGTCTTTAAATTCTCCTCACTTGTATTATTAGGTACTTCAGTCACCGCTTCCTTTTTCACCGTAATATTCTATAAAATAGCAGATATAAAACTAGAAAATACAATAAATTTTCACAGAGATTTCGCAAGCGTCAGCAAACCGGGGGGGTGAAGAGGAAGAAAATAATTTTATAAAGTACACATCATTTTTACCTTCAATTCTTCCGTATTTTGACCGGTTTCCCCAAGACTGGGCCAGCTTTCTAAATCCGTCAATTTATCATCTTCCTATTAGAGAACATACGCTCGTGAAAACGTTGTATTACGAAACATTACTTTTGTTGTAAAATACATAGATATGGCGAGGCCAATAGACATATTGATGACCATACCTTGGCGATCTCTGGCTCTTTTACGCTCTCTTTCACAGGCTCTTCCAGTTCAACTACAAAACAAAAACGTCTGTGAATGTTTCGGTTATATGCCGGACGAAGCCATTAATTCTTGTCCTACCATTTTCAGTGGAATTCCGAGCGTTTTTCGTGGTTTTGTTCCACGGGTTGACTACGGGGGGTGGCGGAGGGCTTGTGGCTGAGATAGCAGTCATAGCACGAGTCGTCTCGTATGCTTGTTTCTCTTCCCCACTGGAACTGTTGCCATTTTCGACTGTTTCCTCGTCTCCTTTGCTCTCGGGGATGTCAATACATTCGCTCCAATCCTTACTTACCGTAAACAAAGTATTTTCCGAGTCTATACTCTCGTCTATACCCGGCTCTACTTTCTCTGCATCGAGCTTGTGAGAGGAATCAATCTCGCTCATATTATGAAGCGTGTACCCAAATTTCCGATGCTAAAACCTGGCACCACTTGCAAGGACTCCGATACGAATAAAGGCAAATATAAAGCCTTGTTTCCACAAGTCGAAAGACCAACTATACCATTATCACAACCCTATTTCACCTACCACAGCCAACCATGTGCAGTCAGCGAGTAAATAACATGTACGCAAGGCTTGCGAAAAGTACAACGCGCATGCTCGTCGCCTATTCTTCACGTGATCAAATCTAAGGAAACGTGTACCGATAATATGTTGTAGTCACGGAATATATTAAAACACAGACAGCACAGACGTCTAACACTGACTGCACCGAAGTGCCATTTGTAAACAAATCAGTTTTTAATAAAGCTTTACAAGAAGTGAAAATGGTTTAGGTGCATGGCATAGTGACAAAATTATCTTTTGTAAAATGCTTTACACACTAAAATAAATTACATAATATATTGCACAAATACTACCCATGTATTTATATGTTTTCAAGATTTCGCAATTGTCGCCGTATCTATTGTTTTCAGCTTGTTGTAAGTTAGGTATTTGGGTTGCTTAGGGAATATGCAGATTTTCTTTTTTACAGTTCATCTAAAGAATGTCGAAGCCGTCACCGTAGGCAACCTATACGTGTATCGGTGTATGATCTTGCTTTGAATTTAGACGGAGTTTAGTGGTTTGGGATAGGTCGTAGTATGAACTCTAAACTGACTGCCTCGAATTATTGTTTGAATATCAATGCCCCAACACGGAGATGAGCGCAAATGTGCGTGAAATAGTCCAGATAATTACATGCATGCGCTCGTTTGCAAACTTCGGGTAAATAAATTAATTACGGCTAAATGAAGATCTTCATACGTCCGACTATTGAAAACTATATATTGTTCCTACGTATGAAAACATAATAATGAATATGCACCCTCATGTAAACATAAAGATACCCCGATCCCGGTCGGTTTTGTTCAGGGATTCCCCATTTATGAAAAGTCTAAGTTTATCCATTTTTCGTGCTTAATATCTCGAAATTTTATTAAACGCAGAGCTGGAAAAAGATTTGACTCATCAAAGCTAACGGCTAACCTGGTTCAATTATCGTATAGGATTACTGATTGTATTCAATGAAGTTTTTCCCATGCATGCAAGCATTTATGAAACACTGACTACCGACAATAAACAACTTTAGACGAATTATTAAAACTAGGAGCTTTGTATAAACGAAAAAAAAATCCGTTGATAAAACAGTGTGCCACCTGTACCCGTTAACGGGAACCGGAAGTATCCCGACGGGGGTATTTAGGCCTGTGTTCAACAATTTATTTGTATATGGCAGCCCTGATATGGAATGGGATTAGAAAAGAGAGGCAAAGAACTTCTAAAAAATAATAACCTAACTGAATTTATCCTACTAAAATTGACTCTTTCCTCTTGAGTGATGGTCTTGTGTGAAGGAAATTTCCTTGAATTAATTTGGAAAACCTGATTTATATACGATGCGATTTCTATTCTAAGAAAATCATATTTGTAACAATTGTCTGCAGGTAATGTATATCACAGAGCTCTCTTTGTCAAAAATTTTGGTAATACACCGGTCCCGACTTCGAATAACTTATCATGCATAAGCATTGAAGCAGAAACGTGAAGGTTTGTCGGAAATTAAAGAGTGGATTCGTTCCTTGTTATATTAGTTGCTTGCATGCATGTATAGAATGCATAATGCGTATAGAAAAAACTAGTAATGTCTATTATGAAAATTAAACTTTATTTTTCAAATCTGGTTCTTATTAATCACCGACAGTCGGCGATATGATTGCTTGTGCCCGGTGACGAAGAAAAATTTTTCGAAGCTTTAATTGTTCTCCAGTGATCGCCGATAACAGGCATCATTCTCCAGCCCTAACCGTTTGCTTTCAGATAAGTGTTTAGCTTTAATCGACTAGCCTTTTGCATGCATGCCATACTTCGATATTTTTTTGAAACTGAAACCGCCAAAAGTCTGTGAATCTAAATTTTGGTGGAAAATAAGGCCGGACAGATTGGTCAGACGCATTGAAATGTCATGCATGATTACCATAACGCGGTAATGTCATTTTTGTCAACAATTTCCGAGTCGACTTTATAATATTATTGATATATGCATGTGTGTCGTACAAAATTTTCCTCTAGCAAGAACTCGAAAAATTGTGTCATTGATAGGTCATATTTCAAAAAATGTATAGGTCCACCTTCATACCTGTATAGGTATCGTATCGACTATTTACATTAACACAACAACGATCATCGTGAATGGTTAGACAAAATTAATCTGGTTTATATGGAAGTAAAATTCTCAGGGTTCATTATAATCTGATCCAGAACGATGTCTGACTAATTAATCGTTTATTGATATCAGCTAAAGCATCTGCAAAGTTAAATCGCGGATTAAGATACCATTTGTCCAGATTATCATCAATATTCTCCTGTTGTGATGCTGTGAAACTCTTCATCTGAGACTTTTGACTGTGATCTTGTCCCGTGTTCGAGGTCAAATGTTGGGGGCCTGGTGATTTGCGTTTGTGACGTCGTTTCATTTGTGGTTTGTGTAGGCTGTTAAAGTTCTATAGCCAAGGAAACAGTCGCGTTTCAATAAAAAAGAGGCGTGATTTAATATATGGTTGAAGTCACCCTTAGAAATATACCATCAAATTCCACAAGTTGCTAACGGTGAAACCAAGGTTTTCCCCCGGATACACAAATATTTTCGTTTCTCAAATGGCATACAAGTTATCATAAGAATGCAAGATTTAATTTTATGGCGCCAATTTCTTCATATATAGTTTGCAAAAATGGTAATTTTATAAGACCACCTTATATAATTTAGGCTTTTCTTTAGCTGAATATATTGTGAATGGGTGTGAATCATCAAACTTATTTTGTGGAAAAAAGTGAAACTTTTGACGATTAATATAAACATTAATTCATTTGGTTACTCGCCTGTTTTTCAGACGAAGTGGACTTTTGCTTTAGCCTCGAACGCTTTGGTTTATCATCTGAATCTTCCAAGATCCTTCTGATCTCTAAACGACTGTAAAGTTCCTCACGATATCCTAAATGGTAATCAGTACGTCGGCATCATTAATGCTCGTCAGACAGAGGCAGTGCATGCCGGTATAAACTGGAATGATTTAGACAGTGATACATGAATGCTCCTCAAATGAAGATAGTATATCTTCAAAGTAAATCTTTTTTTCTAAACTCTCTGATAGCATGCCTAGAACATAATTTTTTGCGCTAGACGAAAGATACTGCTTTTTATAATACTTTTTATTATTTGTAAAATAATCATAAAATAATCATGTGAAAATCACATTGTGAAATGTAAAAATCACATTATGAAATGTGAAAATCACATCATATGTGACAACGTCGAAAAGAGGTTCGAAACTGCAAATCGAATCAACGTCGTCGTTGAATCATCGACAAATCGCCATAATAAAAAGATGGCGGCATGTCCGTCAAGAAAATGATTGACATTTGCGAGTTTAAATCGCTCCCTAACACGATTTTAAAGTCTTCGATATCTCACATCTCACTTCGTGAGGATTAGCTACTTTTTTGACGAACTTTTAATGTCTGCAAAGTAAAGTTCTCTGTTAGCTACATCCGCCATCTTTTTTATTATGGCGAATCTAAAAAAGCGGTTTGCAAGCGGATCTTTTTCTCTGTTTTTACATAAACACACTGGTCATTAAAGGTAATACGTTTTTGGTGTTGACTTTCTCATCAAGGCATCATGCATGTTATTCAAAAACCGCAATTTTTTCACCTGTCTCGATAACATCCTATCGGAGATTCTCTCAGTATATTCCCTACTCTACCCTCAGTTCGGCTTTGGGGAAACTTTCGTATTGAACCTTTTTACACTCGGTTACCACAAGTATGCTATCATATGAAACATTGAAAAACATTTACCAGAATATCGCTTTCCTTCCAAAGATTTTATATCAGATAGCACGTGGCCACAAACACATGATTCATTTGAGACTGGCATCTATATAGTTAATGACATAATCCTTTAAAACAGCATATGTTATGATGTCCGAATTCTCCTAATTTATAGTATTTTTTTAATATACGAAAGCTACTTGAGGGGATCAATTTATTTAAAGTCTCTATATACGTGCAATTTAGCTGTGTAGCAGACTTTGGGATGAAGAAGATAAAAACCCAAGTGTGTTTGTTTTAGATCATGGCAAAATATAAGAGTAGTGTAGAAAACACTGTTTCCCGACCATCTACGATATCAAATGAATATATTAACACCAGGATCGAACTCCTGCATGAGTCTCGCGAAACATCCGATATATAGAGTAGAGCCTAGAGACGTCGACTGGGAGGCTGTGCCAAATTGTTTTCTACCACGCGGCACGCATGCATTTACGATTGAATGGCGTTCGGTATGATTTTGCTCTGAAAACTTTAGGTTGAAGAATAATTGTCACATGACGGCTGAAGCTATATACGTAGTTACATCAATGCACAAATCTCGTTTTTCGGCGAAATTTCATGCTCGCCTATATTAAATTGCCCGATTCAGGCACTTACCTCGCGATTGCACGAAATACACTGTTTTGTTGACGACATGTCAGCATTAAAATTTAAAACCTCGCTTGATATTTGTTGCGGTGTGCTGTCAATCTTCTAAAATTATAGCGAAAAAATTGCATCGATGAGTTTTCTTTTAAGCAACCAGCGGATGATATATAAGCCCTTATTATCAATAAATCTTTAAATGCCTCGGATCAAAATTTTAGGATAAAATTAAAAACTTCAATGAAAAGACATACACTGTTAATTCAAAAGAGTCATTTTGACTCCTTCAAAGGAGTCGTTTTCTTGACCCCAGGACGACTCCTTGAAGAGAGTCATTTTGACTCATTTTGGGTTGACACCTGTAAAGAGTCATTTTAACCCTTTAACTAGAGTCATTTTGACTACCCATGGAGTCGTTTCAAAATGACTCTTGCAACAGTTAAAATGCAAATTAACTCCTCAAAAGTGTCGTTTTAAAAGAGTCATTTTGATTTTTGACTCTCCTTTGGCATCAATTTTACTCTTATTTGGAGTCATTTCGACTCCTTTTTGTCATCGATTTTACTCTTCTTTGGGGTCATTACGACTATTCTGTGGCATCAATATTACTCTTATTTGGAGTCATTCGACTCTTCTTTAGCATCGATTTTACTCTTATTTGGGGTCATTACGACTCCTTTTTGTCATCGATTTTACTCTTATTTGGGGTCATTACGACTATTCTGTGGCATCAATATTACTCTTATTTGGAGTCATTCGACTCTTCTTTAGCATCGATTTTACTCTCATTTGGAGTCATTTCAACTCTTCCTTGGCATCAATGTACTGTTATTTGGGGTCATTTGACTCTTCTTTAGCATCGTTTTTGCTCTTATTTGGAGTCATTTCCACTCCTCTTTGACATCGATTTTACTCTTATTTGAGGTCATTACGACTATTCTGTGGCATCAATTTTACTATAGTACTGTACACCAATATTAGTTTCATGAAGCTTGCATATAATACAAAAGCAGAGTTTGGGTATATGCAGTGAGTATTACAGCATACCATACATGCATCCCGCAAATATGTTTCTTTGAAGAGAAATTATATATAATAAATATCTATATATAAGCATGCAGGCTTTAAAATATCGGCCAACAGGCCATCTGTCAAATGTCCGGTGTCTTTAAAAAATGGGTTGGGTATACATTTTTAAAATTAAAATATGGTAAATGGCCATATGTTAGCAGCAACTAATTAAGTAATGGTTTAAAATCGAATTTTCAAACGATTAAAACAGTACAAAACTTCAGAGACAAAGAAAAAGCCTCAAATGTTATTTTATTCTGTAATTATAGTCGACGGCTAAACGTTTTATACTTCATAGTGTGTATTTTTTATATCAAAATTCAAATTACACTTTCAAAAACACTTTTTGAAGTTATAGCAAAGGTGTAATAGCCTTTTGCAGGTTTATCCGTTTGCATAAAAAGCTGAAAATTAAACAAATAAACGGCATACAAAGCTGAAAATTATACAATACAGCTCATCCTTATTGCGAAGCAAATACGAAAGAAACAAAGTAAACACGCACCCTTTGAAAACACTTATAATTAAGCTTGCATGCAGATTATGAATTATTTCTCTTACACGGCTTTCGGTCTTGATTGTATCCCTGTTCATCTTTGGTATCTGTCATGCTTCATATATCTTGTTTCTTCCCGTTTTACTTTGCACAAAGTTTATGAAACGCTTTTACAAAAAGGTTTACGAAATGACAGTTAAATTGCTGACGTTCTCATTGAAATTCAAACTTTCTGTCTTAGCCAATCAGAACGTTTGTTGATTATTTGTCATTTTTGATATCAGCATATACTTACCAGCATGAGTCAGAACTATTAAAATGGATTTATGTATAATATATTTTTATGTGTGCATATCCTGTTCCAGCTGACATTTTCAAGAGATATAAAACCTATATACATGCAGCGTAATATATTTTTTATATTTATTTTATTTTATAAATTTGCCATGTTAAAAAGTTAGAATGAACTACACATAAACTACAAATGAACTACACACATGCAGTGGCTGGAATCACCACACAGAGATATGTCTTCCACAACAAATAGACAGACACAAACATACACATATAAGCAACTTAACAAATTTATAAGACTTTCTCGATACATGAAGAAACGATAACAACTAATATCAAGTTATTTGTGTCATAATAATTGAGTATTTTTTTAATGTGTTGACTGGTTATTTGCTTCAAATACAAAGGATTTGTAATACATGTAACATGCCTAATGACTTCAATTTAATATTTTAAACATGCAAATTATTTGTTTTGTATATAAGTGGCTGTTATAAAAGCCAGAATGACTCTAAGAAAGAGTTCCACCACTCCAACAAAGAGTCATATGGCTCCAAAAACGAGTCACATGACTCCATGTGAACTCTACTTAAGAGTCTATTGACTCTTGCGAGAGTCTTGTGACCCTTCAAAGGAACTAAACGAGTCCTCCGAATTGTCATTTTAACCCAATGTCGGAGTTAAAACGACTATTAGAGTCGAAACGACACATTAGAGGAGTAAAAATGACCTTTTGAATAAAGGTGTTGAAATGACTCGCCCTGGTCAAAACGACTCTTTTGAATTTACAGTGTATTGAGTGTATTCAACTATTATGTAACACTTGTATCAGTTGTTATGGGAACTGACAGGGAACAACAGAATTAGATCATTTAATGCTTTACCGCATGTCGGTGGATAATTATTTTTACTCTCAAACTCAACCGTTTTTAAACGCGAAAATAATTTTTTAAAAATATTTTTTACTACGGGAATCCTTGGCTTATATAGTTGGCTATACAAACAACTTTCTTTGCAACTTTGTGTTGAAGGAACCCCACTCAATCTTGCATGGCAGTTGGCTAAACAAGATGCATGCATGGGTATAGTTGTCATGCAAAGCTTGAAGGCAAATAAAGAGGACATCGTTTCTATTTTCAATATCAATTATTACAGAGCGCAAAAAATTGCCAGGTTACCAAAATCTAGTGCTATACAGTAGTTGATAGTCAATGTCAATGACTATATTCTACATGAATAAATTCATTTCTATCATTCTATATTGCAACTGCGCATGTACCGAAGCTGATACAAAATATTTTTCGGTATTTTCTTTCTCTGCTTGAAAGACAATTATTATTTTCCTATTTGGATAAGCGATGGTAGCTACGTATCAAATTATTCTGGTTTGTGATGAGCAAGGTCATAACTAATCTGATATCGATGACTGCAGATAATACATCGACATCCCTTTCGCACTACATCGACACAAAATTCCCCTGTTTCGTGGCAATTGAAACCTGTCTGAAACAGCTATTCCAGCACAAATTCTTTAATGTTATGACCTTATAGTAGCTAACTGAAGAAATAACGCTGACTTCTGCATGAATTACCTTGACTGAAGTCTATAATTATATAGGCTCAAGCCTGCATGCAAAGCTAGTTTTGCTTTGCTTTTTTGAACGCTGATGACATCATTCTGTTCACAATTTACCTTGATATAGCAAGGTTAAGTAGGAATAGAAGGAATTTTTTAAGGCAAAAAAAATCAAGCATTGTCTTCATAGGATGTGTTTGCACGCGTTAATTGATATCGTGTTTGGAACAGCCAACTCAGCCTCACGCAGGCAAGACTTTGAATTCTGGTCGTTTCAGATGAGCCCGGCTTTTTCATTTCGTGTTTGAAGTTTTCATTTTCTATCGTTAACTGTTCTTGTTTAATATTGGTCAAACCTTTTGCTATAGTTCTGCATGACAATGATGATGATGAAGGCAATTGTATATTATACATTAAGCTATTCTTCCCCTAAGTCACGTATGCATGCATGCAAAGGTAATTAAATGCCAATTATACCATTAATATTTGGGCTATGAAAAATCATCGCCTGTAACAAGTAACATGTCTTGCATGGACGAGACAACTGGCGATTCTGATTTTCACTATATATATAAGACAGATATCCATTCTAATGACTAATGTGTCTTTTTGTGCGGCCGTGAGAGCTCAAAAAAAATCCATCAAAACTCAGTAGTTCTATATAATTATGCGTACGCGTCTTGACTGAATCAACAATTAAATACGCCGTTTTAACGTAACAACGTCAAGACAAAAAGGCCAGAAATACTTCCGGTCGCTATATCTTGAATTACTATAGCTTGAAATCGCCAGATTCGTATTTCAGTGCCGAGAAAATAGCAAGGCTATCACTAAAATGAGTTTATCCCACGCATTTTATAAGCATCTATAACATGTATTATTATTAGATTCTGATGTTCTCTGCATTCTGCAATATATATTCCGCTTTATTGTGACAGAAAAATATTATTGGCGCATCACGTGCTTTTCGTCATACTCCTAAAGACCTACTGCTTCGAAAATTATGTTCCAAAAGGATTCATGCACGTTGTCATAAATCATTAGAATCTTATGACCATTATAGCAAAAGACTTAACCCTAACCCACCCTTATCCATTCCTAGATAAAAACTGAATTATTAAACGCCAGACAATTAAATGTTATCAATGCATGCATGCATGCAGACATCACCGCCTAAATGTATTATATAAGACATATTTTCAAATTTCAATCACTATGCATTTCGGTTGTCGTACGTGTAAGTGTAGAAATCAATTTTATTTTCCTGCCATCGAAAAAGTTACATGCGAAACTACATACAAACCTGTATAATCTGAACCTGTCTGTCTGGCCTATTTTGTTGCATTTACGGCAGAGCACATCAAGTGGTAATAAAATCCACACTCTCCCTCGTGGAATAATATATCAAGCTGTTTAGTCGGGTAACATATACAAGTAGATATCTGTTTTTGAACACTGCCACCCGCAAAATGATTAAATAACCTTTCCAAATAACATCAACTTGAAGTTAAAAACACCAATCATATATCCGTGGCACTTGAGTTTGTTAACTAGAGTGTTCAGCAGTGTATATAATCCTGAAGATGACAATTTCAGATTTGAAGATCATACACCCGATATTGATCATAGTTGAAATTTCAATCACACGATGTGGAACCATTAGAGTGAATTTCCGTTGTTTTATGGGCATTTAAATTCACAAATATAGTTACGCTTCCCAGCAATCCGGCCACACATGGCCATGTACTGTGAACTACATAGTTATAGCTACCTATATATAATAGTTGTTAGCTACCTATATATAATAGTTGTAATGCAGCCTAGCGCCTTTCATGCATTTTATGTTTGTTTCACAATTTTAAGATACAATCGACCAGACAGGACAAACAGGCAACATTTAATCAAGTGTATATTATGTGGAAGGTTAGAATTAGATACAAAGACATACAAAGAAACACCAAGGATATAGTGCATGCATGCTCCCTTTGCCCTTGGACAGTTCGTGTACCAAGCAATAGGACCGGTATGATGGGAGATTTTGGCGAAAGAGCACTCATGCAGGGCACACTTAGAGGGCTCACATCAAGAATATATCTGGGGGGGGGGTTCTAAGCTCTGGGATCGTTTCTTCTGCTGTTTGTACTTGATTGAAAAAACGTAAATTTCAGTGGAGTTACGAATGTCTGCAAGGATTTTTGAGATTTCATCCATCGGAAGCAAAATGTTAGGCTACAATTATTCTCTGTCTATATGAATTACAGCAAAGTTGATGTAGTTATTCGACGAACCAATGAAGACAGCGTATAATTTCCAAATCCCGTTGTTACAATTTCTATTATACCACGATTATACTCGGGCTCGCGATCGTTGGCAGCATTTATAGAAACGACAGGAACGGCGCTGACATTAAAGACTGCGAATTGGTTCATAATTGAGCTCCCGCCAGGGTGCACATTTAACCCCTTTTCTGTAGCAAACCATGCATCGTTCCTTCTATTGCGAAATACGTTTTGCAAACCTTTAAACAACCATCAGTTTTCAGTTGCAAACTTTATGTCGTCTTGATCGTTATACGGATCGAGTGCCGAGTGTCTTTTTTATATAAAATTGTTTTGAACAGATTAATAGATCAATACTCAAGAGTCAAGACCAAGTATATAGAACTATAGTTTTTATGGCACCATTAATCTAGTCGCCTGCCCTTATATGCAAGTTTAGAACAAGTTATCCTAATCTTTCAGGCAATGCAGTATTTAACAGCACGTGGCCAAACAAGGTTAAATTCCTCTTGTTTTCTCATAACTCGGCATAGTAGGCATAACAGAGTCTTTTCCCTTTGCTATTTGTATCATTTTTCCGCTTTGTCTAACATCCGATGACAGCGCCTACATGCATAAGGGTCGACGAACAACGACTGGTCAAACCGGTCATATATATTTAGTATTTCGCTAAGAATATAGCAGTGCATGTGCTTAATTTTCCGTGCTTAATTTTGAATGTGTTTAAATATAGCAGTGCTTAATTTTCCGTGCTAGTCAGATGTCATAAATAACAATATACGTGCTTAAATGCAGAGTTCTTGAAACACTCTGAAATATCAGTAATCTTCCGTACTGAAATACAACAGGACTGGTCTGTCCGTTTTTACCGTATTAAGGAAAGCACCCATGCAAGATGAATGAGAGAGTTGACGCGTAACTCACTAACTTGCATGTATAAAACCGCATTTTCAACCCTACCCTTTGCCCACGTATATTACTGATATAAGAATGCTTTATTTCATTTATTCATTTATTTCAAGCCATATGTATGCATGACTTCTTATTTCCTACCAATATTCGATTTTCGAGTGGTTTCACATAGCCCCTGTTATTCCCCTGTTATATATTCAAGGACATGTTAATTTTTACTTGGTTGACGACTGCATGCTCTGCCAGCATTGACGAACAAATCATAACCCGGTCAGAATTCAGAAACACTTATCTATGCAGCGAAGCCTTTCTTAAAGCCTTTATTTCCTGTACCCCGAACCCTTCTATATACAAAACTAGATCAATTCGAAATGTACAATACTTGATATATATAGTAACACGGATTTATGTTCTGTGGTCAATACACCGAAACCTGATCACATAGTTCCCATAATTTATACGGCTTTGTGTTTCATAGACGTCTCAAAACTATCCGTCTCCCTCGACTTACTGCAATGATTGTTCAGACGTCACGTTGATAATTCATATGTACTTGAAATACACAACATATCTATGCTACATGTCTTTGTCATCTTACCGAGTGCTCACGCTTTCTGCCAGTCGATTCAGCAACATTTGCGTTTGAACTTTGTGATGTTTCCTTTAGCAGTGTCGTCATAGTCATGTTATGGGCTCTGTCTGTAGTCACTTCAATTTCTCAGCCTCGATACAATGCTTTTATCCGTGGGCTTTCCGTGGGAAGCGGTGTGACTAATATATCTAATAATAAGAGACGTGTAAGGTAGTACGTCATATTTCAAGACATGAACATGTGATAATGTTGCAACCCATGCAAGGTTGTCCGCATATAGCGGCTCAAGTATGCCCACAATGCAGGTGGCGAATCTATCAATTATTATTATGACATGACTCGTTGAACAACAGCAATAGTTTAGTCTAGTTTACTTTCGTAATCCTAATATAAGCAAATATATATAATATCATATAACTGCATCTTATAGCTGCTTTTGTGCATGTACAAATGTACAATCCCCATGCAAATATATATACCGTAATTGCTTCGTCTAACTCATTATATTGTTTTAAAAACTTTGAATACAATGGCTTGTTTTAAATTTTTATTTAACATAACAGATCTATCAGACATTATACAAAAAAACATTAGACATGCATAGCAGTTGTATTGATATTTATTTCATTAGAAATAACAATTTATCGTTAAGGAATCGAATAAACGTTCAACGCAACTTTGTTTTATATTTGTTCTGTCAGTCAGGACACTAATGAGAGAATCCTTATCGATGATGCGTTGCGTGCATTTTTGTGATTAGACAGCTAGGGCACACCAGAAAGAAATACGACAAATATGGTACAACGATAAAACACTTCTTTTTCTGGAAGTTATATTACGCATATAAAAAGATCAAAATATCCTTCGCGCGCACTATATGTCAATACAAATAAGTCAAAACGACACGTTGTTTTCACCCATTTTACACGTTATCTTGCTGTTAGTGTTGCAATCAAGCTTAACTCGCAAAGTACAAATCACGCAGGTATCTATCAACTGAATAAAACATGTCTCAAGATAACGTCGGATGCCGAAATATAAAAAAAATCAACTGACAAAATGTCAGGCCATATTTAGCTCTTTTTTCAAGCAGACTGAATAAATACTTATGGTAGGCTTAACATGCACCCACTTCAGATCTGAGTTGCAAGAAATATATTGGACAAGTATATAGCGATCCTCTATATACTCCATAAAAAACCCAAGATCAAACCTCATGGAGATGAATGCATGAACAATTTTCCAGATTATATAGTGCTTTCCAGTTTCACACACCCGCCGATTATCGCATGGTGTGTACGTTAATTGAAACAAGTACCATACAAATGCAATTAGTTCACATGGGTTTAATATCCCAATCACATTCATGCATGTCTACCGCTTCAAATGCATTCATGCCATGCTATAATACATTATACGTATCTATTTTTGGTGGGAATACCGGGCATTCCTGACGTATATAAATATACTTGAGCTTGATTATACAGATTGAAGATGGAATTTTGGAGCTGGCTAGTTCATTTTATTCATAGGCGCAGGAAGTAAGATAAAATTGAGAGGGAGCTACCAGGCTTTCAGGGGCACTTAAAAAGGGCAAAAGTCTTTTGAAAAATTTGGAAGAGATTAAAAATGTCCATCAAATAAAAATTTGGAGGTACATCCAAGCTGCCTCTAGTGTCCTTGGATCTGCATGTCGCCCCTGATTAGGCATCGCGTTCCTTTTTCGGTTCCTATACAATTCTACAATGCGTTTGATTACTGGTGAAAGAAGATATTGCCAGCCACAAATTTAGACAAAGACAAAATGTCAACCTGCGTAAACTTGCATGCTCATGGGTAATCAGTAATTAGGTTAGTATAATTACGTCCTTATTAAACTAATCGAATTTCAGTCGAGCAAGTTATATAATGAAATTTTTAATATGATACCGAGACAATTAATACAGAATTTATCCGATCTAAGTATATATATATATATATATATATATATATATATATATATATATATATATATATATATATATATATATATATATATATATATATATATATATATATATATATATATGAATGCCAAAAGTGCATGTTCTTATCTAATAGTTTTTATGTGGTCGATAGTGCATTACATATAATTAAGGTGCATTTACTAGACGAAGTTCAATATTTAACACACATAGGTACCCGCAAAATTTGCGGTATTTATGTTATTATTATTATTATTATTATTAAAATTGAACGAGCGTAAAATTAATAGAAAAAAGCATAAAGAGATGAAATGGTCTCAGTTATTTGGAGAAACGAATGATTTTTTCACCTGATCTGACAAATTATCTATTTTATCGTTCTCTAACAAATCCAAAACTTCACCCCGGCTCCGTTGACGACTATTCGCCTTTTCAACTTCAGGCGAGCTCAGCTTCTTTAATTTCTTAAAGCACTCCCCTTCCTCTTCACTTGGCTTAATTTCCTTGCGAATGCACTTCACCTGAACGTTGCTATCGAATTCGCCGGCATTCCAACCCAGTGGCTCCATCGCGGCATTTGCCTCCGTGATTATTTCAATCACCTCGCTGAAGTTGCTCCTGAAAATCAGCATCTTGTTGTGAAAATTAACGCTAACTCCGTGGTTTTCCAGCACTTGGCTTTCGATCGTTGATTGTGGGAAGACGTGATCGTATTTTCTCCAGTACTTTCGCGCCGTCTTTTTGTTGTCGTTTTTCTTGTCAAGCAGATGGAACGGGGAGGCTGACATTACTTGGGACCGCAAGGCTTTTGTATTTCTTTTCATGACATTTTCTTGAAGCTCCGGCCACCAATCTTCACTTATTTTGACGGCTTGTAGCATCACCATTCGAAAGACACTGGAAGCTATCTCGGCAAATGCCGAAGCGGCTTCATCCGGCCCTGCATTCTCCCCACCGAATTTAAAGACATTGTTATCACCATCGACATTGCTTTGTATCGCTTCGAGCCACGACCGTTGTTGATTCATTTCTTCAAGGCGTCCACTTTTCTTCAGTTCTTCAATTGCATCCGATGCAATATTATAACCAGGATCGATGTTCACAAAGATTAGATCTCCCTCCATAATGTTTATTTAGGCATAGACTGAGTGGTTTTGAAAGGAAAGTCGGGAAGCGGACTCAGCTAAGGTATTTATGCAATTGTACCTGACCGGCTTATGTAAACAGAACGCTATCCTGCACGCAAAGGCTTGTTTAGGCGGTCATCACATCGTCATTTCGATCGTCGAGGGTTTACGAAAAACGACAAATATAGGGAAAAACAAGCAAAATATATCATCCCAAGTGCTCTAATTTTTGTTATTTTCCATGGAAGCCGCATTTTTATTTTTCCCTCTTCATAATCATACATCCATTCGCTTCTTTCGATCAGTGAACTTGATATTTTGAACCTCGCAAAGGTCGCCCGAAAAAATTGGTTAAACAAGAATGTAATTGTGGTTAAATATTGGTTAAATAAACCCAGGAGTATGTTGCATTGGTTTAAGAATAATAACTGCATGACGTTTATCAGATCTTTATAAAATATGAAAAGAAGTTGAAACTAAAATCACACGCCATCTAAGGCCTGTCTTATTTGGTTTTCTGAGAGTGTAATTTTGTGTCAATATATGCATCCTTTCTAGTAAGCACAATTTTGTCAAAAATATCAGAATATTAACGCGTGGAGCATAAGCAAATAAATACATCGGAATCATCTTTCCATGTACACATTTTCTATATTATACTGAAATGACTGTTCAGACGTTCGAACTCAACAAAGTCAAGAAGGTCATGATGAATATCGATATATGAATATGTGACCTAAAACTTTTCCTCTTGCAAGGTACTGTACAAATATAAAATGAATGCATACATGTTTTGTACGTTTGGCCCCACCCGGTGAAGTATTAGATTAGAAGATTATAAATAACACTAGAGGGAGCATCGAGGAAAAATTGGGGAGCGCGCTAATGGAGGGCAAATCCAAGTCCTTGATGTTCACTCCTTCACGATGTCTGAGGCCAAACTGATATGTAGTTTTTAACGAGTTTTTTCTATTTCTAAATGTTTTTTCCCCTAAAATATCATTTCAGGATGTCTAAGGTAGTAAAACCAGTTCAAAAAAAGAACTGTTTTTCCTTAAAAAACCGGAAAAGCGACCTAAAAACGAATATAATTTTTTTAATACAAATTTTAGTTGTTGCTAACGTGGTCGCTACGGAGGCATTGATCTAGCCAATCAGCGCTTGGCTTAGCATCCGGGACTTGAATTTATTATTATTATTATTAAGTCTTTACATTTAAAATCTAGCCACAACAGACGTGTGACCTTACAATTCAAACTAACATATACTAACATATACAAGAATGGAATAGAATTATTAGTGTACAATATCTATTATGACTAAAGTTATTGCGTCGAAGAGAGTTTTTAACTGCTTTTTTGAGTAACCGTATGATCTGCACATCCTCAAAATGTACATTCGACTACTAGCTCTAGTTAGAAAATTGTCAACTTGAATGTCTAAACACGACGGATCATTCTGCAATGTTGTTCCCAACAGTTTCAGCCAAGACTTACGCTTAATACCCTCTATTTGGTTTGGCGGAGGATTTTTTGATTTACGACTTATAACCATTTCCCAAGTTTTACCTAAATTTAATGACATTTTGTTTCTTTCTGTCCATTTTTTAATATTGTCTACTTCAGTTATTGCGGATTCATAATTATTTTTCACTGGAACGTTGAGAGTGCATGTTATGTGGATCTTTGACGCCAAATCGTTCATCATCAGAGAGAATAAAAAGGGGCCAATAACTGTGCCTTGTGGTACTGCTTTATTAGTACCTACATAGTTCGTTTCGATCCCATTTAGTATTACTCTCTGTCTTCTATCTGTCAAAAAATTGACAATCCAATTTATTACATATGTGTTAATGGTTGTTTCTTGTAACTTTTTGCTAATAACACCATGAGAAACAGAATCAAAGGCTTTCTTTTGGTCAAATGAAATAACTCTGACATGGTTGACGTCGTTATCCAGCCAGTTTAGCCATTTATGGTGGCACATTATTAGAGCATCAGTTTCACTTGTTCGTTCTTTATATGCGAATTGGTCACATTTTATTATTTGCTTTAATTCTGATGAGATCTCTTTCTTAAGAACTATTCTTTCGAATAGTCTCATTATTACATTTGTGAGGGATATAGGCCTTAATTGAGGTTAACTACTGGGTTGAGGTTGGCGGTTTTCCATAAGAGGGGAACACATTGTTGCTCTAATGACATGTTGAATATCTTTGTTATAACTGGGGCTAAGTATTTTGCAAAGTCTTTCCATAGCCAATTAATATGGTAGGCCATCTGGCCCTGCCGATGTTTTCTTTTGTTTTTGCAAAAACCTTTCTACCGTGAATATATCAACATATGGTACTCTAGTAGAATTTGGTATAGGGGCGATTTCCGGAGATGTGTAGTTGTCATCTATATTCATCGCTCTGAAATAGCTATTTATGACATCTGGATCTATATCTATACATTTGCCCCCCATTATTGCGCTCCCTTTTTCGACTGATGTTTTCGATACCAATGCCCCCTCTAGTGTTACTTATAATCTCTATGGCTACACTAGCCAAACTCGCAATTATCACGCAAAATCCCGCGCGAGTTGATGCATATCTTAGCGGTCACGTGGTCGATATATATATTTTTATATATATATAAATATTTTCATATATTTGTATATTGTCATACATAATTTGTCGGTATATCGTTGATGATATAATTTGTCAATATCAGTATCTTGATTCGACAACCCCCCCTATCGTGTCACCCTAACTTGTCTACCGAATTAAAGAACAGTCTCCCTTTCAAACACAACTAAGCTGCATTTTAATTCGCTTGTTCCGACTAAGCTTTTAGTCATTTTCCGAAGCAGTTGTGAGTTGGTTGGTTTCAACAAAGCCCCAGCAAGAATAAAAATTCCTGCGGTAACTGCGGCTGCTCCGACTGCATAAAGGACATGAGAAAAATTGCCATTCAGGTCATAGAAAAACCCTGAAAATAGATAAAAAAAATTGCTCATCAGTCCAGAACAGTACATGTTTTATATGTTTTTTTTCTAGTGTACTTTTTAGACGGCGTATACGGATTTAAGAACGCGTTGATTCATATGAGAACCACAGACACAATATACACCGCAAATTAGCCGGCTACGCGCAGATAATATATGCCAAGTATATGGGTAATATACCATTCTAATTGGGTATATATAAAGGCCCGTTTCGATATAAAGTATTTGCATCGGGTACGCTTGACGCCCGACAGTGAATTTTTCAATAGTATATATAAACAAAATTCCTACCTATGGCAGGGGGCCCTATTAAATACCCAAATGCTTGGGAAAAAAGTATCAACGTGAACACTATATCCGAGTGCCGTGGATCTGAGATTTCCATAGCAACGAATGATAACATCACCCAATACATGCCATCCAGTATCCCAATTCCGCCCATATAAACTGCCAATATCACCAGAGATTGCGTGGATGAAAAACACGCACTGGATATTCCAAAAAGGACAACTACAGCTGATAGCAAAACACTCATTTTGTTCAATTTCATAACGTAATCCGCAACACATCCAAAAGTCGACCGAGAAACTATAGATAGCAAACTAAAGGTGACTAACAGCCATTTTGATTTCGATATTGGATATCCTAGCGATCTTGCGTATTGAATCTGAAAGAAAGATTTAATAGATCACCGGATTAACTCAGCCGTATACTGGTATTTATTCAAACTCAGTCAGTCCGTGCATGGAAAGATTTATTAAATTTATAATTGACCCATATATTACTTGATTCATGCAAATGTCAATACAAAGATTTTTTCCAACAATTTTCAAGTCATTTTGACAAAATGAAATTTGTAAGAATTTGAGTTATTAAATCGGCTGAAAAATTGTGTTTGTACCTAATAGTAGATATTGTGGTTGCATGCATGGCAAGTATATTTGACCAAAATTTTATAAATTGTCGATCGTCGTCGTGTTGATGTCGGCTGTGCTTTATATCTGTATATAATAATCATGCACTGTATATACCGCTTCGAATGCATTAACCATCTCCTATTAATAATACTGATATAATTTTTAACTGTAAACATGCAAAATCGACGAGCACACCTACCACGAACATGTTCGGAATGTACTCAACAACGGAAAACAAGGCATTTCCAGAAAGTATCAACAAAATTCGTCTATCTTTCAGCAGTGACAGAGTTACATGCAAACAATCCACTATTTTAACATTATTTTCTTGTTTTCTACGCAGCATACCACCGTCTGCACAGTCGAGGTCTGAAGGCGGCCTGTATGAAATAGCCAGAAGAAGAAACATCAAACCCAAACTGGAGAAGCAAGCCATCATTGTTTTCCATCCTGCTATGTCGAAAATGATTGGAATCAAATAACTAAATAGCATTGGCCCACATCGTTGTCCTGCGTAGCGTACTCCTGTTGCGCGACCAAGGTAAATTCTAAAATACTCTCGTAAACTTACGACAGTGACACACTCGTAGAATCCACACGCAATCCCGAATGGTATGGAGTAAGTCAAGAAAACGTATTCCAGACTTGGCACGTATGAGGTTGACAAAAAAGAAAGAGCTGCAAGAGCTGCAGAAACAAACATAACGGGTCGTAATCCGAAATAACGAAAAAGATAAACGCCAACAAGTGAACTTACTCCTTGGCTACACAGCAAAACAGAACCGGCCCAGCCTATATATAAGTATAAAAATATACAAACAAGTGTAAACATTAAATTTTAGCTGCGTTTCGATTTGCGGATAAAGCATGTTTCTGATTGATGCAGGGACATACGGCTTTGTTTGCAAATACCTCATAATTAAGGAAGTCGCTGACTTTTTATGAGGGTATATATTTGACAAAAACTCAGGAGTCAGGACATGATTTTGATATACATGTATATCATGCAAGTGATAATTAAAAGCGTCGATCTGTTAGTGCGCACATATTTAAACTTGATTTTTCACTTGGGAAAACCCATCTTGGTTGAACCTATACCTATATTATAAGGACTGTAACTGCATGTCTATAAGCAACTCATTTTTAACTTTGTGTTTACGTTGTCCAATTACTAAAACAGCGCTGTGAAAAAAATTAACTTTAAAAGTAATTTGAAATTACCTGCTTTCGAATTAGTTCCGCCATATTCTTTCAAAAATATGTCGATGAATATGCCAAACGAATAAAATACACCACTGATCGGTAACGCAGTAAAGAAGACAATTGCGAGGTAAATCCACGATCTCAGCCGATCTTTTTCAGTGTATGACATCGATCAATTCTTTAGCTAAAACAAAAATACAGTGAAGTATAGCTTAGGGGGATGTGATTATCTGGGATTGTTATTTTAACGGTATATATATCTTTTGTGTTTTGTCCTGACTTATGAAGATCACTTATATGAGTAGAAGTATAGCTTATATTGGGGGATGTGATTATCTGGGATTGTTATTTTAACGGTATTTATCTTTTGTGTTTTGTCCTGACTTATGAAGATCACTTATATGAGGCGCATTGGAAACCTATAGCTAATAGATTTCTCACGCTCAACTTCGAGACTGCATTCACTCGACTGTAGATTGAGCAACCAGTAAAACAACCAGTAAAATCGAGGTAAAATTCGTTCCATGTTACGTTTTAATGCAAATTAGAACAAAGTCGTCAAAGAGGGATTCAAATTAAGAATTAAGGTCCGTTGCATCAACGCAAATGAAAATTTTCAGTGGAGGAATTGAGCGTCCATTAAATATTGTATACAAGGAACCGAATTCTTTAAGAACATGAAAAAACTGACGCTTTAGGACGATGAGGCTTGGCGCCGGGCGATAAAATTGGAGAGCTCCATGCATGTAGAAAGTCGTTTCCTATATGTCTGTTCTAAACTGGTTTTTGTATTATTATTTACTATATCATGCCCCAACACCGCCTCATATGGCCCGACTCTGAACTCATTTTAGCCCGACTGAAATGTGTTCTGAGGAGGGCCAAAAACACATTTATGCACAGAAACATATCAACTGTATTACTATTCTATTAATTTTAAAGGGCAATTTTTGTATAAAAAATAATGCAATGGGTAAACACTTCAGTCATTCTTCTGATTGGCTTAGATCAGCGGGCTAAAATATATTTCAGCCCGGCAAATTTATCATTTTAGCCCGCAAAATACACCACAATGCCTGCCAAAGTTAATATAATATACAATACATTTTGATATTAATAATACATTGGCAAAATCATCCGTATTTCAATTTCAGCATTGTTTAAAAACATCAAAGTTTTATATAATGTTTTTACTACATATCTATAGGCTAAAAATTTGTTTGTGATCTGCCCAATGCCAAGACTAAAGTACAGAGGCAGCTGCCCGAACTTCCCTATATATATGGCTTTGCTTGCCTTCTGCATGTATATATTATACCCTTTGCTCGATATAGAAAGATCATACATTCATCGTTTAAATTCTAATTTTTATCATATTAACTTTGGCGGGCATTTTTTTAGCCCGCTGATCTATAAGCCAATCAGAAGAATGACTGAAGTGTTTACCCATTGCATAATTTTTTATACAAAAATTGCCCTTTAAAGTTAATAGTAATCCAGTTGATGTTCTTGGGCATAAATGTGTTTTGTGCCCTCCTCAGAACACATTAATTGAGTCGGGCCAAAAACACATTTATGCCCACGAACATCAACTCTATTGTTATATATAGTGCATACATACATGCATGCATGCATTGCATGGACTGGAGTCCTCGTAAAATATTGCAAAATTTACATATAATATTCGATTGTCTTAACGCATTTGCCGTTAAAACCCCACGATCACAGAAGCAAAAAAACATTTAAAACAAAAAAATTATTAAGGACAATCCAGTCGTCTAAACTTGTTTTTATATTTGACAGTACAACTCTGCCCCTGGTCTGTTATGACGTTGAAATTGACGATGGAAAAAAATGCTCCAGTCTCGAAATATATAATGTAATTTCGAGACTGGAGCAATTTTTTCCATCGTCGATTTCAACGCGTCATAACAGACAGAGGCATGAGTTGTCTGTCAAATAAAGACACTACATAGCTATACATAGGATCAGTATATCAAGATGCATATAAAATTCGACGAGAAAAAAGGTCGACTGCACAATTAACGTGAAATTGCTGCGGTTACTAGAAACATATAACGACATTTCAATATTTCTTGTTCAGACGTTGATAACCGAAACGAAGGAGTTGTCATCATATTTTCAAATGGACTTTCGCTTAGCTAGCAACCTGCGTACTATACAGCCTATACAAAAATTAATATAACCTTACCTATATATATACGAGTATATCGTTAAATATATATTCTATCGACAATTCCTTCATCGATGAATTTAGACAAGAATGTACCACAAATATCGATTCTCATCAACAGTTCTTATTATATTATCCTTTTCATTTCAAGTGGACCGATTGTCGCGCTGTTGATACTCTCAAACATTAACGCATGCTGATGAAAAAGTTTCGACAATGCATGCCAGCCATACCTCCGTTTCTTCCGTCACGACATCAAATTTAGAAATTTATCCCCACGCAGGCCAATTTGAGACAAATAAAATTTTTTATACCGGTCAGTATAAAAAATTATGCAAAACTGTCTGACGGCTCCACGGGAATATTGTCTTGTTTAATGAACCGCATGTCGTGCTTTTAGAATCCGTAATTATGTAGCCAAATAAGGCTGATGGTTGTTTTGCCTGCATGTATAACTGAGGAATTTGGCATGCAGCTATATAATAAATGAACTTTAAGTTAATATGTAGTGACTTACCATGCCGTGATATATTATCTTATAGAACAATATGTTTCAAAATTTAACCGAAAAAGATCGCCTGGAGAGGAATACATGGGGCACCGTATCTGATGCCTTTAACCAGTATAACCATCGAAAAGAAAATCAAGCGAAAAAAAATTCGTCTAAAAAAAAAATTCAGCCACTCGGACTAGCTTTGGACTAGATTCCGCTGGTCGATTGCATGTATACAGTATACTATTATTCTTGAAGATCGTTATCTACATTGATACAAAGACCATCTTTTGGCCCTTTCTCCTGCTGTTAAGTAAAGGCTGCCCCTTCATGTGGATGTAATTCTAGGCAAATCATAATGACCCGATTTCTAAATGTGATGAGATAGGTATATATATATATATATATATATATATATATATATATATATATATATATATAATATATATATATATATATATATATTAGTTTGGTCACACAGGTCATGATTCAATACATGTTGCTTTGGGTATGCTATATATACGCGTTAACGCACGGACATGGGCGATTTATGCTGCGGTTTAAGGTGCTATTTTAGTTCTTCATTGATAGATATGCTCGAGTGAATAGGATAGAGGGATGATAAGATATGCATGGGCACTTCACTTGTACACAGATCATTCACTCGTTTGATCATTCACTTGCATATGACTAGATTTGCATGGGATTTCAATCATATTACACAACATATGCAATTCTAATTAGAGTATCTATCTATCTATCTATCTGCAGCCAACGTTTTTGCAAATGGGTGTATAAATATATATATATATATATATATATATATATATATATATATATATATATATATATATATATATATATATATATATATATATATACGAAAACCATATTATTGTATACGAAAACCATATTATTATATACGAAAACCATATTATTGTTTGACTTATATATATTATAATATATATATATATATATATATATATATATATATTATATAATATATATATAAAATATATATATAAATATATATATATATATATATATATAATATATATATATATATATATTATATACGAAAACCATATTATTGTATACGAAAACCATATTATTATATACGAAAACCATATTATTGTTTGACTATATATATATATATATATATATATATATATATATATATATAAATATATATATATATATATATATATATATATATATATATATATATATATATATATATGTATATATATGTAAAAATATATATATATATGTATATATATATATAGTCAAACAATAATATGGTTTTCGTATATCGAAGAGTGCTCAATACTGTAAAGTAGAGGTATAATATAATTGCAGTAAAGACAGAAAACTAAGGTTGTATAATATATATGTATACATGAATTTTTGTGCCCTTGTGTTCAAACTTCAGATCAGGCATTTGCCGAAAAATCTATGTATCGATTGACTTCTGAAGCAAACTATATATAGACCGGCGAAATATGTAACCTTGGATGTCGGAGTCTAATTTGCGAAGGTCATGCAGTATACCTCTTGACGTAGTAATGGCTAATGCTTATATATTATTATACATTCCGTATCAGTAATATACATCATTTGCTGATCTTATCTGGCGCTGAAGGAGTCCCCCTTACAAGCATAAGTTCAAAGTGAACCCTATAACCCCGGCCTGTCGTTCTTATCCAGTTATCCTTTCTTAATCTTCTCTCGTCAACATTTTTTTAACTTCATTTAAAGTTTCAATAAATAAATAGAATTGCACCCATTTTTTTTTAAAACTGCTTACGCTTAATTTGCTTACGCATGCTTAATTTAAATTTTACTGCTATAATGCAATATCTTGTTAGTAACTGCTGACGATGAAATATGAATTGGTTGTTTCAAAGTATATAGCTACAGATTTATTTAATTGTGTATAATGTGAAATTATGCAGACCTTTTTTCAGAGTAACTCTTCCAATCTGGATCCAATTCACCTCTGATGGATGTTGTTTTATAGTCTGTTGACTTGCATTGTATATATGGACATCAATTCAACAAAATCCAGTACAGTGCTGCTTTATCATTAAACTATATATGTCGGAAGGGACTGAATTGGATTTGACAAAATCTGATCGTGCCGTGCATTACACATCCGCCAGATGTTTTGATGACCTTTCCAAAGGTGCAGAGTACGTATATTGAAAAGATTTGGACTTGTTTTAACTTATTCGGTATATATATAGCTAGTATTTTAATTGAAAGCAGAACAGAAATGCACAAATGTGGACCATGCATGCAGTGATAAGTTGGCATTGGATTGCAACGACACTATAGATTAGTGTTTTTCAAAATGTAATGGAATATAGTCTATAAATTCTGCGGTGTTTAGAGTCTAGGTAATTGTCGAGAGTAAAATGTCGAATGACCGCGCTCTTCACGACGGTCCGGAAATTGATATGAATTAGATGACCATCCATCTTGTCATCGATATGCCGTGAAAATTGAGGGAATTCGGCATAAGAGACTCTTCCATGCAGTTTCAAATAGCTAGGAAAATTATTTCTCTTGTCATGTAGTCAGCATGCATGTCAAGTCAGGTTTTAAGGAAAAACAATGCAATATTTTGCCTGTGTTCCTGTACTTTGTCTTTGGCGGATCCATTTAAATGTATGCGCATGATCATTCGTGATCCGTTAAGTAAATATATTTAGCTACTAAAGTGTATCACTTCTTCCCGAAGATTTGCCATTTAACAAGTTTAACCCTGAAATTTCGAATATGCTATATATATTTTGCTATATACCTTAGTGAAACTCTTCAACTTCTTGTGTCATATCGCGTTTTTTATATGCTGTAACTTGCGACTGCATGTGAGATGAACATATTTGGCTTCATATACGTTTCAACTTGATTTAGCCTCGTCTCGTCTGCTTCTCATCAACATTTGAACTTAGAGTTTCTCACTAACGAAACCCTAATCGAATGTTCAGTTCCACCGATCGATCAGTGACCTTGATCCAGTTGGCCAACGTTACGTGTATGCATGTGCAAAACGACAACAGCAACGGCATGCAAGGATGATTGCCTGTGTTAATTATGGAATGTTCCTTTTAAAGTTAATTATCGTCTCTGAGAGTTTTTATTTCTCTTAAACTGACTTTAACAAGTAAATATTCAGCAATTTCGTCTAAAACGCATCAAATAACAACGGTGCTCCGTGAGGATAAATCGTGAAAAAGCGTTGCTTATTTTCTTTTAAATCGCCTGCGTTTTCGTTTAAATATAAATTGATATTATATCTTATTTCTAGTATATAATTTCTCGCACCAGGGAGTTTTTTAATTGAAGATGCTTATTCAAATTCCAACGGAAATTGCTGGACTTAAAAGGAGGAACTCTTTGGGGGGTCCTCCAATATTTCAATCCACACAGTCATTTCGCTCCTCACAGTAACGCATCTCTCGTGGCTGCTAGATGCACTGTCGCGTTTTTAGCACGTACGTATATATTCATAGTGGCGTAGCCAGCCTGACGATTTTTTCCCGCTATGTAAATTTCGAGTTATTATATTTATTCACTTCCTTAGAAATTTATTGTTTTCACAGTCAATGAACACCAAAATGTTAGCATAGCGGGGCAAATCGTCAGGCTGGCTACGCTACCGGCTGCATGCGTATATACATGCATACACGCACGTGAGTTTAAACGCTTTAAAATTTTTATTATTTAACATCTAAGGCTATATGTGCACACGAGCGTCGTTTTCAAGCGTTTTTAAAATTGTTTTTGTCTATTTTATTGTTTACACGCCCTCTCCACACGATCCAAGGTAAAATATGCCTTACAAATATGTTAAATTAGTTTCAAGTCTATTGTAAATTGACGGTGTTTGAAACCGTTTTCGTATGAAAATGAATGTGAAAACGCTCGAAAACGTTACCGTGTGCACATGGCCTAAATCAACAAATGCATACTAAAATACGCGGAAAACTAAGTTATTTCGATTTATTCACTTAGTTTTTTTAAAAATAGCTTATTGCGCGTATCGAAATAAGCCGCCTTTACAAAGACGGGTTTTCTTATTTTTGTTTAAATGCATGTAAATTAGCATTAGATCGCCTGGCTTTTATGAATAAATGAATGAATGAATGCCCAAAATATACGGAAAAATTAATGTACTGCGCTATATTCTGAAATGCATGCATGTATTCTTCAAGACAAAACGCGTGCGTGTATTGTACTTGATGTATATACACTCAACAGCATGCAATAACATCACAAAGACACATTTCAATCTTCTAATATTTATATAGTATATACTTAATGTTTGTGCAATGATTTCTACACTTCATATAAACTGCACTTGCAGTTCATTATTGATTCTTATAATTACTATTAACCTGCGTCGCAAGAATTTTTCACAGGCAAATACCAGCAGGAAAAAAGGGGCTGCATGACTTCGTCAGGTCGAGTAGTAATTCCTGGGTATAAATATTGTTATTATAGTGTCGTCTATTCATGGTAAGCCTGTTATAAGATTAAGGCGCCGGAGCCCCTCGACGCACGATCGGAACGCACGCGAGTCGGCTCTTGTTTGTCTATATATAGCAGCCACATACCAAGGAATTGTCGTTAAGTCTATAGTAGTTTAGATATACGTCAAAATGACCTTTGGTTATAGTAGTAAAGAAAAATCGGAATTTCACCAATTAGAACAGCAACGCAAACGATAGCAATTATCAAACTTGTATGCACACACATTGCAGTCGCACTCCCAGCTTACAACGTCAAATGCCATATTTAGGGTAAATATTTATGGCAGCATTTTAAAAGGTGCCAACGCTACCTGGATGGCTTAAAATTTGGTGCGGCGGAACTCTTCTAAATGCGAAAACAACATCATGTCTAAACCCTATTAAATTCATAAATGAATAATAATAATAATAATAACTAAAACTTATATAGCGCAAATTAACATATAAATATGATCAAATGCGCTTAAATGAAATGTGTTGTTTCGGGGTGTCTTCGTCGCATTGCCATTCCAATTAGATGCTTAACTTCATATAATATCCTGAGCTTTAGTGTCCCACCAAACCTTGTTCAGTTGCGCAGTATAAACGTTGTCATACAAACTAAACTTTATCTGCATTTATAGGCAGAAATTTTCAATTAAATTATAATTAGCTATTTAGATTCAGTTTTTTCCCTCTGAATTTCTATACACTTGGGTTTTTAACTATAAATTTATGATTTATATAATCTAGAAAGGGATGCCTCCAAAGATTTTCATGCCACATGCGAGTTCAGCATGGTGAGAATAGCAAGTCACGCTGTCATGCACGTACTCACGCACGTCACGCACGTACGTACTCGAGCCATGCTTCAATCGTTCCTAAAAACATTTCCATAACCCAAATGTTGGGCAGTAAACTCGGCCGGTCCAAATTTTCAGGTGTGTTACACAGCTGTTTGGCTGAACATATTGCATTCTGGATGATTGGTGGTGATCGAAGTGTCCATTTTTCGCCCAAGAGATAGTTTAGAATCATGCAGTGGGACCCACACAGAGCGTTTCGGCTCAGGAGACTCGTTATCAATAACAGTAATATCTTCGAGTTTACTTTGTTCAATTTTATCCGAAATTCCATTTTGAGCTAGCTCGGAAATCCCGTTTGATGCAACCGATGCATTTGCATTTAAGGAACGAGAAACACCACTCTCCCTGCCCTCGTTTTCGACGTACGGGGAGTTATCCACTGATTCGTAACCTTTGTCACTATTGTTCGTCGCCTCCTCCAATGAGTCGTTTTTATTCGATACCATTTCGCCTAAACTGTCGTGTTCAGAAAACCGGTGTGATAAAATTGGAACGCGAGGCGGCAATGGCTCCGAATGGAAGACAATCAGTGCACCCTCCACCGTATTTGCATCGTTAAAATTGACGGATGTGTCATTCGAATTACTCGCCTCGCTTGGAGTATCAATGCAATTGGAATATACGGCTTTTCCATCTGACTCAAAGACACATTCCGAATTTGTATCATTTCCGTTTCTCATTTCTTCACAGTTCATTTGCATTTCACTCCTTGTTAGAGCATAATCTTTGTTCGCTTCGGGAAAACTATTTTCTTTTACCGTTTTGTCATAACAGTTTTCAAGAGAATCGTTGGGAACAGATATGTCTCCATTCGAAGGACTTAAATCGTGTACGTGCTTATCGTTGGGATTGCCTTTGTCTGAAGAGTGGCGAAGACCGAACATACTACGAAAAGAACGTGGACTTTTTGGGCTTCGCGGACTCCTGGGTTTACGCGCGCACGGCGAATTTGGAATACTTGGAGGTCGCGAAAAAGCTGCGGGCATTTCCCGAGAAGCGATGACGGACACAATTTGATTATTTCCTTTTGTTGTCGGAGACAATGTAAAAAGAATCGGCGTTACTCGCTGGGATTCAAGTTCGTCATCGTTTTCAGAAAGGTTTAGTGTAGTTGGTACTTTTGCACCAGGGAAATCACTTAGATTCACTCGCGCGCGTTCTTCTTGATCGAAGGAGTTTACATTTGCATCTTTGCTGGATTGGCTGGCCTGATCAATCTCAGGCTGCCTCGAGAGAAGAGGGCGGGTTTCCCGTGATGTCTTCTCAACTGAAACGGATTCTGGCTGTTCGGTAGAAGAGGTGGATTCAAAAGACGACGGATTATTTCTAACTAATGGACTGGTCTCAGAACATCCATCCCCGTCATCATTATCATCACTCGAGTCAGTAAAGCTAGCAGGAGGTGTAATGGCGTAAATTTCTCGCATCTGGGTCGAACTAATTACTTTAACTTGTTCATCATCTTCGTTTGACGGATCGTCCGCGTTTTCACTAGTGCCTGCCTCAGTTTTCTCCTCCGATACGTTGGTACTACCATCTTGTTCACTAAGATCACACAATTTTTAAGAAAAATGAAATATTTAGGCTCCTAAAAATCCTAGATATTTTATAATGAAAGCAATTATGCCGACTATACTCTCAAAATCGAGCTTCTCATTCTGCATGTGTTTTGATTTTATATAATTTGTTCTTTTAAGCAAAACATAACATTGTGGGTAGCTATTGCAGCGAAGGATGCATGCCTGTTTGTTTATAGTCCCGTATCATGTATGTAATTTATATTATATGTCATTTATATTAAATTGAAACTGAGGTGCATGCATGCTTGCATGCTCGAGGGCATAAAATGATACGATTTAGTCTCGTTAATGGAAGTATTTATAGTATAGGTATAAAAAATTTTGAAAGGTATAAACCTCACCGGGCGGTAATCATTGTTTGATAACACATCACATGCATGCATGCAACAGATGGCAGGCTACAATAAACTAATGGCTGCTTTTAGTATTTTGAGCCGGTGAGGTCAAAGCGTGCTGTAATATTCATGCAACACGTTTCCAGTTGGGGATCAAGCATCGAGTCATTTGAAAGTCATATGGGAGGAGGTTAACACTCTTTCCTTAATTTGCAAGGATACTACATTTCATGGAGAGTAAAACAAAAATAATAAAAGCAGTGATTTACATTAATATATTAAATTTACTGATGTTACTATATATTTACCAGTCAGGAATGCTGGGCACGCTCGATCCAGGATCTAGAACAATCTTCGGTATAGAGGAAACATTAACAGCACCTCGGCTCCCCGCTGACTTTTTGTTACCAGATTGCGACCCAGAACCTCTCTCGTCCTCGCCAGACTTTTGTTCGGGTGATTTGACACAAGACAAATTACCCATTTCTACGTACGTATCTAAAACGAAAACCGCTGAAGTTCTATTTATTCATATTATAGTTATCCCTTAAAAAATCTTTGTACACGCATAGTCTGCATGTTTTTTAGTGGGCCGTGTGCGACATGCATGTGCGCATGAAAAAGGTATATAATTAGGATTCCGATTATCTCGCATGCATTGAGATAGATCCTCTTCCTTCCATAGCAATTAACGAAAGATAAACTTTGAAACAATCCGTGATAAGCTCACACCACAATATCAGCTATTTGTTACACTTGCATGCATCATGTCAACAAAAATAGGCTATGCCTATATACTTATAGAGTTGTTGATACGAGATTTAATGCGAATTCTCGACATTTATTTTGGCCCAAAGCCCATTTTCACTTTATATAACAGGAAACGTTCGGCACTTCATCTGCTCCTATATATATTTTTTATTTTGTGAAAAGCTTGTGGTTAACAGGAAAAAATAGCGGATCCTCGAGAGATGTCAACAACGGTGCCTTGCATGTGATTTTAAAAAATCACACAAAGAATTGAGATCGACATTACACAGCGTGCAAGCAGTCCACTATAACTATACTGAAGTCTACTATCCCTATAACTGATATGAATTCGAGACGTGCAAAAGGATTTCGGAGTTTTTCATGGAAAGAATTGTTTTCCTCCTGAATGAAATCTGTAATCTTTCCTTGAAATTAATATTTGTCGCCCACACTGCGCCATGCATAAAAACATTATTGTTTATATTGGTATAAATATGGCAATATCGAGACATTGTCTATATATATGTATTCTATATGTGTTGAATATGGTTGTGGATTAATTATCAATAATGCAAGAGATTTGTTTTTTTCTTCAAAATCTGACTATTATAAATATATAGCCGTGTTGTAACATAGCTCGGAGACATTTTCAGTTCAAGACGAAACACGACAAACTCATAATCTCAATGCGATTAAAATCTATATTGTTATAGATCTTTTTTCTCAAATATTGGGCAAATACGAGATTGCTTTAATCTCTTCCCGCATTTCCACTCTTGAACTAAGATACGGACTTGAAGGTGCATGGTTGTTCGAAAGGCGTTTAACGTAAACGGTGGATAGGTTCAAAATGTAAAGCAAAATGATCGATTTATTGAGCAACTGAGCTGAAATATTTCGATGTAAATAGTTTAATTTTCAACGAAAGAACATATTTAATGCATAATTTATGTTGTTTTACCTATAGCTTTTACATTAAAGCCCTAATTTATGTTATTTTATCTGGCTCGAAACTATATAGATATATACAAAGGACAAATATATGCGTACCTCCAGAAGCATTCCTTCCTCTATCGATTTTCCCACTTTGCCATGGAGAGCAAGAACTGAAATTCAGAGAAAACAACATCAAACAACTTGTAAACATATCGTGTTATGATTACTAATCGTTTAGTACAATCGCCTAGTTACAAGTTGGACGGTTGCTGTCGCGCAAATAGACTTTTCAAGTAACACGTGCAAAACTTCATGGAAACGAGACTGTATGAAAGGCTAATCGAAATTAACAACCGCAACAAGACGTACATCAGATGAGTAGCTATAAACACACCAGTCAATTCTCCAAAATATAGTATTCTTGAAACGAAAAACACTGAGCCCACAAAAGCATTAGATTGAATAATACAACGATTGAATACAGAAAATATTTAATTATAGCTAAAAGGGCGAATGCTTGTAGTAAGTGCCACACTGGCGTAGCCATGCAGCCTGATGTTTAGTCTTAGCTGCTATATATATGCAAATTTTAACCTTTTGAAAGGTTGCGGAAAATTTGAAAACAACATTCAAAAAACCACAAACTGAAATTGTTGTTCTCTTACTTATAAAAGAGAACTTTCGATAAAAGTTACTACAAAATGAATTAATGAATATTAGGTGGCCGAAAACCGCGACTTGCATGCCGATTATTGGTGTTGCTGTTTTTTTTTTCTGCACTATTCTTTCTTCTTTAAAGGTGCAGTGATGTAATATATAGTTTTACTGTAACTAAATTTTTATATATAGACGCGCGGTATAGACGACACAACAACTGAAAGAATCACCGTATTGGCCGCGGGCTATATAAGTTTATAGTCCTTGCACGCGTGTGTTATTCATCCATTGTTCTGAACCTATATTAGAACGGTGATAAAAAACTAAGACTCTTCAGATTCTCTTCAAGTACAATATTAACCGCACGCTAAAACTTTGCCGCGCATGCACCGAAAAAGATTCATATCTATGTAAAGCCGATCGCGATAAAGCGTTTTAACAAATAACGAAGCATTACCATATTATCAGTCCATGCGATGCATGTGTCAGAGTTTTATATATCGAATGATCAACATAACATGCATTAAGAGAAAACTTGCATTCGTATATAATATTAATATCGAAAATTATATTATACATTTCACGAAGAAACATAAACGAAACATTTCGCGCGTTTAGAAGAAAAAGAGTAAAAAAATTTTTCACAGTCGTTTTTTGATTAGGTTTGTGAAGATAAGACGTTGCAGTCAAATGTAGCTACAAATCCGGCGAAATAATGCAAAAGGGTAGAATGGAAATATTTATACATATAGGATAAAAACTTAACTTGCTTCGGGCAACATGCAATAGGTGAGGATTATCGCATAATTAGAATTCAAACGAATCGTTTCACAAAGGAGAGAAACATGTTTAAGTAGGCGACGACGTACAACATCTATAAACCTATAGTAATGTATATATGGCTAATATATATACATATAGCCGGTTAATTTTAATAAATAGGTATTATAGCTCGTTGAAATTGAAACCATACGTGAACAATCATCTCTGTTCCTTGTAGCTAGTCCTAGCTTGCAGGCGCTGTTTTCACCACTTGTTTTCTTTACTCGGGCAGTTTCAATATATATATATATATAAAATATATATATATATATATATATATATATATATATATATATATATATATATATATATATACATTAGCATTCGATCTTTTGTCTAAATATATACATGCATTTGCATGCCGTAACGAGTTCTTATACAAGCTCCCAATCACATGGGCTTAGGCCTTAGCATTATATTTGCAGAAGAAAATTAACGCAAAATCGGCATAATTATAGTGATGATGAGTAGTACATGCCACGCTATATAATTTAACACCGGGGTATAGTTGGCACAAAATCTGTTTTTTACAATAGATACATCAGGAGAAAAATTTTTAATGATATTTATTATCTGCATAACGAGCAAACTACTGTCAGTACTGATATATTTTTTCCCGCGACAAAGAAGAAGGTAAAACGTATTTACTGGGTTATGTTGTGTTATCCGGCTTCTGTTTTCAAAGAGATATGCTCTATTCACTCTTTAAAAATCAACATCAAGGATTAATTTCTCCTTAGGATATTTGCGCGGTTATCTGCCCGAATTCAGCGCGCCATGTTTTCTTCTTGTATCTTGTTAAAAACAGTTCACACGCACCGAACACACGATATATACCTTGCATAAAAAATAGGAGAATAAATCGTACAACTCCTTTCTCATTCCGATGAGAAGAAATCCAATTTATGCCTGTAACCGGTGATCGACAAGAACGTCTTTAGACAATCCTGACATATATTTTCGCCCCACGCTAAAAATGCCGAACCTCAATAAAATATAAGATGATATCTTGTCCATTCAAAATTATGGCCGGCTGTTGATGTCGACTAACGCTTTAGTCTAGTTTAGACGAATCAAACTAACGTCGTAAGACTGGAACAATTAAAATTGCATTAACCAAAAATCACAAAACAACACAACAATATATATGTGTATATATATACGAAGATATTAACATATATACTCACAGATGTGTTATGTTTTAAAAAGTAAACACACAGAAACGCTTGGACAAAGCTTGGATAGCTACTTGTATTTACAATGGCATGTTACACGCGATACACGTCGATGCGAACTACTCTTGTTGATTGCAGTTGGGCAAACAGCCCTTTGTCGAATAAAATTTTCTAAATGAAGTCGAGGATATACTATGCGTCCGACCGAGGACAACGTTTGATCATGAATGAAATATATATTCAGTAGAATAAGATTAAAAAAGTCACTGTGAAACAGTTGCGATAAATAATTGATTTTCAGAGAGTCTAACAGCTGCATCGCAATCATTGACGTATATAGTGCGAGATGTAAACAATGTTCAAGGCAGAAGCCCTTGATAGCCTTTTTAAAACCTTGGCTTTACCGGCCGGGACGTGTTTTCAAACACGCGCACTCGAAAAGGCGATGCGACGTAGATCGCCTCGTTTGCATATATATAACTGATAGAAGATTCGCTCTACTCATGCAGCAACAACCAGCCAGCCCGTCATCCGACACGTGACACCCTTTAATCGCTTTAATTTACTATCCACTGTATTGACGAATATGAACTAATTACACGAGCGTGAACAGCTCAGGAACTGTAAACAGAAACTATTATATGCATGTCGGTCCCGATGAAACGAGCTATTGTAACAACATGTACAATTTTAAGTTGTTTGCCCAACGCACTATCAGATTTTGATTAGCTCTTCACCAGGCGCCTGGAAAAATACGGAGCATGCACGTACGGAACGGAGCATCAGAATATAAAAATCGTCAAGATTCCGTCCCTTTTGGTTATCGTACACAAGTAATTTTATGTACATTTGTGTGGCGAAAAAGTTCTGGAATTCTGTGGCGGTGGTAGTGTTCATGTCGCACGTCGCTTCATATTAAATAACGCCATTTTGAGGAATTATCGAATCGCGTGTTCAGTCACAAGGGTCAAGATCACGACAGGTCCGGCATGGGACAACATATATTAGATAATATGCAGAGCGCCCTACTGAGACAATTCTTATCAAGAAATTATAGAAAGATCGACAAAAATTTCACGCCGTATGACCTTGCAAAACCGAGATATGCATTGCCGATCTATATTCATGAACATGCACGCATTGAAACACATGCAGTTATTTACTGTTAATTCTTAATACTTATTATTACTAATTCATAAAGAAATTTCAATTTTTCTTAAAAAATGGGTGTCTTAATTACTCCGGCGTGAGCGACGAAGTTGAAATTTCGTCGTCGCAAATGTGTTTTGGCGCGAAATATACTAGTATTTTTGAAAAGTGTATGTGACCGTATTTATGTACGTCACAGTTTTGTCTCCCAAGAGTTGTGGTGCACCGTGCACAGCTCGAAATCTCTGACTAATTTTCCGATGCGCGATTTAATTTCGCTCGCATGATACGGCAATTCCTCCAAGAGGAACAAATAAACCGTTCTTTTGATGCTGTTCGATTAAGTTTAGATTGAATTGGGGTAAGAATATATTTAATACATGTAGATTTTGGTCCTATTTTAATAATATCGCTGCTATTTCGCCGTTTAACAAGATGTGATCGTGCACGTCGCAGTTTGCATAGGATTGAAGATTTAATATAAGCGCGAATTCCAAAGAGTAAGACAAAGTAACGTATCATGAAGTTTATTTACATTTTTAAATAATGGAACTTCTATACTTTTTAAAGTAAGATTTTAAAGTACGATGCTTCTGAATGTCGCGATCGAACAACATTTAGGTTCGCCAGGCATCTAAATTAAATGAGTATGAACTGTATTGTTTATGTTCAGAAGATGTATATTGAAGACTGGCACGTGCGCGGCACGCCGGAGTTAACGCCAGAACAGGCGTCTTGTTGTAATAAAACATCAATGAGGTAACTCTGGCTTGCCATTAAACTTTACTTCATGATATATCGTTTTATGATATCATATAGGCGCTCTAAATTGCATCATCCCGTTTACCCGAGATTATAAACGGAGCGTGAAATCAGTTTGAGGTATTGAAATAAGTAAATTGCATGATTCTGGGAGTGGTGACTATATCGGCTGTTTACATAATTCCCGAGATTAAACGAAAAAATTACAATACCTATAATTTCTTCCACGACTTCGAGGTGATGAGATAGTTAAATGACAAATGACAATCGTGGAAGCGATGTAGTCATCCCGACAACAAGCACGAGCTTGTTGTTTTGTGTTTCATAAAAACTTTTATTTTAATACTTCTAGACTATACTAGAATTATACTAAAATCATTTTATGTTTTGCTTAATCTCGGGTAACCGGGGCCAGGTAATCTGTTTATCAGATGCAAAAGGTGATATGACTGAAACCACAAAAATACGTAAATACCTACTTTGACAGTGTTCAACTCATAACAATAATAATGACAGTGTGCAACTTAATACCTTCTTGATTTATTTATAAAAAAAATTATCGCCATTTACGTCTATTTCATGCACGCGTAAAGCTTATACAGTTGGGGATTAAATTGATCAATTTCCGCAGCAGGCGACTATGTTATTTGCATGAAAATTAGCTCATCAAAAAATGCTGACTCACTTTTCGCAGATTACTTTATATACATACCCGCTCGCCTGCATAATCTGTCAGCTGTTAAATATATGGCTTTCAGCTCGTGGTATATATAATCTATGATATAAAAAAGACATTCCCTGACTTACCTGTCGTTTTGGTGAGCGGAATGCAGCGTTGCTCGATGTCGCATAATCCAGGCGCGAAACAACTGCCAATCACCGAAATTCATTTCCATGACATCCCGAAGTTCTATCATATCACATTCGAACAGAACTCGGCCATTGATGTGATTCTCACGAACTGTTGTCTGATACGAGGGAACCATCGTAAGAGTGATGCCATCGATCTGTGAGAGCTGGAGGAAAATTGATGAAAAAAACCATGTTAATCTAACAAGCCAATTTATGAACGTTGCTTGAATCTGGATGCCATTTGATTCGGTAAAAGTCAAGCCATTTGGAAACTTTTGGGGGTATTTGCTGGGCAGTTGCCCCTACACAATGGCATGGGCAAAACTCGCTAATTGGGGGGGAGGGGGAGGGGGAGGAGAGGTTGCTCATGCATGTCTCTCGAAGTACCGTCGTTAACATATAAGCGTGAACACGTGATCATAAAACATGTTTTTATTAGATTCAACGTTGTAACGTTTGGGCGGTAAAGACAACTTGTTTCAAGCGCATTCAGTCAATAAATTTGGAAGAAATCACCTGTAATTTCTACTCTAAATTACCTATAATTTCTATACTAAATTACCTATAATTTCTATTCTAAATTACTTATAATTTCTATTCTAAATTACCTATAAATTCTATTCTAAATTACCTATAATTTCTTCCAAATTCATTGACTGAATACATTGCGTATAGCAATCCAAACTTTTATGTTTGCGCTGAAACAAGTTGTCTTTACCATCCAAAAGTTACAACTTTGAATCTAATTTAAACATGTTTTATGATCACGTGTATACGCCTCGATGATAACGACGGTAAACAAACCATTTCAATACAAATATTTATGCCATTTATCCAATCTCGTATTCTGGGTCTTTCGTTAGGGGCGTCGGGGCGTGGCCAAGAAATACCGAGATTTATTGTACATATCAATGAATCGTATACTTACTTTAACACAAACACCTTCTTCGTTTAGGCCTATAAAACCCATAGAATCTGAGGAACCCTGTTAAAATAAATTAAGAGCTTGCATTGGCAAAAACATTTTATGTGCAACAATACTATTAAAACCCGCATGACATGCTGAAAGGAAGACACATTACTTTGCAAATCAGGCAAGCACGCTTTTAAAATATTTATAAGCAACATCTCAAATGCATTAGTGTATGGTCAAGCCGTGAAAACAACTATTATCATCACATCAGAGACAATTTGCCAAATTTCCCGACCATGCCTGTTACATGCAGGAGCCTTATTATTTGGATTTTATAGAATGCGCGAATTTTAGAAGGTATTTTCCAAGGAGTAAAGCAAAGGTTAGGTCAATTGCAACACGACTTACCCCATCTCCACCATTGCCAACAATGTCCACATTATTCAAGGTATTGTTAGAAGGGGCTTGCAGTCCTTGAGAAAGTTGATTTCGGATAGCCGGGTCCAAATTAACGGTTGCCGCTAGGAATTTTCTAACATCCTCCACCTTCAAAACCGGAAAATGATTGCCCAGATAGGACTCGAAATACATCGCATCATTGTCCATCGCGTACTCATATCCACTTGAATTTGGTAGCCAGGTCTGAGTGGTCGTAAATAATATCTTCAATGGTAGATTATCTGGCAAAACGTTCATAAATTCCTCCATGATTAATACCAACCATGAAACTCGGTAGGGCCAAGAGTCCACCAAACTCACCCACGATGCTAAAGCATTCCACTGAAAGTTCAGACCCTTTGCACGGAGCAAACGTCCACTTAAGGAAGTGGTGTGTATCAACCTCTGTATGCCCAGAGGAGTTAGCGTTTCATTTTCAGCCAAAACGTGTGTCATATCTGGGGTTTCCTCGTGCTTTTCACCATGGATATCGGCGATGCTACGATTTAAACGGCAACCACCAATACCACCATCGTCTAAGGTTAATACAGTACTATGCCTGTTGCATAGAAGCCCATTACTCTTCGAATGCTCACGCGCAGAACACGGCGATAATTCCAAACTCTCTCCTTCCCATTCTAAATCAAATCCGCTCGTCTTACGATGACGCAACAACTGCTCCACGGAGAGTCTCAGAGCGTCAGGAAGATTGCCGCTGAAGTTTGTTTTCGGCTCAGGTAAAAACACCGGAAGGTGAATAATATTCTTCAAGTAATCCAGCGCAGTGATATGAGAATCCTGCAGAACGTTGCTGAAGTTCTGTTCAATCGCGCGCACCATCACGCGAGGATCTATCGCGATCACGCTGATAAATGGTGCGTCCGGATCGGTGAACAACAGGTTTATGGAGTCAACCAAATGCAACACCTTTTGTTGCTCCGAATTTTCAAGTCCGTCGAGGAATAAAATTATTCTGGTTTGAATTTTCTTGAAGCCATCTAAGGCGAGAACGATTTCAGTCAGTAACTCCACCTCCTGTTTGAGCGCGTGTATAAATCCTTCCTCTTTGAGACCTAACTGAGTCGCCACAATGGAAACTCGTCTTTTCGGAGAGAAAAGCAACGAGTAGACGACGGAACAAAACGTCGTCGCTTGAATGATCATTGAGATGCCGACTACGCACGCGCCTGATATCTGTAGGCCAGCTACAAGGGAACCACTGTCGGATCCAACTTCCGTGTACAAAACAAGTGCAACTGCACCACACATCAACACGAAGAAAAATATAATAAGTTTCGGTATACAGCAGCAACATTTCTTAAATTGTGGCTCGGAATGCTTCAGGCCAACATACTCGACCATAGGAGGCCGTAAGACGCGGTATAACCGTGAAACAATACAACCGAAATTCCCTTCAATTACCTCGTTCAGCGTCTCCACCATGCTGACGAGTGCGGTAGCCTCACTGCTACTTCGTGTAAGCTTACTGAAATCGGCAAAGGCATAATGCACCGGAAGCGACGTGCGCATGAATGTGACAGTGGGCGGGGCACAGAACACGACGAGGTACAGCAAATAAAAATAATTAGAGAATCGGCAAAAATATTGGCTCACCCACGAGGACTCTGTGTCATTGTATAGCCGGTTGTCATAGAGCAACATAAGGAAAAATACCAATTGGCTAAGGATAAACGAAGAACAACCAACTGCAACACCAACGATCCAGCTGAACAAGGAGCAAAAACCAATTCCAATTAATATGCAAAAAAAGAGACAAGACAGCACTCCGAAGCACGTGAAACGAAGTCTTGGACGAATCGCCTGTTGTGTTATTTCTTGCATTTCCTCTGTTGAAAAGAGAATTTAAACATTGTTTAATAGCACATTACAAATCTTTTGCTGAGGGCGAATCGAAGTAATGTGCACACTTAAATTTTTCACCCAGTTTAAGAGATTGGACTACTGGTCCATGCGTACGCGTAATGAGAACTGATTTGTCATCGAAACGAAATAAGAAGTCTGCACGAGTCGTATTATGTAAGAAATAGGGAACACTTTTTCTATAGAGCACTTTGGGAAATTAAAACTTGGAATACCATTAGTTTGTTTCCCACTATATTATTTGTTGTTATTCTCAATTCCCACGCGTATTTCTATAACTAGCTGCATGTATAGTGCAAAATATATAGGGCAAAGCAAACTTTCTCATAAACTTACGTTGAAGCCGTTTAAAGAAGTGTATTTTACTACTTCCCCATCTTGAATATACCCCTACAGTAAGAGGTAGCTCTAATGAAGGCTCACAGAGCAATTCAGCTAAGGAGGTTGCATAAACATTGTGACCCAGTAATTCCTCTGTCTGACGCTTATCATCTTCCGCCATACCTGTTGAAAATATTGTACAAATTAATGGTAATACAAAGTAAAGAATTACCGTTAAATAAAGTTTTAGTCGAAAATCAGGCTTGTCAAAGTGGCTTGATAGGATTAGATTACAAGCATTTCTTCCACACAAAAGTATTTAAAAGTGAAGATTTATCCCTGATTATGGGTTTTCAACAGCTTCTTGACAAATGAGAGCGTGAGTACATAGTCTTATACCATCGGGAACGAGTCTGTATTTTGCAGTAATTAAGCTACGAAGGTTTGCATAAAATTGGCATTTTCACAGCAGAGCCATGGCGCATGTTAATCAACCATTGACACCATGATTTACTTTTAAACAGTGCAATGACGATAGTTGATTACCCCTTTGAGTTGCGTTACTGTGTTACATACATAGGCTAGCCCCATCAAAACTCAAAGTTATCAACTTAAACTAATCAACCATATCGTCATAAAGAGGAAATTGGGAGCTTTAGCAGTGACTACGAGTACGACTATGAGTACGAGATTCGTCATTCTCGCGCGTTGTTTGCTTACGCCATCAGTCAAAACTCGTAGTCGTCGAGCTTTTGAGTACGAGTTTTTTGATAAATTTCGTACTCGAAAGTCCAACGACTACGAGTTTTGGCTGATGGCGTAAGCAAACAACGCGCGAGAATGACGAATCTCGTACTCGTAGTCGTACTCACTGCAAAAGCTCCCTAATGTCTTATTTAGGGGGGGGGATAAGATTAGGAACCAAGTTATATGACTGTCGAATGAACAAGAACGAATAAGTTATTTCTAGTGAACTATCATGTTGAACTTTTTAGTATTTAATTGTTCATGCAACTAACCTAGAACAGGTTTCAAGATGCTCTTCTTATGTCGTTGATCTATTCGGTATGGTGTCTCGCCGGCCCTATTAGTTTGATACAGCAATCGAGCACTTCGTGGATCTTTTATAATTATTTCAGCTATGCGTCGATATCGACTACGAACAGCGATGTGTAAAGCAGTGTCTCCCTTCTGCAAAAAAGGAAATCGAACTATAAATCTACAGTTAACTAAAATTAAAAAAACGCAAAATAAATAACTGTGCACACATGCAGTAACAGTCGTATAATGACGTTATATTTTTGCCGGGTAATGAGATCTCTAACAAGCCATAAACTTCACACATCTTACGTTTCGATGGAAATATCATCAATTTTCAAGTGTTAATTAAACCTACAAACTGACACGATACAAAAGATATTTCATTGTTTTGGCACCCGTGTAAACATTGTTGCGGAAGCCTAATTTGATTCGCAAATGAATTGTTTTCTTGTTTACCCACCCAGAGAGAAACACGACGAGGCAATGTCAGAAAACAATATCACCTAGTTTGCCAACGGTTTACGTTTTCCCAGCAAATAATTGCCAACCTCATGGGAATCGGCAGCATACATAAATACTGGCGAGCAAAATCGCGGCCTGTTTGACATGACGTGGTATTCTGGGCATGCGTGACTCTGACGTCTATAAGCGAGCGGTAACATCATTGTGTTTCGCAAACGAAAGAATAACATTTCGATTTCGGCCAGTCTCAAAAAAACTACCACCCATCCCTAATTCAAACCACTTTCATGGGCAGATAAAGTAGCTATATTATTTTAAAAGATGATCTAAGAATTCAGCATTAAACCCTCAGTAAATTACACCGTATAACAAACAGTTCCACTAATTATTTCCCTAAGCCCTGTGACGACGGGCTTTCGACAGGTTCAAAAATTGGTTTAGTAAAATGAAATTTTGAAACCGACAAATGTTGACCAGCAGCTTTCATGCATCCTTTTCTTATTTAAATATTTACATTTTTTACAGTACTTTGCCAAACACAAGTTATGCCAACAACGAAGAGAAGTTTGTTAATTTCTATAACCCACGCAATTTATTTTGCAACATTAAGAGCATATTGCTGTTATCAATATGATATCCGGACTTCGAACTGATCCATTGTGAAAGAAGTCAGTGAGAACTCTAATCAAAATTTACTACCTTTGTGCAAGTCACAATACTATCAGCAATACAATTTCAAATGCGTTTGTGCTATTGTTAAAACGTCTATTTTTTCGCACCCTCTCACCGCATGTACTTTGAAAGACAGCACAATGGCTTATGATATGCTCTCTTAAACAATATTGTTCGTAAAAGTGCAAAATGCATACTGTATATCGCGAGTACAACTGTACAAAGCCAGAAGAACACCGTATGCTGCCAGCATGTCGAATTTTACAATATTATTTTCCAATATGCTGCGGAGGTAGAAAGGAATATACCTGACATGCCAGCATGGGGCTTATTTTGATCTCTTCCCGAATTTTGACATTATTGTTTTCAGTTATGACTCGATTAACGCACTGTTTTGCACAGACGTCTTCCTTTTTTGACTTAGGAGTTGTTTTAATGACCGTAAAAATATAACAACTAAGTGTAACTGACGAAGCCAAATTGCAACAATCGGTGTTAAATTTGAGTTAGAATTATGTTAAATGTAATATATAAAGGGAAAACCCTACAGGGGGGGGTGGTTCACAGCGGTTTCAGCGCATCGCTTCCACTCGTAAAATGAGGAACTCCAATTTAAAGAATGTCCGGATTTTACATGTCTTGAATTTTTATGAAACCTGGCGTGCACTAAATTAGCCAAATTCTCGGCAACAGCATCAACAATTTGTCTCACTAAAAGAACTCGTATTGATGCAATTATGTATACGTGTGTCTGTCTGAAGCGATGAAAATATATGCAAGGGGTAATAACAGTAAATGCACGTTTAACTGTTTCTCTGGATCCTAATTGGATTAATTGGTGTTCAGCTTGCCCTGAATTTATATAACATTGACTTGGGCTTGCCGAGTGTACGAGTAAATCATTTTCTTTTCTTGCATAACCATTTCAGTCAAATCAATTCAAACTTTATGATTCGGAAAAACTTGAGGATGAATGAAAGAAACACTGCATGTGTATTTGACAAACTTCATTCCCTGGATTTCATGTAGAAGCTTACGATTATAGAAATTGAGTTGCAACCGACATATATAACTTCAGCTACATATAGGACAAAATTGTGACTGGTAGCTAACTCCGAAAATAAAGGTTTTTGTATCAAATTCTAAAACCTTCGACCATACTTTGATGACGGAAGTATAGAAGAAAGTTAGACAAAACTTAAATGTTTAGAGTTACTACTTTGTGTATTTAGTCATTGTTATTTTCTGTGATTTCTCTGAAATATGAATTGTTGTATTTTGATAATTCAGTGGTTCTCTTATAACAATGACAATGTTACAAAGTTCATATACGTTCTGTAAACCCCTCAAAATTCTCCCCCCGGATTGGGCTTGAAATGACCTCATGCTATCATGACATTAGGATGTCAAAAACGCATAAAAGCATACAGTTGTCTTGTTGCTAAGAGTTGCGGGTAATTCAGTCTAATGATCTCAGTCTATTAATTTTGTCAATGGGCCCATGAGGGATTCCTGCATGCCAGCCGAAACAGATCAATTTTGACGACTTTTACCAATTGACGTTTGTAAATCTGCCTGTAAAACTTATATAGGCCTATAGTTTAGATATTGAAAATATTAATATACGCGTTACCAAACACACTGTTTGCTGTTATGCATCTTTAATACTTAAACATTTAAGTTAATGATGACAAGTTTCATGAAGTGCAATAACAATGTCTATTTCACAATACAATCATTCGAAGTCACAATGTTAGCTTTACTAATGTCATTACATCATTTAGCAATGCCTAAATGTCAACTCTACATCTTTGATCCCTCTTCAAACTTACCTTGTTACTGACAGATAAGTCAGCATTTTTCTCCAACAATAACGACGTAATCTCCGTATGGCGTTTCTTTACAGCAAGTAATAATGGCGTCTCTCCATCCTACATACAAAAAGGCAAATCAATTTGGCACAAATCGACGAAAATCTAACGCGATATACGCTCATCTGTCAGACCTTTTTAGCGAATGCTCCCACTCGAAGTGAATATATTTGACAAGCTATGCAGCATTCGCAGCAAAAAAACGGAAAGACGTTGAACTACTGGCGAAAAAACCCGTGCGTAGCGGTAAAGCTAGTCGAGGGGAATGATCATGAATTACCTGGTTGAAGCTAATACGCGGACTTTTTCCTCGCTGTACAACAGGCCAAGCAAGCGAAACGTGACTCCCTTGAAATTCTTGCAAATATTGCAGGTAATTGAACAAAGGCTTGTGGGAACCCCCGCATTCATTTCAAAAACCAATTATGACAATTATGCATGATGTCATGCACCCATAAGCGCTTAGGATTAGATTAATAGTGATGATTTTGAGGTAATGAAATAAGTAAAAACCACTATTCTGTCAGTGGCATACAGTTGTTAGACAAATCTTGTGCTTGTTTGGTTTCATGAAATGAAGCTATGATCCAATATTTCACGCTTCGCTTAATCTCGGGTTAGCGATATCAGTTTCAATTACAGTTTGGCTGTTTTGTAAGAATTCGGTATGAAGTCTAAAAGATTAGGTTTCTATTTTCGAGAGACTTTTGGCACATTGGAGACAGTAGTTGCCGAAAGCAAACATAAAAGCTCGTTGAACGGATTTCCACAATGGCATGTCAGAAGGGCATTCTCGTTCGTTGTGGAATGCTATTTTTATGTAGCATGGCAATTCAGTTTAAACTTGGCCACTTTCGATCTATATATGCCGACTTCATTACAAGCGATAAAAGCGGTTTCTCAAAAGTGTGCGAAGTCAGATAAGCCTCTGAATAGCAATAGCGATAAGAAGTTAAAACCAAAGCCACATTAGCTTTGCATGCAGTTTTTATAAATATAAAAGCATACGGGCAGGTATGGCTCGAAAATCCACGCGTGTTCAAGTTCCGCGCCAACAGACGAAAGATCGCAAGAACTAGGTTTCAATGCAATCAACTCAGTGGTTCAAATCTAAATTTCAGCAAACCGTATAAGGAAAAGTAGTATATTTTTGCAACGTCAGATGATGATTAGAAACTTACTTTTCGTCGGGATTCTGTAAAAGCTCCAAACTCCAAAAGCTCTTTCACGACGGCAGTATGGTCACTTTCCACGGCATACCATAACGCAGTCTTGCCAGCCTATACCAAAGAAGTTAATTGAAATGCATTTTTTTCTCACTCAACCGGCCAACCTAGTGTCCCTGAAAAATGATAAGTCAGATTTTCTATTGGCCCGTTTACACTACCGATTTTTGGTGCAATTTTATGTGCAATTTTCCTCTTTTGATAGATGTGAACGAGTAATACGTTCTGCACGAATGTTCTGTATTTGATTCCGTAATTAATTTAGCCTAATTCACTTATTCGTATCTATCAAAAGAAGAAAATCGCACCAAAGTGTAAAATGTTCTTATGAATCAGGAGATTTATTCAGTCGACGGTACCACTTTAGGGTCGATGGTGTCACAATATTAACTATTGCTGCGAGTACACGCGGTCTTTGAGTATAGACGCCGTGAATGAATTGTTTTTATAACCTTACTCTATTTCATGTCGAAAATATGTTTGTAAGAAAAACGTCCTGGTAATTAGCCGTTTCCCAATCAAGCAGGGCACTGGGTCTAGTCGCGAACCGCAAAAGATCCATGGACTGTTTGGAGGGACAAATGATTTCAGACTTATATTTCCTGTCTCTCTGAACAATCCATAGATGCTCTGCGTTTCGCGACCGGACCCAGTAGCCTGCTCGATTAGGAAATGGCTAATAACGCAGTGGCGAAGCAAGCATCGATAATTGAGTGGGAGGGACATACTCTTATATTCATAGATGTTTACACATGATCAATTGTTTTTACAGTCTGTTAACATGAATATATGAATATTCTCCCCTTCCGAAAATAGCAATTAATACGCCACTAAAAAAAGAAAATAGCGATAGGCATATCCGAAATACCGGTCATAGCTATTTTCGGTATGGCACACGTGACAAACTTACCAGATCCCCTGCCTCGATATCTGCATAATTTTCCAACAAAATGCGCACAATCTCTACATTTCCATCTTTGCATGCAGTAATTAGCAATGGCAGACCTTCCTGGTGAAAACAAAAATGATTTTATACATTCATTTTGTAACCGACAAGCCTTCTCTTTTTAAACACGCACAATTCTCGATATACAACAGGCTGGTTACAACCAGAACGCCTGATTATTCATTTATATATATTTTTGTAGGGAAAACCACACTATCCGATGGATAGCGATGTAATCCAGCTCCCAGTAGTTCCAGTAGAACAACCAGCCCCTGTAGTTCGCTCTTAACTAGAAGCAGGATAGCAAATAAAAAAGATTAAACTATCCTTACCTTGTCCCGAATATTGATAAACGCTCCATGATTGGTTAGATTTCGAACAATACCAGTATGACCTTGCTTCACCGCCCACACCAACGCGGAATTGTTGTTCTAAATATGAAAATTAAAAGGATAGCAATATCGGAAAACGGGAAAAGAACTAAATAATCGCAACATGCCGTGTACACAAGAAAACTATAGTGAGAACATGCATCAATTGAATCGTTTAGTAGAGACGAAAATCAAATCAAAATCACGAACCTGATCAAGGTAGTTAACATCGGCACCCTTTTCAAGCAAAACCGTTACAGCTTGTTCAAAACCTCCTTTGACTGCCATTATCAATGGGGTCCAGCCATTCTGTAAAAGAGAATTGGAATACGCTACTAGAAGCAAAACCAAAGCGGTTATACGATGTACCGTGCTGTTGTTTAGTTATAATATGGTTTATCAGTGACCTCTTACCCAGGAAATAGAACCCTGGGTACGAGGTTGGTTCACCAAGATATTAGATATGCGGTGTGCTGTGTTTACGGTTGTACTTTGCAAAAAGATTGTCGATGTAGTGCGAACCGCTGCTGCATGTGTACTGTTTTTACACTATAGAATTAAGATGGTGGCTGTCGATTGGCAGAGAGAACACGAAATCAGTGACGCTCATGTCGAAGAATATGCCTTATATATACACTATATACCTGCTGCACATGCAACGTCCTATGATGCGACAGCATACTTACACTTCCAGGCTTGTTGACGTCAGCATTCTTTTCCAAGAGCGCTTTCATAACATCAATATGTCCTTTGCGAGCTGCCCAAACCAGAGCTGACGTGCCATACTAACGTAAAAACACGAGAAACAACAGTTATGAAATTATCATGAAGATGCAGGTATGCCTAGTTTGAATGATTACCTTGTCGTATGAATCTGGATTGGCACCAGCGTTAAGTAACTCCTCTACCACGGTTGTGTGTCCACGACCGGCTGCCCATATCAAGGGATTCATACCATGCTACACAAATGAAAAAAATTACCGTGGTTCGTGACGTTTTTAAGACTGGATGTTCTAAGGATACACGAATTCTAAGGATACAATAAAGGTTTACCAATTTGTTTTAACTATAGAAGTCCTGTTGTGTTTACTAAGTGAGCATATGCATTATGCACACGCATCTTTTCAGTGTTTTCACCCGCAATAATTATATAGTATTAAGTATAGTCTGGTGATTGTCTATTGAACTCAAAGTCAATCTTCTTATGAAAGGCTACAGGCGAAATTTATTGACTGTCACGCAGCATAAATATCAATTCGACCGTCGTTTTCAGTCAAGCTCAAGGAGAAATATAGAAGGCCCAGATTTTTGACACATAAAATGAACCTCCACGAGATGACCCTCAATGGAAAACAGGTGAATGTTGGTTATCTCAAAGATGAACAGCTATAAGATCACAACTACACTGAATATAGCCATATAATCCCCAATATTGTCCTGTTAATGCGTACCACGTGGTTGTCCAGCACAAGTCTATGAAACGTTTCCATGCATGCATCGAGAACACACAAAATAGCGGCCCTAGACTGCATGGGTCGAGTCGGCAAACTAGACACCTCCTATATCCTTGCCATGGACCCGCGGCTATACCCAGCGATACTATACTATAAAGTGAGGAACGTTTTGCGGCATCGAGGATGGAGAGTGAAAGTATTAAACATACAATCTAACTAGGATGTATGTAAAAATTAGCGAGGTTAGGTAGTCGACCTGGGGCCGATCGTTTAAACCGGTTAGTCGCTTGTTTACAAAGTTGAATATCTTTTTTCATAAATATTTTCTGGACCGATAGAAGTTATATTTTCTAAAGTTTTAAAACAAACAGTGGTTCAGAAGCACATAACTTATTAAAATTTAACCCTGCAGGGTTAGCGCTAAACTAGCTTTGAAAAACGGGCCCTGAAACCTAAGTTCGGGCAACGCTGTTTATATTGAAAATTTGCAATTATATTTTGCAATGCATGGCCCGAAAAATGATGACTTATAGCTAACAGAAAGGAAAGATTCTACTAAAAAAGGATGGATCAAAAATTTGGAAAAACGGCGAACATTATATGTACAGATATATTAGTATACATATTAGTGGTATACATAGGATGGCTTCAAGGATGGATTAATTTGCAATGAAAAAGTAGACAAAACAATCCACCCGCTATTGTGTTATAGAAGCTATACACATGAATATCGTAGACATACTAATTACTGTATACAATGGCTGGCTTTTCTAATATAAGCATGTTTAATAAAATACGCTCGGTTATATAAGTTTCAAAAGCTTAAGTCGCGGTTTTCCACTAGCGATATTTTTCGCGCGAAGCGACTTTACTCCTTTGTATTCGAGCAATTTTTTCCAGATGGTTGCAGTTGAGAGCTCTGGAACAAAAGTAAATTGTCGCCTGGCGCGAAAAATATCGCTAGTGGAAAACCGGCTAGAAGTGGTGTAAATAAAAAAATTGAATTTGTCATGCATGCATTTTTGTCAAATAGTACTGAAGCGTGGGGATTATTTTGTGTTCTCGGAAACGTATATATAGAAATGAGTTCATGGAAAGAAGAAGATTGGCACGGAAGAACACACGGAAGATTGTATTGAACGGCGAGTTTTAAAACAAGTTTTAGAGCAAGTTGAACTATTATCACCAAGGCCTTAATCATGCCGGGTGTCGACATACATTTCGGAGACTTCCATATGCCATATGCTATATGGCATGTACTGCATAATAAAGATAATAGATATGAATGGTTCTTCCCATTGTAAGAAGCGCTCAGGGTTCTGATGAAAGCCGTAAAATCTTACAGGCAATCGAAAGTTGAAATGCAGAGAAAACGCGAGCGCATACATGTCGGTATAACGTTAAGTTGTGCCTAGTTTGGGTTCATGATTGCATGAATAGCAATCAGTGCATGCGTATTTTCCATTGCAAACTGATATACACATATAAGATAAAACAATAGCTGTCTAAGTCTTAAATCTTGATATTATACACATTAACGCTAAGGTTTATCTAGCAGCGGCATGGTATAAACGTCTCTTCCATATCTTAAAACCTAAATCAAAGACGGACTCTTTAATGACGTACATTTGGCTTGCACATGTAGGCAGATCCAATAAATCCTCACAATGGCTAGTCTTAATTGAATAAAAGAACAAAATACATACTTCGGTTGTCACGATGTTGCCTGGTTCTTTGTAAGCAACGCGAGAACTCGTATCTCTGCTCATCCGCGCGATGCGTTGCTCTCCAGTTAGTGAAAAGTAAATCATATCATTGTCAGAAATATCGGCGATTGGTCGCGAGACCATGCAGTGACGATTTGAGTTGTTTAAACGAGCGGCGGCCAGTATGTAAGCACTCCTCAGTTGAAAATTACCTCGCAGAGGGCTAGATTGCCTCTAAATGCCGGCAAATTTCTATAATTACGTCAGTGACGAGGGCGATGACTTGTGAAAATACTGAAGACCGCAGCTCGGATGAGAAAGTAATTAAACGCATTGAATCGCGCGAGCGTGTGTGTATCACATCCTTCTCTAATCTGCTCAATTTACGAAAGGATTAAAAAGAGACATCAGGTTGTTTTGCTTGCGAAATTGCACCCGTCAACACATGCGAAGTGTTAAGTGATAAAGCGACTGGTGTATGCAAGCTAAAATGTCGGAATTGTTGTTACGATCGCTAAAAGTACTGATTCTTAAACGCGGCCGCAAAGCGAGCGCTTGCTGCTGAGATGGCATGCTTGTCTAACGGTCCGGCATCGCGACGCTACCGATTTTAATAAATTCCCCCAGCGGTGCTATCGCCTTCGGTCACCTGTTCTGCTAATCACGAAAAATAAACAGATACAAACCTTAAAATAAAATGCCAACAATCGTCTGTTGTATGTGATTTATGCTCGGTACACCGTCTCATACCAGTCGACATCCGTACGAAGTAAAGTACTCGAGCTCTCACGACGTGTGTGGGGGGAAGGTTCATTCAATATTAATTCAGAGAGAATGGGAACATGACAAATTATCGAGGAAGCGCAATTATAAGCCATCTGCTTTCAATTGAAATATCTTAATTTAAGCATGATTTTAATTTGGCACAGTCTTTCACTGTTTCCATGACAACCACCCCGGTCCCCGCGTAAAACCGAAGCGAACTACTATGTAGAAGGGCAGTCGAAGTTATGAGTCAGATGGTAATTGATCGGTATTTGACGCAACAACTTTAAATTGGTTTTGAGATGTGAACATCGATTCGAATGGAAGTGAGGATGACACAAATCATATTCAATTCTCATTCTGTATTCACGAGCAACGAAGTTGAAATTGCAACGTGTGTATTTTTTGAGGTGTTGAAAAGAGTCATTCGTTCAAAGTAACGCGATTCTTAGCCCGACGAGATTCTGCATGAAGATTGAAGAATCGCGATTCAATCTTGCGAATATTTTTGGCGATTACTTCGGTACTGCATGGAACTGGATTACTGAGTGTGAAAAAAGACGTTTGTAGCCAATGTCAGTTATAAATTTATGACCGTTATAGAATGGCCATATTGCCAATATTTTCTAATTGATCAAAAGTGCATTGAAGTAGTCAATATTAGATAAAACGCTGTTACATCTGCATCCACGTACATTTCAATGGAATGTGCTGTCAATCGAGGCGGTTACAAAAATATATTCGCACTATTTCACATCGGCGAGAATAACTTGATCAGGACAATGACGACAAAATGAAAACTGGGCTGATTCGATGAAATAGAGGTAACTTGAGGTAATTTATTAAATTACGCGCTCAAAATACATGTGGTTAATTGATTTTCACTCGCGAGTCAGGGCAACATTGTTTTGGCCTGAAACGCTTTTAATATCGACGGTTAGAAACCGGCATTCTTGATATACGTATAATCATTTCGGCAAATGAAACTCTTGATATAATATGGTTTGACGGTTTAATCTCGGTAATATATTAATACGCCATATATACTCATCTCATATAAATCTGTTATGTTTACATAATCTAACTTTGTAATATCTAGTGCAAACAAAGAAAGCCATCGTTCCCTGTATTATTATTATTTATATTCCCTGTAAGTATTACAATATTATTATGAAAGTTCTGTCGACATAAAAAAATACTATAATATAAATTATAGAGAAAAAACAATAGCGGGAGTCAATAAACTATAGTTTTCGAGAGTTGATAAAATACGATATGGAAATTGGAAACGTTATTAATGCCTAATGCACGCCAATGGCGGTCAGTAATTAATAAAAGAGAAGCATTGTTGCACTGTAGTCTGTATCCAGCAAAGCACTTTAACTTGTTTAGTATAACTAATGTATACATGCAGCCATTCAAAATTCCACTGTATAATATTTTATAGAAACTATGCATAATTCCAACTATATATTTGAAGTTGTGAAATACGAAGTGTGAAATTATTGTTCTATCTCTATCTCTATCTCTATGTCTACGAATGAAACGGTATGACCACAACACCGGACTTATCGATCGTACGTGCGAAGCGAAATTTATAATTAGGACATCTTAGACTTAGGCGTTTCGCAACCATCTCACGTGTTTTAAGGCGGAAATAGCAATGCAGTTTATATGTCAATGGCTTTGGCAGAGCTTTCCTGGGCTGTGCGCACGCTGTGTGGTTATGCAAATCTACAACACCAGTAATTAAAGTTGCTCGAACTCAGGGTGAAAAAAAACGTGACCTCGTAAAAAATTCAATGTGTTTCCACAACATTAGTGTTATGTTACCCCTACGAACTCCGCATCTTTAAATTAACAATTTCTAGTTAGGAACAATTTGTTTATGCCCCGCCCCCCTCTCACCCACTAACGATTTCTTAAAAAAGGCCCTGGTGTGCACGTCCGTTAGCCTAACAAAAGCCGCGTTTACACTACGTTCTTAAACCAGGTCTAGGCCACAAAATCCGAGCCAACAGAAGAAGGTGGCCTGGACCTGACCTGGGGCAAGATTTTGGCAATGTGAACAAACTTTACCTAGTCCTGACAAATTTTGAACTTAATAGTATGATTTGTATAGGATCCATATAGTATTACCACTTTTCGGCGTGTTTTGGGTCTTTTTCCAAGTATATTGTAAACTACTTTGGCTATCTGATATCATCAACAAGGAAGACAATGTGAACGTGGTCCAGGCTAGGTTTAGGCCTGAAGTGTAAACGCGACTAAAGAAACCTAGGCCCATGCAGCTTCGAATTTCCGTAGAGATTATGGGTTTTCCGAGGTTTTGAGTTTTCCTGATACACTAGCTGCATAACTTACCTGGCCAGCTTCATTTGGACTTGCATCCCACTGTAGTAAATGCCTGACAATGTTAGAATGACCTCGGTAGGCTGCCCACGTCACAGCACCCCAACCATCCTAGTCAATTACATTTATACAATGAAGTACATTACTTATTTTAGGGGATACTAACTTTAAAGGGGATCTGTGATATGCTGACAAAAACTGAAAATGCGAATGCAAGACGTGCTATGACGCAACTATAAAAGATGGTGGCGTGTACAATTTACCAGCATGCATTGCAGGCACCAAACATTACTGGAAATCCATGACTGGAAATCACGAAGCGAAAATCACAATAAACGTGAACAATTTCTCAAAGCAACGCATGTTAGTAAAACATCCATCATTTCTTAAGGTTGTAGTTTTTCTATTTATTCCAGCGGAGCTTCATGAGTAGTCGGTTCTATCACCTTAATACACAATCGCTCTTTTAAAACTTTCTTTATATAACAGAAATAATGGAAAATAGAGGAATTCCCTACCTTATCAGTTAGCGAAAGATCGGCACCATTTTTGAAAAGTTCAATAGCACATTGCTCATGGTTTCCCTTTGATGCAGCAATTAACGCTGTCGTTTCATCCTATATAAACAGAAAATAACCTACGATGTCATTATTATAACATTTGCCTACGTATTTGGTCTTCGTATCGCGCAAACGCAGCGGCTACCCCAAAAAACACCTAGTACAATCACAATAATCCTGTACTAGCAAAAGGCATGGTTGTAAATGACATCCGGTCGAATGGTTGAGGATGATCCGGAAGAGGAAACGAAGTAACGTTATATGATATTTGGAAAAAAAATGAAAGAATTCCACCAGATCAGTTTCCTTTCAATTTTTAAAAGTTCGTTCAGGATTTATATCAAACTATAGATAATATTGTGTGTCATATGTAGGCATGCAGTTTGTCCCATTTTGGTAGTTTAGCCTTCAAGGTCAGGTCGTCAATGGCTCCCGGGCTGAACATTCCAGAAATTTCTATTAATTATCATTCTGTAAATATAATTTATCACTCATGCGCGGCTACAAAAATGACCTAGTAGGTACAATATAATAATCCTGATTCCTGATTCCTGCATACCTGCAAAAGGTTAGGAGTGTGGATGATATATAGTCAAAATGTCAAATAGCCGTTAGGAAACGATGTATCTCTATATGATATTTAGGCCTAGGTTATATGTCGTTTTGGTCGCGTCGAATGAAATTCAAACGATAGATAAGGAGATGATAAACTTCATTAAGCTTCATTACCACCTCATTATTTATTGTTCGAATTGCATTCGAGGCGACCAAAATGCGACGTATAACCTGGGCCTTAGAAGAGAAGAAAAATTAAAAGAATTTTACCAGATCAGTTTCGTTTACAATAAGCGGATTTCTTTTTAAAAGTTCTCTCAGGATTTTCAAGCTACCACATTGTGCAGCCGCAATTAACAACGTCTGTGCTGCCTACATAGGAGAAAGAAAAAATATACAGGGTGTCTCAAAAAAAAATGCAACCACTTAAATATGCGAGAATATTAATATTGTTCGGGTTAGCACCATAGTTCAGCTAAAATGACTTTTAGCATTTTAACTGAAGGATTAAGACTGAGCATTTTCAATTACCAGAGGTGCTTATCTATTGCGCTTTAGAGCTGTATTTATGTTCTTGCATATTTATGTGTTGCGTTTTTTTTGAGACACCCTGTAGAACATTGTGATGCATACGTCCAAATATAATAAAATGATTTTGAGAAAGTGGTGCTCCTAAAGGACGGGTTGTATAAGTGCTTTTTTGTGTGAAACGCGAATAAAGAAAACAAAACTTTCAGGGAAGGTCGAAGGTATTTATATTTATCTATAAATGAAATTAAACCAGTGAGGCTAAGTCAATCACTTGTCCTGTGGAGTGTTAAACAAAATTGCAAATTGGCTGAGTACACATGCATGTGCATGTCAATAAACTTTCTGCGGCTATGAATCTTACATGCATGTATAACAGTGGCATTTTACATATGAAATTTACCTGTTAAGGTAATGTGAAGGTGAAACGTTATGATGATTTAAACTATTTAATAATATTTATAATAATTGTTTTTCATGAATAGGAAAACGTCATATTTAAAAAAACAAAAATTCATTTGTGATCACTTTTCATATTGTGAAGTCTAAAATCACGAGGGTGTATATAAACACGGGAAAAACAAATTCAGAAAAAAAGTTTTTCAAAAAAAACACAAGTAGGCCTATACCTAAGGCGAAGACGCATATGACAAAATGTGCATTCATAACAACTAATATGGTTCAAGTATTCAATAAGTAATCAACAACTTATTTAAAAGGTAAAATTCATTTTGTGCATTGGTTCTGCTCATTATGATAAAATGATAAAAACAAAAGGTTAGCATACCTCATCTCTAATATTGATCAATTCCGGCTGCTGATCCAAATGACACACCAATGTATTTACATCATCGTCATCAATCAGGTCAAATAACAACACAGAAGAAATAGAACGGGTCAATCGTATCGACATTGACTATAAAAAGAAAACACAATGTATTGTGTATATATACATGAAATTATATTCCTGGGGGATCCATGCCGGCACAAATACCGCCACAATAAAGATTACCGGCGGATATAGATTTTAGGCTATCTGCATGTGTCTTTTTGTAGATGATAGTTGTCAATTCTTTCTATATTTATTGATTTATTATGTCAAATTAAATATGGAACGCTATTTTTTGACAACCTCCAAATATATACTAAAGCATTTGCAAATCGATGTTGTTCAGGAACCGCGGTTGGGCGAAGACTGGGTATAGCGCTATCCACCGCCGGCACCGGATAGTGATTTTTTCAAGCCGTACAAAAATGGTTAAAAATCGTAGATATTGACCCAGCAATTAATGGAGAAACATAGGAAGGTTCAACTCAAATAGTACCATAATACGGGCACTTTTAGACTGATTGAAAAACCTACTACCACAGGCGGATAGCGCAATCCGACCGTAGGTTCGTACTGAAGTGGAATGAAACTAGATATTTTCGAGTGACCAAACGGAAATCTTCAGGAGTGAATGGTTTGTTTTTCAACTTTAAAATATATTAGGATGTTTAATAAGATTTCCCTCGTAAAAAACAAACACTGTAGCAACTATTGACGTCAACCCAGTCAGAGCTGCCATTTTAGAATTATAATTAATGTTGATTTCCGGTTTGAACCCGTGAATTCTAATCGCGCAAAATCGGCATATATGCATCTGCCTTCTGGGATCAATATTAAAACCGTCTGGGTTTTCCACGTAAATGGTGAACAACCTCTTTTTCCATAGCCGGGTTTGTCTACAATTTACAAGGCCCCCGAGTTAGCATGCATTGCTGATAAAGACATTTTTGTATTCGCTTTCGGTCAGACGCAAATGCGGGCCCCGCTGATCCAAAGTATATATGCGCCGAGTAATTTGTAAGATTTTTTTACATCAATGTAAACATTTCAGATACGTTAATAGAGATTTTTAAGTTCCGTACGCACAGTATATGCATATCTAGCCCACGCTCTCGCCCTCCCTCGGCATACCCTGATACCATTTGTACTATTGTTCATACATCGTTCACACTGTTTTACAAAAATTGACTAAACTAGAACCGATATACGAGTAAGGATGTGGCATAAGTGTAAAAGACCATAAATAAAACACTTGTGCCTGGGGTTTATACTTTATAGATTTAATTATTACGTTGATGAAAGCCTGGTTGGAAAGAATTAATAAACTAACCTTTGGTTTCAAGTCAGATATTTCCATTGCGGAATATGGCGCATAGCACCCCGATAGCGCAACTACGTACGTTCAGTAAAGTGTCTAACTGCCAAGAAAAATAACGCCGCCGACTATGATAAACCGCGATATGATTCTGCATTTGGATAATAATGCGTTTCCCAGCAGAAATAAATCAAATAATGCGCTGGTCGCTTATTTGTCGAAACGTTGACAAGTCTGGAGTCATGCGATATTCTAAAATGCGTTCCAAGAGACATTTCAAGCGCGCAATGCGTGATGGTTGAGCTGATTATCAAAGGATCAAAGTCACTTTGGGTCTGGCGCTGTGTTTGAAGCGCGCTTGTGATTGTACGGCAATCTTGCCGGGGGGGGGTTTTCTTTGCGAACTAGATTGCTTCTGAGTTCTGAACTTTCAATCACAACTACAATTGGCACTGATAACCAAACACGCATACGGCGCTTGAAAGGTAAAAGGCCAATCCGTATCGGGTTATCAAGGGATGTCTTCTTCTATTGTGTGTGAACATAATTAAAAGTATAGCGCGAACCAAAATCGTTTCAAAACATATGGATACTGGAGTTTTTAACCTTTTCGTTTAGTCTCGAGTTGCATATAAAATTTAGACATCCTTGCTGAGGTGCAAAAATTTTTTTGTCAAATTTTCTATTCAGATAAACTTCATTCAGTATTCGATCGTCCGTGTGGCGGCATCTTTCTGAGAAATTTACCAAGGCAATTCTGTTTACATAATCGCATGATTGTCTGTATATTTATCATTTATATAGACCTTGAGTGGGGGGGGGGGGTGTGAGATTCGGCGAAATATTCCCCGAAGTGATAAAACCTCCAAGGATAAAGGGTGGAGTTAGCTGTTCTCCAACACCAGTTTGATCTCAAAGGTTTAGTAATTCACCACATCCAACATAACAAAACAAAGAGAATGATAAAGACGCTAGGTTTGGATGATAATATCATGAATCCTTTGGATAATACCATGGATCATGAAAGGCAGGTTGCCATTTACGATCAGCTTCAGGTGGAACGTTGAAGTAAGGACAAACAATGCTTTAGGAAGGTCCTCGACACTAACGGAGTGCGAATAGTGAAGTGGTTAAAAAATGACGGATGGAAGGAGCAGCCATAGTAATTGGAATATCACTGTCGACGTCCTGGCGATTACCGTCTTCAGCAAAACAGAACTTTGAGAGGATCCAATGCTCTCTCTCAGAGCGTTTTACATCTGGAAATCACCTATGGGCGCACAAGAAACGATGTGAACCAGGTTTTGAGGATGTTAACTGTCTTTTATATCTGCTGTGCTTGCCCTTCCCTAATCTTCTTCTTGTCATTCGCCTTTAGACGTCTTTCATCTTGACATTCCACAGAAACGAGTTGTCCATGGTCAACTTTGGAATCAGCTGCTTCTTTGGGCTGAGGTTGCAGGCGGGTTTTCTTTTCGCGCGTTTTCCTTTAGGTTCAGATTGCCCTACGCGCACTCTTCTGCCGCTCCGGCCCTTAAACTCTGCGCACCACCGACATGTCTCTGCATGATATTATCGTAAATGTTGAGTGCATAGAAGATCAGTATAATATTTATACATAGTCTTCAAAATTTGAGGCATATAAGCGACTATCAGGTATTTATTATCAAAACGTTTTATTACTTTTTTTGGTTAGCATTACGTAGAAACTTTATACTTTCTTGAAGTGAAGTTACCCACTAGATTTTTTGTGGAGTGGTTCTCTATTGGTCAATCCCATCAACAGTGTTTCCGGCTACGGAGAGATTAGTATCATCAGTAAATTACAAAAAGGTCACGACAAGAATATCTCCACATTAGTTCCTAATAAATTACTCATTTTATATATCTGTCGTATTTGACACATGCAAAATGCGCGATCTTTAACGGGCCTTTAAAAATTAGACTGCATGTGTTGCAGACAAAATACTTGAACCTGGAAACTAAACTGATCTAACGGATGTCGGATTAAAGGCCATAAAAGAATGTGGGAAATGAGTATAACTATATAGGACAACGAATCGTTTATACATCCCTCTCTATATACCGTACCATAATTCAATTTCAAAATAGCCATATTTCAATTTCAAAATAGCGATATTTCAATTTCAAAATAGAAAAAGTAAATTTCTTTTTTAAAGGAACTATGAATGTAGTTGAATAGAGAAGTAAATTGTGAACCATGTCAAATTTAACTCTATTCACTATATCTTTTAATCAATGGAAACGACCAGGCAATATAATTTATAACATTAATATTACTATCTACTGATATTTATCCACTTTATGTAGTTGAATCACTTGAATGCAGTGAAACCATAGCCATAGACATAGCCCGCTTAGGCCAATGGGCTGACAATATAGCGAATTGTTTTATATCGATATTTGCATTAGGCTTCACTATGGATAAACCCATAGTATAGGGCCTTAGTAATTACATAGGTGCATTGTCGGGTAGCGTAGTTGCTCCTATATTTTAGTACTAATAATATGCGGCTGTTGCAGGCTAACCTTGGGTTGATTGTATACTAGGCCAGTCAAGATGGACCGGTTTCTATTAGGTATGATCGATGAAATATCCCTACGTAATTGCCACGACTTACAGTAATCAGTATATAGCTAATATCTACCAGACTAGATTGAACCCAATTAATTTATAATTATACATTCCGACTCCGGCTACATCGTTATATATACCTTAGGAGAACTATAATCTATAGTTTCAATTGAAGTATTTACCTTCGTGATAGGGGTAATTTGCAATCAGATACACCGTCGACGATTTTGAGACTTGGATTATTGCTTATTCAATTTTAAGTCATCAATTGGCACTTTTGATGCACGAAAGTGTAACACTTCCATCACTAATGAGAACTTCTACGAATGATCAAATACTGCATGTATCATGTATGTTATATATGCGCATGAAGATAACATGCGTTTAACGCATGACTTAATGCGTGCTCTACACATGTTTAACGCATGCAAAAACGGGTCTGCAAAACTAAGGCGAACTTCTATTCTTCTCGTTATTTATCGCAGAAATTTTTCAAAAAGCCCATGTAGGCCGAGTTAGCACCGCATGGTAAAGCCACAAGAAAAATACCTGCAGCAAATTCTTTAGGCAGTAACCGAGCCTGAGATTCTGGTCAGCGTTCTCAGTTATGACCTTTGCAAAACGGCTCATCGATGTGCTAAAGCCAGCCGCACACGCGAGCTATTAGCAAAGCTATATAAAGACCACGCAAGGCTGTTAGCTCAGCAAGTTACTCTCGTGTGCGGATAGTTTTTCGTGAGGAATTCGCCTAGTTTCTCGCGTGTGCGGATGGTTTCGGGCCGAGCTTACTGCCTCACGAGGTCGTTAGCTCAGCTGATAGCTCTCGTGTGCGGCGGGCTCACACATTATCAATCAACACACGATGAGATTTTAACTGAAAGTCATTTGCATATATTTTTTCTATTGCCACTATTTTGGAAGTGATCACGACCAAATTCGGTGCCAGATTTGAAACAGCTGGATGATTTGAAACAGAAATTCTTCTCGCGAGATTGAACTAAACTATATATCGAACAAGATAGATATTTTCTTTATATATACAAGCCCTCGAAGCAAAATCTTCACGAAAGCAACCCCCAGACTTGTTACTGTTGTTATTAATAGTACTAACCGGGTGAGATGCAGAGAAAGCTACATCACATGTACAGCTACCACCTATATAGCTATATATGTATAGTGTTTTTGAGGGTTCACCGACAAGAGCGATCAGAGAAAGCTAGATTAATTTGAATGGACATTGCACATTACACATGCTTACAAGTGTTCATGCAAGTAAATGAATATAAATATAATGAAATATGTAGCCTGCACTTGTATAGGTTGACGTTATCAGGTGCATCTAGTTCTGCGCCTCGGGCCAGTGCTCTGATTTTAAATATCAAGCATTTTTCAAGATGACAAAAATAATGCACATGCAGCTACATAATAAACACCCACCGCAATTCCTGCTGCTGGCTGCAAATGGTGAAACTGCTCGAGGATGGGTTACGGGAAGATTGCGCTTCAGGCTACACAAAGCCTACCAGACAAGACGTTATCAAACATTGGTAGCGCATTCGCCTGGATGGACGTATATTTTTCATGATAACCAACACACTGCAAGTCTACAAAGTCTCTCTGACCCAACTATATACCTGTAGACCCGATATCGCTAAAGATGTAGCCCGCATCTTGGCCCAACTCCAATGATAATTTATTTTGTGACCTGCAGCGATCTTCACGCATACTTTTAAGTGTGTTTACTGGAGCAATCGGAATTTGGCCCGCGACGGCGATGTTCTCAGTGCCGGTTTTTGAATGAATTAACCTGTTTAAATTTAGCCTGATTCAAATTTCCCGAAAAAGAAGGGTGGCTATCGTTTTTGGTATCTGAAAAACGGGAGTAGATGAACAATTGCTATGAAATTTTTGTCACGGTTCCCTACCGAGTACCGTAGACGTTACTGTAGTCAATATCTGAAATGGGATTCTGGAGAACGACATTCTTATCTTTGTTTAATTTACCTGATTCATAACGAGGTAATGCCATTATGCACGTGTTCTATATAAACCTTGTCATTCAGGTATACGTATTATTTTATCACATTGCTTCCCATATACTGTGGGGTTTGTTGCCCATTTCTTACGCGGAGACGTCCTATATCACATTATATATAATGCATTTCTGGGGAATTGGTCTTGATTTTCTGCGGTGTTTGGAACAATGAGAAATCAAATCTCCATCGCGGTTATATATCTAAAACTCACAACGGCATTTTTCTCCGATGCTATTTTATCACGTAATATGCCTAGATCTGCAGCGTTGTATGTATGGTTTATGGGGGAATTAAAATCTGGGGGTAGGGCAACAAATTTGGAATTTTTAGTCTTAAAGGAAAATAGCAATATATTTTTTTTCAAGTTTAAGAAGGTATATAGCCTGAGACTGGTTGAAGATATAGCCTGAAGACTGAGGGGTTGCAAAAATTTTTTCCAACATAGCTTCAGTGTAAGAAGCAATGGAAATTTTGAACTGTGGCCTATGATGGGTATTTTAATAGGGTGGCAAGCATAACACTATTATAGTTGTAAAGAAGAGAGGGTGACTTATTTTCAGAGAGGAAGGAGGGTGGATGTTTTAGTACCCTTTTTTACGAAGGGTTATATAAGTTAGTTTGGCTGTTTTATTGTTTAAAATATGAAATGACAGTCCACAAATAAATAAAGAACATTCCCTGAATACACATTTACGAACATGATGGTATTTCTATCCTATTTTGGAATTTAAAATTTGCATATGAACAAAAACAAACTATATTCGGGTTTGTTCCGTTTGTCTGTACGTATATGTCAGCCGATGTTTGACAAAGAATCTGGGCTATTTCTAAATTGTGATGAAACAGATTTTGAGCACAGCGTGTATTTGGATTTATTAACGTTTTACATAGCATCAATTTCGGTTGCTTTTCATCTGTATGAACTTACGCAATTCATGTAATTGTGCATATAAATTCATAAAGATATCAATTACGGCTTCCTTAACGACATGCAAATATAAAATGCTATATTTACTGTCGTGGTTTGTGTTTTCCTAATCAAGTATAAAAGCCATCGAATACTGAAACGTTCGGACCGATTTCGTATGAATTTTATCAAAACCTTTTGCCCTAGATTCCTATTAAAAACCCCATGCCGACTTAATCATTAATTGTCTTAACTGGGACACATTACGCATACTGCTGTCTTCTACTGGTCTTGATATCTGCCCACCATCACGAAACAACTCTGCCATCACGATTGTGTACATCTCTCATTTGAAAACACATATTTTTATCATATATACTATCGACCTAGTTCTATAAAACGTCCAAAATGTAATGCGGTACGAACGACGGGTTCTACCTGTGAAATTCCGTCAAAAGTCACAGTTGCCACATCGTGTTAGCCGGGGCTGAATAAAAATATTTATGATAATTGCAACAAATTTTGTTCACTTACTTTTAACCGCCAGACATCAACACATAGATTTTATCCTTCTGTCGTTTAAACCCTCAACTTGATGAAAGGTAATTTCGGTTGGAGAGCGCGTTGTGCATCCGATAAGAATATTAAATTTTAAAATGCTTTTCTTTGTCAATTGTCAGGTATCTCAGCTTTTATGTGGTTCCGTCTCCCGCCGTGTTGATATATTACAAATTAACAATGGTTTTTTCTCCGGTCGGAGCATGATATAGAGGGGAATATTCCCTCTCGATGTAAACAAATCTGCCATGGAAACAAGATGGAAGATGGAAGCTATTCATACAACATACTTCAAATATTGAGATGAAAACATTAACGTGACATTTCTCTGAGACTCCGACATCACTATAGAAAAGTATGTCTGATTTATAATGTTCTTTACTCACAAATATTTAAAACTGTTTTAGAATACGATCAGTGACTACCAGACTGTAGTAATAGTGAGGGACGCTAGAATAATATAACATAAAACGTACTATTATGAAATGCTAAACCTTGTCGGAATGGACACAATGAGTGGTTTGATGATCGTTGCTAGGCTAGACTTTCGCGGTGGCCACTAGTTCTAATTTTCTCTAGTTTTTCAGCAAATATAATAAAGTATAATAAGTATCACGATACAGTATCGTTTTTAAGCGAAGTACAATATACGTACAACCAGTCAACCTATAAAATATAAACACTTTTAATCTAGATCTTTCAATCCTCACAACACCCTCACACTAATCCTACTTGTAACGCAATCGTTTGTTTAACAAAGGGACCAACTTCGGAACTACGTTTTGTCCATCCTTTTTAGTCAGTTATATGGTGGATTGGTGGCCAGTGCATGCATGATACTAAAATGTCCATTGATGCATGCGTGATATATAATATATATTTCACAATTCACATAATATATTGGGATGTCAAACTGGCTTAAATATACCCCTTAACATCTCCTTTTAGAATCACATGCCTTCCTACTCCATGTCCTGCATCTGCAGGTAGCTGTACCAATAATATTTAGAGGTCCTTATAGGCATGCCATTTACTTCTTACTGTTGGGGGTCTAAGGCAAAAAATAGCCATGCAAGAAATAGCTAGTATATGCTGAAAAGGTTTGTCCCAATTTTTTCCTTTACAGTAACAATGCCAAAACTAAGGAATGCAAACTCACCATCTTTATCACCACTCAAGCAAGGTACCTGGAAACAATATGATTCAAGCAGGGGAAATCCAAAGCAATGGCCACCTGATGTCAACATGCTGTTATCCACATCTCGTTGGCTTGAAGTATGTTTCGATTGTCTTAATTCAAATGACTTTTAGCACAAGCCTGATTAATGCTAGTTAAAAAATAATTACTTCCTCTTGTTTGGGAGGCTATGAAAACGGTTTTACGTGCAATATCTCTATACACAATAGTAATAGGACTGCAATTCTCATTCTAATTTTTAACAAAATACAGGATTATGTGTAAAATAATTGGAATTCAAAAATTGGAATTAAAAATCATTCATAAATATTTTGAAACATTATTTCTCACATTTATAATTACTTGAAACTGATCAAATTATTATATGACTTTTATGATAAAATATTTATTCTCTCTCGTTGTTTGGCATTTAGTAATTTCCAACTTGAAATCTCAAAATCAAACTTAACAATTCTTTGGTACTTGCCGTTAATGTTATACTACTCCAATACTGTGCACTAGCTGAATACTATATATACACTGAATTTCTCATATCACAGTATTTGTATGTATAATATAATATTATATGTCTCCTGTTATGCATACATGTAAAAGTTTAAGCCAGGTCAGTGAATAATTACTGCTTTTGAGTTGAAATGAAAAAATTTGCAGGAAATTATTAACAATAACACACAGACAGATACAGACCAACACACACTGATATACATTTAAGATTTAAATAGAAGCAAAAAAACCATTGGTTGCTATTATATATGATATGATATTTAATTTTAGGAAGTCATACACAACTTGCATAAACTGAACTTGCCAGGCAAATTTCTCTTATTTATTCACCCGCTGTGACAGCTGTAATTAAGTCGTGTTTACAACAGTAAACACTTTTCCAAAAAATTGTAAATTGGCTCTTATGGACGTACGTCTCCTTTGAGCATTGAGTCCTTTCTCTTGCCAATCGCCATTCCCTTATTTGGTACCTAATATTTCACTCTTTTTAGTATAAAATATCAACCTGTATAAAGTTTTATAGAAGCATTTACATGTAAAACTTTTTCAGAAAGAGTTTGGGAAAATGAAAAATTAAAAAAAGCAATTTATCGCTGACCTTATGACAAACGGGGACAAACCAATCTCGAAAGACGTTTGCTCATGTGCCGAATTATGGCGGTAGATTCGAGTATATTGATCCAATAATCCTGTGACTAAAGTCTAAAGCCTATAGAGTTGATTTTCATTTTAAAAAAGCACTATATAGCTATAAAAACCTTACCCTCCAACGTTTGCTTGTGTGTAATAGCCGATTTGTTAAAAAGCTTTGTTTTTGCCAATTATGTAGCTTGGGTTCGATTCCTCAAAAAACATAAGCTTTTCTTAAATTGTTCTGTTTTTTCTTTCTTTTAACTTGAGTTACTTAACTTCAGTCTCACACCGATACCTAATTCTCAACAAATGCCATTTAATTTGTAGCTTAGGTTTAAAAAATTGTACAGAAAGAAGAGACATTTTTCGTTTAAAGGGTAGACAACTTATCGTTCTTAATATGTATGGCTTTCATTAAACAGGGGCCGGTTGTATCAAGCCCGTTTAGTATAACGGTGGATAAGTCAAAATTAAATAACACTCTTACATGTCCTTTGAATGAGTCAACTTGAATATTATGCACTGAATATGTAGTTGTAAACAGTTGTATTAAGGTTAAAAACATTTAGTTTGCTTGTTGAGTAAAACGATAGACTTGCTTTCACCGTTTAAGCTAGCGGGCTTGATACAACTGGCCCCAGGCCAGTACTGGCAGTAGCCTATTTGTGCAATTTTGAAACAAATGAACCAGGGATATATGAATCAGCTAGATGTGAAAGACCACTGTGAGCTTTCTGTGAGAACAATGAAGATGCATTCGTGTTGTTATAATAGTTCTATGTGTCTTCCTTTTGTGCTGTGAGTTGTGTTGTTGTTAAGGGCCGCTGTAACTGGCGTTAAGCTGTATATAGCCTATAACCTGCCATGCCAATGTGTACTGTAATTTGGCAAAGCATACTAAAATAAAGATAAAATCATGATTTGTGCCTAGAAGTTGGCATTTGCATGTAATCAACATTTCACCAGAACTATATGCGAACATTTCACGACTCATGTTGCGAATGTGGCAAAATTTCACAGCCGCCTTCTATTTACTATCCCAATCATCTTCACTAATGATTCCACTTTTGGAGTCTCAATGAAGTCGGTTGAAAATGACGAAATTAGGATAGGAGGCTATTAAAAATAATTCTTGATCTTTATTCTTTAGCTCTTTGGTCTTCAGAAGTACAAACTTGAACTTAAACAGATATTATCCTCAATTGGTTTTAAGCACAGTGAAGGTCTGTTAAATTTCATCAAAATTTTTTAGATTACGTCTTGATCATGGTAGTCCGTAGTCGTCTTTCGCGCGCTCAATAAATGCCCTTATATATCATCAAAGCAACAGTATATGGTTAGTGAAAGATGCACAATAAGAGGCCTGGGGACTAAGGACTGTATTAAATATGCTGAAAACCCTGAGTAAGACTTGTATAATCGACCACGGTAATTACAATCAGAAATGATTACTTTTCGTCGGCGCCTTTGATGTTTAGCTGTATGCCTTGTAAAAATTTATTAAAAAGTACTATAATGGTCACCATGCATGCCGTAAACACAGAGAGTTCACTTTCAGTAATAATTACTGCTCCCTTCCAAGGCATGCGCAGAGAAAGTGGTACAGGAAAATTGAAAGTTCACATACATTATCATCTCTCTATTTTATTTCTGTTATTTGCAATTTTACAGTATATGTATAGTGACATTTCTCTCATGGGTATATCATTTGCTTTATAGAATATGTGAAGTCTTTGCAGAAACCAGTCACTGCAAGTTATTCAAGAGGAATGTTTCCGCAATATGCTTGTGAAGATGGAACTAAATATAATGTAATGCATTATACATATTTATCTGTAAATAAAACGCATACGCTAATAGAACGGCGAAGAATAATTTGCGGATAATAAGACCTAAGTTGCCAACATACCATCGCTCTTCTGTCTGTTGTGTAAGTGTTTTTCCTATAATATCTGATGCAAATGTACTTAAAATAAGAGACTGTCTGTTAATTCTTTCGTTTGTAGACACATGAACAAGGCCTTGTGATACACACCAGATAACCCGCTCCGATTTTAAGTTTTCGGATATTATAAATTATCGAACAATTCCACTCTCTGTAATATATCCGCTATTGCACATGTATGTGTCATGTAATAAGTAATTTGCATGGTTATAATAATAGAATCTTTTCAGCTGTTAGGATCCTTAGAGAAATTGAAAGAATTAGAAACACAGCTGCAACGAGTTATCGAATTTTATAAAGAAAGACTGGAATGGCTCACCACGTCAAGGTAATATATTTTATTTACAAATATTAACATTACCATTGCATTGTTGGAATGCATGCAGTCGAAGGAACAACTGCACGTGTATAACCGAAATGCACGACGCCTGGGCTTGGTGATCGGAACGCGAAAACAAAATTTAATTTGCAAGCCTGGTTAAATTTAAAATTTTTATTTAGTTCCCGACATTGCTAACTAACTATAGATGGCACTGAACGCCCTGTTTTCAAGCTATTCTATTGTTTCTATAGTCATATAGGTATCAATGTTTGCAGAATATACTATACGGTCTAATAAATTATTTTTTTCTTCCTAACAGTCGTCTTATGTTTGGTGTCATCCAAGAGCAGTTTGTCACTGTAGTTCTTGATTTGCATTGTTCAACGGAGGCTGAACTGGATCTTGTAAAATATGCTTTGTTCAGTTTGGTCAAGGAACAGTTGATGTACGTGACGAGATTTAATTTTATCGGGTAAGACATCTCAACTTTATTGTTGTATATTTCTCGTATTTTGAATTATCGATCAATCTCATAAGCAAAAATATTGTAGCGTTTCAAAAAGCAGAAAATCGTGATTTATATTTAAATTTTGAAAGTTCAAGGTTTTTATTTCGAAGACAAATTATGATCTTTTCATGCATTTAATTCGCAGCAGCTCACTTATTCCCTTTTTTATTTTCGTGAAATATTTTCTGTAAGAAAATTGTAAAAGTATATTATTATTATTTTGTTTTAATAGTTGCTCCAAATATCCGATAAAATGGCAAAGACGTTCTGTTGATGTTTCTCAAGAAAGCATAGAAGAGGTTTTGGATTGGATCTATGAATTACCATTTGATCGAGCGCACGATGAAATATGTACCATCGAAGCTTTGGTTGAAGCTACTGAGGACGAGGTACCTATGCAGTATGAATGTCAGTTGATACTAAAGACAAACATAAATTACATTGCTCACACTCTCGTGACGTTTCAACTAAAATACAAAGCGATCATTGCAGTTTTTGTAACTGTTCTCCGCTTATAGTCTCGAGGATGTTGTAATCTGTTTGAGTATTTTTTTTATAAGGACTCGCTAAAATCAGTATTTGCCTTAAAGGTTGAGAGCATTTATCTATGTACTGATGGTACATGTCTTGGTAATGGAAATGACAAATTGAGAAGAAAAGTAAGTATTATCCATTGATTAAACCCTCAAACAGAATCCCAGCTGAGGCATGCATACATTTGGAATTTCAAAATTTTTCATCTGTCTCTTGAAATTGTATGTACCTCGCTTTTCGTGTTATTCTTCATTCAACTTGTTGCTTTAAATTTGCAGATAGAAGATCTACTGATTCCCATCCATATTATTGCTATGAAGTGTAATTCACCTTCGACCTTGCATCTGTTACGAGAGGCTCTCAGACCCAATGAAGGAAGGTGGGAATTGTTATATTGCGAATATGAATTAGGGATTCAAAACTTCTTCCCTGTGTGTCCGCATAGAAAAACAATTATCATGCATGTATGTCTGATTTAAATAGTTTTTATACGACCTAGCTATACCATGCCTTTTGACTCGTTAACCCGCCGGTTGAGCGGATCATACACTCCCTGAAAAAATTTTTCTAAATGGCAGTGAAGATACGTATATCTTCAATTATGACAACCCCCCTGATATTTGACTCCCATTTATTCAATTTCAGATTTCACAAGTTTTCCTTCAGCAATAATGATTATAGTAACGGAACATCCATGCGTACTTATGTGGATTGTGAAATAGGTAGCTTATCGACTTTGTCGATTGTGGATCGTAGCAAAATGCAAGCAAAATTGGAGGTTGGAAAATGCCAAGATGTAATCGAATTGAGAGAAGAATTGAGTAAAGCTAGAGAAAATGTGGCGGAGGTTAAAGCGATACAGTTGTATATTACTCAACAAAAGCTCGCCGTAAGAGGTAATTTCACTTGACGGGTATAAATTATGCACATCCTCGTCTACGTTCCGTTTAACGTGGCAAAAACTACGGGGGCAGCACGCCAGCACCCCAGCTCGGTGGCATGTCACAGTCCGAGAGTCATCCAAGGTTTTTTGTGTTGAAGAGCATTTAAATTTATTAAGGTCGTATCAAGTTGTTTATGTAGTTTAGTCCCATTAGGCTCTAATTGATAGAAAGAAAGTAAAAGTTCGTGGCCTCTGGCTATATATTCTCTCCCATTTTTTCACATGACCGTTTCAATTCCTTCATTGTTCCACTCGTCCTTTATCCTCTTTGCGTTGCTTTTGATCCCCTTCGGTTATTTGCTCGCCTTTTGTATAGAACCTTCCCCAGAGATGAAAGAGAGCAACGCATCTCCGAAAGAGAAAACTGGGAGTGAACTCTACATGGGGTCAAAGGAATGGCTAACGGTAACGTTCTTCTGCAGAATCAAGAATACACGCATGTAGCATGTGTTCTAGTTTGGTGAGATTGCTGTGTAACGCGGATTTTGCGCAAAAATGACGAATTTCGTAAAACGTCCCGATATGATGATATTGTAACCTTTGAGGGCACTTATTATATACGTGATTCTTCATATAGAAACACAGTTTACATGCAAAGAAAATTGGGTTTTATGATGTGCTGCAAAACATAGCCTTCAGACATTGTGATGGTGTGATTGACGTTCCTAATCACCTTAGTGACGATGGTACAATGCCTATTGTGAAGTCAAAGCTGGTAGATGCTAAATATTGTGAACAATTTGCTCATGTCAGGTACATTGTTGTTGACCAAAATACCATTTTTTTATATCACACTACTTCGTTAGCGAATTTCTGTATTGAAGGTAACGCAGAATCTCAAGCTATCGAATGTGATGTCTAGCATAGGATCTTAAAGTATTTATAATAGAATATATAGTATTTTAAAGTTATAACCGGATGTGTAACCCACAGCCAGAGGCCAGTTACTATCATTTTTAGAAATCAATATTTTATCTGTTTTTTCCTTTGCATCACATTCCACAGGTGGAAAGATGGCGATGTCCGTCATGTTCACATTAGTGGCGAGGTTCACAGAAATTATGAACGAAGGGTAACGGCTGCCTTAGAGTCTTTTAAAAAGAGGTTTGTATATACTTATAATTATATGGTGATGGTACCGGTCGACATGGAAAAAGTAGGCCCATATGTAACTTCATACCAATTATAACAAATTACAGTTGGATCATCACACCAATTGGTTTAGATTTTTAACCATCTATCTAGAACCCTTATGCTCAAACACTCTTTATATACCCAGACCAGTAGTTACAGAATTCTTCAAAAATGCCCAAAGTTTATTTTGTTTACCCTGCTTTATTATTATCAAGCCTGGTAAATGATCACTCTCTTCAAGAAATGAAAATGGAATGCATTTATATTTTTTATCAGAATACAATGGCTTCGTAAAGGTAGCCGAGAATTGTTTGGTACGATCATTGAAGACAAGGTTTGTACACTCAGCCGTTCAAGTGGATGTAAGCTCATATAACATCATTATATATAAACATCATTATAAACATGTATATATACACTTGAATTGTAGATTACAATTTTGATTGACACATCAGCGTCCATGAACTCGCGACTGTTCTTAGTAAAAGATAAATTGTACCAGCTGCTTCAGGTGGGCCGGATTCTGATGTTCTGTTTCGTTTTATTTACTAGTTTAGGCTAGTTGGTTTGTATATAGGCTATCTATCTATTTATATCGAAACATGCAACATCATATACGTACATGAAATAATCGCCTTTCTAACGACGCCTACAAATTTGAAATATAATTTGACAAATGCATGCCCGACTATAATCGGTAGGAAGAACTCTTTCTCTTTTTTGTAAGGCGTGAGAAATGTTCCCACCAACGGGAACGCAAAGGAATGTATTAATTTGATTACGTCCCGCTAAGATTTTCTTTGTTATATATAAACAATTAGCTCGATCGAAGAAAAAAAGTTATGTGCGAATGCTTTTGGGAGCCTTGAAAAGTGCTTAAATTATATAACAATTTTTAATAGTATATACTTGAGACGTACTTAGAAAATCCAGATAAAGGGGTAATTGAGAGTGCTTGAGAATTCGGTAAGTAAAAAATTCGGTAAGTAAATTTTGGCAACGTAACTAAACTCTTTAAAAATTCGTAGGAGCAAATTAAGCACAAACAGAAGTTCAATCTTATCAAGTATGATTCTCAAGCAATGGCCTGGCGCAGCAGACTTGTCGACTGCACAGATCGGGTTAGTTTACAAAGCGTATATGGCTATAAAGCTAAGATCAATGCATCGTTATACTCTTACAATTTTATGATTTTTTATTTGAAACTTTGAATTCATTTTAGAACATAAACGATGCTTGGCAGTGGATAAAAGGACTCACTGTTGGTGGTAGTACGAATACGTTAGCCGCTCTGAAACTTGCGCTGTCCGATGAACTCTGTGAAGCAATATATCTGTTGACTGATGGCAGGCCAGATCAGGTAGATTAAGAGCAAGCTCTTCCGTGTTACTCATAGCGCGCAAGAAGACTACGGTCTCCACTGATTAGTTAACCCCAAGTTAACGGCAATCGTTTTTTGAATGTAGTTCCTTCTTGCAATGTAATCCGACATTGTGGGTGTGAAAATTTTCAAAGGGTTTGGACTATTCTGCCATGCACCTGCGCACATTATGCAAATACATATCACTTTCACAACCGCGTCCATTTTTTCATTACAGCCAGCAAGTACGATTTTGGCACAGATACATTTACGAGATCCAATTCCAATCCACACCATTTCTTTCAACTGTTCCGATGGGACGGCAAATGAATTTTTGTGTAAATTATCGGAAATGACTAATGCCAGGTGAAATAGAAGCTTAATGTGTACTGCAGAAAAGGAAGCCTACTTACCTAGAGATGACTCCGTCGTGCCTTTCCGCCACAAATTACCCCCCCCCCCCTTCTTTGTGTGTGGGGGCATGGTTGATGATAAAACTATCTTTGCAAGCAAAATATCGGCCCGCTATCTCATTCTGAGTATTCATTCTTGACTTCGCAAATTCATTTTTGGTTGCCTGTTGTATATTCTCTTAAAATCATCTATCGACTGCTCCCTCAGTTCCATGCATAACTTGCACATGGTATATCATAATTCATGCCATGCACCTAGTGTTGATCTGTTTTCCACTGATTCCAGGTTTCATTATTTCTCCGAGAATGGAAGCGTAGGAGGGGAATCAGTAAAGGTTTACGAGGTGAGCATTTGCATGCATGGAAACTCGAGTGTCGGGTGAAGATAATTTTCTCCCTGTGCACATGCCTACGGGCCTAAAAATTTTGGGCCCTTAGCCTTCAGGAGCCAGTTGTAAAAAACTCTTTAACCACGACTTTGATTGGCCAGAATTATGACTGACTTCATAAAAAGATGCCTGAATTTTGGCAGAATTGTATAAAAAATTGTATTTTGGGACAGCTCCGTCGTGTAGGCCTATATTCAATGATCTTATGATCTAAAAATGTGTCCAGAACGTCGAATCAACAAAATACGCATTATAGGTTTAATATCAAGATACAGCAAGCAAATGTCTTTCAACCAATTCACTTCTCGTCCTACATAGTTATAATTAGGGAGTACCAGCATGAATTACCACGTTACTGTTTTTTTCTACCAAATAGTGTCCTATTTTTGCAGAGCGAGGATGTTCGTCTAATACGCGAAGAAATGGAACAGGGAACAAGAGATCTGGAACGGTTAACCAGGTTGCGGGATTGGTGTGCAAAACTTGATTGGGTCAGCAGTAATGTTAGCAAGACTAAATCTAAGTACGAATTGAATTTTGCACGAATCTATTCTTTGAATGTAGGTACTGCATGTATATGAGTTGGTGCAAGCAAAGCGAGATTCGACGGTCAGGCTGTTGTAATTCACCAGATCGATATGCTGTGACGTAGTTTTCGGACGAAGTATTTGTTTCTTATTGGTCAACACGCCCTGTTCACCAGTCAGGAACATTTTTTATTGGCAAACTACATCGCAGCGCATCGATGCGATCACAACGGGTCCATAACGGTTACAAAGTTTGGCTTCGAGTTGATGCATGGGTATAATTTATAGCATATATTAAACGCGATAATGCTCACGAGGGTAGATGGAAGCTATTCTTGAAAAAAAATCTATACTTTTTCTTTTAAGTACCCTAGCAACTGTGACGTCCAAAGATCCTTCCCGGGTTTCAAAACCTCGCGTAGTTAGGAAGAAGAAGAGTGCAAAAGCCGAAACGTCGACCAAGGTTGAAGACAAGAAGCTTCTAAACGAAGACAACTTGCTGTCGTCCGACAACGAGAGCACAGTGAAATCTGAATTGAGTGTAAATGACGAAGAACAGAGCTTGGTAGAAAAATCCACAAAGGAAGGCGATGGAGACGTAAAGAAATCACCCCAACCAGGTTGGTACCCGTAATAGCGTGGTTCTATATATAGTTTATAGTGCATACCTATTATTAATTATATACTGAATATATGTATATTGTGATTCACTAATGATCACTACCAACGAGGCTTTTATTGTTGTCTTATTGGCAGGATTACTATGCAAGAAAATCCGCTGACCTGATTAGAAAGCAATCCGCTGACCTGATTATATTTTACGCACGTTTCTATAGATAAAATTAAACGAAAAAAGACCGCCAAGAGAAAAATTGTACCGTAAGTATTAATTTAAACTTATGCTCTCCCATGCTATAAACATTGATGAACTAGTTGCATGTCTATAAATTATGGAATCTCTTTTGAACCACAGAGATATACATGCATAGGGTTTTCTGTTCCCACTGCATTCGATGAACGTCGTGTATTCTGGTATGTTTTGCAGACACTCGTGTGATCTAGGGTTGACAACAGTTTCTAATATCTCAGCAAATCGACGAAAAGTGTCCTCTCCAACTGTGGTACGTCGAGTCTATATTATTATATCAAAAGTCCATAAAAGTCCATACAAGGATTATTTTTCGGTGAAAATTCTATTCGCAATAACAAAATATCTGGAAAAGATATCGCATGGTGTGTAAAAATCGCGAAAATGCTACCGGTTAGCTGTAGATAAAAGTCATATTTTCTATTACATTTACCATTTACATCATCACTATGGTATAGGTATGTTCACTGCATGAGGCTAGTTTTTTATGTCAACCCTATAGTTTAACCAAAAAGTTAACCATTGTCATGCAGCATATATTTTCATGAGATATCACGTTTATAAATAGAATGAGTTTTAGTTTTTAAATATTTGCGTGAAATCTGACTGATTTTTTTGCAGAAACCTTCAAAGCCTACGGAACAGCCCAAGTCACAATGGATCAGAAACCATAAAGTTCTGGCAAGGAACAATGTTGATGGCTTCTACTACCCAGGTGCACTACGTGTCAATATTAATCCTCGCTACGCCGATGTTTCGTTTCGTGATATTGAGAATCAAGTTGTGTCATTACGTCATATTATACCAAACGAAGGATCACGACCTTGTCCCAGTTTGAAGGTATTGAGATGAAATTAGAGAATCTGTGTAACGTTTTGTTCGGCTAAATCCATGCGGATTGTAAAACTTATACTGTGCTTTAACTGGCCGTCAAAAAAATAATTATTGAAGTTGTCCCATCGAATGTTATATGCCCCGTTCGGAAGTTTGGAAACAAAAATTACTGTGAATTTCGTGTGATGCAAACTCTTTTTCAAATTGCAGGTCGGTGATTTCGTTTTGGTGACGTTAACCCGTAGCGGTCGTCCACTTTGTTATGTGCCAGGCGTTGTGTACGTTGTTCCATTAAGACAGTCCAAAGCGACGAAGTTTTACACAATTATTCATTATAATGGATCAAAGGTACCCACGCCTTGTAACCGACCGAATGTCTTCATCTTACTTCTGCGATCTAATAAATTCATTGCGTTTAAATAGTGCCATTCAATTCTTAGCCCTTATAAGACTATACTCGATTACATTCGTCGTACCGCGCTGAAACACCGCGGCAAAACGTGTTCGCTTGTGTCGGAAGAAAACATTGCGATACGGTTTGAATTTTATCATCATCAACATTTTCTTTTCAGGCCACTGCTCTGCGTAAAGATGTGGTGAAAATTTCGCAATCTCGCTATGCCTTCGCTTGTCGGTATATCAAGGATTGTGAAATAACTGCTAACAAGAGGTAAGGAAAACAATTCACCTCAATTTGCCATTTTTATCACGATTATAATGGCGGTAAAATACAGTTTGAGATGAAAACACTTTCAAGTGTTTAGTTTCTTCTTTCTTACTCCTAAGCATGCATGCAAAACTGTCAGCCAATTGTGTAAAATAATAGCTCATATACATAGCTTATTATAACAACGGTTATATTTCTTTTTCCAGCCCTGCAATAGCTGTTTTTAATAAGAATGTTTCGAAATCAAGTAGCAGTTCCTCAGATGATGAGAAAAAGGCTATTAAAATACCAAACTCCAAGAAGTCTGGCAGCGAGAGTTCTGATGATGACAAAAGCACTAAAGACAATCACGTTGATGGCAATAAAAGCGACAATAAACGAAAGGGCAAAAACGACAGTGATGACGATAGTGATTCTAGTTTGGACGATAAAAAAGCATCGCCCCGAACGTCTAATGATGAACTAGAGCGAATAAAGAAAAAACTACTAGAAACCCGCGAGTCTCAAGAAGAGCAGCAAAAGCGGTTCGAGGAGCTGCAGCAGCAGGTTAAGGACGCCATGTTGGAACAAAACAAACGACAAGAGGAATTGAAAAGGCAATATGAAGAAATGCTCGAAGGCAATGGTGACGGCGGGAAAAGTATGAACGATAAAGAATTGGAAGAAGCCAAGAAAATGCTTGATGAAAAGCAAGAGGATATCATTAATGATTTTAAAAAACATAAAGAGCTACTCGAACAGCTTCTGCAACAACAAAAAGCGAACTCGGAAGAAGACGACTCTGAAAAACACTCCGGCAATGATAAGTCAAAAGGGAAGAAAAAAAAATGGCGAAAAAAGCGTTCATCCGAAGGTATATTAATCCTGCATGTAGAAACCTCTTACGCTCAATACCCAAACGAAGTTTTCGACACCGTAGAAATCAAAATTATAATATAAACATTAAAATACTATAGAATTGTCATTCAGCATTGTGCTAGTATTGGACTAGCCTTGTTGCGCCATCAATTTTGATGATTAATGAGCTAAAACAAAGTCGTGTAACATATTATGCATCATACTTTTTGTATCGTTTAAGGACATTCAAGTTCATCAGAATCCGATAAATCAGATTCATCTGACGATGATTCACCGAAGCAAAACATGCCAGAACAAGAGCATGATGATAAAACTCCATCCAAAATACATTTCCACGTTAAATCAGGGAATAAAGAGGCCTGTCTTTGGACCAAGGGATCCCACGGATTGCTAATTTGTAAGTACGCACATACCTAATCTAACAATATTAAAGAAATGCATGTCCCTCGCATATATTTCTTATATGTTCAAAGAAAAGTCTCTTTTTATATGGAGACGTCGTATACAGTAGCTATATGGTTCGAGTAAGAATGAAGGTGAAGTAGTATAGTAACTGTAGTGCTATTAAGCGACGTAATGATGTGGTCTGCAATAAGTATAATGTTTCGTTTTAGCACGTGCACCACTTGACGAAGATCCTGCTGTTGAAAATCGACCTGTTCCCGCACCGCTACAAAATGGGGAAGAGGTTTTGGCTCGATGGTCAGATGATGGATGGTATTACACAGGTATTACACTTGAACATTTCGTGTTCATTATTTTTGCTATAATGGGATGTATGCGTCGCGCGAATTCGTCATCGAAGATGCATGGTAACTGACGGTTTCGGTTTCACCCGAAAACATCACCCGCAATTTAAACGCAATGAAGTGTTTGTTAATTTAAATCGTGTTAACATTTATAGGAACTGTACGCGAAACTGCTGGTGAGAACTATCTTGTTGAAGATAGTGTTGGAAATATGGAAGAAATATCAAGAGAAAATATTATAAGCGACGAAGACGACGCTGCTAACTCAATAACGGTAGGAATAAAGGCGTATTTAGACGTAGCTTGGTGCGTTTGTGTTTTCAAGGTGGACGCTGCGAATAAACAATTTTACCGTCAGCCGGTTTTCCCGCGGATTTTGACACTCTAAGAAATGGACCCCCCTGTTCATACTCGACAACATGACAACAAGACAACATGAAGATACAACTTGAACTCTTTCGCTCAGAGCGAAGGTTCTTCATCAAGTTACATATGTTACCTACCGACCTCTTGAACGTACTGCATTGTATAGCTACTACATATTGCCTCTACGAATGTCGAGATACTTACTAGGTGTATAGACTGGGAACTACTCCATGTATATAAAATACTCGATGTATATAGTCTAATATTTTTTAGACCAATGATGCCGTTATTGCCCTCCATCCAAATTTTTCATTCAGTTACGCACCAGGTTAGTAGACAGCATCACCTAAATGAAATGAAAATTGTGTGTTGCAAGAATAAACCTTATATGTGCAAATCTACATAGCTCACAGTCACATTAGAGCTGTGTTCATCACCCTCTCTATATTTAAAATATTTTTTTGGAATGTATCAGCGTTTTTTCAAAACATTAAACAGCGTTTACTCTTTGATTTGACGTGTGCTTTCGTAATCACATTACAGGTGTCGTAGTTAATGTGAATAACGACATGTTGTTCAGCGTTCGTTTCTACGATGGTCGCGAGGACGTAATTCCACGTGAAGAAGTTTACTATTTGAGTCACGAGAAATTTTCTGCCGCCGTTGAGTTTATTGTTCATTGCGAAGAGAGACTTGTTGGCATGGCTGTTGTCGCTAGAAACGATACAGATGGATTGTTCTATTTGGGTGAGTATTGCGAAGTGTCGCTTTAAGTTCTGAGATAACCGTACAACCGCGGTATTATACCTCACGTACCCTGCCATACACCACACCTGCTAAGTCTATACACGTGTCTAAGGTGGCATGAAAAACCGCTTTTTCCTGATTGGTACCAAACATTAATTGTTTGACGTTTAGTGCATAGTATGTCATCGGTGTTAAAATTCCAGAATAATATAGTAATTATAAATAACGGTAGGAATAGAGTTAGAACACCAATTGTTAATATGTGATGTAATCTTTAACAATTATTGAATGAGGTTGAGCATGAAATGAAGAATTATCAAACCGAAGTTTTGTCGATAATGACAATCTAAGACTTGATCATTCTTCATATCATACGAAAACTGAATTCAATAATTGTTTTATTATGAAAAATAATGAAAATTACAACTTTGTTCGCTTGAATTTGTGTCGAATTCCCGCTCCTTTGAGGCGTTGATGTGGGATACAACTTTTATCAAAAGGTTCTGACGTATAGTAGCGTGCAAGAAAATAGTCGTATCACACGTTATGACGTACGTCACACGTTGGACATGACGATTTCACGCATGGCTATATAGCCATATATATATATTAGCCAATCAGAGGCTGTGAATTCATTTCATTGGTATTGTATATTTAAGAGAATTATGAGCAACTCTAACATATATAACAACACTAGAATGTGTTTCTTGAGACGATGACTCTCGTCCAAATGAATATGAAATTTTATCCAAGTCAACGCAATTATTGATATATTTATGTCTCTCTTTCCAGGTCACGTACGCGACCGTGTTGGAAATGGCCGTCAATATGTTGTGCAGTGGCCAGAAGGCGATACACAAGTGCAGGTACATATTACCTTTGTAATATGAAAATATTGTTTGTATAATTATTCACCGCCAGCATATAGTGTTTATAGTTATATATTTAATCGTTTGATTATACTTTCAATTTTTCAGAGCTCCTCTCTCATATTTGGTGCCCATACTAAGCGTCATCAGCTGGCCATAGGAGATAAAGTTTTGGCACTTAGCGATAAGGGTATGCATGTAGCTACTTCGTAGTTGAAGTATACAAGCAGTGAACTCTTTGTGAACCGGAACGAAACCTCTGTCGCCACCTTAAAAAGCCAATTCGAGGCCAAATCAAAGGCCGTACCAGTGCATTTCTATTGTTTTTGTCGTCACGGTTGACGATCGCGCCGACAAAATCAACAAAAGGAGGGATCGATCCTCGAACAGGTTTAAAAATAACGGCCAATTAACCTTCAGTTATCGTTTCAGTGTTTCATGTTATTATTAAAGTTATGATATAGCATGGTTGCATGTTATCAAGTTGTAGCAACTTGTTAGGCTTCAACAAATTCTTGCTACGTGATAACAATGATGTCCATGCATGCAATTTAGGGTTTTGCGTAGATACACGAGATTGAGTGGGATGTATATTTGTATTGCTGGATGAATTCTTTGCACGATCCGCATCTTTGGAACTAACTTATTTTTGCATGCTTCGCATCTCTTTCACAGCTCAAGGAATTTATGAACCTGGATTAATAACTGGCGTTAAAGGAAAGAAACTAAGCGTAAAGTTCAACAGGCGCAAAAAGTATGTGTTCATCACAGTCTCCTTACCCTCACTATGATTAATATTATTTCTTCTTTTTGTCCGAGTTTCCTGGAGTTCTAATATATAATACTTTTGTACTGGAGACGTATTATCAGTACAGTTTCACTTTCAGTACAAAGTCAAAATACAGCGACTTGTTATTAGTAATTTATATAAACAGAATTTTTTTTTTCTTTAGGGCCAGTCAAGTTGACCCATTACAGTGTTTCTGGCTTTCCAGTGATTATTATGATAGAACTGTAGAATATATTGCACAGTTAAATGCTTTTAGTAAAGGAGCTCGCAGATAATCTGAATTAAGCAACATCCAGCATACTGCATGATTGCGACGAATGCAGTGGCCGTACAGTAAAATTGTTGATAAACATCACAATGTCTGTCTGACTGATTATATCGGGTCAGAATCAGCTGCAAAACGCTTACAGCCAAATACGAAATACAGAAACAATATGCATGCAATGTTGCATTCAAATAATTGACCAATGGCAATAGTTGATGTAACGTAGTGTATAGGTGTAAATATTAAATATAACGAGAAACAATGAAAATATCAAATTGATGTTATAATCAAAGTGGTTCTATTTCACTCGGAATGAATATTTGGTGATTTATCAAAAAACATTTACTAAAATCGTTTAGGAGAGATCAAATTCCTCGCAACATGTATCTTCTAAGAATTATGTAAAACGAAACTAGGACGATAGATATATGAAAATTATTTCAAATAGTTTAATATGCAACATCACTCATTGACATCAGTTGTGTAAACATCAAAAGGTTTTTGTTATCTTCACCACAATAGTGTTAAAACAATCGTCTAACTGTCAACAAGGCAATCAAGGACACGGGAAATTAGTTTTTCGTTTTCAAATAAAAGTCATTGTTATCCTACCGCCACTAGCTCGCACTTTACGGTTTCTGACGGGAAAACCATGAATGCATTTCTGATTTAAAACCGGGTCAGAAAAAGACATGCATGCTATGCATGCCAAGTAGAAAAAGAGAAAAACAAAACATGCCATGCAATGTTTGCTACGTCATAGCATTGTACACGTCGGGCGAGCGAGATTAGGTTAGGATGGTAGTTGAAAAGCTAAGTACGGTAGAGTAAAAAATATGACTGTAGTAAGATGGTATTAACTCCAATTTATTTTCCACATGCAAAGCTATTGATTCCACCTTAGCCAAGCAAATGACCTATATAAAGATAACTTGATGTTATCAACAAATTATGAAAACATTTTGTCATATAGGAGGAGTTCAGCTCCACTTTATATCAATGAGAAATGTCTTTTAGCATGTGTCTTCCGAGAATTGTATGTGTAAAACGGAATTAGATAGATAATAGATATAAACCTCATCAGGACAACTCATCTGCGACATCAGTTGTGTAAACAACCAACTATTTCATTTCCCTTCAGTACAATAGTGCTTGAAAGAATCGCTAGATCGTCAATACAGCTATAGGGACAAAAGCAAATTAGTTTGTCATGGACAAATTAAACTATTGTATCAAAAAGGCACTAATCACCACCAATAGGCAGACCATATCAAATCAGTGGTTGAAAAAGCATCATGAATTCTGGAGCGTTGTTCACCGTATTCAGTTTAATCTGCTCGATTTTCCTGGCTGCGAAAGCGCAGGCTTTTTGCGGTAAGTGAAAAATATTTCAATCAGTTTCAGCTACGCTGGGAATCAAAGTCAGTGAATCAAAATTGTCCGTTTTCAAGCTAGCTAGAATGAACAAAATATGATTTGTCCTGAAAAACAAAGTCGCAGTTGCTTTAGGATGCCAGTAAAGGAAACTCGGAAGACAGAAAGCAAAAATGCCCAGTATTAGTTTTTTGACCTTTTTCTGTTCAGTACAAAGAATTCTGCCTCGTTTTTATTACTCGGGCTACCTTAGACCGACTTGAAAAATGGGCTCGGTTTTCACCTTTTGCGTCGCGAGTTTATATACGAAAATCACGCGTGGGCAGCACGAAGGCTTCGAACAAATCGAAATCGTCCTAGGATCGTTTCTCGCGCGGGTGTCACGAACATGCCATAACACCAAAAATTAGGCGTTACAAGCTCAAGCAAGATAATTGTAGCCCGAGTGAACGCCTGAGCTTGTTTTCTTGTCTTAATTGTTTCCTTTAACGTTTCGTTGGCAATCAGTGAAGTCTCCCGCACTTCGCGCCTTTTGCTTTATATCAGAGTTTATTAACCAAATAATTGATGTTAATCATAATGAAGACACTAGACCGGAGTGTCGAAACGTTGGGTCGTGAATGTAATCTTTGTGTGGTGATTACTTTTATTAATAAAACCAGAGTAGCGATTACTGCGATGGATTAATTGCTGTTGTTTCGTTGTTCCACGTTTCAGATTTGTCGAGTGAGAGTTTACCTGCCGATCTAACACGGTCTGTAGTCCGTTCCTCCGACTGGCTGAAGAAGACGTACGGCGACAAGAGTACGGTCCTACGCCCCTACCGAGCAGGCTCACTCTTCGCCAGCCTCAGAATTGCAGGCCACTATCCCGACGTCTTGCTTTCAGATTTCAAAGACGGACAGGGCGTTTCTATCGAAGAAACATTGAAAAACGAGCTTGATTCGGTGCAGAAGAAGTATGGAAACCTTTCGAGCATTCCTACCCCACAACTTGCTCTTATTACCCAAGGAGTGATATCGATTTGTAATAACCCAGCAGATTTTCATGGATATGAACTTATACAAACTCTTCTTGATGGTTTCGCAAAGTTCAAAATCCAGCCGGATTTCAATAATTATTTCGGGTACAGTTTGGCTGTGATTGCTCTGTGCAACGCAGATCATTTTGTACCGGATGCTGTCATCTTGGGATTGATAAAGGGTGCACAAGGAGGAGCAACTGTTAATTCGGTTGATATAAACGCGTTGCTCTTAACCGCTCTGTCTTGTGTCAAGAGCTCTTCAAGCTTTGTGCAACAACTGGTGTCTAAAACATCACGAAACTTAGTTCGTATTTTGATTTCAAAGCAGAGTAAGGATACAGGAGCATTTGGGAATCAGTATTCAACAGCTCTCGCTGTCGAGGTATTATAATCAACATTGCATGATATATTTAGCCTAATTTAGTTCGTAACCTATGAAATTGTAGGAAAAGATCTAGATGTAGAACTATATTAAAGTCCTCGTACTGACCATGTTGACCTAAGTAAGCAAACCAAGAAACCGCCAGTATGTTTCAGTGTCCGCATATACAAGCCGCAAGTTGTTTCTGCCCTTAAACAGTAGCATTTTATTGATTTTAGAATTGTTTACGATTTTTAATGTCGATTTCATAACTTTCATATATCTAGGCTCTTCAAGCAGCTCGCGTCAGCACCAAAAGATATCGTTGTGAAAAAGCGATGAGAAGTATTCTAACCTACCAGAAAAATGATGGCGATGGATCATTTGGGTCAATTCTTGCAAATATTCAAGTGACTCCTGCTCTGCTGGGAGAGTCGCTGATCAGTTTGAAAAAATACCCTTGTCCTAAAGGTGAGAACCTCCATCTCATAGGCAAATTTTTTGGTCCTACTAGTCTTATGAGTCCAAATTATTTCGTCTTACCCTATAGTCAAACGAGTGGTGATTGCAAGGAATATTTTGTTGCATGAGCCAAGAGTGTCAGCAACATTCAAGAGTTGAATGTCAGTTGAATGGATCAATTATTACCCTGCTACAGTTTTCATCCATGCAGATTGTAACCATCCCAATATGGTTTCCAATTCCCATGAAACGCCAAGTTTACACAGTTTATTTTTGACCGGTTATTAACAAGAAGCGCAAATTTTACCAGCCGGAAATAAATGCCATCCTTTTACGAGTAATTTTCTACTATGGCAAAATATATACTTGCACTTCAATACGCCTATATAACCTGAACAATGTGTTGTAAGTTTTCAGACCGTCCTTTTTTAAGTGCAGTTCTTTTAATTTTTCCATTTTCCTTGCTTCCTTAGGCCCAACACCCGCTCCACAGGTACGGACTCGCTATTTTGAAAGTTTCTTTTTACGTAGATCTACGTCCACCAACGTAAATCGTAAATCCCCCAATTTGCACGTTCCCAGTGCTTTCGCTGCAGTTAAGGTTGCAAATTAATATCACCTGAAATTGCTAACAGTGACCTGTCCATGCAATCGCCTGCTAGTGGCTGCAAATGGCATTGCTAGAGTAACTTCATGCACATACAAATTTCACGCTTGGTATTTCTCGATGCCCCAACCGATTTTCCAATATGTTCAATTTTTTGACAATTCTTCAGGAAATCACAGTTCATGTTCGCCTTGTTTTCGACGTGCCTTCCATTGCGAGAACCGTACCCGAGGTGTCTGTCAAACTAGCAAAAGGTGCAACAGCTTACGTCGTTTTGGAGTTGGCCAAACTAAAAAATTCTTGTTACACAGCCACTTATAAAAAGTATTCGTTTGGCCGCTCAGTCACAAGTATCTGTGGTGTTTCATCTGATTGGAAACAGAAGCAATATTGGATGATTGCAATTAACGGAAAGGCTTCCAAATATGGCGTCGATAGCATCAAACCGAAAGATGGCGACCTTATTACATTCAAATACGTGAAATTAAGCTTTTAGTGATCATTATATAGAACTCAGATTTAACTGTGGTAGATTAGAGTAGCTAACAAATGCTTAAATGATTCACGGACGCATAAATTATATCAGCCATAGCAGTAGAAAGACAATATGTGCAGTATTGTTTACAATGAATGAAAATCAAGGGAAATAATTGAATAAAGGGAAATATCATATCAGCAAAATACATTCTTGTGGTTGCTTCTCGTGGGTATATGGATAGACTTTTTACATTATCATGTCAAGTCCTACGGTCTCTGCATGAGATTCACTACCCAAATTCACCTCAAAATCGTCGACGATATAAAACATTAACTAGACCGGCGTGTTTCCGAACAGGTCGATAACATGCATCATTCTATTTATCAAATTAAATTTTACGTCTATATACTAAACACTTGAACGCCCCAATATCTAGCTACGTAAATTCCGAAGTATAGCAATACACCAGCCCCTGTTGAAACGAAAGCCCATGTGGAGATGGGAACTAATTACTAGAAGCGTATTCTCATGAAATAACCAGACAGATACAACTAGAAACCATTCGTTTCCTTTGCACCATGCGTATTTCATCTTTCCCAAACAATATTAGGTGTATCGAAACTGTTCAATTTTAGTCACAAGCATACATGTACATTGTGTGAACAAATATATTTCTTACATAGCTAGATTTATTGAATTAACCCGAACGCATTTATATTAAATGACGTTAACATGATTAAAACCAATTTACAACAGTGTGCTTGCGATTAACTCTTGGTGAACTTAACATGATTCGTCAAACATGCCGAGTTTTTCACATGCCAAGACATAAGGTTAACGGGTTTCTTGTTTCTAAACACTATTTGCTGAACATTATTTGCTCAACTCCTCAAGATACATCACGAGAATATCTTTTAAACCAAACATAACATGAATTTCAGAGTATTTTGCTTGCGGTTTAAACAAACATGCAGGCAACAGTGCGGAACAACGTATGGATCAGAATCTAAACCTTTATCAAAACGATATAATACTGCACACGCACCTGTTCTTAGAAGCATCATTGATCATTGACCAACTTTCAGGACGGTTCCAGGAAGGTGCCCTTTTTAGAAGGATGTTCGAACTCAAGTTCTGCAACTCTACTCCGCCGTGCTTCTTCTTCAATTAGGCTCGGAGAATTAGCTGAATAACTATAATTGCGGCATTACGCCATTAGAGCTGAAACCCTTTTTCTACATCAAATGGCCATGAAAAAAAACAATGCGCTATTATTTTGTGCCGGTGCTTTCATGGTTGATTATTCAGCTAACGTTTGGCCAAAAGCAGGGCTGATAAGTTAATGAATGAATAAGCCAAACATTGCCATAGGCGGTGCCTTTGATTTCTTTGTTTTAAACAATGATACCAAAGGTTATATGTTAATAATATTTGGCAAATTTATTCAGTAATCTACCATGCAGTACCAACCCGGCCAAAAGTTTTTAATTTGCCACGCGTTTGCATAGGCCTTTGCAACACGTAACACTAATCGTTGAACAGTTGAAGTTTGAAATTGAAGAGTGATTTTACGCTGTCAAATTGAAGCTGCCGCACACGCGAGCTATCAGCCAAAGACAAAGCGTGGCTGTTAGCTCAGCAAGTTACTCTCGTGTGCGGATAGTTTTTCGTGAGGAATTCGCCTCGGGAGGTAAGTTTCTTACGTGTGCGGATTGTTTAAACCAAAGATGACAATAAGGAAGGACTGATTAAAACGTTTTGTAATTATAGATTCATAAAGGTAAATTACAAGTTTGTGTTTAAAACTTATATGCTGAATGATTTGCTTATGCTGTTAATCAGCCAGAATATTATGCGGATAATGAACGCGCCAAATTTGAAGAATTGTAAATATATTTTAAATTCTACCGCGAAAATTAACTTTTATGGCGCTAGATGCCGCCATCTTTACTTTAGTCATGTGACAAAAGAGTGCATTGCTATTGGCTAATTTTGCGTTTCTTGCTCAGCATGTAGCTCGTGTGAGATTTTCGCCTCGCAAGTCAAAAAAGATCAAACATGTTTGATACGTGAGTCAAGGCTGTGTGAGGCCAAAAATTCAGTGAAATTCACGCGCACACGGAGAGCAAAGTGCTGAGCAAACAGACATGAATAAAATTTTGCTCAGGTGATAGCTCTCGTGTGCTACCACGCGTAGCTGTTAGCTCAGCAAGTTGCTCTCGTGTGCGGATAGTTTTTCGTGAGGAATTCGCCTGGATTGCCCTGGAAAGGCAAGTGTGCGGATGGTTTTCAGGCTGAGCTTACTGCCTTGCGCTGTTAGCGTCATTAGCTCAGCTGATAGCTCTCGTGTGCGGCGGGCTTTAAGGAGACATGCAACTCATGGTTGAACATTTTTTATACATTTTGCTGCAATGTTTCACTGATTCAGTTATTTCGGGGGTATTTGAGTGAGGAAATACATAGCTCTCTACAATCACATATTTTTCAAATTTCAATACAGCCACATTCATGCACATTCAATACTGCACAATTGATTAATAATACCGCGGAATTTAGTGTGCATTTATATACATTATAAAAAATAAGGCCTTACTCTATTTATAACTTCCCGAAAGGAATTTCCAATGTTGGTCTTTTTGCTGCATGTGTATGTATGCAAAAATTAAGTTCGTCATTTTCACGACCTTCAGGACAAACTGATTTCTATATACACGCATTTTCTTCAATCAGTTCAATGATAGCTCGTAGGAGTGTTGTATAATTTACACTGCATGTAAAAGAATTTCCTCAAATCAATTAATTCTTTTACCGCCCGAGTGCTGCATGTACAGAACTATATTATTATATAATTTACAATGCAGAAGAATTTCCTCAAATCAATTCTTCTACCGCCCGAGTGCTGTACAGAACTATATCATTATATCATTTACAATGCAAAAGAATTTCCTCAAATCAATTCTTCTACCGCCCGAGTGCTGTACCGAACTATATCATTATATCATTTACAATGCAAAAGAATTTCCCCAAATTAATTATTTTACCGCCCGGAGTGTTGTATAGAATTGTATAATTTACAATTAATGTAAAAGAATTTCCTCAAATCAATTCTTCTACCGCCCGAGTGCTGTACAGAACTATATCATTATATCATTTACAATGCAAAGAATTTCCCCAAATTAATTATTTTACCGCCCGGAGTGTTGTATAGAATTGTATAATTTACAATTAATGTAAAAGAATTTCCTCAAATCAATTCTTCTACCGCCCGAGTGCTGTACAGAACTATATCATTATATCATTTACAATGCTAAAGAATTTCCTCAAATTAATTATTTTACCGCCCGGAGTGTTGTATAGAATTGTATAATTTACAATTAATGTAAAAGAATTTCCTCAAATCAATTCTTCTACCGCCCGAGTGCTGTACACTGTACAGAACTATATTATTATATAATTTACAATGCAAAAGAGTTTCCCGTCAAGTGAATTCTTTTACCTCCCGGAGTGCATTGTATAGAATTACATAATTTACAATAATGTAAAAGAATTTCCTTAAATATAAAAAAGTTGAATTGTTTCGAATGAGTTAAGGAAGTTATAGACTGAATGTGTCATGTGAAGTTGGGGAAGTTATGTGCTATTTAGTCTATATTGTTGCTTAGCATTTCTACACGTTGCGGAGGCGATCGATTTTCCTGGTTGGTGAAAAAATGGATTTATCGCTGAAATACTTTAGTATAATTAGGAAAAACACAGAAGATTTTCCTAAATTAATTAACTATATATATATTGTATATTATAGGCGGGGTTTTTGTATTGTATATGCATAGGAAGGATATAAATACTGAGGGCATGCAACAAGAACGAGCAATTGCAGAGTATTGCTCAAAGGAATTAAATCAGAGTAGGTGAAAAACAAGAAAGTATATTGAGAAAGTGCTAGAACTTTTCAGTACGAGCCTATAGCTATAAGTTGAACTTCTAATTTTACGGAAGATATTTCGTGCAGTGGTAAGTATATAAAACGATTACTTATATTTCGTCGTTTACATATCAATCTTGGGGGGAAAAATGGGGAAAAAAACAAGATCTATATTTCAGCTCTTTTTGGTAAGTTTCAGAAATATGAGAATTGCATTGGCTCTACTTGGCATTTATTTGTTTCTATCTTTCTAACGTGATAAAAAATACAACATTCTTACAGCACTCCGTTATATACCAGCGCTTATATGAAGTAAATATTTACAATGTTGAAGTTGCCCTCAGTCCCTCACCTTGCTATTCTATCTTTATGAAGTGTTAGCCTGCATGCAATACTATATAAAACTGACATCAGGAGAAATAAAATACATCAAAGGAAAATCGACTCATTATAAACGGAGACTCGTTGTATAATATGAGACCAGTCGTAGAAATCTTCAGGCTTTAGCCATAGCTACATTTTAGGTTGTAAACTTATACGCTTGCTGCAATATGTGTGCAACAAAACCCCATATTGCACGTACTGCATGTGAACTCGTCAACACGACATTATACATATATTGCTATAAATAAAATTATATTTTATTCAGACGCAAAGTCCAAGGAAATTAGTGAGGAACGTACCACACGAGGCTTTCTCGTCGAGGAACGACGTCGACGAGTTCCGCGTAGTAAAAAGTACGACAAAGAGTGTACCAAGGATTATCCAATCAAAGATGGCCTCCTGTGCTACCCTCGATGCAAGTCCGGTAACAGTAACTACGGCCAAGGACCGGTGTGCTGGGCCAAATGTCCTCCTGCAACAACTGATATTGGTATTTCGTGTCAGAAAGGAACGTACGGCCGAGGAGCTGGTAAACCCCTCAGCAGCTGCAAGTCAAAAATGAAGAAAAATGGCCTTCTCTGTTACCGGAAATGCAAAAAGGGTTATTATGGTGTGGGGCCAGTTTGTTGGAAATCATGCAAAAAAGGATACACTGATGACGGTGCATTTTGTCGAAGACCTTTGCGTATATATGGCAGAAACACCAAGTAAGTTGCCTATGTATGTACGAACACTGATCATGCAGAGAAGTAATAAGTAAATTTAACAAAAAAAATGATTGAAAGCCGATGCAGTAAATTTTGTAAATTTGGCCCAAAGGATCGATGGTAATTTTCTCACTGCCGTAAAATATTCCCAACAACTTGGAAACACCTATTTCAACTCTGTGTATTTTGTTTTAGATCCTGCCCATGGTATGACAAGTGCGGCTTATTTACCTCAAAATGCGGAAAGAAATGCAAGAAAGGTTATGTAAATGACGGCTGCACATGCCGACAACCACTGCGTGTTTACGCTAAGAAAACATACGGACGTGGTGCTGGAGTTCCACTCACGTGTGCGAGCAATGAAGAGCAAAATGTTGGCTTGTGTTATCCACCATGTAAATCTGGTTATTACGGAGTGGGCCCGGTGTGCTGGACTCATTGCAGTGGCAAAACCACGGACACTGGCGCTCATTGTCTGAAGAAAAACTACCCACGTGGAGTAGGGAAGCCACTTGCTTGCCTTAGATTCACACGGAATGATCTGAAAGGGGCAGATATTAGCACCATTTCTAATTTTATGAAAGGTGTTAAGAGTCAAATCCTCACAAAGACCGTCTGTCTTGGTTTATGGTCAGCATCAAAGGTTACACTGAACTATCTAGGCGCTATTGCACGATGTGGTAAACGCTCCGCGTGGAATACAATGGTCCTTTCAATTTCGGGCAGTCGATCAGTTCTGTTGTCCAAAGAAGTAGAAATCGGTATAGCAGTTGATGTTAAGAAAAACAAGGCAGTTTGCTATGAACAATCATGCAAAGGTCTTAATCTTGATGTTGGTGTTGGTATTTCCGTTAATTTCGGTTGGTTTAGAAATCTGGAAGACATCCCAGGGAAAGCCAGCATTGTTTTTGGTAGTGCTGAGGTTCCAAACACAGATCTAGGAGTTTCCTTTGCAAGTGTTATCAGCTCAGATAACGAGTTTGTAGGTGCTTTAGCTGGTATAGGTCTTGGTGTAGGGGCGTCACCGTTGCCCGTTAATGTTGGTGGGGCATTTTGTGACACCCCAAAGGATAGAATCATAGAGTTCACTCCGTGAGTTGTATGCTTATTATCCGTTCTGAATAAAGTGAATTTCATTGAGCACTACGTCTTAATTTTTAGTTGCAAATATATTACAGGCCGGCGTTCATGAGTCTATTTAACACTTTAAAAAGGTATGTTCAAATTACACACTTTTTGTCCTATATCTGTCATGCTTTTGGGTGAGTTTGGTGACACACCAAAATGTGTTCCAAAACACACCTTAAGATGTGTTCATAAACACATCTGTCAAAACATCAATGATTCATACACAATTTTCTAAAAATGTGTGTTCCAGGACACACCTTTTCGTGATTAAAAACACACATCTCTAGCTGTTTTTAACCATACCTTTTTTGAGTGAACACTAGCTTATTTTGTGGCTGACTTTTCCCCAAATGAGTGTCAAAGGAAAGATTAGTACTTTTGATTGTCCCCAAATGAGTGTTAAAGAAAGGACTCGTATACTTTTGCTTTTCAGTATCCTGCTTTAAAGGTACATGCCGTAATACCGCTTTGCACTATTGATATAACAATATATACACTTGGAAAAAAATTAAGAAAAAGAATCAATTGGTACAACACTTTAGTTTGATATCTCTTAGAGAAAAACTAAGTTTTTGAGTAAAAACGTTGATATTTCATGACAAAGTTAATTAAGTTATTATGCATGTACAAGCGTACCGCAGTTCACAATTTAGATAGAAGTATTATACCAAAGAATGTGATGAACAGTGAGAAAGCTCTCCACAGTTGCAACAATGGACAGTCAATAACAACAGTCGTTATCTATCATATATAGTCTTTGCGTTGTTTGAAAACCATGATTTAGAGATTATGAAATATTTCTGTCATCAAATCAACAAATAGTGCATAGAAATACATAGAGACTCCTGGAGTACTGGCACCAGTCACCACAATCCATGCAAACGTTTAGAGTCGGGGTCATATGTGTGCTCACATGTTTGCGGACAAACACATTAGTATGATTTTTCTACTTCTAGAGTACTGTAAAAAGTTAATGACAGATAATAAAGATCACGTTTTTTTATCTTACATAATACTTATGCATGGCCGTCACATTACTTGAAAAAGCCTACAAAAAGGTTCCCCATTGTTAATTCTATCGAGGTTCGAGATTTTGAAAATGAGTCAAACCAAGTCCTAAACCAATCAATGGTGATAAAATGTATGTTGTTCAAATCACGCCAGCTTATCTAAATTCAGTCGTCGGTTTGGGGGGCCAAAAAATATAAGCTTGTCAGTTGGATGAGCCCACCCACTACGAGGTCCAAAGCACTGTGAATGTGCTGAACGCTAAGATGAAGCCTTTCGAACTCATATACATACTTTTTATGATTTAAACGATACTTAGAACTGAATAACATATAAATGGTGCAAGTACATTCACTTACGATAATGAGAGCTATTTTATTTGGTAAAAAATAGTTTGTAATAATTGTAATTGTTTATTATTGTACATCGCCATTTTCATCATTAAGAAAGCACGATAAAATTAGCGGATTTGCATAATTGTGCCCGACTGAGAAAGGCTACCTTCGAATTACCGATGAAATGAACTCGTAATAAAAATAATGGAGCACAAGCAAGTATTTAGCAAAATATGAATAGTCAGCATTCTAGCCTGCGAGCGGGCGCATCGTTGGTACGTTTTCATATGTTTCAATGCAGGCTGGGGATAGACGATTGCATATTCATGAGACTGTGCCATTGTCAACGTGACCTGTCATGAAAAAAAGACCATGGTTTAAAAGATTCATAAGATTTGATGTTGAGACGGTTTCATCGTGCATAAATCGGTGAAAAATTAGGTTTCCACAGTGTTTGAACGATTGCTTCATTTTGCAAAAAATTGCCTTCAAAAAATTTACATAAACAAAATCAACAAAGAAATCGATGTTAAACGTTACCCCGTACCCGGATTGAAAAGTGGGTATACCTTCATTATGAAGTCAAAATCACATGACCCCCTCCCCCTCAATCCTCGCTCATTCGCCCCTGTTCGCCACACACGTACCTATGATCTGGCTATTGTATAATGTAAACAGCTTGTAACCTCACCTCCTGTATTCACATCATCCGATGGAATTAAATATTTACAGTAATTATCGTCATCGAAATCTGAATCGAGGTCATCATCATTCATTTGATTGTCATTCATTTGACTGAGACCAAAATTCAGCCTATCGTAAAGCTGGTGGTCTTCAATCGTTTCAACAGGCTTTGCTTCAAACCTTGCAGTTGTAAAGAAAGGGATGAGTGAAAAATTGTTATCAACAATCACAAAATTCATATTTTTTTATATACAGGGTGTCTCAAAAAAAACGAAAACCTTTGAAATCACCCATTACAATGTAATTGTTAGGCTTTGAATGCCTAATCACTCTTTTGGGATAATATTACAATAAACACTCGTTGTTCCGCGGTCAGCCGTACCATTTTTTTTGAAGCAATAACAAGTCTCATTTAAATTAATTTAATCATATTCACAATTTCAAATTTATTCACAATTTCAAATTTTTCGTATTTAGCGTTTTATAAGTTGCATTAAATCCCCAAAATTGTGAATATGATTAAATTTAAATTAGCATTGTTATTGCTTTCAAAGAAAATGGTACAGCTGACCGCGAAACAACGAGTGTTTATTGTCATATTATCCCAGCAGGGTGCTTAGGCATTCAAACTCTAACGGCTGTGATTCTAAAAGCTCACTCACACTCAAACTCATTGATTGGGAGATCTTAATCTTCTCATAAGGTTTCAATGGCGGTATTTCAGGCCGAATAGGAGCTTGATTTTCAGTGATTTACCTTATATCTTTCCATCTATTCAGAGAAAACTTTCTTATTGATCAGCATTAACAAAATTTATAAGTCACACTCAATGAGTGTGAGTGTCAGTGAGCTTTTTGAATACAGGCGTTAACAATTACATTGTTATAGGTGATTTCAATAGTTTTGTTTTTTTCAAGACACCCTATAGGCCATGACATATAATTAAATTATATTACGTCGATCAATCATAACTATAAATTATTAGGTCGATTAAAGGCCTATACAGGGTGAGTCAGAAAAAAGTCCCCTCTATTGAAATCAAGCCTTTGTTAGAATCTGATTGCCTTAATATTATGATAAACCCAAATGAAAGCAAGACGCTTTATTTGAATGCCTCAACCTAATAACTATGCTATTTACACACTACTGCGTTGATCATGCATTCACAGTGGCGGCGCCAGGTCTGAAAATTTGGGGGGGCATTTGAGGGGCAAATTAATATTTTGGGGGGGCAAAATCCTTCAAACAGAAATCCATAAACCGGTGTGTAATAGATTACGATGTGTCAACAATTGACAGTCACGCCCATTTTATCCTGTAGCTATTTTGTATTTCAATTTATTACTATTAAATATTATCTTTTAGGGCAATAATTTCCGCAGACATTTGAGAAAGGGGGGGCAAAATGGGGGGGCAGAAAAAAATATGGGGGGGCATTTGCCCCCCCTTGCCCCCCCTTGGCGCCGCCACTGTCAGCATTCAAATCAACAAAGGCTTCATTTCAATAGGGGGGACTTTTTTTTGACTCACCCTGTATATAACTGATTTTTCTTTTTTATAAAACGAAGTATGATTAGAATCGGTGCCACTTTAACAGTCTCTTCTAATACTACAGCAGTAAGAACGATCAATTAAAATTCAATAACACCAAAATAATTTCTTATACAAGGTTGCTTTGCATGTAACTGAATATTCTAGGTCAGACGAAATTACCTGAGAGCTTGCAGGCAGTATATAAAACGTGTGAATTGGATGGTTAATAACATACCACTTTTCATTTGATTTTGGTTTTAGATAATCCATATGAACCCAGCCTGATTCTAGCGTTGCTTTGTTGACACAATACCACCATCCATCAACACGTACACCTTTTACTGCCATTTCCACTCCTGTCGCATAACTCATAGCATTGTCTGACGAATTATAGTCCACAGTCGTGAGAAATTGTGTTTTGCAAAGAATCGGCGTCTAATGTACAGGGAACAGAAAAAGGATTATCTTCAAACCAGTTTAAAAATATATAGCGCTATATTAGTCTTACCGTGACGACATTTTTAAACATAAAGGACTGCTATAAAAATACTTCATGCTCTTCATAAATTGCATGCACGAAGTATATCAGACCTATCTTTGTTCTTTATCATTATAGGGTCTACCTTCGCTCTTAAGTGAGGTTAAAAATTTGAAAAAATTAAAACAAAATTAATCTTTTATTGCGTTCAACTTGTTTTTGTTTCGGAAACTGAAAAATGTTGTATAAACTATTGTACTTTTCATTCAGTATAACTTGTATATTTTATATACTGTATGCATGTAAAGAATTATCAGTTTTGCGCCCTGGTATAAGCAGCAAAACCTTTAATGATGAGGTTATTAATCCAGATTGTCATGCACTCATGGAGAAATTTTGAAGAACCACAGTATAGAAGTAATTTGATTACATCATGCATGATAAGGGTATTTTCCTCTTTGGTATTTATGTGCCAACACATCCAAAAAGTTGAACTATGTCACTGAGTACTATATCAAATACAATCATGTGTATACCTCCCAGTGTTGAATGATGATTATGTGACTCAACCGCTTCACGCCTAGCGAATGAATACTTACGTAGTCTTGAGCAATCGCAGCTTCGTTGTCCGCGTCACTGTTGTCGTTGTTCTCCACCGAGTTTCCCTCTCGATCCTGAGTTTTTTCAGCATTCATCGTTTCCTCCTTCTGCTCTACGATATGCTCTATTTTTATATCTTTCTTTTCTCGTTGGGTGACATTCTTGCGAGATGACTGAGCCTTGCCTATACTGAAACGATAGATCGTCCAAGCAAAATTTAAGAACCGCCTTCAGGAACAGGAAAAAAATTGGTACAAAACAATTGCTACTGATTTTCTTAATCTAGATCTATCGCCGTAAATGTTAATATCCTTGCTCCAGGTATACGTCTCGCTCCAACAGTGTTTATTAAACAACAAGGTTATGTCATTTTTAGCCCGTCCATGCACGCGATCCAACTTTACCGGATCTGATTAACTTCTGATGTATGGAATGTAGTTTGTTATTGATAAAGCAATACAGCATTAGCTTTAGTTAATTTGCTATCCACATAGGTTATAAGTTTTAAAGACTGCAAAAACATGAACGGGAACTGAACCGACAAAATTGGATGGTGTGAATAGGCCTTTAGATGCTCTTTTTTGTTCATTAAAATGAACGTTTTAATTTCGTACCTCCGACATATAAAAAACATGAATGTCCTAATTTTTTTACTTGTTGACAATCACCCGCTCACCTGCTAAGAAAGTGTGCGAAGCTTTTCAATTTCGATTTCTTGTCTGAAGCTAGAATGCAAATGGTCATTTTTATAGACGATTAGTCCATCATCATACACCGTACATCAAAACAGGTTGATTTGCACACAGATACATTTAGCATTTATATAAAATTATAAGACGCAAACTGAAGATATATGGTATCATACTTGATTGAGTCGTGTTTTGAGGCAAATCTCTTTCAAAATGCGGTGACTTGGGTTTATTCGTAGAATCTAAAGGGAATGTAATTCAAAGCGCTGTTACACTATGCAATTTTCCTTGCAACTTGCAATGCAATTATAATTTTGAGGGTGTTAATTTGTCAAGAGTGTTCGATATACATGCTAAGGAAACTTTTGCAGATCGCAAGAAATGTTCGTATTTGTCAATTTTAGATGCTTCAGGAGTAAAATCGCGTTGCAAGTTGCAAGATAACTTTGCATAGTTAAAAAAAGTTGCATAGTGTAACAGTGCCTTAAGATGATAAAATAGATTCATCACGCAAGAATGGCTAGTGCTAAATAGGTTTATATAATTATTATACAATATTCAATATGCACGCACAGGTAAATGTTGCCAAAGCGCTATAGCTGCTCCTACTTACGTTAACCATGAAATAAAGTCTAGGTTATGTGAAATCGGCTTCGTTTCCGATTTGAATTAAGATAAATGTGCATGCCGATTGTAGTGTATACCTCCTTGACGATCCTCTTGTAATTTTTTAGCTTCTTCAAACGAAAGTGTGCGCCTTCTTGTTATGATCGGTTGACCGTTGTCTGCTGTACCATCGGGGATGTCGTACACTAAACAATTTATTCGCATTAGTTACACTTAACATTATTCAGTATCGTTTGAAGTGCATGTGATAAAGACTTTATCGATATAGTCTCACACAGTACTTAAACAGTGATTGAAGTTTGACGTGAGAGCCACTATTTCAGTATTACATTAAGTTTACCGTGATCAATTTTAGATGATGCAAAAGAAAATGGCCTTATTGTCGCTGCTTTTGCCACACTTGCCACACCGTCTAAATTTCAACGTTAAATAAGTAGAAAGGTAATGGTTGACGACTGCAGATGTAACACGAGTGCGTGTATATCATCAGTATCATCGGTATATCAAAATGATTATAGTGAACATTGTACACTGACGTTGTCAAGTAACGTGAATATAGAAATACAATTATATAGTTCAGATAGTTGGGCATAATGGACATACGTACGAGCATGCACTGAGTAAGGGGGGGGGGGCTAATTAGCCAGGGAGGTGGGTGTGGGGGAAATAAGTATAAAGTTGTAAAATATGTGACTATATGTGTATGGTTTACCAAATTGCATGATCTCGGTCACGATTCTTGATTCCATACCCAGGCTCAGTCACTTTCAATGGTTGTTTATTATATGTACATGCTTAACATGTAGGATAATAATAATATCATAAATTATATGAAAATATAACTATATAATTATAGAGAAGTATTACCGTCAATTGGTTTAAATGTTGTTAAACGTTCCTCAGGAATACTGCTCGCTTGCGAAGGAGCATTCACTGACACTGTTTCCCGTAACTCAGTAACGTCACTGCCTATATGAATTAGCGTAGACTGCATGTAGAGAATTTCAGCAGCTAAACTTTTTATGATTTCCGTCACTCATATTTCTAACCAAACGTGAACATCAGAGACATTTGCAATTGGCTGTTGTTATACAAGACAGAATTCTTGTATGTGTGTCTAAGGCAACGTATATATACTCTCTTGGGCTACAGTATAAATTATTATGGCTCTGCGCAATAATAAAATACGAATAATAAATAAATATTAAAGGGCAACAAAAACATGCAGTATAGAGACATAGGATGTCAGAGCATCTCATATATAAAGCAACTGCCAACTGCATGTGCTTTGACTTTCGTCTGTCTATAATGTTTAGTTATACGAAATGTCATGATGTAAACGATATTAAGGTCTGTTCACACGATCCAATTTTGTCGGATCCAATTTACTTCTGCATGATGGATGTTTTACAGTCTGTTGACCTGTAATGCATATGGGAAGCAAATCGACTAAAGCCAATGCAGTACTGCTTTATCATAGGCCCTAAATATGTCAGAAGTAAATTGGATCCGAAAAAGTTGGATCTTGTGAACGGGCCATTACAAATAATTGTTAGGCCTTGCAAGCAATATATTTGGCAGTTTTGTCAGACGTTAGTCGCGTCACAAAAATGGAAGAAATGGTGAATTATAGGGGCGAAATAATTTGTTCACATCACAGGGTTGCATCCGAAAGAGTTTCTAAGCTATTCTACATTGGTGCATGTAGATCTACTTACGTGTTCGCCGGCGTAGATTCGAGTTTATAGGCTTTGGCTTAATCGGAGGCGGAACTGATGCTGGTGCAGTGATCGGGGATGGCGGTTCTGGCCAATTCAGTTCTGAAACGTAAAAATTTAATATTTTAATCTCAATACAAAATATAAGCTATTACAGCAGATACTATTACTCATGTATAAGCGCTATATGTTAAAAGAGGCCATGCAGTAGTAACTTAATCGTTTGGAACCTCCTGCGTCTAGGTTGGAAACACCTGCATTATGAGCACTGAGACGTACATACGAGCATGCAGTGTTGTTATTAGGGTGAATTAAAAACCATATTTGCACTCTTTAAGTACATGTATGTGTATACACGAGCTACATAGATTTCCCTTCTTAATGAATGTCTGCAATTGCAGCATGTTCGGTTTATTGAAATGTCATACTGACCATCTGGAGTAAAAGCTGCGGAGGGGGATTGAGAAGGTATCGAAGGTACTAAAGAAGGGGTCTTTGACATATTGGGCTGAATGTCGTCCTGTTTTGATGATTGCGGTGGAGTGTCAGTTTTCTTCAAAACAGGTCTGTTGGATATCGGTACATTTGGAGGAAAAACTGGCTTGGGAATCTGTGTAGGAGGCACGGTAACAGTTCCTTGCCTCCTTATGTATAAAGGTTCTTGATTGACAGAGACACTCGGCTCCACGTTTTGATCGTTTGCTTTCAACTGTTGGACCACTAAAATCCAAAACGATCCTTCAATAATGCATTTTTAGAATTCACACTATATACATTCAGCACTATATCCACCAAGCAAGATTCAAAGCAATACATGCATGTTTTTATACCCTGATGCATGCATGTGTGATAATGCTATATATGCTATCTTTGATTTGAATAATGTCTTGACTAAAAGGAACATTATAATATGATATATATTTATTGTATATTCCACGTCCATTTTCACCAGAGAGAAATCTCTGGAGAAAATTGTGTCACTTTAAAGTGCGCGACGACACTACGCGTATATACCAGAAATACAAGTTTTTCAGACAAATGAAAACTCCATTTTGTACAATGCACTGTTCAATAAACTGTTGGTAAAATGGATCACAGGACATGCACAACAATTTTTCACAGTTTGCCAAGCATTTTTCCGAAAGTATATAGCATAATTTGTAAAGCTCAGTTTGTTCCTGAACATTCTGAGGATATATTGTATCGACTGAAATCTATACTCACAGGATGGGAAAATAGCCACAGTTAGTGGATGAAAAAAATCGACTGTTGGATTCATGTAATGTTTTACTAGCTTTTTCAAGGACTTGAATTTCTTTGTAGTTGACTAAAAGAAACAAACAAATATTAGTATATTAATGCCTGGCACTAGTTTTAAAAAATCCAGTCAGTCTGTGTGATTCTAATCAATGAGAACTCAAAATCTATTTAAAATGAACATGATTGAAGTTAGAGGGCTTGAAAACAGTATAGCCGGTTTTCATTCATGCATGTTCGTCATTTCAGCAAACAACAGGGCCGTAGCTGGAAGCTTGGGGTATATTCATGCATTCGTCTTATAACCGACTGGTTCCGTTGAAAAGCTATTGCTCCTACTGCCATATAAATATGCACTCCCGCCCTATTAAGCGGTCTAGCCTCGGTCTTGGGAAACAAAACCATTCTGTATGAATTGTTACTGAGACAATGATTCATGATTGAATGCACAAGTGACTTTTAGAAATATTTATTAGCTATAGGCTACAAACCTAGCTATAACAATATATATGGTTTAGCAATCTTTCACACATCCAACTAAATCTAAATGAAGCTCTTTTCGCTGTAGTCTGTAGACTAAAAAAGGTCCAAACTTCCCTCAAAAGAGTACAATTCTGGTAGCTTTACCTCCATGATAACATTCTTTCCAGATGGTGTGATTCTGTGATGATAAACCTCGCCATCAAAGCTATAATTAAAAGAGCAAAAAAAATATAAACACTTAAGCCTTAACGACAGTACACTTCATTTCTTCTCTTAGGAACTTTGCAATGCGACTGGGTACAGTGTTACCGGTTGCTATCGGTCTTTCTAGTTCCAGAATGTCGCGATGCATTGCATATTTGCATACAAACACACAAACAAAAAAATCAGACAAAAAATCTGAGAAACTTTACGCCGAGAAGATGCTGTACACTTTATGAGAATGTTATACAGTCGTAAATAATTATTGTTTTGTCATTTTACCCTCTGATTTAATAATTTCCTTGGGAATTCTTACAACATATTTTTCTATCACGTCTTTCAATCAGCAATTTATCTTATAAATGGCTTCTAATTTACAATTATAAGATATTTAAAATTCCAGGCAATTAAAATTAATCCTATATATTCTACTTGCGGGACATAATAAAAAAAATACTTCGAGAAATTCCGAAGTTAGTTTTTATTCACCCTGAAATAGATGAATTTACCTGTCATTAGTCATAACATTACGAAAATGGCGTCTATAATTATGTTAGTTGTATAGTTTTGAATGCGTTCTCCTTATATGAATCCATGGTAGCTATCTGTGTAAATAACAAAATAATTAAGGTGACTAGAATATAGTCAGAGGACTTTTCTAGAATGATTAACGCGATATGCCTGGCAGGAGAATAACTGATTCATGCGTTATTATATACACAGAATTTTCTTTGAAATCGTATAAGCCACTGTTCAGGCGACTTCGTTGTTTTAAGATCCAGACGCCGTAATTCCGCCAATTATAAGTAAACGTGCCGTATTAATTTTATATTAGCATCTGGGAATTTTACTATTTTGTGCACGTAACTCGTAAGTAGATTGGGTTCGTGGGATATCAATAATTTAATGCGTGGTAATCAGTGGTAGGTAGGCTTATATTATATAGAACTGCCTGTATAGAGGACGTGATCATATAGTTTGTACGTGGGCTTTTCAGTTCTTCACAATATGCAGAAGCGATTTTCTAGCCAAATTATCCTATATTAAGTGGATATCTTTAACACACTCGTTTGATATCCGGCTTCCCTACATGCGGCGATAGTTATACAAGTTCATAATAAATTATAGCGTCAAACGAAACTTCTTTTCACCACAAAACTAAGTTGATCAATATTACTTAAAAGTTGTGCCTGTGCATAACATTACATGACCTGTAGAATCTTTAACTATAAAGTTACGCAAATCTTGTAAACCATTCTGCTGAAGATGAATCGATCGGGATTCGAAATATACAGAATAAAATTTGTATTAATATTATGCTTTCATTTTTCGGAATTACTTCAATTTTTTATGTGCATGCTAAAATTATCAGCTGGTAAAGGATTCTAAGAACATTACCTAATATAAACGTTTTCACTTAATATATACATAGAATTGCCAAATACTTCTCTGAAACTTTCTCGATTGGTGACTTATCAGGTTTTCACACAGATAGGACGCGTTTGGCAACCCCCCGCGATTTTTGAAAACGGTAGGTGTTCAAACTTCACACGTACTAAGTCACTTAATATATACATAGAATAGCAAAATACCTTCTCTGAAACTTTCTCAATTGGTGACTTATCGGGTTTTCACACAGATAGGACGCGTTTGGCAACCCCCCGCGATTTTTGAAAACGGAAAGTGTTCAATCTTCACACGTACTAAGTACATTAGCTTGTAGGTACACCACGCAAGTATTTTTTTTTAAAATACTGCAAAGCTTTCGGTCCGTTAACCCGGGCCTTCATCAGTGCAATTTCCTACTAATACATAATAATATTGCCTACTGATAATAATATTACCTAATAATATTATATGATAATATCACCTACAATTATACTTACGTGGCGTACCTACAAGCTAATTTACTTATTCATGTCACCATGCATGCAAATATACAAGAATATTTTTATACGTACGTATACAGGCGTACAATATGAGTAGATTTTCCTGTAGCTATCCATTCTGAACGTGTAAAAGGGAACAGTAAATACTTTCGGAAAGTGTGCATTACATGTTCATCGGCGTTAAAGACTCGGAGACTTTTAAATTTTGAATAACCCTACTCCATAGAGTATCAAACGCACTGACCACTGGCCTACGGTCAACAGGAAAGCATTTCCATTAAAGTGAATATTATGGTACGCGTACATACTTTCATGATAACAGATTATGGTACGCGTATATACTTTCATGATAAGATTATGGACGCGTATATACTTTCATGATAAGAGATTACGGTACAAAGCGCTCAAACATCTCCAAGCAGTATCTTTACATTGATCCAGAGATAGATTGCTGACTTGGGATTTTTATTGTCATGAGTGTGAGGATTGGAAAACACAGCGGATGTGATAGTCATCTTATATAATATTGATCTTATAGCGCAGACTCTTTTAATGACTAAATTAATATTTTTAACACAATTTTGATACTTTGTGCATAACTTTGTGCATAATCGGTAAGTTATCCAGCACAGAGAAACCGCGCATCTATGCTTTGTCTATATAACTTCCGGTTGGAATGGCGACATCTAAATGTTATTAGGAGGTTTTGGGGCGGCGAGTAACAGAGCCTTTGACGAGTCAAAGCAAAAATTTGCTTTGGCAATCATTCACCACGATTGTGTTGCTTTGGCAAGAGCACAATTATACGCAACTGTATCATATATATCACATATGATCTGAAAGCGTAATTAAGCACTTGAAATAAACGACAAAAACTTTTAATAGCAAACATGTTTTAGTTAAGTCGAAACATGTTTGACATTAAAAATTTTGTCGCTTATTTCAAATGCTTAATAACTTATTGTATATCGTGAAATACTTACAAAATTGACAACGTAAAAACTCCCTTGCCACCTTGACTATCACGCACTAGAAAGGCACCATTTTGTCCAACTTTTAAACAGATAGCTGTTGCCTCTTCGGCACTCATTTGCCCATGATACCAGGGTTGGGAAGAATCGCTCATGATTGCGTTAATCTGGAAACATTATGATAGATACTGGCTGCTTTTCGTTGTCATTGCATTTAGACTGCATTTGAATGAATTATAGCGAAGTATTAGACGACACGCTGAGTATTTTGAATGATAGCCATGGTACCGTAACGGCTTTGAAAAGAAAATATTTAGCAATATCTTTGCTTTGCGGATAAAGACACGTCTGTGACTATGCATTTTTTATTGCCACGATTTTTATTGCCACGCATCCGCTTGTTGCCATATCATATTTGTCATTATTTGACAAGTGAACTAAAGCTAGAACTTTAAACGTTGTGCTTCCGAATCGTTCCACCATCAGCACATAAGATTGATAAGAAGTATGTCACGATACAAAAGGCCAAAGCGAATTGCTACTACGAATTGCTACTAATAAACTATTGATTGTCCTTTAAATTAAAAACTTTCTTGGCATAATTATTATTTATCTTATTTAATTTATTTTATTTGCCGGTTCGCAATTCCCGCCATCCTGGTCGATCCCTCAAAACACGTACACAATTGGACAAATATTTTTAACTGAAAATTTTATCAATTCGTTGTTGTATTTTAACGAGGAAGTGAGGTTCGTCCTCGCATAAGAACAAAGTGGGGGGCTCCTCTCTAATCTTGGTGTAAAAATTACCCACATCATGGACATGGATGTTCAGTCAAATTTCCTGAATATAAATTCTAGTTTTTATCTAAATTGAAGGCTACAGAAATTCAAAATGTAAACAAATCGCTTAGCTTTTTCTGTCAAGAAACGGTAGTTTAAACTAAACTGCGTCAAATCAACCGGATGATCCAATGGCACATTATGACGTCATATGAAAACGAAGCATATAATAGACTTTTTCGGTAATTACGCCACAACGTTATCGTTTTAAATTTAGAATCACCTTAAATGACATAGCTTTCAAACTTTACTCTCACAAGCTATGTGCAAAGATTCAAAGTTGCATGTGTTGAAGAAGGATGTTTTGCATCTTTGCACGTGGTTCGTGAAAAACTTGAAATTCATTTCATTAAGGTGGTTCTAAATTTAAAACGTTGTGATGTTAAAATGTCACAATTACCGAAAAGGTCTATTATATCATTATATGCAAATGAGCTAGCTCCACTGGCTAGCTCTCGTACATCCTTTTAGATATTACACCCCTCAGGAAAATATTTTACCATCAGGTGATAAAAATCTCTATTTAGTGCTATAGCTTTGGTACATTGATATATTATTCAACAGACAATAAATACTTCAGCTACATTTGTGACATATATATGGAAGTAATAAGATATGGTTTAGTTAGACATTTAATAAATCTTTCGAAGTTTTGAAATATACTGCATGCGCATGTCTACAAACACAGTTCATGGCTTTGAAGGATTTTATTGATGGGGAAAAAACCCGAGCCTCTGTCAATGAAACAAGTTTCACTTTGCACGCATACTAACGTCTTGATCAGGTATGCATGGTTTTCCAGGTTGTGCTTATTCTTTAGTATCAGGTTACCTTTAGACAGTACAAATAATCATTTCTGCAACCAATCACAATATCGCGACCGACTATCACAGGGGACGAGAATATCTCGCCAGGGAGAGTAAACGTGTTAAATATTCTCCCATCACTAGCAGCCATCAAGTAGACTGTGCCTTTTGTTGTAACAACAATCACACAATTATTGTGATGGACACAGGCAGCGGGCGAAGAGCTTTTCTGCAGAATTGAATCGTAGTTATAAAAGGTAAAGCATGGTGTTGCATAAACAGGACCGTCGACAGAAGTTGACCATTTACGTTTACCCTCGGATGAAATACAATAAACCTTTTGGCCATGTGAAGCAAAAATAACATCATCGTGATTCACTGAATCAATCTCCTGTCTGCGACTACCAAGTGGTGAACTGAATATCGAGGCATCAATGTTGAATTCCCAAACGTCGACTCCATCGTGATTTAAACATCTAAGACAACCATTTACGGTTGCGACGAAAATCTTATTCTCTTGTATCAAAAGTGAGGAAAATATAGGTTTTTTGAACCTTTTAAGCCACTTGATGTCACCAGAAACTGCATCTATGCATAGGAAATAACCGGCGAGTGTCCCCACGTAGACATGATGAGGATGATAGGATATAACCGGGGAACTAAAACAGGAGCCTTCCCTGCAATTCACTCGCATGTGGCATTTCTTACGATCTACGTCTAGTCCATAGAGATGTCCATCATGGGAACCGACCCAAATTAATCCAGTTTTAAGATCAACGCATGGCGACGATTTCACAACATCGTGCGTTTGATATGTCCACATTATCTTCCCATTGTTTCTCGCTAATGCATATACCTTGCCATCGTAACAGCCTACAGCGAAATTTGGAAATTATGTTTACTCTATGCAGTGCTGTATGAAACTTAAGAGAAAACAGTATTTTACATTGTGTAAAGCATTAGTCTAAACAACAGGATAAACACATCATTCAAAGCAAAAACCAAATAAAGAAAGGGATAATAAATGTAAACATCTGGGACCGGTTGTTCGGAAGGCGTTTCGCTTAAACGGCGGATAAGTTCAAAATGGAAAACAAAATGATCTATTTATTGAACAACTCGGCTGAAATATTTCGACGTAAATAGTTCGATTTTCAATGGAAGTGCATATTTAATGCATAATGGTCTCATACACCGTCTAAACTAAACGCCTTTCGAAAAACTGACCCATGACTTACCAACAACAACAAGCTGTCCACAAAGAGACAAGCAACCTGAAGATTCGATCCTATCTCCGAGACGAGTTCTCCACAAAACCTCCCCGTTTGAGAGGATCACGGACAGGAAAAGATGTGAGTGCGAGCCAATGAACACAGTACCTTCACCAGTAAGGCAAGAAGGCACAACAAGGGGTGATGCATCAACACATTTCTCCAGATAAACACTCCATTTCATAGTCATTCCATGAACAGCAGATAAAGATGTGGTTTTAGGAAGAGAAACAAAACACCCTGAATGAGTGTCACAGAGTGCACATGCAAAGACGTCTGAGCCACGTTTCACAAAACAAGCACAAGTTGCCTTGTCCGAATTAGTTAAGTCCAAGTCGCGTTTCAACATCTTTGCGGTGGGTCGCAAGTCTTCTTTCAGCGAACGCTTCCCGTCAGCAATGGGTTGAGAATTTTCTAAGCCACTAGATTGTAGCACTGTCTGTAAATAGTTAACAAGGAATCCAAAATTTTTGTTCGTGATTGTTTCGAACAATTTCGATAAATCAACAGGGTGACTACAGTGGTTATGCATCCAATTTTCTATTCGTCCAGCAAGCTGTACAGCGAGCAATGAATTACCACCTTGGAGCATAAACATATCACCTGGTTCTACATATGGACGGCTCAAGGGCTTCGTCAAAACGTTCTCCCCTTGTGCCGAATTGTTTGCTTCATCTAATGAACGTCCGCCTAGGTTGTGATCGATGGTGCTCAGCCATAGTTCAGAGAGTACTGCAACCACAGACAGGTTCTTTTTACCCTGTAGATTACATTCTGTGGTACGTCGTAAAATCTCTCGTTTGTCAACTTTTCCATGGCTGGTAAGGGGAAATTTCCTAACCAGATGGACATGATCAGGTTGAGATACCTTTGGTAATAATTCTCCAATCCGTTCTAACAATGCAAACTTGTACTTCTCCAACTCTTCCGAGGTTCTTTTCTCGAATAACTTTGGGACGACAAATAGATGCAAAAGCGTGCCGAGGGTAGAGACAGGCTCCAGTACAAGTGTACATGCAGTAACTTCTGTGTATTCTCGAATGATTCTTTCGATGTAATCTAAATTAATTTTCTGGCCAAACCGTTTGATTTGGTTATTAGAACGTCCCATATACCACATATGGCTATCCTTCATTTGAACAATGTCACCACTATCCCTCATGACTGGTACGTTTTCTTCTGCTTCGCATTCCAGCAAACACTGTCGATCGTTCCCACCTGGCATAAAGAGGTTTTTAATTTCGTATGAGAACGATATTTCTGTATTCAAGTATAAGGCACAATCTATATGACTTTACCGTTCCCTAATTATGAGCATATAATAAAATTTAGTCGGTTCATTCTTAATTGAAATTATAAACATACTAGCTGTAAGCTTTCACCGATTTACTTTACCGAAAAGAAAAAAAATCCGGATTGAACCAGATTGAAGCTATAAAACAAAACAAACCTATCCACAAGTGACCAACACCATTTTCATTGACAAGACCTCCATTATCGTCATACACCACAAGTTTGGTCCGTGATAGAGGATTTCCAAGTTTGCACACATTAGATAATCCAATCTGATCGTCATCGCCATTTACACTAAGTTCATCGTCAGTAATGTGATGGTACGTTGCCCAGCTCGAGACCTCCGTGATTCCATAGATATTAAACAATCTTGTTTTGCATTCAGGATGTTTCCACTTCCTCAAATCTGACAAAGATGGACACGGCTCACCTCCAATAGCTAGGACCGAAAGAGTTGAGCTTTTCGAAAGCAACTTTGAACTGACAAGTTCTTCGCCGATGTAATAGAGTAGCGATGGCGTTGGCTAAAATTGAAACTGGTGGTGGTAATACATGTCGGCTCCTTATTAAAACTACATAGTAATAATTTTAAAATATATTTAATATAATATAAAACCTGCATGTTCTGAAGAATAGTGAAGAATTACTTCTAAAAAATACATTAAAGAGCAACTGTGCCGACATTTTTGTACAGTACCGTGTGTTTTTACATGTAATGCATAAAAAAATTGAGATTACAATATAATTGATTGGTTGTTGCATATATTAGAACATGACTAGTACAAAACTCCATCACACCAAATACCTGGAAAACTGTAACCCGATGACGATCAAATAGTGTCTGACACAATATTTCAGGGATTAGCTTTTTTTCCTCCGAGGTAATGAGCAATTCGGCACCGTTATTGAATGCCAGGAACATTTGTACTATCGAAGGGTCAAATGTATAGGGTGATGCCAGATAAACAACATCATGGGATGTCACACCGAATATGGAGCTGTGGAAAATCATAAAATAAACAAATGTTGATTTTGACATATATGACAATTCCTCCAGTTTTAAGTATGAAGTAATTAGTAGCAACAACGCTTTGGATTCATTATGCACTGGGCATAGCTCAGTGTAAATTTTGCAATTTTCACAATTATACAATTGATGCAAAACGTATGCTTATTCTATGCCCTCCATGATTTACTATATCAAAATGTTATAAACTTTGCATGAACTTGTTTACGAGTAAGGGCATTAAAAGGTAAAATTTCGAGCACAAAGAAAAAAATCATATAGCTATTACACAGCGATGTTACTGTGGGTGATATTAATTTTAGCTTAACTTTCAAAATGAAAAGAGACATTCTAAATATATAGTATTTCTTTTATTGGAAAGAAAATGTAAATATTAGATAACATCATTTAAAGCAAATTAACATCATGAATGAAAGAGAATCAAAAATGAAATTGGAAAACAGTTTTCTTACACACCTAAAGTGTAATATATTCGGAACAATGCATGAGTGGGGCACAAATACTGCTTTTGGGTGACCTGTTGTACCAGATGTTTGCATGACATAGGCAAGGTGTTTAGACCAATTTACTACACATGGTTTATTTTTGTCGGTCACTTTTAGCATGGTGAACTGAACTTTTTGTAACAAGTTTTTTAAATCACTTTCCAAAAAATCCAGTGTAATCCCTACTGTGTTATCTCGTTTGCACAGATTTAAGATAACTTGAAGTAAAGAGTTCTCTACCAAAACATATCGTATTGACCGATCGCTTAAACTTTTTAAAACATGTAGAGGTTGAAGTTGAGTTGATATAGGAAAAAACGCGGCAGATGCGTCCATTAGCGCCACCAGAAGAGCGGGCATGATTAAACAATCATGACAATATATTCCGACGACTTCATTCTTTGAAATGATCTTTTTAAAACACCTACTGAAATTTTCAACACTCTCGCTGAGTTCACGATACGTTACTGTTTCGATTGTTTCCCCAGAAAATGTTACAGCTGTATATTCAGGGAAGTTTTTCGCCGAGCGAAAAAACAAATCGTGAAGCTGAAAACCGTCACTCATTTTGTCCGCCATGTTGCTCTACTATGAGAAAAGATATCTTATTTATCTTACACCAAGTATCTCCATCACAGTGCCATTGTTTTGATCTCATTTGATCTCCTCTCCAAAATGAACACGTTTCTTTCCAGAGCGAATAACATCTTTGCCTTTACTTTAACCGTTTTGGCAACGTTAACCTTTGGATGTTTTCTCTCGACATTTTTTAAGGATTATAATCGACCTGTCGAGCTAAAGGCCGTAAAACACGTCGTGTAAGTAAAAAATATTGTTGCATCTCTCATTAACCAGTGACTCATACTTAATAGACTATAGTGTATAAACTATAAAATACATTGTTGTTGTGGTGTTACTGTAGACCTCTCTGCTATCCGACTTATCCTGTTGATAGTCATTTGAATAATGTTTTTTTGTTTTCTTACTGCACCTTAAACCCAATCTACATGCACTATTATACAGAATTATTGTATTGAAAAAAGAAAGAAGGGTACAAGTGGGAAGTGGGAACAAATCGTTTTACATTGTTTTATCATTGTATGATCACATCACTCTACTTTGTTCCTTTCAGAAAACATGTTAAAGACTTCAGTGTTTCTAAAGAGACTAATGATTTGGGCATTGTGAATGTGGATTTGACAGCTGATATCCTTTTACATAACCTTAATTTTTTTAAAATACAAGAGGCTCATTGCCAACCACCAACCCCCCTCCCCTAAGGCTTTTTTTATTGATTTCATGTTATTTTTCTTAATGAATCACAAACCTCACTAGTTTGTTTGACTGGAATACAAAACAATTGTTTGTCTATTTAACAGCAGAGTACACTACAAAGAAAAATGTAAGTGCAGTCATAGCCTTACTAAATTTTAAGCCAGAAGCCTTAACTTCATGTGGTACTTACATAAGACAATACGGTTAAGTTATGCTAAGCTTGCACCTGAAAAATGAATAGAAACAGAAACTAATCACACATGTTATTTTCAGGACCAAATTGTGAAGCCTTCAAAAAATCGTACAATCACAAAAATTATCCTCACTATTTCAGAAGCTGAATCAAGTAGTGCTGTGGGATAAAATCATTGAACGTGGTGACAATGCAATTCTTAAGTATCAAAGTATGAACTCTGAATACTACTTCTTTGATGATGGATCAGGTTTAAAGTAAGTTCATATTCTTTTTTTGTTTATTCCATTTAAAAGGACCTGCACCAGCAAACTGAAGGTCACAAGCACATATAGCTGTTTAAAACTCCATGTAGCATCACAATCACATTGCATCACACAATAAAATTGTAAATGTAATCTAATTAATTATCTTCATTGGTCTCCACTGTGATTATAGGCTACTGTAATTGTAGTGATTTATAATATGGTAATTGCTGTATACTGCACCTTTTTTAGGGGAAACAACAATATCACATTATACCTTTCCTGGAATGTCATCCCTAATGCTGGGCTTCTACCAAGAATATTTGTAGACAAAGAAACTCATACATTTGCTTTCCCAGATGAATATAGTTATATCCGTGTAAACTAGTGTTGCGGCCATTTTTGATAACTATTTAAACTAGATTATTGTAGAATGCAGTGTAAAAATTACATATTGAAAGAACGGTAAATGTGTGAATGTTTGATATATGAGTATGAAATATGGCAGCAGCGCCCACTTCCGGTAATTTCCACAGCTGCTGAGCTGCAGATGCGCTCTGTACATGCTAAATGTGTCTCAGTGGATTTGTCAATTTTGTTTCGAAATTTGGTATAATTGGCAACAATTTCATAGTCTCCAAGCATGAGCCTAGAAAAAAAAAGGAAATCAAATGACTGCTTTTCGAAGGAACTGCACGAAAAAGCCTGTGCTGCAATCGATAACTTGTCTGGAGAACTGCACGAGTTAAGCAACAAACTATGGTCAAATCCAGAGGTGAAATTCAAGGAATATTTTGCCCATGAGACTGTAACAGCATTTTTAGAGAAACATGGATTTGACGTGCAAAAGAAGTACCCGTTTGCCGCAAATTGGTCATGCATGTGGTCACAATTTGATAGCCGAGGCGGGTGCAGCCGCTGCAATAGGTAAGGATCAGTGTGGCTGATTTTGATTAGACAGCAAAAAATTTATCAGGTTGTTTGTTGCATAATTTAGGAGTGAACAACGTTGTCCTGCACCACATCGTCCACATGAACATGCAGTAGCCAATATTGTTGACAATGGTTGTTCAACCTTGTTGAACCATTATTATAAATACTGTTGCAACTTGTTACCATGATTGTCAACAAGTTGCAACAGCATTGATGGTTCAACAGCCATAATTGTTAACAATACTGTGCACAGTGTGCAGCACACAACATTGTTTAATTCTGTTTTAAACAACTTGCATCATCACAATATTTTTATGCACAAAGTTAATTTTATTATCAATGTAGTGACGTAGTGACATATTTCCAAATCTCAGGTATAAAAGCTGCAATTGACCATGATGGGTCTGGTAATCTTGGCCATCTGGTTATCATGGGAACACCTGCAGAAGAGGGTGGTGGAGGGAAAATTCTCATGCTTGATGCGGGCTGTTTTGAAAATGTAGATTTTAGTATGATGGTACATCCAGCACCTTTCGACTCTCTGTACAGTTTGTCTTTGGCCAATCAGAAGGTGTTTGTAACCTTTAAGGGCAGAGCTGCACATGCAGCTGCATTTCCATGGGAGGGTAAGAATGCTCTAGATGCGGCAGTTCTGAGCTACAATGCAATAAGCATGTTACGCCAGCAAATGAAACCAACATGGAGAGCTCATGGTGTTTTTACCAATGGGGGAAACGAACCAGGCATAATTCCAGAAACATCTCAATTGCATTACTTTTTCCGATGTCCAACACTAAAGGAATTGGAAGTATTCAAAGAAAAAGCTAATCATTGTTTCAAAGGTGCAGCTACAGCTACTGGTGAGTGAGTCCGGGCTGTAGGCTTGAATTATATATTTGTCTTATACCTGACTGATTTCTTTTGAGAGCTGTTGTTCCTGGAGTATGTGAACCTGAATATATATAGTGATAAGGGGGGCCTTATTGCTATATAAGCAGTCTAGCTATGGCCTTGTGATTGATTTGTACTTATAAAGTGTAATTGTTATTCAGGAGGCAAAAATAGGAACCTGGGAAGCAGTGGCGTAGCCAGAACGATAATTGGGGGGGCCAATATTCATATATTCGTGATACGCAGGATTAATTTCTTTTCAAATCAATTGTCTTTACAGTCTGTTAACATGAATATATGAATATGGGCCCCCCCAATTATCGATGCTGGCTACGCCACTGCTGGGAAGAAGTTAATCCCTTTTATTTCAATGATATGCCATATGGTTGACAGCAGTTGCCCATGGCCAGTATACTCATGAACTCTGTTTTCTGAGCCTAACTGCTTACGGTTTATTATAATTATACTTATAGTTTTTATAAATTTTGTATTTCAGTATAGCATATAGAAAAGGTGGGTGGTATGTGTTACTGACGCACTTAACGTTTCTTGCATTGCTCTACCCACGCATGCACTGCCATAGAATAGTATCTACAATACAAAATTATATACCAATACATATTTACCATCCTTAGGTTGTACTGTTGAAATAAACTGGTATGGTTTTGGTGAAGAACAAAAACCCTACGTCAATCTAGTAAACAATCCAGTTCTGACCGATCTATACATAGAGCATGCAACCTCTTTAGGAGTTAAATTCCCTTCAAAGACTGTACAAGAAAGTTACGCAGGAGGCTCAACTGATATGGGAAATGTCTCTCATGTTGTCCCCGCTATCCACCCAGAATACAAGATTGAAACCACCGCTGGCAATCACACCCTCGAGTTCACTGCTGCAACGGGGTCAACAGAGGCACAACATCCTACTCTTGTTGCCGCAAAATCTATGGCTATGACAACAATTGATATTCTGTGCAAGACTGAACTGTTTGAAAAAATGAAAGAAGCATTTAGAGATAAATAAGATGCTAGTTTATGGTTTGTTTGAAGTCAATTACACCCCTTTTACATCGTCAGCTATTTGAGCCCCGTTTGCACTACAGTCAATTTTATTGTCACGGCACCGCTAAAGTGATAAAGACTTAAAGTATATACTATGATAATGAGGATGGCACGTATAATTTGTGATAGTTTTCTTCAATTTGTGGGAAGAAATATATAGCGCATATAAAAACCTATGCACGAATCTTTAGGAACTGTTTTGAACACAGTGCATTGCTGCCGCTGTTCCTTTACAGAAATATTTTTCGTTCATTACTATTTAATAAATGCTTCATAAGCCGCTATGAGACTAAAAATTTGTTTTGCATGTGGACATATATGATATATAACTAGATTTCTCCTACTCTATATTTATAGTCCTTATACCTAATAATGAAAACAATAAATTATTCACATATCTGAATTGGTTAACAAGGTTATACGAAATCGCTGTTGTCAAATGTTTACGCAGGTTAAAACATTCATGAATCCAAAAGCTTTTAAAATTCCGCTCGCCATTCCAACTATCCGTCGATCAACTATTAAAAAACACGGCAAAACAGCTGTCTTTTCTATGTAGCAATGTAATATAGATACAAAAATTGCTGGGCTGAAAACTGATGCAGCTTGACCGCTATGATTTAATGGGTTTTTGAATTTTTCATGATCAGAATGTTATTGCATTCTTCGCTGAACAATAAGACTTTTTTCATTAAGACAGAAATATTAATGGCAAGAGATGGCTGGACGACAAATTCAAACTCATAAACGATTCCCCATCGATTTACGCGTCTCTTTCGGGCGTAAAGCATTGTGTGTTCCATGTGCGGACTGTGCGCACCATTGATCATCTCAATGCGCGCACCCTGAATCCTCTCTCAAGACACTTTAGTTATTCAAGTTACAAGGTTCTACCACGCATGTCAGGAAAATAGAATGAATGTTTGACGCCCTTGCTTCGCCAGTCAGTTCTTAAACTGTTAAATATTCTAAATTAGACCTAATTTGTCGCCAAAGCTATATTTGTTGTAGTCTTAATGACAGACATGCACCTCAATAATGATCAATTCACCTGCCACCTTTCATATTGCGCACCTCTAAAAACAAAAAACAATGCAACTTTTTCCTCGCGTCTTATTCTTTCTCAAAGTTTTATCACTTTTTGTGGTAATTCCGAAGTCAGAATTTTCTAGAAAGGAAAAATACTTCCGAAAAAGAAACGAAAATGGTAAGTGATTGAAATTGTATTCTGTTCTGAGAGTCGGTCCGTTCCATGGAAACCCGGTAAGGCGGTAGGGAAAAGTGCTAATGCTGTTACTTGAGAATTTCTGCATGCCTGCAATTCAAGTTCTGCACAGGCAAGAAATTCGGATTCGCATAAAATCATGATCAGGTTTTTATACCCTGTAATAACTCTTTGCGTCAGTATAGTGCGGGGAATATAAAATCGAAGGCATTTTAATTGATTTTTGAAAACATGCATAATAAGAAACATGTGCAACTCAATGCATTCTTCATCTTAGCTGTATTTTACACCCTATAGTTACAAAGAAAAAAGTAAATAGTCCCAGCCGGCAGGTCTTTTGAGAAGCAGAAGGAAACGTATAGAGTCAACAAATATGCCGCATAATGCAGTAATAACATAAATTTATGGCGCCATAGCTATGAAAATGAGAACATAATCCGTAACATCTTATCTCGTTGTATATACATGCAATTTACGTGAAACACGCTCTAAAGGAATGCCCTGACCTACATGTACATCTCAAAACGAATTTTTAATATAAGTATAACAATTAATAGCGAACACCTCACTTTAGCTGGACCATGCATAACAAGATCGTAAAATATTAGTCTTAGAGAATTTGCGATGTAGCTAAGCGAAAATGATAACGTTTTGGCCGATTTTAATGGAAACATGAAAACAAGGTAGTAGTCGTAGATTAAAAAATAATCTCTCCTGTGCATGGCTGTGTCTGAGATATGAAAGCTATTTACTTGCACTTTGAAAAGCGTCCTAAACAGCTAAACTGAATATTTTTCAAAATGAATGACATACACAGCACATTTTCATTTAATAATTCAGTTTCATCAATAATTGCGTCATTTAGACCCAATCAACATCCCTTGCACATTAAAGTTTGTTTTCTACTTCGGCCGTGTCGTAGCAAAAAGCAGCATAACTCATGCATGCATAAACTTGGTTCAATACAGACTTTCTAAAACAATGTATATATAATTAAGGCGGTTCGTTAGCACCTGGAGATATTGCATCGAGTCATACTGTCCAGTCCAAAGTTGAATGTTCTTTGAGATGTCTCAGAGAAGGAGATCATTGTACAGGCTTCAACTACAGGACAAAGCTTCCGAGCGATAAAAATGGAGCAAATTGCCAAATCAGCAATAAAATTCATTGTGAAGTGTTGGAAGGTACTGTAGGAGAGAGACACGAGTGGGAATTCTACCAATGTTTGGAAGAGGTAAGATATAGGCTGTTGTGCAACGACGTTCGTATATATTTAAATCATTATTACTATAAAAAACATGAAAAATATATGAAGAAAATCCCGACCAATGACAAGTCTTGACTTAAATTTACCAAAATGGTCGAGTTACATTGTCTCGTCCAAGATATTTCAAAAATTAGGCATGCTTTCGTTTGTCTATCTAGTTGAGAGATGTCGACACTAGAAGAGACGAATCGAAGTCCGAAGATGCTAACAATCGCATCGGTGAGAATGAAAAATTGAATGTCATAGGAAAATTATAGAATTACCGATAATTACCGAATTACATATCCTGCATAATTTCATAATTATGATGATTTCATCACGCTGAATTTAATACCGTATAGTAAATATCAATAATTTTTAAAGACGATGTAGCATCCTGTCAGGACCTATACGAAAGGAAACCAAACCTTGCAAATGGATACTATGAATTCAAAACATTACAGGTAAGATCAGATGTGATATATCCAATATCCAAACACTGAAAATACAAATTTATCCGATATAGTATCGTCTTTATACTTTGGTTACAAAATGTGGAAAAATTTAATGCACGCCTATCTTCCGATAAGAATGCTGCTACATTATTTTCTCAATTTAATTAGTTTAGGGATACAAATGCCTGACGATCTTCGTTCTGACGATAAAAAAATCGTTGACCAAGGGCAAGGTTGCAACCATAGTGTGAGGTCACATCCTATGTTTAGCTTTGTTTTGATGAAGAGTACATGTTCTCCATGTCAAACGTATATATAGACTATACAGACTATATAGTATACACATTTCTGGTTTGCATGGTCTGCAAATTTTAATCATTTTTATAGCTGGCCAGACAAAAGGATATTTCAACTCATAGATATTAAACCGCCCCCGCGACTGGTACCGTCATGCAATGCGCCAAAGAGGCAAAGACAAATTTTGATTTGCACCCCCAATTGTAAATTAAGATCTGCTGCATTGCTCGCTTGCTCCAGGTTCGCTCGCTTGCTCCAGGTTCGCTCGCTGCGGCAGCAATCAGCTATCTCGTCGGCAATTTGATGTTATGTTTGATGTGTTTTTTTTCAAAAAAATTTTAAATAGGCTTACTGCGACCTATCCAATAATGGCTGGACACTTATCGCGCGATTTTCAAATGGTGATGCTAAACATTGGATTACAAATGGTTCCTTTTGGTATGACAAAAACACACCGTATGGAGAGTTTAACGATCCCACAAACAACACGGATATGATTTCGTCCGCTTTCTGGAAAGTGAAAGGCAAAGAATTTCGGGTGACAAGGAATGACGATTCCAGCCACACGCCATTATTACAAACGACGACCAGCTGCCTTCAAGGCCTGTCGTTTAGATCTAAAATCACCAGTTACGGAAATTTCGATGGCAAAGAATGGGCAAAAAACGAATGTCGTGGAACATGCGAAGTTGTTTACAGTGGTCAATATAAAACAACTGTAGGATTTGGAAAACATAATTGCAACAGTAATCTTCAGAGCAACAACTATATTGGTTTTTGGTGTTATTGGAATTATGACGGCGCTGTGATGATGATCGGTGGTGGAGGCGATGATTGCGACAGAGCAGATCATGGTATTGGTATTACAGAAAGTAATTCAGCCTCGTTTGGAGGTAAAGAAGATCATTTCGACTTCGGCGAAATAGATAAATACCTTCCCAGCGTGCCCACCACGTATTCACTTAACCTTTGGGTTCGCTAATACGAGAAAACGTTTTTGGAGAACAATAATAAATAAGACGGCAATGCATATGCAGAAAAGTTACATATTAATATGAATATTGTATCAATCTTGTATAACTTTAGTAGCTAAAAAAACGAAAGGTGAATGGGGAACAATGAAAGAAACAATCGCAGAAAGACAGTATTATATAAATATCCTGGAAATAAGATTAAAAAATTATAACTTAATTCAGATGACGGTACATTGAAAAACAATTTTCTCTCAACGTATAAACTTAATAAAGGTATCTTATTCTTTTTGGCGATTGATGTAAAGCGTCTGCGATCTAGCTTGCAATGCTTGTGGCTTGAATTGGTGCGTAAAAGTAAGATAAAGTAAATGCGCCTTTAAGCAGGAAAGTTCCAATAATTTTCGCACAACAAATATTACCTTGGAAAGCTTTACAAGAAAGCTTACGTAATTACAGACTAATATATACTTTGAATAACAATTTTTAATTTTACACATTAATGACTGCTAACAAGTGCTGAGGTACGGTAGTTCACGTCCATGTGTATACCGCGAGTATAATCAAATTTGTGCATTAGACGGAACCTCAAAAATGTGCAGACAATAGCTTCAACTTATTAACTAATCATACACGAGTTATTTAACAGTTAGATTCGAGTTTGGGATGATATTTTATAAAGGCGTGTAGCCTGAAGCAACCACGTAGCATACCGTGCAAATCGAAAGCGAGTACGTAATTTAGTTTTAGGAAATAAAGGCAGTACGCGTATTCACTCGCAGCATTTCACTTAAAATTTGTAATTCTATAGTTTCAAAGAATTTAACTGTTTATGCCTGTCTGAACTGCCTTAAATTTACGACGAGACAATTTTTCGCTATAGCGTAGCAATTGAGAATATCAATGCATGCAGCATTTGCAATAAAACGACCCTAAGTTTACTAAAAATTTCATGTTAATTAAATGCAATATTATAAACCAAACACTGTCCGAAATTCGAAAAGTATACCGAAAACAAATAATTTATACGACGACCTATTGGGTTATTTAGATTTATGTATAGCTAATAATTATAGTGTATAGGAAAACTAGATAACTAAATCCGATTTCGATTGTTCGGATTATCTTATACTGAACGCATGCCCTCGCAAGCATTTCTTATAAAGAGAATATAATTAGCATTTCCCACTGTCTATTTATGGCCATGTTATAATAGACCTTTCTTATAATGACGTCAAACGCGGAAAGTCTGATTTAATACGAAATTTGATTGGCTCTGCAAAACTATCGAGCCAATCAAACTTCCTGTAAAATCAGACTTTCCGCGTTTGACGTCATTATGATAAAGGTCTATTGCTTGAAAATATATTAAACACTACGTGTATATTTACGAATATTAATTGCAACCCGATAAACTTGATAAATATGTCAGCCTAGCTTTAAGAGCTAAACTATTTCGTATATACACATGCACATAAAACCTATATAAAGGAGAAATGGGGAAAGACATTTTTTCGCAACCTTGCTTCCGGGTTTTTCTTTGCAGGACAAAAGGTATAGGAGAAATGATGAAGTGCACACAAACAAGGCAGCAGACTGCTGCATGTCTTGTTTGCTAGGTTTTGGATTCATAGAAAAGGATATACCCAGAATCACTTGACTTATGACCACCGATTGTGAGACCGTAGAATTCTTCAAACGTCTGTGGTTCAATTTTCTAGACAAGGTGAAACAGCATTATACTTAAAACAGGGAAGATAAACCTAATACGAGGCTGTCTATACATAGGATTCTACGTGACGGACAATTTGAATTTTATTTTGCAGTTTGCAAATATGAGCGTGGACATGACTTTATTCGGTTGAAAATGCTAGTTACGCTTTATGTAGCGTCACGGGGGCATTGCATGCATTTTGTCATTGCTTAGAAAATGTCTAAGACCCCTTTAGATAAACAACCTGATAGTCCAGTAGGCGGCTACATGACTAACAACGTCATGAGTTTTACTTGGATGGATAATTTGACTTAATAGTATTACCTCAACTATGTCGTCATCAAATAAAAGCCAAAAATCGTGACTTTTCACAATGCTTATGTAATGTCCGCGATTTGGTCCACTGGAAATTAAGAGATAAAAATTAACTCATTTAGCCCTGTTTACACCCCGTTTCATCCGTGCTCGGTCTTTGTTTTCGTAGCCCGAGCACCAATAAAATGGGGCGTGCCAATAAATTAAGTACAGACCAAGCTTTGTAAGATCAAGCTTTGTAAGACCAAGCTTTGTAAGAATAGCAAGTAGCTATAAAACCAAGTATAGACTCGCAATAGAAAACCAGATTAAAAAGGGTCTCATAGGTGGTGTTTGCCAATGTTACTCTAAAAAAGCTTCATTATAGAGATGTACCTACAAAGCAAAAATCGCGTTACCTTCCGCAATGCACAACAACAGCGACAAGGTCGTACAATCTGTGTGGATTACACGCATCATCTGACTAAATGTTAAAAAAATAGATATAGATTTCAATAAGGTGAAACTTTACCAGGCCATATTTTTCGCATTTTACAATATTTCGCATTTTTACTAATTTTAGTATACGTACTAATTTTAGTACGTTGATTTCATTTTCGTGCACATATAGATAAAAAAGTAGTCTACACTTAATGCAACATATAGGTGCAGGTGCATATATAGAACGAAGAACGAGACCCTTTATATATATTTTGGTTCTGAACTATATAGGGGTAACAATTGGTCGAAAATGTGTCTGAACTCAACTCAACAGTTTTCCATGCAAGCTATCAATTATGCTAAATCTTTTGATATTTTTATGTGCGACAAACATTTCCCCAGTTCTATCCAATACTTACAGTGTTGAAAAGTCTCAGTTCCAAAGGAAACACAACTCTGTATGAAAGCTTTGTATAGCGATGAAGATGTTCCATATATTTAAAGCGTTTTAGATGGAGCGCTAAGATCTTAGGTAGTTTTTTTACTCTCATCCTATAGAAAATAGACGAAATAAATACAATATGATGCTACAAGAGATGAAGAAAGAAATCATCTTCAATACAAAGTTTGAAGTGTTTCTCGGTAACAACATTGTAAACTTTATCAGGTCTTGGATGTTATAAAGTTGTCAGCAACAAACCTTTTTTGAGCCTCTTGTTTACTCTTGCAGGTTTCACAAAAGTATTTATGTTCACTACAAAGTGTTTCAGTAGACGAAAATCCCCTAGAAGAAATACAACTGTTTTACCACTAGTCTAAAAGTTTGTTTCATGAAGTTCCATAATAATCAAGAATAAATTGTTAAAATTTCTTAATTATGATGTTATCAGAGAAAGTTGTAATTTTCTCTCTCTTGTTACACACTTTGCTCGTTGCCCAGAGGAGTGGGTGAAAATACCTAAGACAGTGAGTAATTGAAGTGTTCTGATCCACATCCACAGATAAATCTAAGAAACTTTCATCTTTGCTGCTTACCTGGGAAAAAAGACAAAAATACGTACATGTATAACCATATATCGATCAATAATTATAGGTTGATGCATTATGGCTACATACGTGCTATTCAGAACTTAAATTTGAATGTTCCGTATTTTTATGACATGATAACTATGTAGTTCATTAACCAATATTGTCTTAATAAATAAAATATATGTAGAAATATATAAGCATTTAGCATATATATACAGGTATGTAAGAATATATAGCAGTTTATAAAAAGACCTTTTTTAATTATTGCATGATTGAACATCACCTTTAAACACCAGATACTGCATGCTGCCTAACATGGATATTTTTCAAACTTAAAATTAATACGAGGATTGTTTTAAAACACTTACTGTTTCGCAAGATAAACAACGTGTTTCGTTGGTTAACGTGCCCTCGAATATTTCATGTATCCATGTCTCGTCGTGTTTCGTTGGTATTGTGCTACCCGCAGCAGACGAATTGCATGTCCCCGTACTTCTGCTGCTTGCAGTGCTACTAATACTGCCTTGTCTCTCCAATTTTTCTTTCTCTTTCTGTTTTTCTCCTGGGAGCATGCAAACATTCATTAAATCTCACACAATAATTGCAGTTATTACAAGCGTTTTGGTTCACTGGTTAATAGCACCTAATTTGTCGTGATGTTATTTAAATAAATTTGGAAATCACTACAGTCTACATATGTCTAAGTACAGTTAATAAATGAATAAACAATAAATTCAAATAGTACAATAATGTACAGTGACTAATTCTTGCATACGGCCATACCTTGCAACAAGTCTCCAATTGTGTTTAACAAATAGTTCAGGAATTCGTGGGCATCTTGCTGCATATAGTTGTCAAATACATCTAAGCAAGATGCAGTTATAACATTCGGTTATGAGTATCGATCATGTAACAATGAATGACTTTTAGACCAAATTACGGTAGGGATATTTATCGAAATAGAAATTAACATATTAAAATGGCTCTTGACTTAAGAGGACAGATTAGCCTGCCAAGGAATATTTTCGATTGGATTTCAAGACTTTATTTTAGTTATACATAGGACATCTACTGTATCAGAAGATTTAGTTATTCCTACCGTTTTCTTTCCTTAATCTGGCAACAAACTTTTTCGGGGCGATAATTCCGACTTTCTTTTTCTGCGAAGCAATGTTTCCAAACAAGTCAGAGAGACATGTCAACAATGTCTCCTTCCTCTTGTTCTGTGGCTTGTATGAAAGTATCTTCTCACGAAAAGGTTGACAAAAGTAAAGCGCTTGGAGAACAGAGTTACAATAACAGGTATTCCCAAACTGCAACAGAAATATTTGTTGTTGTACAACATAACTGTCAATCTAAATATTATTTTTTTAATTAATGAGCAATATACCAAACAATGGAATATGTTGAAAATAAATACAATGTCAATGAAATTGCACTATTTGTATTATTTGGTGGATTTTTATTCACCCAACGGTCAGGAACTTTGTCCAAGTTTGTCCAATGTCCTTATTCATGGACAGTAGTATAAAGTCACTAGCTAAGGAATGCAGTCAAGGGGAGAGGGGGATTTAAAAAAAATGGCAAACCTCAGTATATTTCTTGTCCCAAGCCCCCCCCCGCAATATTTCATAAAGTGTTTGCCACTGTGTTTACATGCAGTCCATGGTGGGTGCAGCAAGCATGAAATGTGTTGGCTAATAACTTTGTTAAATTTGCACTTGATCACATGAAAGTAATTTAGGACTTATAGTTAGTGTTGAGCTGTCAAAAAGCACTGCTCTTCCAGTAAGGAATGTAGAAGGCCTACGCCGGACATGTCCGGCGTGCAGTCTTAACATTTGGCATGTATTTTGCATAATAATGTTTGGTGTACAAAATTTGGCCTTAAATTTAAAATTTTCATATTTTGGTGCACATTTTTCTTAGTTTGCTATATTAAGTACTGACTGTATGCAATTAAAAGGTACATTTTTATAAAGTTAGTAAGCTAAATCTAGCCTTCATCACAGTCTGAGCTCAGTTTAGCCTGCTGCCAGCTGTAGGTAGTTTGCTGCATACTTCTTTTTTCAGCGCGAAAATATTAACGATTTTGGCGCATAATTTGTAGTGAAATTTTAGCTGTCTGGCGCAAAATATTTTGACATTCCATACTGGCTGCTCTTGAATAAACTCTTTATTTCTAACTGTTATCAAGCACTAGTCCAGCACCTAATAGATCATTTACAGTATTAGTGAAATCATTTCAACTAAATTTGACCATGCCTAAAATATTGTACAAAAACAAAAATACTATATAATTCAGTGTCAACAACAGTGATGATTATTAAAAAAGGATGAATCCAGGAGGATATTGAATACATTTATTCACATGTGATAGAACCTTTTCAATTGTCTCACAGCAGACTTACATAATAACATTACACTTAAATGTTTGTGATTAGAAAGATATATAAAATCAATATTAGAACAAATATGTGAAGCAAAATCCTACTAGGGAATCCTAGATCTAAAGGGATGGGCATTGCTAAGCTAGTGCATAAACTATTTAAAGCTAAAGGAAACAAGATAAAATGCGAAAAGAAATTATATCCAACTACTGGCAGATACTCACATTAACCAAGCCAAAATATTTCTCGTTTGGAGGGAATTCTTGACCAATTTCCTTCTCCAATTGCGATGAATTCACTCCCTGATAAAATTGTATAAAATTAGACATAAAATTGACTAAGATTCTTTTTCTTTAAAAAAAAGAAAAACATAATAATCGTTCATTTCCATTTCCTTACCATAGCTAGACAGCTCTTCATGAGGACCAAAGGTTTGAAACTTTATCGCTTGCAACAAAATATGTCATTGATTCGTACTTTAATTTACAAACTTCTATAACTCTTCCATTTTATTTACCTATTTAAAAAATTACGTGTTTCCACTTATATATTCAACTTTTCTAGTTGCACTTCGATTTAAGAAGTAGAGCCGTATTTTATAAAATTTAGGGTTCGCAGTTCGCTCCGTGCAGGCTTGAGCGTCAAAGAGTGAAGTGGCCATTCTTTTCACGTGGAATTGCCAGGAACTAATAATTTTCAACCAATTTTATTTATCGCGATTAAGAAATTGTTCCAAGTTCCAATGTTCCATTGTTCCAACCTCCAAAGAAAATAATCATCTCAATAAATTTTGAACAGCCAAAGTTGGAAAAGGAAACACACTGGATAATTAAGAAGTGTATTCCAAAACAATATGGCGGACAAAAATAATTGCATTGTTTGCGGTAAGAAAGAAATGATTATGAAACGTTGTGGAAGATGTCAATCGATTTTTTACTGGTATACTTTTCTTTCTGCTAAACTAGATTCCTACGTTACATACAACGATGCTTACACGCATCACTTTGGCAGCAGACTTTTTGCTGTGTAAACATTACTGATTAGTGATTACTGTCTATTTAGAAGCAATTCGGCTCAAATGCATGCAAGCTAGTCACTTTCAGCAAATCGTAAATATACAAAGATATCACAGTAAACATGAGCGTAGACAATGTCATACATTTTGTTCCGTAATCTTCTCTCAATCGCATAGCATGCTCGCGTTCAACACGAATTACCTAACTATGCAAAAACGTTTCAGTTCTATAGAGTGTCAGCGATCTGACTGGGGGAAACACAGAAACAATTGCTCCATTACTAAAACTCCAGATTTGGTGGATGGTAAAATGACTCAAGCAACGAAAGTAGACAAAATATTTGATACCACAGAAAAAGCAACTGAATGCAAAACCACTGTCACTGACTGTAAATTCAGAGAATCAGAGGAAGATCCAGATACTATTAAAAAATTTGTATATTCACCGACAAATTCTCAAGTCAACTCATCACAAAATCCTGCTAAGAGTATACCTAGTCATTCAATCGATATCAATACAAATATTCTAAAACAAGATTCATCGACTAGTGGTTATAAATTAGAAAATACATGTATGTCACATGTGCCAACCAACTCGCATGATAACGTATCAAAAGTCGTTGTGTACATTAAGCATGCAAAGGAAAAGCATAAACTCGAAATCGAATTACCTTGCACTGGCCTGCAAGCGCTCAAACACTTCTCTCGTGTCGTCCATGTTCCCTTGGAAAGATTAAAAATAATACACAAAGGCAAATTGCAAACTGAATTGACGATTGCGGACAAATTGAAACCAAGCTCAGTTTTCCTCGCGTTTGGTGAAAGGGCTGAAAGTGAAGAGGGTTTGGAAGCCGCAGATATTGATCTTATCATGAAGCAGTTGTCTGTGCAAAGGAACGTTGCTATTAGAGCGTTGCGAAAAACAAATTGCCTCATTGACGCGATATTTGAAATAGGCAACGACATGTAAGATAGACGAAAAAGATTTATTTAAATAACTTGTGGATTCCATGATGGTTTTCGTGCAGTAACGACTAACGGTACTGTAGTCCAACCGTATATGGTTAATTTACTAAAAGACTGTACAAAAAGACTGTCGCATGCGCCATAGAATATCACAATTTTTTACAGTAGCTATAAACATGTTTCACATCTTTTGCAAGATAAAAAAAACTTTTTGGTGCGATTTTCTTCTTTTGGTAGATGTGAACGAATAACTAGTTACGACGTCTCTGGTGTTTAAGAGCTCTTATTTGAACATCCGGAACTAATAACTAATTCACTCGTTCTATAGAAAGAAAAAATCGCACGAAAATATGAATGGACCTTTAGAGGGAGACAAATGAAAAAGCGAAACGGAATTAACATACTTCTATGCAAGATGGATGATTTAATCCTTAGTATAAAAGAGCTGTCATCCAATTTTATTTCTTTAAAAAGGGTTGTTCAAAAGCTAGTAACTCCACCTTGCTGTGTGAAAATTTAACTGGTTAGACTCGATATATAATGCATCACGGCATGTCAAAAGTGGCGCCAGTTTCGTTTTTTAGACGTAGAAAACATCTTCTGAGAAATCACGGTTTTTCACTCGTTCTTGACGGACAAACATCGTCCTGCGATGCTTCTTCTCAATGTACAATTTCTTTACTCTTTTTATGCACACTTGATAGCGCCCTTGCACGAGAGTTCTTTGAGCTTTTAGAGCAATTTCGGGAATTTTGTCGTTTAAAAATGGTGTCCTTCGAAGCATTTGATAATAAACCGTCCTTTTCATTATGTGCATTGCCTACGGTGGTTTGACTGTCTGTTCTTTTAGAAAAAGAGCTTTTGTTTCTTGCTGCAAATACAGTGAACATAAAATTAGTTTTCATTTCATTAACAACGACGAAGGAAGTTGTCAACAAGTTGAAATAAATGTACTGTTATCACTCGTAAATTTTCTTTGTTCACAAATTTCATAAAGAAAACAGTGGAAACATTATGTAAAAGTGGTCAATGGTCATAACATGTTCAGAAGAAATATTCGTTTTTCAGTTAAATTAGCTATTAGTATATCACATATTGGTATGTCACATATTAGTATGTCACACATCTGACCAATACAGAATAATAAGTATAAGCAATTTATAACTGCAGCTATAACTATACCCATATATGACTAATTTTAAAAGGGTTACCCACACAACTAAATTACGTCTTGTTTGGTCACTTAGTAGTGGTCACCAAGAAAATGTATAAAATAACCATTTTAAAGTGATCGAAAATAAAACTATATTAGCTATATACATTTCAGTTTTTGTAGAAATGACCAATATTTTATTGGTTACATCTGACGGACCAATTCTTAATAAACAATTCAAATTGGTTACGACCAATAAAAATGGTTATTTTAACCCGTCTGTTTTTACAGTGTATAATCCAAAACACTTCTTACCTGATAATCTGACACATTCTTCCCTGTGCCGCGAATTCCAAGCCTTTAGCTTGCAGTTCCTACTACAATAGAAGACTTCCTTACACCTCGTGCATGCCGCCAGCCGGACTGCAACTGACCGACCACACTCATAGCAATAGCGAAAGCGATTTTTTCGAAAGACTTGGCGGTTCTTTGTCGAGTTAATGGATAGTCTAGAAACGCTCATGTGATCAGAAGATGTCTGAACGACCGCGACACGTAAACCACAGTCTGGAAAACGACTGTCAGTTGATGAAAAACACGACAGGGTTTCGTGACTTTCATCGTAAATAGATACCTGGAATGAAGCAAATCAGTACAATAATACTTACTGCAAGTTCTATTGCTACGTTCTTTGCTAACGTGTTGTCAGTTTGTCACTTAGAGTTAAAGTGACTTGATCTTTGTTTATTAACACGTTCATACGAAGAATTGTTTCCTACCTTGTCAAAAGAGGAGCCAAGTTCCGAAATACTTTGTTGATTTCGTGTCTCATCAAAATAAAAACTCACTGCTCGGTCCAGGTTTTCCTCTTTGATTTCTTCACTAGATTCCTCTTGCAATACTGAAGGAGTTTAACAGTCAAATATTACATAATTTATAGGCCCAAAGCATTGTCAAAAAAGGGGTTTAAGTTCAAAGCATACATAGACATCTCTCCATGTTCTTGATGCAAGCCTGAAATCTATCCTGACACTAAAATTTCTATTGAAGTAATTCAACCCAAAAGTGCAATATTTCGCAATACCTTTGGCACGAGACAACTGCTCCTCAAGCAACTTTTTTTCTTTTTTCAGGACATGCGTCCGCAGTAGCTCGGCCAAATGATCAAGCATCTTACGGCGAGCGATATATATTTCTCTCTCGTAAGGCGTCAATGCATGATAAGGCGTGTGAGCTATCCTTCTATCCTACACATAAAGAGAAACAATTGATATTGGAGAAATTATGGCGACTCTGTGTTTCGTATTTTCCAACTCAGGTTAGATTTTCTTTGCAGGCAAACAATATATCGATCAGAAAATGGACAGTGAAAAATTTTATATGCATGGTAACCTGAAGAAAGACATTGTACGCGTAATCCACCACAGTACCAGGAGGATGATCATTGTTGATAACTATTGGAGCCAGTATATTTGCACCACTTCTTATTAATTTGTTTACCTACAAGAGATTTTAACCCACGAGGATGTCAACATATACATGTATAAATAAACAGGATTATTTTTTGTCTGTATTTTTCCATTTCTTTGCCCAATATTTGAACATGCAACCTTGGTACATGATAAAACGTATAGTTATGCATGAGAATCTATAACACTAGTTGTGGTCACGTGTTTACATGATATATAAGCATGTACATATAGTATTATATACCTACCAAACGCATACGGTCGACAATTTTTCGTCGCTTTTCAGCAGTAAACGAGACTGCCGCACACAGAGATGAGCCTACCCCGTTTGTTAAGGATAGACTCGGATCTGCGTTTTGTTTGAGCAGAGTATCTACAGCCTACAGTATATAAATAATTTGCATTATGAAGTCTTGATTGAACATGATGCACAATGTGTACTTATGGCCCCATACATTACATGGACATGTCTTTATAATTCGACATAAACATGCATGGTCTGGTAAAACTTGTGAAAAACAACTGGAATTATAAATGTGAATATTTGAAAAAAATGGTCAAGTATACGGCTTTTAAATAAAAGAACTTATGTATATACTTTAAAAACGAGCACAATGCTGGAAAAAGAGGTGAAGATCCTATAGTGTAAGAATCGTGCTCGTGAATATAGCAATTCTAATTTCTATAATCCTGCCCTTTCTCGTGGGTCGTTTTGGGGGTATCCGGGTTATGTTCAAAGGAAGGCACCAATTAGCAAATGTTCCCCGGGCCCTTAATCTTGCGTCCGGCATAAAATATTTGGTGTACCGTACTAACCAAGTCATTTCCACTTGCAATTACCAATGACAATGCTGAATGACCATTACAAAGTAAGTTAGGATCAGCTTTATAATCCAGTAGTAGACTTATCACAGTATTTGAATCCTACAAAGAGGTAGTATTTAAGTATAGTTAGATAGTATAGATAAATTAGATAGTTTATATATATATATATATATATATATATATATATATATATATATATATATATATATATATATATATATATATATATAAATTATTCGCTGTACCCCAAAACCCATATGTGGCATACCTCGTCGTTATCTTCTCTGCAGCATGCCGTATGTAAGGCAGTTCGACCGTCTTCAGCGTCCCCAAAAGCGAAATCTCTTAAATTTGGATTAGCTCCAGCCTCGAGCAACAGTTTAGTTATAGAAACAGCATCAGAGGGCAAAGCAGCAGCAATATGTAGTGGCGTTATACCAAGTTTCTATTAAAAAAAGAAAAAAAATGATAATTTTTCTATTCTGTACATAATATATGGTATATGGTACGATCGACATATTGTATCGTCCTTTGTTGTGTTCATCGCATGTATTCTATAACTCTTGAGTGAAAGATTGAGCTTGAATTTTAATGTCCTGTTATATCTTTCCATTGTAAGAAAGGACTTTCATAATGATCAGTAATAATGAGTATGAGTGAGCTTTTTGAATACAGACATACGGCTTTTGGTGTTTTAATTACTTCTCATTTTCTCTAAATGATCTCATTTTCTTTTAAATAATAGCGAACCAAAATGGTCTGATTGTATATACATAAGGAATATACAGTTGTATGCAGTTCAAAATCAATATTACCTCTTTTGACAGTCTTGAATTTGGATTAGCGCCTTTCTGTAAAAGTAGTTTGACAGCAGGAGCATCTGCCGCTTTGATAGCAAAAAAGAGAACGGGCATTGGTAAAGATGATGCATTTGGATTTGCACCTCGCCTTAAAAGCAGCTGCACGGTTGCTTCTAAATGTGGACGCCTACAAAAATATAGACAACAGTTGAGCACGTCATTTTTTGAAATATACAGCATCACATAAACATGCTGTGCATGATATCAAGGAGGCAAGGACATTGTTTAACATGAAAAAATTTTTAATCAGGATTCTTGTGACTTATGCCTTTAATTAATTAGGAGAAATCATATAAATTAACGCCTCCTGTTTGAGGGCCGCCCAAAGGTACACTGTATGCAATATATCAGAACTCACCTTTGTTGAGTAAGTAGCTTTTGCCTGTTCTGTTCCACACTTTTTAGACTATCGTCATCGTTTATTGTGTTTGCAGTTTGCAGGGAGCTGCTTATTGCATTTTGTATGCTATACTGCACAGACTCTAGCGTATCAGGTGCAGCAATGTTTACTTTGGGAAGATCAACATCCTTCCGTTCAGCAGCATTTTTATCCTCAGTTAAATTGCACTGATTCCCATCTTGGTAATAAGGATCAGAAAATGTCCCCTCATTGCTAGAATCGATATTATCGTAATAGATGGATGAATCTCGGTTTGATCTGGCGGAAGCTGCCCTGTGCAGAAAAACGTGAATGAACGCGTTCTTATCGACAATTTCTGATTGTTGAACTAAAGACTCTTTGATACTTAAAGAACCTTGCTGAGACGACAACTTGGCTTTTTCGTCTGTGTGTGTGTCCCCCTTGTTCTCTATCACCGACGCAGTCACTTCAGACTGTTTTCTCGGGTTTTTTGAGTTTGAATTCGACTTTACATCAGTTATGTTAATTATTGATTTTTCTTCTTCGACTCCAACCCAATGCGCAACGCTCATGTCAGTTTGACTAATGTCAGTTTGACTTGGTTCAATCCCATTTCTTTTTAAATAATACAAAGATTGCGGTTCGCTAGGAATATGATAATCAACGCGACCCATATTAGAAGTATAAACGCCATTCATTTTGTGTTCCTCTTTAGGTTCATCTTCGCCCGTGTTTTGGGATTTTCTCTGACTGTAAGGTTGGCTAAGATTCTTAATATGCTCTTCAGGGTCTAAAGCAACGGTATTACCTACGTTTGAACTTACCACGTTGTTACTTTTGTTCGTTAAATTTTGGTCAATTTTTTCAAGCAATAAATTACCAACCACATTCTCACGGTTCGACTCATACTTTGTTTCGACATGTGATTGAGAACACACTTTGGTTTCATTAATTTTAGAACGTGTTTTCTTTTGATAGTAAATAGGCTTTCTCTGAACAAATGTCCCATTTTGGGCATTCCAATAAACGCTGTTAAATAGATTTTCTTCTGCCAACGTTTCACCTATGTTATCTTTCCACGTGTGTTTCGTATAAAATAGCACGTGACAAGCGGCAAGTGCTGAAAGCCCCTCGTAATTGAGTTTATTCACGTCCGCACCATAGTCCAAGAGACAGTTGATTACATCTTTGTGACAATTTACCTAATTATTAATTGAAAATAAATAACACCAATTACATATAGCTAATAGTTTAGGAAATGGAGTGTTAAATATAATCCAATGTGTTCCCGTCCAATATTCTTTTGTATACCTCCCCATGCATGTTTGGAAGCTTAAAATAACAATCAAAATAATAAAAAAGCGCAAACACTTACCGAAGCGGCAAGAAGGGCGGTAAAGCCAGTTTTATCAGCCACATCAACGTGAACTAATCCTTGTTCCAACAACCTAATTAATCGTATACAATCTCCTTTGCCGGAAACTTCTAAAAATTCTTCGCCAGCTAACTCACAAGGACCTTTGGGACCGTGGGATGGATGTTTAACGCCATCCAGTATATCGACTAGTGAGAAAGTTTGCGGTACTCGGCTCTTGAAGGGCAGCAAATGATTACTGTTTCCATCATTAACACATTTAAGAGTTCGGTCTCTCTCTTGGATTTCATTAATCGTTCTGGCCTCAGCTAGGGCGGAGTTTGCTCTTCTCACTCTCAATGGTACGTTCTCGCCAGCATTCACAAAGTAATCAGAAAAATGTTGAAAGAGGAAAGTGTTTTCCATAACATGACAGAGCCTGATAAGTTTTTCCCCTAGCCATATGCCGACGTCTTGTCGACCATCACGATACGACAAAATTCCGGCGCCGTTACGTTCATTATTTTTGTATAATCCCTATAGCAAAACGAAACGTATAATATTTCAAAGAAAAAAGGCTATATATATCTATAAATACAATATATTCCAATTAGTTCATGGATGCAATCTAGATTTAGCTTTTCCAACAACTGGTTATGCATTGAACCGTTTATAACTAGCAAAAACGTGGAGGTTTTATAAAACTGAGCGAAAGCTTATTTTCAGTTAGACAACAATATAACTGTTAATTAAAACACATGCCTTCCAAATACCAGCACTTTACATGTGACAGATAAGCTATATAGGCAAATATAGAATACCTCGAATCTTTTCAAATCAGGGAAATAGAAACACCCAAATCCCTCTTTCAGATCATTGTAGAATTGTCCCACATATCGAGTTCCATTTGGCCAATAATATGTTCCATTTCCATGTCGTTTATCCCCAAGAAATGTCCCTTCATATATCTAAAATTATTCATCATAAAAAGAAGGCTCACCTTAATTCTTTGACAAGGTTTTTATAGTGGAAAGCAGGATGCATGCATTGCTTTAATAATGCGGTATGTGCATGCAAGAATAATTTTATTTGAAACCTTGGAACAAGTTTGTTAATAATATTAACCACTCAAATTGGGAGAGGTATGCCTTAACTCTTTACCTATAATACTAGCTAGTAATATCATTTGGGATTATAATGGTACCATGCAAGACTTAATTGGCAAGAATATATATATATATATATATATATATATATATATATATTAATATATATATATATATATTATTACCTATACATTTATAGTGCCTGGTTGAAAGCAATTGCACAGATTATTATTTTGTATTTTTAATAAAAGGTGATGTTCAGAGGTAATGTAAACACTCAGGAAATGACCTGTATATCCCATACAATATGGTACAACTATCAACCCATATATAAGAAGATGTGGCATAGCTTCTTTGAGTCTTAAAAGTACTAGTTTTCTTTCTTGACATACAATGTAAAGTGATGATTAGATGAGAAAGGGAGTCTTTTTCTGTCAGTGTTCTTGCCTATATATATTTATCAGTGAACGTCGGAGAATATATTCGGTTTTATTTATAGGAGCTTGGTAAAATGTTATTATTTATTAAAGGCTAATTTTTAATTATTCACATCGACATATTGTGTTGAGGTTATTCATACTGCGTCGCCATGATTTCATAAAGTTATATATTAAACTATTGTATTCCAATAATTATATTCTGATACTACAAACATAATTTCCCAAACACTCGAACATAAACAAGGTAATTTACCTCCCCATTAAACCACGTGTGTCGACCATAACCTTCTCGTACGTCCTGCCGAAACTGTCCTTGATAAGACGATCCATCCGGCCATTCTTGTCTCCCCTCTCCGTGTCTCTTATTGTCGATAAACTCGCCTTCATAGCACGCTCCATTCGACCACCGGAACAGACCATGACCACTGCGATTCTGAGCTTTGTAGCTTCCTTCGTGGAACGCATCGCTTGGGTAGGTTTGCCTGATCTTACTTGAATCGAGCTTGTACAGTCGTCGATCAAATGTTCGAGAAAATTTGTTGTTCATTGCTCTTTTTAATGGCCATGCCAAGAAATTACATGAAATAATCGACGATATGAAATCAACAAATTGTTCAAACTCGGTATTAATGTGGTACACAATTTTCACGTTACCATATCGACGCAAGCTCACAAAAGCTCACAGCAAATAAAGGAAACAAATAGCGCCCCATTGGCCAATCAGAGAACAGCTTTGAAATCGCGCCAAATAAGAACGGCAAACATAATTATACAACTGTTTACAAGCAATTGTTTGAAAGGATTGAAGAAGTAAAAAAGCAAAATCTTAATTTTGATAGTTGTCCAATGTATGGCGTGCCATAACTGATCGGCTTTGTAAGCCTATACTACACCGACGAACCGACGCTTGTATTTGTGCAAGCCTTTAAACATTTTTTGACGCATGCGTGTTTCATCCACACCTAACTAAAGCCAGCCGTCTTATATCATAATTATCCAATTTGGATATCCCTTAAACCATAAAATTAAGGCAAACCAAACCTGACAAACGTATATCGAGAAGTATAAGCGTTAGTCGAGAACTACATACACCAGCAGTACAATATGCGTGGTGATAAATTCTTGTGTTACTTTAACCTTTTTCTGCAGTTACACCCACGATACAGGCGGTACAGCTTTTTTAAATTTGGGTGTATCAGCAAACCCACTTTACCAAGGTATAGTATTCCTTGACCAGTTTGGTTTTCCCGGCTTGTACGGCCCCCTTGGCTTCCTATGGAGGGGCTAATGCCTGTCACGTCAAGCATCTGAAATGCATTTAATAGTTGTGACAGGAATATACTGAAGAAAATATTGTAGAAGCATGATTTGAAGCTATTTCGACCACGCAATGCATCATGAATACCTTGAAAGACGTTACTATCGCCAAAATCAACTAGTTTACATCTACGAAAAATTACTGAAGATTGCAAACTCACCGTAATTCAACCGAAACCATAAATATAAAGGTCAACCTAGCTATAGTACAATGCAAGTGTACGTTACCAAATGCTCCTTAAAATCTAGAAGTGATAGTATATGCAATTAAAAGAATCGAAATGCAAGGAACTTCGCATTATCACATATGTTTCTCAGCTGCGAACGCAGAGTTAGATCCTATCATTACCGTAAAAAAAAAGAAATAAATGTGGTCTGCCAGTGTGCAAAATTTTCGGTTCAACCATCTCCGATAATTTAAGTGGCATAAACAAACGAAAAACAGTTACGTATAACTGCTTAATAGTATTATACGTAAATCAATAATGAGTATACTTGTTGTCCCAACGATAACGGAATCGATGGGAAAGCCGTGCAGGGAGTTATATACTAATATAGTTCCAAAGCAAATTATACTATACGTTTCTCATATATTATAAGTAGTTCTAAACTAACCCTTTTGTCCAGTTTGGTTTGCCATAGAAAAAAATGCCGGAATTTCGATTAGTCATTTATTTAAAAACCGACTTTTTGCTACAGCAATGTGATTTTTGAATTATGTTTTCTGACGTCCAGCTGTAATTATGGTTGCCAGTAAATACCATATTATGTCAAATCTATTTTTATATTAAATGTAAAGCCATAAAATGATCTGAATAATAGTTATAGCTACTCTAACAGTAACAGACGCTGGGATAGCAGAGTTTCGGTTTAGTTTAAAGACTAAATCAGAATTTTAGCGCGCAAAGCATGCGGATCACAGTGACACTGATGTCTAACCATGCAGCAAGATGAAACAAAAACCCAACTGAGGACAAGGATGCGCAAATTCGACGACGTTGCGTTCAGACTTTATCATTTTAATGAACAACAACAATGCAATAAAAAAAATCATTTTGCATTGGGATGTATATGAAAGCTAGATCACTTTAGATGCTATATATCAAGAACTAAAACATATTTTCTTACGTTCAATGCACTGAAGTGTTCTGAATATTTTTAAGCTAAGTGTTATGCAAAATCGCTAAATTAGTATACAATTCCAGTGCGATCTGTCACGATATTCATTCATTTTTCATCACCAAAGAACAGACGGTGGTGACGGTGGTGACGGTGGTGGCGGTGGTGACGGTGGTGATGTCGTCCCCAAAACCAATGGCCCCAATAATGCCGCCTAGGTGGAGCAGTAACCTTTATGCTGGCCTTTTGATTCCTGTTTGTAAAGTTGTTGTTACGGGAGCACATATAGTAATACTGGCCGGAATTAAGACGTAAGAGTAATCCAGTCCAAGAAGGTGGAAAGCAGTCCAGCTGTTGTGCTTGCTGAGCGTTACAATTTCCAAACTGAAATGGATTGGGCACGTCTTGAGCACGCTTAAAACGACCGGCTGTTGCCATCGCAGTTGCTATGTCAGCACCAGTTTTTGTTTGGGTAAAGTCGTCTGTGTTGGGTGCGTCGATGACAGTTGCTCGGTCAAATAATGTGCCTGCAGTTTATAAATAGTATAAATCATTTTAATGTGGCCTAAAATCCAATCCAAAGATCGTAAAATCATTGATCTCATTCCCACCCAAATGCAACCTAATGCTGAATTAAGTTTATAATTGTCCAGTTCATTGCTTGTTACAGAGGTCTATATTGATCCGTAATCCATACCTGTGGTATCTTCTAATGGGTAGCTTAAGTCAGGCTTTTTCATTGCCACCAAATTATTTCTGTCTGTCTCTGTCAGTGTGAAAAAGATGTGCAAAATTGTACTGTACAACCAAGGGAGACTTTAAAAAGATATGTGCCCGCTAAATTGCTAATAAAAGCATTGACTGAATTTAACATGATACAACTTACGGTCACGCCCTTCGCCAGCGTTTCCTGCTGGATTATTATTAGAGCCTGTTAAAGGGAATCAGAATTTTTTAGTAAAAAGAATCAGCAGTAAATGCGCATGCAAGAGGAATTATGATATCTATTTGTTTTGAGTCTCAAATGCCGCCTGTTTGAATTGAGAAATGGTTATTGCAATTCAATCATTGTGGTGTAAGCCGTTTTTGTTTGCCAGGCTAATGTAAGCTAAGGCTTTGTTAGTTGTCCTCTAGCACGTAGAACTTACCAGCAAACTGTACGTGGACGTAATCTGTAGACCTCATTGTTAGGTCCTTAGGGGTAAAGTCGTATTCAACAGCAGGGTAAGCTTGAACAATATTTCCACGTTTCCCCCTAACGTTAAGGTTTAGGATGCGCTGATTTTTAAACTTATTTTTCCTGGGTATGAGTTTAAAAATGTGCGATCGGTCCTGGAAAACACGACCAAACTGAGCCGTGTTGATTGCAAGCTGTAGTGTAACTTTGTTGTTCCCTCCTTTTCCAACATTGACATCTGGGTCGTTTGAAATAACGTCGTTGCTATGGGTGGAATATATGATTAAGTATAGTATATGCATTAAAGCGAGTTTTCTCTGAGCAGCAAACATTTCAAACATGATTCTATACTATCACCCTTTATTCCAATTATATTTGGTTAAAGTTATAGCTTTGTTCTTAAAGGCCTGTACTTGTTTTCCCATACATGAACTAGAATCACACTCTAAACAGCACGAACAAAAGGAGCTTGTAGTTATTTTGTTGCAATAAAGTATTTCCTTTTCCATGTTGATGTTAACAATAAAATATTGCATCTAATGTCCCGCAGGGCGTGAACCTTTACAAAATATTCTGCATGTTAATTCTACATATAGTTAAATAAACTTTACACATACGAATGCAGATTGCCCATTATATACGTACTTGTTATTTGAAGAAGCGAATGTTTTGCTTGTATCGTAGTCGTTGGTGGAGATATTATATCTACAAGTAATTTATACCTTTCATTGAGAATGGTGATGGACCAGAACATTATAATTTCTTGTGAAATCTCTAGAAATAGCATCGTCCAGCTCTTTCTCCACCGGTTTATAGACTGATAATGGAATAGTTCTATCCGTGAAGCAACCGTTAACTCCATTGCGTATCAGTGTGCCTAGAAATGGTCGATATTCATCTTTCTACCTACTGAACTATGTTTGAAGATCAGTGCCACATCTAGCCAATCATAACACTAAATCAAAAGTACGTTTAACCTTGCCACTAATGCGTATTTTCACCAGTTTTTTAACTAAAGTAAAAACTTCATCACGCACCTAGCACGGAGTACACATCGTTGCTCCTGTCCGGAGGGAAAATATGGAAGTTCCCATTCGAATGTTACCGGAAGAACCTTTTCCCCGTTTCCAAGGTGATTAGTACGCGTTTTAGGTGCCACTTTACAAACTGGGCGTGGCAACCTCACCAGGCACTTTTTCCACTGTTCCGGATCTTGTCCTTGCAGTTGATCAAGATCTTCAGAGCGATATGGTATTCCCCAAAAATATCTATATCCCATGAGTCGACATTGAGCTTTTGTTTTTCCAGGAACAATCTCCAAGTAGTTATCAAAGTTCACCCATTTTCCTCCAGCACCTTCACAGGCAGCTTTGTTATTGTGTTTTGAAGCATGACGATTTCTTTTGGCATTCGGATAACTTTCCATACATTCACCTGACGTTAATATAAAAATAGAAACGATTCATTATAGATGTTCATATTACAAGGACGCCTTGAAAGGACGAACAGACAGACAGACAGTTTATATTTTCACCTTTTGATCTTGTATTAAAACTTTCTGTACGGTAGTTGTAACAATCAGATACTCTATTGGCAAGCACGACAATATCTATCCAATCGGACGGATGCCAGTATGGATAATAGTCACGTTCTTCGGGACATTCGTAACCAGACTGGCCACCATTAGCGTTTTGTCTGGTGTATTTAGAAGTATCTCCTTGCAAATTTTGATCCGCGGTAAATAATCCTTTTAACACAAAGTGAAAAATAAATTCAGAAATATTGAAAATGACTAATATAGAAAATACCGTGAGTGAATTTAATTACATCGCACATACAGCATGATTTCTTAATTGTTCATAAAGTATTACCGACTTACCCTTATTTCGTTCGCGTGTATTGCATTTATCATACCATTCCCAAGGTTCGTTGAGGGCTCGGTCCCCTCCAGCATCAGCTTTAACAGCCTTCACTTTATCTGAATACGCGTTAAATGGCCCTTTGTTATTATGGGCGGGGGTTTCCGTTGATTTGCCTAAAAATTGTAAAAAAAATTAATCATAAACCCTTTTATTATCCTGATTTATTTTTTAGCGATACTTTGAAAATGAGCAACTGCGATGCTACTTCATCCAAAACGAATTAATGCCCGAAGTCAGCCGCTTCCCTAACGGTTCAGAGTTGCCAAATTCTAGATAAGTTTTGAGTTTTGCGCATGCTCGTCAAGTCATGTGACACAAAGTATTGATTACAATGCGAAATCGTTAATCTAAGACTATTGCAAAGTTGCCAATCGTCTCACCATTCCTCATTACTTTATGTTTCTCTGTGATAGTCGTTGGTTGACATTTGTATTGCAGAACAATGTTGCAGTTAAGATCTCCGTGCCCACAACCATGTTGGTTTGTCCACTCGATTGGCAAGATAGTCTTTCCTGTTAGTGGCCCGCTCATGTAGTAAGTCTAAATCAGAGTTTAAAAATTGTACTTTGACAAGTATTCAAATCTGTTTCTCACAGAACATTAGTTAACACTTTTGTGAAGTAAAGTAGAATTCTGGAGCCAGTTGTTCAAGGCTAGGTTAGCGCTAACCGTTGCCGGGGTTAAATTTTAATCCAGTGTTTTAGTTTATTTAGCCTAGCTTACTTCTTTCACGCGATATCCTCCCCCCCCCCCCTCCCACTGACAAAGTTGAATCAGTTCGGTAAGCAAAGGCAGGCAACGCGACAAGCCATCCAACAATGATTATTCGGGAGGGGGTGGAATAAGGGGGAAAACGCTCGCTTTAAAATGAATGACCCCAATATCTTGATTTCGTTGATTTTTATTAACAGTTTTGTCTATGATTGTAGTTAGATATTAAATAACGTCAAAGGTGGTTAAGGCCTAGTACCATTCCCATCTCCCCGCAGCAGTTAAGTCTCGATGCCCTAGCATTTAAATTATACTAAAAAAATTTTTTAAGAAAAAAAAGTAGATTTTTTTGTATTACCATATGAAACCAGTCTGTTGAACCTTTTTGCTCGTTCTTCTCAGCGACATTATAGCCTCCCTTTGCATTATTCTATAATCAGTGAATCACGCAGTAGAAAAATTAAGGTCCATGTATACCACAACACGGTATTTAATAGTACGCCTCTATACCTGTAAATCGAGGTACTGAGGTAGCTGTATACATGTGTGTAACTAATTTCAAACTGCATGAAATGAGCTCAAATACCGAGTTTCAAAATAGATACAGACTAAGCAAACTTTGTTATTCTTATTGCTTACGAATTTATTGGATAATTTGTGTTTGCACGTTTCAGTCACAGTCCAGCTATTTAGCCCTTTCATTTCCACACATGACTAAATTTGTCACACTCAAAGTCAGTTGGAAAGTTATCTGCGGTAACACAGACACAATTACACAAACTGAAATGTCAGTGTAAATTTTGTATGCTCTGCTTGTCTTGCTATGGTATATAACTATTATTATAGTACTCCGCTGTCTTCTTTACAAATCCTGCGCACGCATGTGAACCGATGATATTACAAGTTCGTTTTGTATTTGGCTTTATTCAGGTTAGGTTAATTCGCGAGGTCGCAAAATCTACAGATTATAATTATTGAACCACACACCAAAGCTATATGATTAGTTAGCAAAAAGTAAGGATACGTACCTGAGAGTCAAAGACCCTGTTGTTATTTTGACGATTTGCATCCTCTCCATTTAGTCGGTTGTTTGAACCTCTAGGAGTATGCAAAAAGAAATCAGCAAAGGTATGGTGAAAAATTACTGTATAGAGCAACCACCAAAGATATGATCTATGCATTTCTGATTTCAAGTTTTGATCTTCCGCCGTTCTAGAGTTGAGTTAATTCCTTGACACTTCTGCCACACTTCGCTGAAATTTCGAATATCATGCATATTATATAGGCTATATGTATATAGGCTACCTGACACCTTTTTGTTCAGTTTGACCCGCCTTTATACTTTCCAGAGACAACAGTTAGTACAAGAAAATGGTATAATCAATATTTATGGAGCATACGCTTGTCGGCCTGGACGTCGCCAGGTTCACTTGTTAAGAACCCTTAATGTCCGCACGTACAAGTTTACTTATCACTCACATAAAAATAGCTACGAATCAAAATGCAATTGTGTTGTGATGTTGATATTACCCATGCATGCAGGCAAATATAGCTGGACAGCAAAGACAGAGCGACCACGGTCTCACACGGTTTCACAAAATTATGTAAGAATTATTGTCTCAGTTCAAATATATATTTTACCCTCAGAAATCACTTTTTATAAACAGGCCTACTAGTCTTTAAAAAGTAAAGTTCAGTATCCTGACCCAACACTAACAGGCTAAGTCTCCCAAATTTCGAAATGCATGCATTACTAGCTATATACCGAATCAATTTTTACTCAATTCCTTAAACAGCTCTAAGCTGCATCATTCAAATGGATTTTACCTTTCGTTTTCGTGCATAATGTATAAATAAATTCACTTTTGCAAATGAAATAACATTCTGTACTTTGAAGCTTAATTAAGTATCCTCGTCAATTTGCCACCACGTCATTGAAGATACGTTCTGGCCCTCTTTTAAGATTTTTTGCGTGGAGGGGGGGGGGCAATTTCCAAAGAGGGACCTTTGCCTCAATTAGAAATAACAGGGGTGGCGCCAGGAATTCCCCGACACAGGGGCTAAGTTCCCCGACAGGGGGGCTGGAGGCTGAGCTCCTGGTTGTCTTTAACGTGTAATTGTAGGAAAGTAAGGAAACACAGTTTTCGGTTTATTGCTACAATCCCATGCCTTAGATTTGGAGCCTATTTGGCACCGAGCGAGAAAATTTTTGAAATTTGATTGCTCTAGGTCTTTGGAAATTAGCATTTCAGAGTCTTATCACGGACTTTTTCATGAAAATTTTTATGCTGCAAACCATGTACAATGTAAAATACAAAGTTAATAAATTTTGAGGACGTTTATCTGTTTTATTTGGGAGAAATAAGAACAATAGAGGGCGACTTAATATATCTCCCGTTCATTCCCCGACGAATTGTAAAATTTTCCCCGACACATAATGACGTCTGCAAAATGAACTTTGAGCTAATATTAATATATTTGATTTGAATTACTGGAATAATTTTGAATTTACTTCAATCCTTTGCTCACTTCATCCGGCTGGGATATTTTTAAGATAAAAAGTAGTGCGCTAAAACCAGCTTATATGTTAAAAGAGGCCCTGTTATAACATCTCTAAGATAGATTGTTCTGTATGTGAATTATGTTATGTTGTCTGGTTAACATCTCTAAGATATAGATTGTTCTGTATGTGAATTATGTATATGCTGTCTGGTTAACATCTCTAAGATATAGATTGTTCTGTATGTGAATAATGTTATGTTGTCTGGTTAACATCTCTAAGATACATCTCTGATTACAAATTTACAATACTCGTCAAAATAAAACATGATGTGAAGTGTAAAAACGCCAGAACCAGAGTCACAACAACAAAAGAAAAATTAAAAAATCCGGAAATGTAAAGAATTCAAAAAATTCCAGTTTTAAGTGGTGAAATAGAAAAAAAAAGTTTCTACCACTTATCAATTAAATCCTTTGCGTATTACATAACTAGTTGACATATTGCAACTCCATGTTTTTCATACATTCCATTATCTAATTAAAGAAGAGGGGTGTGGCTTTGCGCATCGGTTGATTCTGTTCTGCTTACAACAAAGAATTCGCTAATTGATTTAAAATCGCTAAAATTTGGCATTCTCAAATTTACCCCACCTTCATATTAGCAACGTAAGGTACACTTTGTTCTTCTTCCGATCTTCTATAACAGACACGCATGCCGATATTATACCGCCTGTATCATAGTACTCCTAAATTTAAAGCTGTTTAAATCTTTGATTTAAAGATGTAAGTTCTCAGTGTCAATCATTGGAAAGATTGTGGACGAAAATTCATATTCATATTCTATCTTATCTCCCAATCCCATTATAAACATTACTATAAGGTTGTATTACTATAAGGCATAATTACACATTATGCATGCATAATATATAAGGTGTATTGGGATAAAAGCCTAAAATGCATAATCGCGTGTCATCAATTAACGTTTTAACCTTTACTGATTTGACAAAGAGGCTGTTTTGAGAGAGAAATTGAGTCAATTGACAAGGAAAATTAAAAATGATGCATAACTAACGTCTAACAACTACGTTCAACGTTCAACTCGTCTTGAAATCCGGATTGTTTGGCAAAGCTTAAATGCTGCTCTTCTTTGCAGTTCTGCCATGCTTTCTCAACTGTTCATCTACCACTAAGGCAAACGCTTTGAATTTAAAATAATATTAAATGAACAATTAAGTGACAGACTCAGCGCTTTTGAGTGATGGTTGTATTTACAAAGACGGTCATGACTAAGGAACGCGTCTGCCAATAAACTAGAGATAAAACGTGCCGAAAAGAAACAAGAAAGCATTTGAATGAGCATATTTAGGTATGCTCTCTGTTTCGGTAAGACCCGTGCAACATTAAGGAATAATTATTTAGAATAATTATAACAGACGAAATGCAATATTTATAATATGCAACACGAGAATGCATGCAATATTTGATACAGTAGAATAATAGTAATAATATGATATTATATATACATATACATTATTAGACCTTGTAAGGGCTAGTTTCCACTTAAGAAAATTCTCCTTTGGATCGGACAGGACAGGAGAGTTTCCTTTGTATAAACGCCGCTTGAGAACTCACCAAAAAAAAAATATATATATATATATATATATATATATATATATATATATATATATATATATATATTATATATATATATATATATATATATATATATATATATATATATATATATATATGAGGTATATTGAGGTATATTGAGGTATATATTAAAAGGTGTGCAAAGGTAAATGCCACTTCCAAATATGTATATAAGATTTCACCAATATTTTTCTCCTTTAACTCATCAGAAGATAAGAAACAGACTTTAGCTCATATTCATTTTACTGAAACCATAGCGAACCAATAGTGTGTGAGAATCGTCGATCATCATTTCAAAAAAATATCATCATGCACAGCTCAAAATTTAAACAAGAAATTTGCATGTTTACATTACGACTGGCTATCACCTCAAAAATAAGATTGACGATAATTTATTTGACTTATAGTAAAATCAATGAAATTGACTTACAAAGTATGCGTATGGATAAACGACCAGGCACAGTCTACCATACTTCTATCAGTTACCTGCACCGTGAACGAACGAGTAGCCTCATGAGGCGTAGCCACTATCGGTAATTGGGGGGGGGGGTTATATTCATGTTAACAGACTGTAAAGACAATTGATTTGAAGGAACATACCACGAATATATGAATATATCCATATCAAAATAACGATATACTTGAATGCAGAGTTCTTTAAACACTCTAACATATCAGTAATCTGCATGTTTGTAGTAAAATTCAACGGACCCGTAACAGGACCGGTCTGACAGTTATATACCGTATAATGAAAGGGACCCCTGCGAATACACGTCCCACAGTTCTTTGCCTGTGGATTGACATTAACATTATTCTTAATGGTATTGATAACATCCATTAATAATAATACACCATTAATACATTGACCCCACCACTTTCGAGTGGCGACTTAGCCCCCGCTAAAACACGCATTGGTATGTTTAATCCTACATGACCATGCATGCGTGCGTTAATTCTTTGAGGATCCTCAAAAATTTGGTCTTGGCAAAGAAGCCTTGTCTTTGACAAAAATTTTTCCTTGGTAGACTCTCAATCAGTGGTAGGTTCTTAGTCATTAGAATGCAATCTTCTCTTTTAGTGTTTAGACGAATGCTGAAGAGAGTTTGTACCTTTTTTTTCCCAGCACATTTTGAATGTCTTTAACATAAATAAGCCCTGTGTTTATTAGTGACATTAATGAAGATCGTCGGAGAGGACAGGCTAAGCGGATAGAGGAATTCACCTCGAGAGGCAATTTTTAACGTGTGCGGATGGTTTATATCCTTCCTTCAAATCGTCATGTTTGAAAAATTGTGCCATAACGATGTATAAAAAACGTCATTGCGGTGCAAAAGTGTAGTAATACTTATGTACTGTAAAATCTGTGGGACTTCTTGATTAAAGTACGGTGAACATGCAGTGATGCACATATGGAAAATACTGCAGAAACGCGGACGGTCATTGATCTTCATCTGATCATTCCGGATTCTTTGGTATCCATAGAAATTAATTTCTTGCAAACACTCACATTTTTTACAGCCTGACATATGAAAGACACTAATTTTTTGACCTGTCTATTTGCAAAACAAATGGAAAAATAATGAACTTTGTAAATGATGATAGCTGCATGTTTTATAGGTTTCGCGTTGGTGAAAAAAGCACTAGAGTGTCAAAGTGAATTGGGGTCGAAATTAAACACAGAGATAAATGGCAGACATGCAGTAACCATGCTGAGGTGCATGATTACTTACGTTTGAGCAAATATAACAAATGTATTGTTTTAGTAATCCATTACGAAAGCCATGTAGTTTTCATTAAGGTCCCGAGCATTCATACTCCGCTATATATATAATCTGCACTTGATTACACTTGATTTCAAGACATTTTGCCCTGACATGGAATTTATTGATTTGTGATATGTTTATTGCAGCGTCCGAGCATAGTTATCATATATATCCCACTATAATAACTATGGTCCGAGCGAGCGTCTAGCTTGCATGGCGAACTCTTGGAGAACTCATTATATTACTCCCATGCATCACACCATTCTTGAACTCCAGTAACTTTGTTATTCCTCGACAAGGTTGACAAGCGTCTTCAATAATTCTGACGGTGCGTGATTAAGTGACGAATTTGAAAATAACAAGACGCCTGTTTTGGCGAACGTTCCAGTCTTCAATATAAAGCTTCTGAACATAAACAATACAGTTCATACTCATTTAGATGCCTTGTTTAAGACGTTTTGTTTAAGAGAAATAAATGTAGAACAATTAATGTTTGCTGCAGTATGTCATTTGGCGCAAGAGGACAATTGGTGGTACTGACAGGCATTCACGTGCTAAGTTCCCTTCAGCAGTCGTTTCGAAGTTTAGTAGATACATGTACGAAAAGAAATAATTTTTTGCGCAATGGTAACGAAGTTAATTTGGGTATATATTGCGGCAAAAACTCTCGCTCTCTTCGACCATAAGACTAAGTTCTAAACTAAGTTCTCACTTGGCAGATCCGCGCTGTTAGCTACTCTAAAACAGATATTAATATGTTAAGATATTTCGATATTTTCAATTTTATAAATATGTAAATGACCTTTTAGTGGTGTACCACCTAAAGAAAAATTACGCAGATGCGGCGCTCAATCGGGGGCGGTGCTTAGGCGAGTAAATACGGTAAGTGCCCATTAACTAAAAGTGCTGACGACAAGAAGAGACTACCTCTGGAATTCTAAAAAGCTGTATAGTCATATTCTTGGCAAAGGCAAGAATCACATCGGCGCAGAAAGAGTGCAGAGGCTTAAATTAAACTCTATATTAGTAATAGCACTACTTCAATTGAAGTTAGTATTAAATTAAGAGAATATTGATGGAATATCGGCGATATCGGTTTTCTATGTTTAATAGTCAAATTGATAGCGTCTCCATGCTCATTGATAATACAATCGATCTATATTTTCATACGAAAAAAGAAAATTTAATTAGCTAGAATAGCTTAATGTTGTGCGGAATACAGACAATTTGTGTTGAAAATTTAGGACTAGTGCAAAATCAACAAATGGAATGGGATATACAATTCCGTGTTTACAATATTCAATTATTTGTTCATCACCGAAGTGGGAAAAGTTCCAGTGAAGTGTCAGTGCTATTAAGGTTTAAGTTCTAACTCTAATGCTGGCCTTCTGATTTCTGTTCGAGAAGTTGTTGTTTCGGGTGCACATGTAGTAATACCTGCCAGGGCTAAGACGCAAGAGCAATCCAGTCCAAGAAGGTGGAACGCAGTCCAGCTGTTGTGCTTGCTGAGCGTTACAATTTCCAAACTGAAATGGATTGGGCACGTCTTGAGCACGCTTGAAACGACCGGCGGTTGCCATTGCAGTTACTATGTCAGCACCAGTTTCTGTGTTGGCTAAGTCGTCTGGGTCGGGTGCGTCGATGACAGTTGCTCGGTCAAATAATGTATCTGCAGTTTATTAATTAATATCATGATTATATGTCTCTTAATTTTTTTCAATCGAACTCTATACAAGTGAAAAGGACGAAGAGGTATGATATATCCTGCTGACGAATATGTCAACACTTTACGACTACGGCATAATTATGCATGCATGCATGGACCTGTGTATTCCGTACCTGCGGTATCTTCTAATGGGTAGCTTAGGCCAGGCCTTCTCATTGCTACAAAGTTGTTTCTGTCCGTTTCTGTTTGAAATAAGCAATGCAAAATTAATTTCATTATACGGATACATAGATATTTATGGACATGCGCAGACTATGCACATAGGAATAAAAATCGTTCTTCACAAGAACAAAAAGCTGTTTTTGTCATATAAACGGGTTTTTATTTCATATTTTGTTCATTTCTTTAAAATCTCTGGGAACTGAACTTTCAAAAAAGTGTTCTAATTCCTTCTTCATCACTCCTAAGCAAACTGTCGGTCATTTTGTTGTTGCTCCTCAGCTCACCATATAGTTAACATTTATTCTGCGAACTCGAGTCGTATATGAGCTGATAGCCGACAAGGCGCGTAGCGCCGATATGGCTATCGGCCATATATACGACGAGAGTGATTGTGCTATTATCAACTAGGCTTGGATTTCTATTTCACTCAACTCCCCAAATCTTTCCGCCATTTTGTTTACTTTCTCTACTAGACCGATATGAGCTAATATCTGTCTAGTAGTCAACCAATGAAATTGCAGCATATAATTGCAGCGGACGCTTGTGTATATAAGAATAGCTGATATCTGGTGAGTATCTCGACCAATCAGCAAATTATATAAACCATTATATATACCATTATGAATACCAATACCTTAATTACGTGATTAACATTTATATAGCATGTACAGTCAATCAAGACTCTATACAGGGTGTCCCAAAAAAACGAAAACTTTTGTAATCACTCATTGTTAAAATTTGAATGCCGTGTGCACGAGTTTTAGCCCGTGGGGATTTAATGCAACTAAGTGAAATGCTAAATGCTTTGTGTTGCTAGAGAAAAGTGACATGTCGAAGGTCATGGTGATTGAGATGCACATTTAAATATTGTTAATAAATACCATTTTCGCGTACGAGCAAATTTTATTGCATCATATGCATGCATAAAAATGCTTATGGCAAACATTTACACACTTGTGGGTCCCAACAGAGTGCTTAGGCATTCAAACTCTAACAATTACATTGTTATGGGTGATTTCAATAGTTTTCGTTTTTTTTTGGGACACCCTGTAGAGCATCGCTTATAAATATAAAAAAATCTAACTTACGCCGACGTCCTTCGCCATCATTTCCACTTGGATTTTTGTTGGAGCCTGTTGAACCGAAGCACGGATTTCATGTAAAATACAGTTCTGCATGATGTACAAAGATGTCTATCTCATATGCAAAACGTATCCTAAGGCACCCGTCTGTGCTGGTATATGTGTCAATATATATATGTGTCAATATATAAACTTGTGAGTTGGAGATTGGATATCTTGATCTGAACTTGAACATTTCATGATAGTATAATGCCTCCAAATGTTGTCTGGTTCGTATGGCATTTAAATCGTGCGGATTAGTCTAATTTTTGTGCACCTAAGATGGCAAATTAAGAGAGGGCCAACAATGATGTATCAGTGAAAAATTGATGTCAGGTTATAGGTCTATGTGCCATGCAAAGGAAAAGTTTGAAACGTTTTGTGAATCAGGTTCGTATTCAATCAAATGAAGGTGAGCGTATTAGTATTAGTCATACAGACCTCATAACTTACCAGCAAACTGCATATGGACGTAATCTGTAGAACGTATTACTAGACTTTTAAAGGTGAAGTCGTATTCAACAGCTGGGTAAACTTGAACAATATTTCCACGCTTCCCCCTAACATTAAGATTAATGATGCGACCAGATTCGAAATGATCTTTTCTTGGTATCAATTTAAAAATGTGCGAACGATCTTGGAAAACGCGACCAAACTGAGCTGTGTTGATTGCAAGTTGTAGTGTAACTTTGTTGTCCCCCTCTTGTCCAACATTGACATCTGGGTCGTTTGAGATAACGTCATCACTAGAAGGGAATACAATTCATTAATATAGAGTAATAGACATAGATGCATGTGAATAAATATATATATATATATATATATATATATATATATATATATATATATATATATATATATATATATATATATATATATACCGCATACTATTTACCGTACTTTGGTATACTCTGTGTATATATGACTGCATGCATCATAGTACAAAAACATGTTATACACGTACTCGTTATTTGAAGAAGAGAACGTTTGATGTGGATTGTAGTCGTCAGTTGAGATATTATATCTACAAGTAAAATAAATTTCATAACTGCATAAATTTCATATTTATTCTTGTTTCGCAATACTTTGATAAAATCCCATATTTTATTACCGTATCGGTAAATCGGCTTAAATTGCAATTTGCAATATAATAACATTTTTTTATAAATATTATTATATAGCATCGAGTCCGGCAAGACCAAAATAGACCAAATTTTCCAAAAGAATGTCAGGAGCTGTTTACATCACCACGGTCATCTGAGATTCAACGAAGCGCGAGATGATTTTCAGGTTATAAAAAATACTTATATAGCCAAATAAGCACGAGATGACTATATACTATTGCCAGGATCATGTTGTATGCTGATTTCAATACATCACATTCATTTCACGCTTCGTGTAATCTTGGTCAAGCAGGACATGTAATCTGCTCCATCGAGCAAAGACGCCAAACACACACCTAATACGAAGTACGCATCGTTGCTCCTGTCCAGAAGGGAAATGTGGGAGTTTCCAGTAGAACACCGCCGGGCGAATTCCTCTTACGTTTCCAAGGTGATTAGTACGCGATCTAGGTGCCACTCTACAAACTGGTTTTGGCAACCTCACCAGACACTTTTTCCACTGTTCCGGATCTTCCCCTTCCAGTTGATCAATATCTTCAGAGCGATATGGTGTTCCCCAAAAATATTTTTCTCCCATGCTTTGACATTCAGCTTCTGTTTTATCAGGGACAATCTCCAGGTAGTTATCAAAGTTCACCCATTTTCCTCCATTACCTTCACAGGCAGCTTTGTTGTTGTGTTCTGAAGCATGACGATTTCTATCGCCATTCTTATAACGTTCAATACATTCACCTGACATTAAAAAAATACAAAACTCGCAACTTGTACGTCATTTTGCACGCGACAGATTATTTCGTTATGATGACTTTTTACACAAGATAAGATTTATTTACCGTAATTGATCGATTGCTTGCTTATTAGCATAGATAATCATGCGATGGCGAGTAAAATTCAGGATTAATATACAAATGTTTGAAAATTTTGAAAACGATAGTCAAAATACAGTCCAGCTGGACTTTCATCCATCGTTTTGTACTTTTAGCAGTATTTTCGTTCACCTTTCTGACCTTTTAAGTCCCCCCCTACAGCTGTTTAGTTTGTATGCAAAAAACTTTCCGCCATTTTGTTTATTTTGGCAAAATCAATTAAATCATTAATTATACTGCAGTACAATTAATAATGGTAATTAGGAGGTTGATTTGTTAATCACGAGTATGATCATTTTACCATTAATTGCACGCCTTAATTCGTTCTATTACTTAATATGTAATAAATAATTAGTTAATATTACTTTTAGGCTCATGAAAGGTTGCGATTAATGATTAATCTCTTAACCAATAAAATTTCAGTATTTGCCCCTGATTGCAGAAGGTATATAATTAATGAAATAATTGTACTCCTCTCGAATAATCAGCATCCAGAAATTTTAGTAGGCTAATAATAACAAGTAAAATTCCGAGTTAAGAAAGAAGAATATTAATTGTCGGACACGTCAATCACGAGGAAGATTTTCCTGAGTGTGAACTATATATTGTGTGGAGATTGTATGATGTCTGTTTTATTTGTTTTGAAAGGGCTGTTGTAATTGGCGTGAGCTGTAGCAATACCCTGCCTCGATTATTGTGAATATTCATGCATTTGTATTAATTTTGCGCTGTTCGTGTTTGTAATATTGTATCTTGTATTCAAGTGGCAAAGCATAATAAATAAATAAATAAATAAACACGTCCCTGTGGAATCATCTTCACTGCAAGATTATTTCTCGGAGGCAGATAAGTAAAACAACTTTTGGTTGAGGTTACAGAAAAAGAATTAAAGAGCGGAGTTGTGCCGGTGATTCCCGCTTTTCTCACAGCATACATCAACAACTTGCACAAGTGTTAGACGCAAAATTAATTGAGAAGGAGAACTATCAGAACTGTTATATGAGCTCGGTTTTAAAAAATATGCAACAAAAATGACTGTGATCAAATTCTCAATCATTATGCTAGAACTGCGGCGCTTATTCGATCATTTGCGATGATACAATTCTTTATTAGAATGCCACTGTAGTCATGATATATAATTATAACTAGACCATAAGGAAAGTCGTATTACATCAAGAGAAATCATTGAGATGGGTGGATACAAAATGTTGATAAATAGATAGTTAAATATTGGAGAGGTGAATAATGTACATGTTACACTGTAGTACTTAAATTTTTACCTTTTGAATTTGTATTAAAACTTTCTTTATAGTATTTCTCACAATGTGATGCTCTTTCAGCGAGCACAGCAATATCTATCCAATCCGTCGGATGCCAGTATGGATAGTAGTCACGTTCTTCGGGACATTCGTAACCAGACTGGCCACCATTAGGGTTTTGCCTGGTATATTTAGATGTCTCCCCTTTCAAATCCTGATCCGCAGTAAATAGTCCTTAAAGTTTATACAGAAATGGAAAATAATTCTCGAAATATCCATAAAAAGCTAGGTACATGTAACAAAGAATTGTCGTCCTAATATTTTTAGGACGTCGCACCCGATTCGTGAATTATAACACTTGAGACCGTCATATCTAGTTATCCATACTACCAGAGTCACTGATACTCTTGTTCCATCAAATTTTCGGTCTATTCGGGTGTTTATTCGTGAAACTAGCTCCTTATGCTAACAACTCACCCTTATTTCGTTTCCGTGTATTGCATTTATCATACCACTCCCAAGGTTCATTAAGCACTCGGTCTTGTCCAGCATCAGATTTAACACGGTTCTCCTTCTCTGAATAGGTATTAAAGTTCTGCTTACCATACTGCGGTGTCTGCCTTGTTCTGCCTAAGAGTAAATAATTGTTGAATCGACACGTTTGAGGAATTAAAACAATAAATCCTAACTGATTATGAATGCCCCTAAATCCTTAATCAAAAATCTTTTGGACTCACCATTCCTCATTGCTCTATGTTGCTCTGTGATAGAAGTTGGTTGACATTTGTATTGCAGAACAAAGTTACAGTTAACATCGCGATGTCTGCAACCGTGTTGGTTTGTCCACTCGATTGGTAAGATGGTTTCATTTCCCTCGCCTGAACCACTCATGTAGTAATTCTAAATCAAAACAAGTATGTTTTCTAGAACGTTGAATAGCTTAAGCTAAATTACAACGCTCGCGTACCTACAATAAAAATTTAAGCTATACTAAATGCGTCTAACATTACCTATTTAAAAATGAGTTATACAAGTCTATAGCATGGACTAATGGACTACGTCTACAACGCTCTGTCATGCAGAAATAATTATATAATCTATCTTTATTCAATCTCGATTCCTTTTCCCTAATGTTTTTTACTTGTTTTGGCAGCAATTCATGAAGCCGATGATTCGGGTCGATCAAATCTTTAATTATCGGTATACATGCATGCTTTGCTTCTGCGTTCTTCCAGGGATTTCTATATCGTTCTTTTGCATCTTGGTAAGTCCACCACTCAGGGTCGTAACTGGAACGATAATTGGGGGTTGTTTATTCATATATTCAGTTCTGCCCGACGGGTTTCTTTTGTAAGTGCAATAGCTTACAGTAGAAATCCGTCGGGCAAAACTGAATATATGAATAAACACCCCCCCCCCCAATTATCGTTCTAGTTACGACCCTGCCACCACTCCAGATCTTCGTACCGTATTCAAGGACAGATCGAATAACTGTACAATAGAACATCGAAAGACCCTCGAGTGGTGCTCCGTACCTTCTTAAAAAATTTTCGCTTTGTTGCCTTTTTTACGATATATTCTGTGTTGGTCGTCTATTTAAAATCGTCGTCGACCCATAATCCAAGCAATTTATAAGGGATCACTCGAGATACTTGATAACCAGCAATATTAATCGGTGGTATATCTGTTCCTTCGGAAGTCCATAATCATTTCCTTACATTTTTCTTCGTTCAGTTCCATCATCTCATCTCTAGTAAATTGGCTTACTTTATTCCCCATTCCTGTGAGATTCGGATTGGACTTCCTGATGTATGGGATGATACATCAATCATGCACTTCATACGAGGTGGTATCGTCCATAAATATTATCACATCTTGTTCCTCAGATGTTTCGCAGAATAAAGTCTCACTATCGGGTTTGGATTTCATCGGGAGATCATGCATTAATTCTCAGGATAAAAAATATTGGCCTTAATTTGGTTCCCCGTGATACACCACCATAGATTCGTTTTAAACTTGATTTTTCCCCTTGAAACGTTCTTATTTGGGACTTCCGTGAAGATAAGATACAAACCAAGCAATCAATTCGGGTCTAACACCAATTTTAGGAAATGACTCAAGCAATTTATTCTATATACAGTGTGTATAAAAAAATTCGAATCCAACTTTGACAGGCTGCTGTGTATAAAATACTAAAGTAAACGATATAATTTTTATATAGCAACAAAGATTAGCTTATTTAGTTTGCGATTATACCGTTCTTATATCGACACGACCAAAACTGGCTGAGTTGTCGTCTATTAAAAATTGTTGCTCGAAATCAAATTTTTCCGCCGATGGGAATTCGAAATGAGACCTCCAGACAAAAGAAAATGCAAATTTAATTAAATCGACAAACTGTTATGTAGCAAAATTTAGTTATGTATCATAAAATGTTTTTACAATAAATGTTTGTTATTCCGTGTTTAATGGAGGTATTGTGTTCTTCAAACTTCTATCGTTGAACATTGAATGAGCAGAATTTTTGCGATAAATTTGCGTTTTAGTTTTCAGTAATAATTAGATTTTAAACCCTTTGGGATTAATTTTCAATAAAACAAACGTCCAGTTCCCATCGGCGGAAAATGGTGATTTTTATGAACTTTTTTTGTCGAACCAATACTTCTTCATTTTTCAACTATAAATTACACGTACAACGTGTTATTTGAAAGAGGAATAAATGAACTTAACAATGATGTAAAAATCAACCAAATTTGTCAAATATGTTTTGCATTATTACACGCAAAATTTCGATTCGAATTTTTTTGATACACCCTGTATAATAACTGCAATGAAACACGCAATTTGATTGGTTCGTAGGCGTGCAGTATGAGACAATCCCGCACGGAAAGTTTACAATGCCGCTTTGCGCGGGAAATTTGACCGTCGTTTCATTGTAGTTATTTTATAAAGAAAATACTAAATGATTTTCCGTGCAGGATTGCGTGATACTGCACTTGGGAAATTGCTCGACTTTCGGAAAGCGTGAAAAGCACTCGCCTACGGCTCACGCTTTCCGAAAGTCTCGCAATTTCCCGCGTGCAGTATCACGCAATCCTGCACGGAAAACCATTTAGTATTCCTTTAATGGTCGATTAAATCGAGGCATACTTGAATTTTGGATAAGACATTCGTTAAAGTAATTTGTCTCAATTCGTCAACAGAACAGCAGGGTTTAGTTTTTAGGAATAGCACATACGTTTGATATTTTCCAAATATAAGGGAGAACACGTTCTTTAAATGATTCTTTAAAAATTTGAGCCGATGGGCGCGCTAAGTGCTCCGCAAAGTACTTGATTATTCTGATATCAGGATCGTGGGGGCCCACTGCTTTATTTACGTTAAGATTCTTTAGGTTGAATAACACAGGCTGTCAACTGATATATTAGGTAGAGGGTGATTTCCAGTCGAATTCCACTCGTTCCTAAATACGGAAAATTCAGTGGTAAGGTTCGTGAAAAAGTTGTTGATAAGTTTGGCAGATTCTTTGGAGTTTAATGGTATATCAGTTTCCGGATCGGTAAGACTAAATTCTTGTTTTTTCTTGCCCACGATCTTATTAACGCTTTTCCACCATGCATGCTTTCGGTTCATGAACACGTAGGGGCTTGATTAGTAACAGATATTCAAATAAAGGCTCTTATACTTATACATACATCACAGCATCCGTAACTAATTACTCAACGAACACCTCGGCCCTATCTCGCTAACATCAATTATATCAAGGATAGCTGAAGATCATGTCGTTCAGGAGTACGTCAAACCGGGTGTGTTAAAGAAAATCGACCAACGACAATTCGGAACCATTCCTAATTCGTGCACTACACACACACTTATAAGCATGACTCACAACTGGTACGTTAATACTGATGGGAACGGCGCAACGGCCAGAGTCGTTTTGTTGGACTTTCGAAAGGCTTTCGACTTGATCGACCATAACATTTTGTGCTAGATCGTAGATTTCCGGATGGACCGGAAGCAACGAGTCAAATTAGCGAAAGACTATTGAAAGATCTTTCTGAGTGGCGTTCTGTGGTAGCCCGAGTCTCTCAGGGGACAAAGTTATAGGTCCTAGCTTGGCTGTACTTAATCATGATCAATGACCTTGATTCAACTGCTGACATGTTGCCAACTGTGCCATTCCATGCTGAAAACTGTGCCATTCACCCAAAACGGGCCAAGTGTTTTCCTACACTTCATCTTTGATCAGCCTAGTGCCCAGGCACTTTTTTTTAAAAACACGGGTTATAAATGTTGCATTCAGTTGCTATATAGAGATCGGTGGCCAAGGAGAGCGTAAGCGCGCGGGTGTTCTTGGGGAGGACACGACCGAAGAACGAAGCTTCATTCCTCAAAACCAAGCACCCCCCACGTGTTTTCTTCGACACCAATCTCTATTTATTGGCTGAATAAAACCTTTAATTTTACAAGCTTAGTTTTTTTTTAAAAAAACGCCTGTGTACGGGGCTTATCATTGATCACAAAATCCTCTTTTGCAAAATAGAGCTTAATTTTTTACAGTTACACCATCCTGGCGATGAAGAGCTAAAGGATCTATATAAATAGTCTATAATGATCTTAAAATGTTAATCTTGTATGTCTATAATGATCTTAATGATGAGTCTATAATGATCTTAAATGTTATCTTAAAATGTTAATTACCATATGAAACCAATCAGTACTTTTTTGCTCGTTCTTCTCAGCGACATTATAGCCTCCTTTCGCATTATTCTACAATGGCAAGGAAACAGACGTTTGTTATGATGGAAAAAATGGATCGAGCCATGTGTTTTTTTCTGAGAAGATTAAAACTTTCAAATGTAGCTATATTATTTCTTACATATACTATATGCCATATACTGCGATATTCTATCCAAAAAGAGGCGGCTCGCCGTTGCCATTTTAACCGAAGTTCTAGCGCATGCATGTCAATACTACATTATACTAAAAATACATATATGCAGCAACCCCTCGCCTCGGTTAAACGAAATTAGTTAAGCATAGGGATGGTAAAATGATTGTTGTTGAATTTATGTGCGTTGGGGGTTTTGGAGGAAACATGCATGGTGTTCATTGAGAAAAGTATTGAAATATTTTTCTGCACGTGGAAGCACTGTACACAGAGGTGGGACCACTGGTGGGTGGGAACCAGTGAACTCTATATATATATATATATATATATATATATATATATATATATATATATATATATATATATATATATATATATATATATATATATATATATATATATAAAAAAATGAAAAGAAATTCATCCTATGGACAGTCTTTACAGGCACGCATAAATCATGCACGCTTTATGAATGAATTCCTTTCTTGCACTATTCTCTTGACATTTTTTTTTCACCATATTATAGTTTCAGAGCATAAAATATTTATATTTTTCATTAAATATTCACATCAAGAAATTGGATAATAGCTTTCAATCCTTTCATAGAAGCCACACAGAATTGCATCGATTAGATTTGAAATTGATTTGCATGTCCTTCACGATCATGAATATTACAATCATGTATGAACTGAAATTAATATCTGTTAGCATTTACCATTTGTTTGTGAAGTTGGATTTATACTCATGTAAAAAGTATTGCATATATAGATAAAAGTTGCATTTGTTTATTGCAAATCCTTTGAATTCAAGTTCAAGATTCGAATAAAAAACATGTAGTTTTTGCTAGTTTTATGGCAAAATAAATTATTTTCAAAGAAGTTTTTTCGTCGTCTCATACAATTTCCGAAGTTTTATGTTACGCCTCGACTGGTTTTTGCACGCAAATGTTTTGATCAGTTTCTTTTCTTTTTGTCATTAGGAAAACGGAGTTTATAAATGAAAGTATAATGTCGTATATCACATAACACATTCAGATTTATAGTGAAATACATTTGAAAATATTAAAGTTGTGTTGACCACAAAAGAATTACTTTTTAAAGCTGTGCCGGGTGAAATACTATCAAGTGTAAAATCTTCCTACTTCATTATACACGGTGAACTCGATCGAAAATCTGGTCTTGTTATTTGTTAAACCGTGAAAAGTCCTGACCACATCCGAGTTTCCCTCTAATTTAATTAAAAATACATATATTCCATACTTATGAAATTATAATTTATAAATTTCATCAAAATTTTGCGAAATGACAGTTATTCATTGACGCTTGAAAATACAAATTTTTATAGAAGACCGTCCATGGCGTGAGGTCCATTGCATAATGGCGGACGACTTTGATTTCACATTTGCACATCGTGCGTGTAAATATCCGAGCGGAATTAGTACCCTCGCACGGTGCGACGCACCGGCTCAGGGATTATACAAAACTTTGCAAAGATTGCTAGCTATATCTACAAGTGGTGCATGACGATTTTGTCCTTTTATGTAATTAATCTCATCAGTTTCATTGTTTTTACAGCCAAACCATCGGCATAGTAGGACTAGGGGCTGCTTACATGCAAATGGACATGATATGGAGAAAATAAATGAAAAAAAGGCAACTGATCGAGACAAAAAGTAATATTTTCATCAACAAAATGAAATGTTTTGAAACACTTTAAAACTTTTATAAGCAGCTTAATTCCTCCAAAATTATCACTTTAAAACGTCAGAATTGATTTGGGTGATGAATCTACCCATAGTTTATGGGGTCTTTGCGTTAGGTCTAATGTCCCATGCTCACATCGTAATCCAAAAAGAATTCTAGTCACAAAACTGTTTCGGATAACTATACTACATCCTTCAAAACATTCGTCATTTCTAAAATATATTAATAAAATTGCTAATTTTAAGCATGCTCAATAGTTAATTGGAAATTTGGAAATTGAATTTTGTACTCATAGTTACTCTAGTCACTAATATCTGCATTAAAATCGAGGCATGCATGCACATACCTGAGAGTCAAATACCCTGTTGTTGTTTTGACGATTTGCATTCTCTCCATCTAGTCTGTTGTTTGAACCTCTAGGAGTATGCAAATATACATCAGCGAAGGTATGGTGAAGAAATACTGTACAGACCAACCAAAGATAGGATCTACACAACTTCATTCTTATTTCTTTCGATTCTTCGAGCACTTGATCTTCTTTCGTTCTAGCTTGATGCTAGATGTTGACTCCTACACCGGTCTTTCACAATACACCACAAAAGTTTTAAGCGTGATTTATATATATACTGGTGTGCGTGACATCGCTTTCTTCGAGTCTCATTTGGTCGATCCGCCCACTAACCAAAACCACTGTGACGAAAACGACTATGCTAAATGACTGGAAAATTATCTTCGCCAGCTGTATTTTATATTAATGAGTTCTATAATTGTTTAAGCGAACACTATTTCACCAATAACTATTTTTGATTATTTTTGATTAAAAGAACTCAGCCAAATTTAGAGGTCCTACGATCAGTCAAGTTTTCACAAAGATATCATTTGCACAACTATACGTCCTATAGCGGATTCCTTGCATAGCAGGACGTATAATCTTTGAACTTCGATCCGCCGCTGCGTACATGCATGCTAGATCCTTCCTCCGCACGCCTACGTTTACCAGGCCGCTACAAATGTGTACGTTGTCAAATGTTATACGACATTGTTCTTTCTATCTGGTGAAAAATCGGTCAAATAAAATAACCTATCATCATGCATGCAATAATTTCGGTGACAAAAAAATGATGCATGGTGAAGTGAAGTGAAGGAACCGGCTATAGCATCAGTCAAGTCTGACGAATGAAGATATAATCTTCACAAATTCATTCTCTATATTGACTAATCTTCATACTTACGTTGAATATGCTAACGTCTTGGGCATATTATTGGGCCTTTACAAGCTTTCTATAGAGGTTATATATGCAGTAAGAAAAAAATTATTTTGCTATATAAAGAACGCAACCACAAAACATGCATTTTTTTTACTCTGTGTATTAGAAAGTTATTATGCTTTATAGTCGCCAGCTGCAATTATTATATACATTTTCACTGGTTAGATCTGATAAGAAAAGCATGATAATAAAATGCATCGAGGATGTCGAAGAAGTAACCCACGCAGACATATTCATATTTACTGTGCGCTATATCACCTTTTTTCTGACGTGTAAGCTAGCCATCGATTTTTCGCGTTTTAGTGAAGACTGCATTGAAAAAGAAGAATTATGCTCTCATGTCTGTGCATTGTGTGATAGATTAGAAAATAACATTTAAAAATGAAAAGTGTCCTTTGAAATCTTGTTATTGTGATTATTTAAATGGCTAATATAAAAAGTGCTTTGAACAAATTCGCTTGTTGTTCAGAGACGATGAAATTGCGTATTGTTGTCTTTTGCTTATTGTCTTTCACCGATAAAAGAGCGACCAATCAAACAAAAATGCAATTGTGAATGTTAAAAATAAACAGAAATTAGTTTTAAATGACCAGAGGTAGATTGATACTGTTCGGTCAAATTTAGTTGACCAAGATAAGAGTTAATATGTTTTGCAGGTTAAAGGCATTCTATACTAAAGGAACCTAATTCAGCGTGTTTCTGCGTGGAGATTTTCGGCTGGCAAATGATATTTAATCGATATTAAACGCATGCAGTCATGTAATTTAATGTTTAGAACAATTGCCTTAGAATTTTCTTACTGTGCATAATGATTTGAAAAATTCCTATCCGGTCAAATACAAGAGTGTTTGATTTTTATATATAACTCGACCATAGCCTTCCATTAAAAACTACCTTTCGCTTCTATAAAGATAAGTTCTGCTTGCAAGACATTTTAACGCTTGAGTCGGATATATTAACTTTGGCAAAGTTTTTAATGCGGAGGGTCATTGTCGGCTTACACAAACACATTTGTCTATACAATTAGAGGGATCCTTATCGATCAAACTTCTTTTGTATTAACACAATTCGAAATCTTTTGTATTAACACAATTCGAAATCCCACTTAAAATTGAAATCGCAAAATTATCTCTATCTCTCTCTAAAATATTTCTTCAATCCGATTATCCGATTATAGTTGGTATCGCTAAATAGGTGTTGTCCTTCTGCGCAGTTCTGCTAGATGTTGCCAGATTTCTCAACCGTTCATGCACCTCCAATTACACAAACACTTATTAACAAAGTTTATTGGCCTACGCATTTACGAATTTAATTGACACGGCTATTTTCGACTTTCTGCTGTATTCATGGTGGTGACTGCAGCACGCGTCAGTATGATCGAGTAGGGGAGATAAAACGTCCTGACTACAAAAAAGGCAACCAAAACCTTGCAAAACTCCAACCTATTAGAACATTTAATCTAGATCTTTACTGTTGATCAGTTCCCCAAACTATCTTTAGCTCAACCTATTGTCTTGCAATTATTTCGAAATGATTCCTTAAATGATTCCGAAATGATTCCCGGTATATCCACTCGACTGAGAGGTGGATATGAAACTGGGTTTTTTTGTAGGCAATATGACATATGGAAAGAAAGGACTCTCTCTTTGATCAGGAGAAACGCAAATTAAGTGTCAAAGTCCGATGACACGATTACATTAGAATCATTGAAGCGATAATTTGAATTATGGTGGACATAAAGATTTTTATCGACTAATGTATAGGAAATTGATCTACAGTTAAAAAGCTGATGAATTGAGAATAATTTCATGGGCTTTGTTATTTCACACAATCTCACTTTAAGACGTCTTTAAGACGAAAATACTTTCAGGTGAAAGCAGATAAAATTGAGTATAATAGACCTCTGTCACAAATCACAATGACGTCTAGCACAAAAAGCCTGCTGTGACACGAAGTTTATTTGGTCGTAGTATTGCGGAGATTACTGATGAGAAAGGTCTGATCTATTGCGTTATAGCCTCTCTCGTTTGAAACGATAAATTATGTAAAAATAATAATCGCGAATCTTAGATTAACAGAAACACAAGTGCACCCAAAAAAGGCATCAGAAACACAGGTGCATCCAAATAATAATTCTAAAATTCATATAGTTGTTAAGCACAATAGATTCCAGCTCTCTGGCACCGAATTTATATAGACAATTGCGCCGCTAACGATTATAAGCCTCAAATTCTAGTGAACATGCAACGTCTTTAATATTCATTAAGTAATTTTTTACACCATGTAGATGTCAAGGACTTAATATTATCTTCAGCATAGCCATAATAGGCACGAGAAGAGATTAAGCCTTATAAAACTGCCTTTGCAGGCATTTATCATGCGTCAATCGGTCTAAGTTCCTATGGAGCATTTGATCTTTTAAAGGACACTCCAAATTAGCTTTAGCTCACTCCATCTCAAACGTACATGGCCGGGTTGCAGATCTCACAAGATTGATATCATTCTATCATCGTTAAATGATTTCTTAATTAGGTACTGTAGCTACATCCACTAGCTCGATTAAGAACTCAATATGAATCTTTTAATCTCAATCATGCCATTTATATTGAAAAAGAATCTCTTTTTGACTTTGATCATGCAGTAAGAGCGAATTTTGTGGCACTTTATTCGATGAAGGTAAATTCTAAAAGCTTTTTAAAAAAGGTACATTACCACCTTAAAATACACACTAACCATGCACGCTTGTTCTTGTCAGCTACCTCTGTAGCTCAGTGGCAAGAGCATTGCACCGGCATCGCAAAAGCGTTGGTTTGATTCCTTTCGAAAGACGCGATAGTTGGCTAATTTTTTTCAACTGTTCCTGGTGTGAATTGAGTTGTGTATGATTCCATTCAAGATTAAGACCCTTTAAAAAACCTTTGCAATTAAGATCGTTTAATATATCTCTCGCATCGAAAATTACAAAGTTCATGCATGGATGTTGAATTCACACGACATGTATAAGTATTTGCCATGTATAAGTATAAACCTTTATTGGCGTTCCCCAATTTTTATCTTTTGCAATTTTCCGTCTACAGAATTATACAAGTGTCCTAAAACTTGCAATGATTACCTTTCAAATTTTTATTAAAGGCGGTTGGTTGAGCAAAATATGGAATTTTTAGATTTAATGTGATCTGCAGTTAAAAACTGATGAATTCCTTATGATTGTCCTTGGTTTGTTATCACCCATTAAAAAAATTAAAGACCACCTACACAAAAATGGAATTGTTAGCCGTACAGAAATAAAACGTGCCAAAAAAATTACATAACATGTCTTTTAATAATTTTTTTAGGTATAATTATGCATGCACGAGATATTTTGAGAGCGATTTTATAAAAAAACCAGTCCAGAACCAGCAAAGATATACGCAATCTCTTTCGATTAGTCCATTCTCACGTAGTCACTTCGCTTTTTGAAATCAGTCCAAATGATCTCGTGCTATTAAAACATTATGTTGTTATTAAAGCATGCGTATAAGATTGCAGTGCGTTCAAATATTTCAAAAAAAATATTTCAAGCTCATTTTGTATATACCCAGCAATTTGGTTAGTGCTTTGCGACTGAAGTAATTTCAGCCGGAATCGACCTCATATGAGGTTGATCCTAACATTCCTGATATTCGAGAGTTTAAAATGCTGTGTATGTAGACTGTTGGACTTAGTTTGCCAACTCTTTATATCCTGCCAAACATTCTTTCTATATATAAATTATACGCAATTATTTTCTTGAAATATTCTCCATATATAGATTTAACGCAATATTTTGTTGCTAAACTCGCTGGGCAACGGATATGGATTATACTGCTGTCACCCGATCGTGTCATTTTGATTGTCGCCATGTTACAAATTAAATTATTTTCATTGTTTTCAATTCTAATATCTATCATGGCCGAAATTCTTTTCGCTTTTACATGCCTGCACACACACCACCTGGCCCTTCCGAGATATCAGTGACTAAGGGATTTAATAAATTAAAACTTCTTTTGCATGTTTGTGCCTTGAAAAAAAGTGCGTTTCTTAGGTTTGTTATAAGTTATGAATAAAATTGTGGGTGTTTAGATGGTCACCAGACCAGTAAGAATGCCAATGCAAGATAACCTTGGTCTCCCACACAATATAGCTTTTTTTGACTCGATCCCCTCACGACGTTCTATAGAAATGATTTCATCAGAATTTGCCATTGTGATGATTTGAAAAACTTCTTATCTTTTCATCATGTTGAAAACAAGTTGTTTTAAACACACTTGACATAGAGATTTTAATCAAGTTAATAATGCTCAAGTTTTCATTCTTTCTCATGCACGAGATATCATGCAAATTGATAACAAACTGCATTCTAGAATCCGCGTTAAATGTAGCTATTATACACTAAATCAAAGAGGATGCTTCATCTATTCAATAAAATTATTATCACCAATCATTTAATATTTACCAATTTCTTTTATTCAACCAGCCCATTTAAATTTACCTTTCTCCGCAGTGAACAACAAGTCTTGCTTAGACGTCAAAAGATTTACCAGGCTGAATAAATTTACAGAGCCGAATAAATTGACTTAAGGTCTATTGAGGTACCTATATATCCATCTAAACCTTATTTTATTAGCTACAATAAAACATCACGCTGTCAGGGCGGCAAATAATTTTAAAATCATTCGAAAAGGCAGACGTACAGACGGGCAAGTTTTATTTGCTCGTGTGTACGCAAAAAATTGACAACTGGTTTTTTCTTGGCAAGGAGCCTTGTTCAAAAGCTATAATTCCAAAATTCATGCCAGCTTTTCAACAAGGAAAAATGCTCGTGTGTACGGCCGTGAAGGAAAACTTGACAAGGAATTGTGCGGTAGGGAACAGCGCAACAATCTTCGAGCCAATCGAGCGGGTTTTTGAAGTATTTCGAAATCATTTCTGTTTGTTCTAAAATTCGGTCGTATATACTCGTTTTATGATGGCTCATATTAATGACATTATCGTAAAATATACTCATGTTATTGTAAAACTTGTCAATAAAAATTTGTCAATTTTTCAAATACACACGAGCAAATAAAGCTAACTTGTTCGTCATACACACCAGCAAATGAACTGGTCAAGAAAACTTGTCAAGGAAAACTTGCCCGTCTGATACGGGGCTTTACGCATAACATCGCCATGAATGAATAACATGCCGAACGAATTTACTGGAGTTTAGACGCGGTACATAATACTGCATGTATATAGTGATAGGACCATATAATGTAGTTTGATGCGTTTTCTCCAGGTTAACGTTTGGACAACTCTCGAACTCACGAATCAAAAAGAAGCGCGACGATAAACAGAACAAAAATTAGTGAGAGGTATACAAAGAGGTACAAAGAGTATAATTGCGTGGTGAATACGGATAATATTTGACATACTATTTGAATATCTGTACAAGTGTTACTCAATAACTTTGGTTAATGACATGTCTGCACATCTCAACAAAATTCGTTATGCTTTCCACTTTGTTTAAATGCAAAAGTTAATATCGATATATAGACCCAGTCTTTAACGGTTAAATAAGGTGACCGATCAACCAGATCGGTCAAACACAATAAATTCAATAGATTTGAAATGCTAATTCAGTAATTTCCCTCGAATAACCTCGCCTAGCCGGGATAACTCGCTCCATGTAAAACAGGCTCTTAGTCTCGAGAATAAGAACAAAAGAGATTACAATTCAACCTCATTCAACAATTCAACGCAATAGTTTTAGACGAGTATATGGGAATTAAATTGGTTGGCAATCACGTTTACAAACAAACTTATATGAAACAAATCAATCAAATGTTAGAGCTGCTAAACACTTACGGTATAGGAATACGCTGGAAACGCTGTGTCACAGTCAGGCTGAGTCAGCAGTCAGCAGTCAGTAAACAATAATTGTTCACCTATAAAACAGATAAAACGGTGAATTAGGGATATATACTCCGCGAAACAGTAAACACATCGATTAGTGAACTTACCTTTAATTATATAATGTGCAATTAGCTGTAACATTTAATTTGGTTATAGCTATTTACCGATTAGATCAAGTGAACTTATGCATGGACACGATGCCGAGCGAACAAGATCAGTAGGATTGTAAATTATTGCCGCAGCGTGGGCCGCGGAGCGTAGGTAATTAAACCCTGGGTACGAGGTTGCATTACTGTAAGTGTGCTAACCGGTCTGACCAATTTTTGTCCAACTCTAACTATGAATTTTAAACCGGTTTTACCAGATTTCAGGTGCGCACGGCAGGCGGGAGGTAGTTAGGGTACAAACTCAATGCGCACTGATCGGAATACAGTACATTGCGTAGCAACACAGGACTTATAAAAACAAGAAAACAAACATATACAAACAGGACTTACGACCTATAAAAAATCAGCACAAAATGCGGCAATTTCCTGACCAGCTCGCATCTTTCGACAAACAACTGGCGAACCTTAATTCGCCCGTCTCCCAGAATCATTTTTGGCCCGTACTGCTAGACATTCCAGTTAATCAAAGTTAAAGATAGATTGCGAGAAGAATTAGATACGGTGTAATTTTGAAATGTAATGCATAAGAATTAATGTATACGTATAACCTTAATTTTCTAACGTCGTGTGACTAATAGAAATTTGCTACTTGAAATGCAAGATCTACTTATTAATTTTATACTAAACAAATATTCGGAAGATAATATCAGGAAGGTTTCTTTTCGCATTTATCCCTCAGTAACTACAATCTTTGCCTTCTGATTTCTGTTGCTGAAGTTGTTGTTGCGAGAGCACATGTACTGATATTTACCAGGCTTTAGTCTCAAGAGCAATCCGGTCCATGAAGGGGGATAACAGTCGAGCTGTTCAGCTTGTTGGGCGTTGCATCCTGGGACTTGAAATGGACTGGGGACATCTTGAGCTCGTTTGAAATAGCCGGCTGTTGCCATGGAAGTTGCTATGTCTGCGCCAGTCCTTGTTTCTGCGAGATCGACAAGGTCAGGTGCGTCAATTACCGTCGCTTCGTCAAACAATGTACCTGAGCGTAAATTTAAATATCGATAATAGTTTCAACTTCACTGAACTGTATATGTGCAAATTTACCTTACTATTTTCGCAGTGTGGAATGCGTCCAATAATATATTACGCTCCCATGCAATGCATGCACTAATTCAACTACAAAGACACCTTTTGAATCTCAGTGCATTTTGGTCAAGTAAATTTTTTTTAATCCTATATGTTTAACAGATTTCGATCATCAAATCCTGTTTGAATAAACTAAATTATAAATAAACTAAACTAAACGAAATGGTGCTAAATACCTATTACTAATTAAACTAAATGATAATTAACAAACTCTAATCAACTAAACTAAATGACCAAATGCTGTTTTGGCGTAGAATCTTGGGCTTTGGAGTTGAAATAAAAATAGCACAGATCGGGGATTATATAGGATTAAAAGGGTACATGCAGACGATGCTCATAGGGACTCCCTATAACAGCAACAGTCAGTAACCCCATTTAACGAAACCCTCACCAAGGGGGGAATATACTGATATACAAAAGAGAAGACTACATGCATGAGCATACCTGTCGTGTCTTCCAATGGATAGCTTAAGTCTGTGCTCTTCATTGCCACCAAATTGTTTCTGTCCGTTTCTGTTGAAGGATATTATGAAAGCATTTTACAATAGTTTATTACTTCGTATAATTTTCTCATGAAATTAATTTCATACAAATTAATTTTACTGACAAGGGAATTTTTTACTGATCAATGTAATATTTGATATTACTAACAATACGTGCTGGGTGCATATATGGTATTTATTTCGTTTATTTAAAGGAACAAAACTATAACATATTTCTTCATGGTGACTGTATCATTAGCATTAGTATCACTTGGTATCATAAAAATAATGTTAGTTGAATCGCTTAAACTTACGTTTACGTCCTTCACCATCGTTACCTTTTGGATTTTTATTTGAACCTGCCAAGGGAAATTTAGATCTTATACATAAAAAAATACGACACAATGGTTTATCAGGCTTCTGGGTGGGGGGATTTTAAGGGAGAAATATATTTCTGAAAACAGGAAAGATGTTTAGCGTTGAAATATCATCCTATCTCCTAGCTACAATCGTCAAATGGAAACGACGTATACCTGGGTTTGCAAAACTTACCAGCAAACTGTATATGAATGCAATGCGAAGAGTTCATTTTTAGGTCCTTTGGAGTGAAGTCGTATTCAACAGCAGGATAGGCTTGCACTATATTACCACGCTTTCCTTTCACGTTAAGGTTATGGATGACGCAATCCTTGAAATCATCCTTTCTCGGTATGATTTTAAAAATATGAGAGCGATCTTGAAAGGTGCGACCAAATTGGGCTGTGTTGATTGCAAGTTGAAGAGGGACTTTGTTGTTCGTGCCTTTTCCAACATTAACGTCTGGGTCGTTGGAAATAACCTCCTCACTTGAACAAAATACAAATTGGAACAACATTTCAGATTAACCCTCACCCTAATTTTTCTCAGCCAGACAAATCATATATTTTCCCTTCCCAGAATAGGATACAATTTAAACATGCATTCCGTCGCATGCTACATAGTTATAAATTTTGGTACATACTTGTTATTTGATGAAGCAAATGTATTCTTTGGATCGTAGTCATTCGTCGAGATATTGTATCTACGTGGAGAAGCAATTTTAACGTTTGTTCATATTCCGTAATGATGTAATGGTACAAAATCGTTTCCGTCTGAAAGGGCCGGAAAGGGATCTTAGAGATAAAAATGCATGCAACTTTTATGTATTATCACCAGAGAAATGTCTAGTATATCGCACGATTGCATATTTTTTAAAGCTAGGGAAAACCTAGCAAATCAGGTTCACTTCGATGCCTTGAACGTAATATATCATTTATAGGGCAAAAGACAAAGCGATATTATTAGATAAATTTACCACTTAGTCTTTAAACAAAAAGTGTGTTAAAGCCAAAAACAAACAGGCGAAACACGCGTACTACAACGTACCTAATACGAAGAACACAACGTTGCTCCTGTCCTGAAGGGAAATGTGGGAGTTCCCAGTTGTATGTCAACGGAACAACATCTTCTCCGTTACCAAGATGATTGGGACGTGATTTCGGTGCTACTTTACAGACTGGTTTTTGTAACTTTACCAAACACTTCTTCCACTGCTCTGAATCTTCCCCCTCCAGTTGATCCATGTGCTCAGGGCGATACGGTATTGCCCAAATAAGATCACTACCCGTGCATTCATCTCTCGTTTTGTCGGTAATTTCTTTAAAGTTATGGAAGTTTACCCATATTCCTTCTTTTTTGATACAGTCATCTTCATTATTCCACTGTGAACAATGACGCCATCTTGTTTCTGGTCTTCGCCTTGTTTTTGTGCATTGTTGCATGCACAAGCCTGGTGCAGAAAATATTTATTAGACACGAGTTTAGTGATGCGTTGCTCGTTCGTTATGTTTTTAGCTCATTTAAAAGGCCACTTCTCTAGATACGTGGGTCATAATTATTGTCGCGTAGAGTATATATTCACTACGCTCCCGATTGGTAAACATGGGAGTTATCGTATTTCACATTGGTTATGGTAATGAATATACCAAACGATACTTTTTTCCAGTAGATAATTTGCACCCTTGCTTTGATACACACATGCAAAACGATAACTTGATTAACAAGACCGGGCCGTCGCTAGGCGGCTTAAGTAGGGGGGGGGGTGCGAGTATCGAATTTACCGACAACTAGTATCACACCCCCCCCCTAGCAACGGCCCTGAACAAGACGGACGATCTAATCTTTTGTGAGATATCGTTAGTTAGAAGCCCTTACGAAGTTTCAAAAAGACGTAACGTTTACCTTTTGGCTTCGTATTAAAACTTTCGTTCTTGTAATAAGGACAGTCTTCTTCTTTATTGGCAAGCACAGCAATATCTGTCCAAACCGTTGGATGCCAGTATGGATAGTAATCACGTTCTTCAGGACATTCATAACCATACCTGTTACCATTAGGGTTTTGCCTGGTATATTTCGCTTTGTCGCCTTTCAATGTTTCGTTCGCAGTAAACAAACCTTTATTTAATTAATTAAAGAAAAGTCGTGATTAAGATGATTATTTGAGCATAGGATGTTTGTGAAGGCAGGTTCCCAATGTTATTGCACAGTCTTAAGGACTGTAGGTGTTCTAAGTTGATACTAACGTTTTTACAGCCTTTACAGTATTAGCAGCTGCCTCTATTAAATGATAATGAATGCCTTAACGACATACGGATTATCCATAATGGAGTTTGGGGTGATTTCACTTGATCACAGTTACCTACCCTTGTTTCTTTCACGTACTGTGCAACAACTATACGATTGCCAGGGCTCATTGAGGGCTCGGTCTAAGCTGATGAATTTTCTTAGAAAACGATCCATATTTCGGCACATTCTATTCATTCCTTTTAAAAACCTGGGTGTGTTGGTTACTTTGCCTGAAGATAAATAGATGAAGGTCGGAGTCTTTAAACCGTGCAGCAAAAAAACTTGGAAAATGTTTAATAAAGTTGAATAGGAAGTTATATGAAACCAAGCAATGATCTCTGTTTATTGCTAAACAGTCTATTTGTGTCTGCAGGCCTATAACAGGAACCTGAAACCGTGAAACGCGTTGCAGTGTAGATGAATACATATAGAATAAAAGTTTTTAAAGTTAAAAAAGTAGAAGTTTTAAAATTTAAAGGAGGCCACACTATTTATATGCTGTGGAAAATAGAATTTTACGGTACAAGATTACTTAAACCATTAAAAGTTCCATTAATAGGGTTCACTAGCTTTTTCGGATACGAAAATGAAACAGAAATCGAGTGTGATCAGGAGTTTTTTTTTTCAATAGGATCAAGACTTCAGACCTCTTCCTCTTTCAGAGTACGCAAAGCTTGAAAAGTGTGGTTTCATACCACTTATGAGTTCTATAAGATTATAAATTATCAACCAAACGTATATGTGGCCTATTTACCATTTCTCATCATTTGAAGCTTATCTGTGATAGACGTTGGTTGACATCTGTATTGCAGAACAATGTTGCAGTTAAGATCTCTATGCCCACAGCCATGTTGGTTTGTCCACTCAATTGGTAAGATTGTCTTTCCCTCGCCTGGTCCACTCATGTAGTAATTCTATAATATAAAAATTGTTCAGATTTGTAACGATTATATAGAATTTCTTTTCGCTGCATTTTCTGGCGGGAAAAAGACATATTATCACGCACATCAATTAGTTGCTAAAATGGTAGCTTTGCTAAAAAGTGACACATCTTTAATTTTTAAGAAACAGATTTCATAACTGTTGCTACAATGAAAGCCCCGCATTTTAATGGTTATGTGTAGAGAAGTACGGACAACCAGGAAGCCCTTACATCATCCGATTGAAAGAAACAGCAAGATTATCTACTTACCATTTGGAACCAGTTTTTACTCTTGTTTGATGATTTTTCTGCTACATTATATCCTCCTTTCGCATTATTCTACAGGAAAACATGTGTAAATAAAAATAGTAAATTAGCATAACTGCCTAATTCATTATATATACGTGTATATTTTGCCCAATATACCAGGGAGCGGGGTATATCAGCGTCTTCTAGCAATTTCGCATCAAATGTGGCATAACAATTGCCTAGCATATAGATAGAAGACTTTTCGACTTACAGGCTTCGTCAAGAAAGTTTGTGGGGTGGGTAGTTAGTCATATCACACTTGATGCAAAGTCATATTTTGCTATCATCAGAATACATGCAATACATGCATGTTTAGACACGGGAAGGACTGAATGTGGTCTGGCTTAGTTAAGTCTTGAATGCGAGCAAAAGAATTCTGTGTGTCCATAAGATAATCTAAATGTATTATATTATTGTGCGTATGATAAAGGCACATTTGGGAACACACGTTTAAGCCGGATAGCTATATACTCTTGAGCCTTGCAGATCAAAGCTGCAACTTCCCCAAGCACCCCCGCGCGCTCAGTGCTTTCTCCGCAAAGTACTTCAAAGTTCAAAGAGCCTGGGAACGAGACTGGTACGAAATCTCGAGAGGAAATAAAATCGCTGATGTGTTGATATTCAAATGAAATGATGTGCTAATATAAAAAAGATGTGCTGATATTCAGTTATAATCATCAATTGAAAATTGATATCACATTAACGACTCTAACTTGTTAAACGTGTTAACTGTTGTGGTGAATGCCGCAGTCTGCAAATTTGCCATAAATTACTGCCATTATCATTATCATTTACTCTAGTCTCTAGATAGCTTTTTTTTTCAAGTACTTCGATTCAATTGCGCAGAAACACAAGTAAATATTTGCATGAGGCTATTGGGCGAAAAGTGATTCAGCAGAAAATTCTATTTGCGCCAAGCGGATATTTTACTCGAAAGAAGGGCAATATAGACAGATATCTAGAATTAACAATTCATTACTTGCAAGAGTGAGCTTACCGCTTTAATTAATTAACGTTATTCAAGCATCCTTTGTTGTCTCGAATATGATTAATAGGTAGGTAGGTATACGTCTGGGCTTGATTTAAGGGTTGTAACTGATCAGGATCAACACACAATAGACAATACTCGCTAGATATTTCAAGCAGAAACGTATCTTAAAATATGCGCAAATATGCTGCTAATACTAGACCGATATGTTCCAAACAAATGAAAATTTAACACCAAATTTGCTTATATATTGCATCCTTCCGGCGGAATTGAGATTTAACGGTACATATTACTCATCCTTATTAGGCATCAGTGACATTGTTAGAAATTTGATTTACCATGGATCGTTTATTTACTCGTTTTACTAAGTCAGCTCATCTGCGATTAATCATAAAGTTGGCGTGAAATGACATCGAGATATTAAAAAAAGTCATTTTCCTGGGATTCGAAAAAATAATAGGAAGGGGGGCGTATACCAAAACTACAGATATTGCTCTGTGGTAAAATCGAATGGCCGCTAGCGCTTGTTGACCAAATATCACAGCCTCGTGAATTTGTTTTGCATATAATACCTATGTACAGTATTTGTCAGCCTTGTCTATTTCATGAAGACATCAAAATCATTTTTTGCTTCGGTTACTTTCGGATCATATGTAAAAAGTCCTTAGAGCTCCTGCAATATAAAATGTTTACAAATCGCACTCGGTGAAACATTTCAGTAAACAGTAGATGTAGCTGAGGCTTATTCTTGCTAAAGTTCTGACGATTGAAGTCATATATTATAAAAAAGGCGGTAATACGAGCGCAGCTTATATATAGAGTACAACCAGTTAACTTAACAGTTTCCAATCTAGTGGAGAAAATTCTTATTGAGCGGAACTGCTGTATCTCTCGCTATGTCCGTTGTGCATGCAAAGCGGTTGTCTAAAGATAAAGCTCGCAGCTTGGCAAGTCGTAAATAAGGAGAGGACAAAGACATTTGGATGACCCCGAGGAAAGGTAACTTGTTGAAGTAAAAATATTCTGTAAAGTAAATATTTTAACTGAGACGGCAATTCTCTCAAGAACCTTCCGTCAAATATTAACTTAGATCAATGCCTAACCTGCGAGTTAAACACTCTGTTGTTGTTTCTGCGATTAGCTCGTTCGCCATCGAGTCGATTGTTAGAGCCTCTTGGGTTATGGAGGTATATATCAGCAATTGCATGGTGGCAAAATACTGCGAAGATCAACGACCACGATCCTCGCAAGTTCATTCTTCTTGCTTTCTTCTTGCACGATGTCCCGCAAGTCTTCAGCTATAATCGGTTGATGGTTCTGCAACGCTTCGACTGCAATTAAAAAACAGAAATGCTGCTTGTAGTTATATATAATATCTGCGTAACGCCCACATACAAACACTACAACTGGGAGTGGCATGCATGGTCAAAATATTGCATTTTTCCCAACCCAATATAAGCAAAACGGGATATTGCGTCATCAGTAATTGACAACGCGTTTTTGACTTTTTGTCATACAAATAATAGACTTCAGAGGTTATTTGGCGCCATAGACGTCATTCTGTATCTATTATTTCTATGGTATGTGTTCATGTGAGTCGGACCATAAAGGCTGCTTTCCACTTACGCGTTTTTCATACGCACGTAGACTTTTGCTTTTAGAATGCTTTCAATTTTTTATTATTTAACATCTGGGTCAACTAATGCATACTAAACCGATATGCAGAAAACTAAGTTCCTTCGATTTATTCACTTAGTGTTTTAAAAGGTGGCATTTATAAGGATTTAGACTTTAACGTACGTGTAGTCGTGTACGTGCGTATATGAAAAACGCGTAAGTGGAGAACAACCTTAAATCTAGCAGAAGAAGTTTGTTATAATAATCGTTGGTGATAGCGTTATACGACATGACTACAAATTTCCTCCAATTTCATTAAATGGATGGCGTTTGTTTTTGTTAAATATCTCTTTAAACTAGAAGTTCTTACCAGAAGGAAATTGCTGTCGAAGATGCATAATTTAACTGCCAAAATGAAGCCACCAGTTGCAAATAGTTGATTAATAGCTAATATCTGGCATGATTATAAGGGAAACTTTGATATGTTAACATCAATCACACAAATATATAATTTATTCAATTCAATTTATTCAATATAACGACAATAAAACTGATAAGATTAGATTGTATGTAGAAGTCAATCGTAGTGCCGAACAAAGGCTGCGATTAACAGCATTCAATGATTAAAAAGCCTGCAAAGGTTTCCAGTAGGTAATATCTTTATTATAATACGTATTCATATTAACAATTGTTATGTACCTGGGAAAACTAATGTAATAAGTAAGTTACCACATCTTTGTAAGCTAACACCAGAAAATAAATTGATTAGATCCCATATTTATGTAGTTTTATATGACGTGCAAACCAACAAACTCATGAAATTATCTTTAATTGATACATATAGCATGATGGGAAATTAATGGTGTAGTTCACAAAGTTTAATTCCCATGCAGGACTAGGTCAAACGTCGCGCTCTTTTCCGGCGTGCACCGAAGCTATAATGCAAATGAATTAAAGTCTTTGTTTGAGCTCATCTGCATTTGGTATAGATTCTGATATCTCAATTACCCGAAATTTACAGAAGCGTAAAATGACTTCGAGGTTTTGAGATGAGTAAATAGCATGATCCCGACCCGGTAGTCGTAGACTTATTTTAATATCTCAAAATTTTGCTTGCATGGCTAAATCTTGGTTAACCGCGCTCATTGAAAAGCCTCTAATATCAGATAATTTACTGGGACCTCAAACATGCATAGCCGCGCCATTATATATATTGGCTTAGCTTTAAATAACTTCTATCAAATGCCGTATAAACACTGCCTAAAATGGATCGTCAAAACACTTCTCGACGCTTCAACCTAAGGATCTTCGTTGGGAAGGTTAGTAACGTCGAGAAGTGTTTTGTTTATTTCATTATTTTCGGCGGTTGTTATACCAGATTTTAAGACATTGCCTCGCTGCTCCTTCATAATGATGGATGTGTCATCGAGAATATATCAGTGACAGTGCCATGCAGTGGGATGTATTTGGCGAAATGTCTTAATGCTTTATTTCATTGAACTCTTATCAAAATATTTCCAATTCTTGATTCCCGATGAACAAAAATTAAAAATGAGAAGCAATAGAGCAGTATTAAAGTGAGTAGCAAGGATATAAGATATTCCAATTCCGCGGTCTAAATTTACCAGAGGGGGAAGTTGTGCTCCAATATCAAAAGTAGGCGTATATTTCCGATCTCAAAGTATTTCATTTTAACCGAAACTTCTATCGTAAACTAACAGTCAAAACAATGCGATATTCCTCATAGATTAATATCGCTATTGTATTTTTGTGGCAAAAAGCTCAAGAGACCGTGCATCCGATTTGAACAGTAAAACTATGTGAACGCGTCAACACATTTTTTTAGCAAAGAAAATTGGCAAACGAGTTTCACTAGTTTAAAGCCTATTGTTTGTATTATCATTATTTATCTTATTTTATTTTAGTAAATTTTGCGTATACATGTAAACAGATATACACGGGCTAGTGACAACAGGGTTATAATACCCTATATAGCTAAGGTCACTAACCCTTATTATTATTACACATTATAGTAGTAAAAGTAATTTGATTGGCTAATAGTTGACAGATAAATCGCGCAATCACGCAAAATTCAGTTATCTGCTAGCAGATAACTGAGTTATCTGCAAGTGAGCCTGCGGTGGTTAACAAGCGCTATTAATTTGAATGTATTTATATGTATTGATAATTGATGTATTTTTGGATGTTGCTATTAAATAAGGTTTTTCATTCGTTAATAATATGTTAACTATTCTTCAAATGTATAATAAAACAATGTGTATGTGTGTAAATATTGATGTAAATTAGATTTCGAAAGGATAATTAAATCTTTTTAAAACTAAATAATAAAACAATTATTGAATTCGGTTTTTGTGATATGCAGAGTTATCAAGGTTTTGGTAAGCGTTATCGGCCTCGTCTTCAGCTCGGCTGATAACGCTTACCTCGTACAGTGGCAATATATAATGAGAAGCATTATTGATCTTTAGTCTATAATATTCGTGTTCAATTCAGCACAACAAACCTGCTATCTGGAATTTTTACAAAACTCCGTAGGGAGCCACCTTAAATGCATTAAATTATGTATACCTACATGAAATTTAAAAAACTTAATAAATTTTTATCATGCGGAAAATTAAGTTCTTTCGACTTATCGACTTCGTCTTTTTTCAAGGACAACTATATATTATAAGGATTTGGACTTTAACGTGCGTGTACGTGGCGGGTATGAAAAACGCGTAGTGGAATTCCAAGCCTTTCAGAATTATAGGAAACGGGATATTGCGTGTTTGCGTCATAATTGATCACGCGTATATTAACGCGAGTCGCGAGTATCTACCAGTACCTATATAGCACTTTCAGAAAACGTTTGTCATAGGGGCACATCTCAAGCATGCATGATCCAAAGTGGAAAATGCAGCTTCGAACAAGTTCAGCTTTATCTGTCAAAATAATTTATAATACATGTAATGTATTTTTAATTGATAAATCTAATTTTAAAAATATTCTTTATAGAAGTTCATATTAACAAAAAGCTTTTTTATTGTTTTCTTATTTAGCTCGGAAATGCGTTAATCAGTAGCTCAGCACGTCTGCATGCATAGCTTCGTACGTGTTCGGCGCTGTGTGGCTGTGTCATCGAGTAATTATATTAAATTCGTGATAGTGGGTGCAATTGATGATGTATATTTGGCGAAATTTCAATTTTTATATATTTTATTGAACTCCTACTCGCGCTTATTTTATATTGAATACGCATTGGCGCTTTTTTTCATAACATGCATTTATCGTACACTTTCGTAGTGTTTCTAATTCTTGTTTCCCTCGATCCGCAATTCCATGGCAAAATATCTTGAACGAACCAAAAAGAGGGCGTATATATCCGGTTTGAATTAACAAACGTCTGGACATAAGTTAATTATATAGGGCCTATGTTTGGCAAAGAAAATTGGCAGACTGCTCGAGGGTTAACTTACAAAAAATACTTATACATATTATTCCATTACTAATTATATAATACCCCATTAAATTTAGAGCGTTTAATTGGTTGATGACGATCACGTGATATTGAATAGAAAGTCCCATTTCCCAAGAGTGCAATGGAAAGCGTTCCATTGCACTCTCCAGAGTGCAATTGTACTATACATTTTGTACCATTGCACTCATAAACATTCATTATTTGTATATCATATCATGATAATTTCTTATACTTTTGACTGACTTCGGAATTTTGAAACCTTTCGGATATTATGCCAATTTTAGAATGAACTAGCTATTTACCAAAACATTTTTGTAATTAAAAGCTTAACGTTTCCTTTGTTCTGGGACCGATATTTCGCTAACAAACTATATAGCCATTTATCTAAAACGAACATCTAGGTTACAGAAACATATGGATGATAATCACCAGGGTTTCGATTTACGCATTTGTATAGTGTGTTTCAATTTGTTGCTATACCGTCGTAAGTTTTTCCCGCTTTACCTTTCATCAGGCTATTCATCTCTCGCGTGATGATACAAAAATAGTGTGATCGCATTTCAACGCCTTCGTCGAGTTTGCGCAATGAAAATATATATACATATATATATATAAACATAAAACACGTCAATTGTATAAAGTATAGTATAGGCTATATACAATTATTACGATTTGGATTATGATGATTTTGATTTCATCCATTAACTGTGCATAAATCTCTATACACAAATATATATGTTCAAAAATGACGGGGAAAGCTCAATTCCGAACACCATTTTGATTCAGTTTTATCTTTTATCATCTGGGTGATCAACGGTGATAACAGAATGCTGTTAAGCTGTAGTCTATATCTATCTAGTTATTGTTTTTCGAATGTAGTAAATAATAACATCGAAATTTGATTTCCTGCTTTGATATTCAATTATAATAAAGCTCTTTGTCGATGGGTTCAGAGTAGAATCCAGATGAATAATATTTGCACGCATATATTCAAAACATATTTTTTCTATTTCCAAGTGCTTCGAGGTCTGTATACCTACACAGGCTCCCCCCGGTTCATCGAGCATGTTATATAAATTAATGCGTCAATAAAAAAAGTGGATCGCGCATTACTCTCGTTCGATCAGCAGCCAGGTCTTGGCTAAATTGCCTCTGATCAAAGTCTATAATTCGGGAAATCACACATAAACTCAAATAGCCGCCATCTTATCACTACTTTTTCCGACTGAAATTGATAACCTTGTGACACATCTCAGATGATGGTTTCTATTATGATGCTGCAAAAATAGTGGTACCATAATATTAGTTTTAAGTAAATTAAAAAGGAACATGTTTAAAAAACCCCCATAAATGATGGTACATGCTGTATGTTTCCAATTATGCTTTAAGATATACATGAATATTCGCGCATCACCTATTTCTTGGCAAAGATATAAATATCAAAGAGGCTAGACGTTTTGTTCCATCCATAACTTTATAGCTACCTAGAACATGATATTGCTGTAAATGTTATATCAATGCACTAAGATCACTTGAAAAAGGTAAAAAACACAAGCCGATAATAGCCACTGAAAAGGTATCGCTACGGTCTTTCCAGTACCACTGCTTGGATTCAACGTGGGAAACTAAAAACATAAAATGTACCGTGTAAATAATACCTTACAACGAAAGCCGGCCAAATTGTTGGTACGCCGGATTTATGAACTGTCGAAGAGGACAATATAATATGCTAAAATATAAAAACGAATAATACGATACCGAGGATTTGTCCGTCGAAAGAAGTTTAAATAAAACAAAATGCTGTTCACGGCTTGTGTTATGAGATTTACACTCGACTTCTAACTTTAAAATAGTACCAGACCACTCCAGGTAAGCCTCACGCGTAACCTTTCAATCAAAAAAGAACAGAAGATTTACATCCAAAATTTATTCGTGATATACTAATATCACTGTCCTATTTTAGAAATTCGGGTACCAATTAAGAACATTTTGCATGCAGGGCGGGGTCATATAAGTTATGAATGAATGCAGAATAAGCTCCCGTCATTTTATACGTCATATTATATCTGAAAGCCTTCTTGCCCGACTGATGTATTGATTATATTGAAACGTATTCATGTGGTATATATGTTCCATACCATACCATTCCAAAATAACCCCGAAATAATCGCTTTTTGTTTCAGTGAAAATTAAGCTAGTTAACTAGTACTGCATGTTTATACATTAAAGCGAAAATTTTCATTCATTTCATTACATTCTTTTCTTTCGTCCGAATAGCGTGTAGTTCGTTCCTGCAGTTGATCAAAAATGAAACATGAATTACCTTTATTTCGACGCCGTTGAAAACTTGAGAATGCTTCAATGTAAAACCCGTACTGTTTCCAGAAGAAGCCAGCTGCCATGTCTCACTGCCTTTTAGAAAGCTGGAATTGCTCCACATCAAAGAGCATCGATCATTTTGAACATATAACGGAGCGTAAACTTTGAATGTCTTTGTGCAACCACGTTTGCAGTCGTCGCTGAGATAATCACTGTACGCCAATACTCGCATAGCTTGACCATCATTGAAACGATAAGAACCTATGGACGGAAGAAAGAAATTCTTATATGAAGTATTTTTACTATATAACTGGCAATATAACAAAACAAATTTGGACAAGAAAGTTGGAGAGAGTGGAACTGTGGAAAAACATAATTTTAGAATGTCGGGTTTTTTATACTTGAAATCATATGATAATTTAGGAGCAAAAATCCTCCAATTCCATGTTTTCGGTATTTAATATGTATAACAGCTTACGGAGAGGATTACTGAGCAAAGCTCGATGAGACTGGGATACCCGGTATTGCGAGATTCCCCATGATTTACCGTATTATTTACTACCTGTATAATTTATGGCGGTTTTACATGTTGGTGATGCTCCACCACCTGCTGAATACCACTGCGCCGAAACAGAGTCAAGTACCAGTTTATCATCTCTGTCATAAGTCAGTCCATAATTGATGTTTCTTTGTGACTGAGTTATTTGATGCCCATGACATTTCCATTTTTGAGTTTCTTTGCTCAGATCGCAGGGCTTGACCACCACTCGGTTAGGATCTTCGCCATCTATGCACTGCAATCGCTTCATGTTCATTAACTGACCATCAACAGTTAAAACCCACGATTTGTCTACACCAGCTACGCATGTATTATCCATAACAAGGTCTGGATCGGCTTCAAGGCAACTATCCGTTTTAGCCCATCGTGCGGTGCCTCGTAATTCAAAACTTTCTTTTGGAACTAAAAAAGGAATATGTTTTAATATCCACGTCTTTTACAGAACTTAATAAAAAACTAGATAAATAATACTGGCACGAAGCAACATGCATTGACTGGTGCATGACTAGTTTAGGGGTGCCTGGTATAAAAAGAATAGTGTCTGAACAATTCATAATCTGTAAGCTTAAGGCCCTGTTACACGGTGCAATTTCTCTCGCAACGTGCAATGCAATTCTAATTCTAAGAGATGTAAATTAGTGAAGAGTCTTGCAGAGGAAAAGTGCATGAAGTGTAATAAACACAAACGTTTCGTGGTTCCCAAATATACTCAAAAGTCTCTCAAAAGTAGAATTGCATTGCAAGTTGCAAGAAAAATTGCACCGTGTATAACAGGGCCTTCATTAGTAGTTTCGATTTATTATTCGTGTCGATTTTGTCATTTCCGCATTTGCTGTTAAGATGAAGTTTATTTGTATAATGATGAGCCTGCCAAATGGTTTGTCCATTATGCAAAAAAATAACCGACTATGAAAAGCTTTTATAGGCTAGCAACGCTCTAGGGTTTTTCAAAGTGTAATTTGAATTTTGATAAAAACAAATGTGACTGCAATCACTAGGTTCTTGTCGATTTTGTACTGTTTTTCATGGTTTAATGCTTAAATTTCAACATTTTTGAACGTCGCGAGAGTCCGATAAACTGCCTGCTTAATGCAACTGAAAAACAGCCATTGTTTTATGGAAATCCATGACTGCCTCATGTGCTCAATGATCTTTATATCCTGTGCTTTTATCAATCATTATATGCTGTACTTTCGTTATTATATGCGGTGGTTAATTCATTATATGCAGTAGTTACATCATTATATGCTGTGCTTTCATTATTATATCCGGTAGTTTTATCATGATACGCGGTACTTATATTTTTATATGGGGTAGTTTTACATCATTATATCTTAATTTATATCATTGTTTACTCCCCTTTATGACTATTTCTGTACCAAATTAAATGATAGGAATGTTTGCCATTGATTCATTTGAATCATTTGAATATATACGTTTACGTCTGGTTAGAAAAAGGCGTGGTGTTGCAGCATGCATGTATTTCTATTGACTTTACTTGAAGTTTCCCACGAATGCTTCCGCCACTGATCAGTAAAGTCCCGTACAGACGGGCACTTGTTCGTGTGCAAGGCGAAACAAGTTTTCCTTGAAAGGTTACGACAATATGATAAAATAAGTATACGATAAAATAAGTAAACTTCCAAAAACCGCTCGATTGGCTCGAAGATATTGTTGAGCAGTTTCCTACTTGAAAAGCTGGCATGACTAGCTTTTGAACAAGGCTCCTCTTGTCAAGGAAAACTTGTCAAATTTTTCGCGTACACACGAGCAAATAAAACTTGGCAAGGAAAACTTGCAAGGAATAATATAAAGGAATTAAGAGCATGTTTTAAGGATCGATATATACGCCACTAATATACGCCATGTATATTTATGCAAGCTCTTGACTCACGCGGATTTTGTGTGAAAACACGTAGTTATTCAATAGAAAGCGCTACGCGTAGCCGTAGGCTATAAAGTATAAAAAGCGACCAGCCTGCTTTGCGTGCAGATTGCAGAACTAGAAATTGGGTTTGTATCAAACTAATTAACTTCGGCTGATCGGCTCTTTTAACAGCATAAACAAGCGTTATAATAGCCTCCTTATACAATAACTAAATGCAACGTTATATTTTACTAGCAAAATATAAATGCCTAATATAAATACATTAGAGATGCCTGCGTATAGGAGGCTAGCGTTATAATATACGTGCTGTTAGTGCAGCTACAATAATTTGCACTCGATCATGAGTCGGTCCCAATAATATGGTTAACGTTAGGAAAAATTCAAAATGGTGAATGATAAAAAGATTATATTTTTTGACATGCGGCTCTAATATACACTTCTTATTTTAACATCAAAGGATCGTTTCACGCCAAATTTACGCTTCAAGACGGACCTTTTTGTCATATTGTCGTCATATTTGCCAGAAAAATTACATGCATATACAGTGTATATACCTATTTACATTCGTGCTTTGCATGAATATAATAATAATCACGCAGCAGAGCTGAGTGCTACCATAAGATCATAAAGTGTAATAATCATGTTTGCCACACGACAACATATATAGACAGCTAACCCAAGCCAAATACAAATGCCTAATGTAAGTACATAAGAGATGCCTGCGGAGGAGGCTAACGACAACATTGACTTACGCGAATCATCGTCTATTTTATAGCCTGTCACACACTTCCCTGCTCCCTTCCCATCTCCAACAAAATTTTGCTCGTTTCCCTTTCTACATTGACATTGTGCACATCCATGATACTCGTTAGCGCACTCCGCGTTATACCGGCTGCAGATTCGTGGGCAGGTTTGTGAGTCGCACTCTGGGTTATCGAAGATATCTCCATAATCTCGAGTGACATTCCACGATTGTACATATTCGATTTTCATGCTTAACAGAGTAAATGCAACCAAAATCGCACACACAATATTAAAAGCAGTCATCATATACATGCATTTACACGCCCAAGTCAGCCGTAGATGAACTCATAGAAGCTAGGCTAGGGCGTTCAAAAATGCTGACTCACTGAATGAAGAATTTGATGATAATGCAGCTGCTAGCCTGCTACTGAGTTGTCTGAAATTGCAATAAAGCATATACGTAATTAATATTGCATGTGCATGCATTGGCCTAAATCTACTCACGCGATTGGTCAAAATCAATCACATGGTTTCTTGTTGCCTGGCGACAGATCATTAGAATCATAATTTATTAGCAAAAATGACAGCCTGAAACAAAGCTTGTATCTTTAATGCAACTTTATGTTCGTCTTTTGTTTACAAATAAACGCATGCACCATACAATGAACTCGAAATTTCAATATTCCACTCGGCCTAACCTCGTGATTGAAATTTCACGTATCTCCGGTTATACCGGTAGTTGAAATAACGTTTAAAAACATCCCATTCGAGTGTTCATAAGCTTATAACCTGCATGGCGGCAGATGTACTCGCTTAGGAACCGTGATTACAAGATAGATATAATATAAGATAGTTTCACTGGATTGTCTTATACGACTCTTGCCGTGTAAAACAAATGATATGCGAGCGCATGCATGTTGGCATAGCATGTTGTCGTAATTAGTTCAGGTTACCACATGCAGTTCACGGTTTAAATACTTCCCCATTTTTGTGACTGTTTCCTCATTTTTTTATATAATGTTTCATAAAAAAAAGTTGTTTAGAAACTTTCGGTCATAGCCCTGCATGCATGTGTATATTTTCGAAAATTTTCAAATATGTTATACCATTGCATTCTTTGAATTCTTGTTTCACACACTATATTCATAACTAATAAATATTAACTAATTATTTCACTCTTTAGAAACGCTATTTTAGAACCATTTATTTTTTTACAAATCAGCAGCGAGCGGAATCCTAGCCTTTCCTGCAATCTGATTGGCTGTGGCAGCGGGCGGAATTTAAGCTAAGGATATCTGACCACGGTCCGGAATCCTATATTTTATGCTCGAGCGAAAGCGTATTAGTTTTGCTTTTCTAAAGATTTTCCCAAACTTTTGAATTTTATTATTTTGAAATATATCGACCAAAGTCATGGCTAGACCAAATTATTATCACGATAAATTGGAGTGAATTTTAGTAAATTAAGGTGGTCTAGTACATTGAAAATCGCGATTTATCCTGTTTTAACATTTCAGCATGAGAACCTGGACTATTTCAATAATTATAGCCTGTAGCTACGTTACAAACATTCATTAAACAAGTGTGATACACAAAGTACAATTTTCTCAGGATTTTAAATCAACACTAGGTTCAAGTTTCAGCCCGCTGAACTATAGGCCGAAAAGTCTATATCGCCATGTAATCAGCTAGCCCTGAATATATTATAAAACTTACGACTTACGAGAACTTTCGACTATTTCATAGCCTGTCACACATTCTCCTCCTTCTTTTCAATTCCCAACGAAGTTTTGCGATGATTTCTTTTTACATTGACATTGTGTACACACATATTCCATATAACATTCGGCATCAAACACGCTACAGTTTTTTGGGCAGGTTTGTGAGTCACAGTCTGGGTTATCGAAGAGTGCATGACATCCAACGATTGTACTCGAATTCCGCGCTTAGGAGTAGAAGTGCAACAAGAATTGCACACCAATTCCAAGTACTAAAGGGAATCATCGTCGTAATGCCCAAATATGAAGTCAGCCATGATAGTTGTCTGAAATGACAAAGAAAGGTATCCCATGCATGTGCGTACAGTGTATATCGGTCATAGGATATAGGTATTCTCAGCATTCTCACCGGTCACTAACTCCCAACCATAGTCCTAAATGCGCATGTACATGATTCAAAAATCTCCTTAGTGCTCAGCATGGTAATACTGCAAAATCTCCGGGTAAGACTGCAAATCAATATTGAATGTAAACTGCAGTTTTTTATAGCAAACAAACAGCGTCGTATAAACGTATACCCACGCACTTAATAGATAACTAAAAATGTAGGCCCACTTCAGGCAGTTATGTATATATATATATATATATATATATATATATATATATATATATATATATATATATATATATATATATATATACGTGTATATATATATACCGCAATACCTTTTAGTTTGATTGCCCCGGCTTCAGTTCAGTTCAGTTCAGTTCAAATTTGGTCATATTTGACTCGAAGAGCCAGTGAGACAGTCTGGGAATGAAATGAGTCTTTCAATTCACATCAAGTCAGTGTCCATTATCTCAGAAATACTGCTTTTGTTTTTTTTCTCAACTCATTTTCTTTTTGATGTCGCCAAAAAATAATATACGCATTTATTACGTAATGCGACGGGTCTTTTTGAAAACCCGAAGCGAGGTTTATAATTCTACGCAACAAAAGTTCCAAAAAATGGTCGCTCTAGAGGAACACATCTCTTATTTGTGGTATATCTGTGTCACTCCACGACGTTGTATAGTGCAAGTGAGTCCGGTATAGAAGATTAATAAAATCAAATGGACATTTGACACCCGACACCATACATTCCTGTATAAGATTATATTTCTTCACGATCATTCGAGAGTCAGCCAACAGCGGTAAGTATACACATTAACTTACCCGGACCTTAATTATTCTTTTGATTTTATCAAGTTTGATCAGCTAACAACCCTAACCTGTGTATTGACAAAATAATCTTTCTACCAGAGCATGAAATTTTGGAGAGAGTGCTTGACGTTAACATTATGAAACGCCGGTATGTATATGCATTTATTTTCGCTTCGTATAGATACGCGATATGCTATATCTGTGATATCTGTATATAGTCGAACATATATTGCAAATATATGGCTTACAGTCCCACGTCTAAATTGATCGACTAACTATTATAGTAGGTCTCAAAAGCAACTTGTTGTCCCCTTTCTCATTTCTCTACCCACAACAACTAAATGAGCTTGTTTACAGATCCACGTTATTGCACCATGTTAATTAACGACGACAATCAATATCATGCATATATGCATGGTAGTCTCAAAAATAAGCGTTTCCGGTCTTAGCTACAGATATTTTGTCCCCCGAGCAAAATTTTGTATGAAAATAGGAAATACATGGTGGCCAAGTGTTCTTCAAGCGAATAAAATTATATTTGAAATATTTTATGAACGAGAATTACTAAAAAATAAACAGTTCAGTTACGAGATCCTATACTAAAACGCCTTAATTACAAATGTGCACAAAAAGAAATTTCAGCTGCTTTTTCCAGTTCCTACAGAGGTCGAAAACGCATAAAATTGGTACAGTGAGCAATTTTAACTGTGCCGATATATTTTTATGAAAACGAGGCTTAATTAAAGTGTAAGTCAAGTCCGTATGTAAACAAACGGTTTGTTTACATTTTGAACTTCCCTATTTTTTAAAATACGATGTGCTGTCTGAATATCTAACACTATTTAGGTTCATTACGCTTCTAAATTAATATGAACTAGAGTTTGAAAAAATAAGAAACATGCGAAATTTAGGCAATTTTCACTTCAGAGGTTCGTCACTTGTTATGAGCAGAACCTATGCGCAGAACGGACTTGACTTCCACTTTAACCTAATCATAAATTTTACCCTAAGCCAAACTTATCTAAGGGTTAAATTCGGAAGTATTATTCAACCTTCAATATCCCATCATCACCATAATCATGCAGTCTCAAGTAATTTCAAGAGCGATATTATATGCATGATACTACAAACTCTTCTACTACAAACTCTCACTACATCGTAAAACTTCAACTAAATCGTAAAACTCTACTCTAAATTAAAATTCATTCTCCTTTCTTACTGTGGAAATACAATATAAATAAAAAATATAACAAAAAACGAGGGTGAAAAAATCGTTAATGCACTCCGAAAAATTAGCACTAACCTATTTAACTAACTCTCAGCTGGACTGCTCATAAATTCATTCTTGGTTGTGACCACTCATGGGAAACGGGAAAACAATTACACTCAAGTCAATTCTTCGCCTAAATGCGGAATACAATATAGATTCTGTCTTTTTTTGAATTTTAGCATGGCTGAAGCACTACCATGGTACCACGGACCTATCTCTAGCGAGGAAGCGATAAGAATCTGTACAACCGTTGGTAAAAATGGCGCGTATCTTCTTCGTGATAGTCAAAGAGAACAAGATACATATACATTGTCTGTGCTGTAAGCCATTTGTCAATTGTCACATATATAATATAACGACTTTATATACGACTTGTCGTATTACTTATAAGTCACTTACCCTAATTAATTGCATTTGAAACTCACGTTAATAATCTTATTTACTTTTGCTTAAATCACTTGACGAATCCTTTGTTGACAACCCTCGAAGTAGAGACACTGAATAATCGAAATAATATAAGGAATACTATATACGAGTATACACTGATAGTCTGATATCGACTACACCTGAACATATTGACCTTAAAACGAATCAGTATATAGAAATGTGTATATTTACGGTACATCAGGTACAAAATGTTCACTGAAAATTGTCCAGATGAAGAGATCATATATATATAGGCCAACATTTTGAAATGTTACATATAAATGAAGAGAAAGTCTGTATATGTTTGAGAAAATTTCTCTTCCTACCAGGCTTCATTAGATAATTGAGTTAGATGTTTAATATGTAACACTCTGTATTAACATCATGCAGGAAATTTTTTGGGTAATTTATACCACTTTATATATACAGTTAGAAATTCGCTGCAATTCTTCGAAATCGAATCCATATAGCAAAGTATTTCTGCCATGCATAATACGTACAGATTTGACTCAAATTGAATGTTTGGAAATGACTGGCAATGAGTCTTTGTGTAAGGACTCCAATTAAAATTATTCGGCGAGTTCAGTGTCTGAGCAGCAGCCAATTATGTAAAATCGCGTCGACCAAACAATATGAAAATTGATATGGCGGCCAATTATAGAGCGGTGTTATCAAACATTCCTATCAATTTCTAGCACAATTATCGCGTTAAGTATTGTTTCAAACTTCACAATACAAAAAATAAGGTCAAAAAATTTTATATAAAATATGTGTGAAACTGAGGGTAATTTCAAATTACGTAATGTAAAACTGACGAAGATTCAATCAGCACTCAAAAGCCACTGCTAATTTCTTAAAATTCAAATTGGAATATGTTTATTGAAGATACGAAAGTGATGTGTACCATTACAGAATAAGGAAAACCGCGGAAAATAACCTGCACTTAAAGGTAAAAACAAGATTGAGAGTAACATGAGGAAAAAATTATTAACAGCTTTAATTGAAAGAATATTTAAAATTTCAATTTGTTTCGGATAGTTATCATGCTTTTACGTTTCCGACATTATTTTCAAGGTAATGAAGAAAGATTTTTCCTCGTGGAACGAACTAATAAAATTTTGCAAAACAAAACAAGATGCACAAAAGTTTCCACAGCCGCTTGTGAAACCAATTGAGAAATCGAGTAAGTTCTTATAATATTCAGTCTATTACGTCAGCCACCTTCACAATTCACATGCTCACGACAATTACGACTAAATGGAAACTATGCTTCAATGCTAAGCTAATTAAAATACTTGTTCTTGATATATATATATATATATATATATATATCTATATATTATATATATATATATATATATAATAAATATATAATTATATATATATAATAATATATATATTATATATATATATATATATATATATAATATTTAAGAAATAGAAAACATTTTCCGTGTTTCTATACAGTTATAGAAACACGCGTGGGAGTTTGGGAGAACGAGAAATAATCAGTGGGAAAACGAGCCCGTAGGGCGAGTTTTTCCACGTTATTTCGAGTTCTCCCAAACTCCCACAAGTGTTTCTATATCTGTATAGAAACACAGGAAAAATGTTTTCTATTTCTTTTATAATATAACTCAATAAAAGATTTTGTACAAATATTATGATTTGATTCAATTACAAATTCTCATTACATCGCTTCGCTTGTCAAGTTCGGCGGGAAAATTCCCGTGTTTCTATACAGTTTTATATAATAACGTAAAGAATTCAAGCAATTTCATTGGTCGAGAGCCATGATCTATAAGAGGACAGACGCACGGAATGACGTCACAGCAATTTTCTTTTTACCGGTTTAATTTTGGATTTTTTTCAGTTTTATTATATAAAACAAATAGATTACAATGAACCGTTGTCTGTTCAGTTATAGATACACGGTATGACGCCATATGTGATAAGAACAAAAGAGTGACCACTCGCCCCGGCGGCTCGTGGCCACTTTTTTTGTTCTTATCACATATGACGTCATACCGTGTATCTATAACTGAACAGACAACGGTTCATTGTAATCTATTTGTTAAATAGAAACACGCTTCTCGACCAATCAGCACGCGCGTACTATAAATGTTATATTATAAATATATATGATCCATGAACACAATAGTGAGGAACAGTGGCGTAGCAAGCCCGACAATTTAGATGTGCTATATGCCTGTTTTAAATTATTGCTATTATTATTTTATTTAGAAATTCATTCATGAAAAAATGTTTTTTATTCTTTCCATTTTAGTAGTCGATGTTTGGGATAGGGATAATAATAACTGGAGAGATTCTATTCAAACCGAAAAAAGAAAAAAGAAAGGGAACAGCGGGGTGCCAACATCCAAATCGAAAGGTTTGCATTGCATGTCGAAAAATTAAAAACACTTAAGTTTTTAAAATATAGGCTAAAAACCGTAAGGGTCTTAGGGTAAGTGGAAACCATGCATACATATGTGAAATTCAAGCCAGAAACAGTGGAGAAAAAAGTGTCAACTGACTCTCCGTCCTCCTATCAAACTACCTCCTACCTCCTATCCTATGAATCAAACCTACATATGTGAGTCTTTGCAATGTAATTAGACAAGTATGAGTGGCAAGAACGTAACGTTCCACCAGCATCGCGAAGGCGTAAGATTCGATTCCTGCCAGAGGACCGATTGTTGACACATTTTTTTGGAATGTATATTATTTACAAACCCTTGAAGTATATTACGACCCTTTACAGGTTATCCTACATCGGGTGAAATGTCACAAAATCGTACTTAATTTACCCTCACATGATTTGTATATACATGCATAAGTAATTTTAATTACACTATATATGGAGTGATTGGGTATCCTAAACTATTTTATTTTTTAAGGGAATAAAAAGATGACGTCACCTGGTAAAATAACAGAATTCTTTCGCAGGTACGTATATTTTTTAACAATAATAGCTTCTCCAATTTCTTAATTATAACGATCGGTGTGATAATAATTATCAACTACCATTGGCCCAGTCGGAGCATGCAGTAAATGTTCTTTTTAAATTGGTGTTGTGTTAATTGCAACTTTGCCAACTGGAAAATTTTCAGAAAACAAATGAAAATGCAATGCTAAACAATACCAAATTGGCAATGAAATTTCGTATTGAGTTGGTCAAAGAGACTTCAGCAATTTGATTTAATGTATGAACTATTTTCAACATACGCGGGTAAGAAAAGAATATGGAAAGATTAAGATTGCATGTATTTTATAATTGATTGTGCAATTGATATACAATTACAGGCCAAATAAAATCTTTTCTAATAAAGAAAAGATGGAGGCGTGTGAACAGGTAGACCGTAAAAGCGAAAAAGATAACGAGTCCAACGATGAAGAATGGGACGATACGTCATCTGAAAGTGAAAGTGAAAGGGTTGCGGAAGATTCAAGTTATCAAGCCGTAAGCTATAATTATATCGAATATTTTAAATCGTTGTTTAATTCGTATAAATCTACACATTGTAGGTAGGGTATATAGCGCTGGTGCGTGGTTAGGTTATTTTATCAGAAAAATAAAAAATCATACGCATACATGCATTCACTAATTGGAGTCGTAAATGGATTACAATAACTCTTCTTTATCATAGATTATTATAATTTGATGAATGTGAACGTGAATGTCTCAGTAAGGCAATTTAAAATCAGTATCTCGACGTTCACATGCCCAAAGCTTTCATATAGAAATTATACCTTAAGGCATCATGCCGAGGGGAAGTTTAATTACCCGAACGATTTGCAGTAAAAATAAACGTTAGTTAAAAGCCTACCAACAAGAACGACAAAGAGATTGTAGACCCTATATACAACTATACAAGGTATCTGAAAAAAAACGAAATATTCTTCCCTTGCAGATTTCGGTCAACTGTAGGGAAAAATTTATTGCAACGGCTGACAGCACCGGACAAGAGAACGAAATGGAATATAAGAAAGGTGATGAAATGATATTAGAAGGGGTCCGTACTGACGGCTGGTGGTATTGTTTAAACAAAGCAACCGAGAAGCGTGGCTGGGTTTACGAAGCATCTCTTAAGAAATGCTAACCCAGTAGTGCAGTTCAATCTTGAAAGAGTATATCGGACGTACCAATAATTATTTTGTGAAACCAGTGTACCATATAGTGGCTGGAACAGGTCGTAATTCGTGAAACTGCTACAAGTCAGTCAATGTCACCCCCTTGTCCTACCTTTATAAATGCCTTTATTCCAGGAAGAATATGCAAGGAACTTATCATTCAACAGGCAATTCTCCAACGTAATTATTTATATTCCATTCATTATTCTTTTCTGCTAGAATTGGGGTTGTAAGTACAGATTTCCCTAAAATATGCCAAATCAATATTAACACACACCCCAAAAAATGACACAATAGAAATTATCTTATATTAATTGTTATTATCATTCACTTTATAGTATTTTCAATTTTGATTGGTTAATTTACCTGCAGTTAACTGCGTGCAAATAATACTCAGCTGCAAATAATACTCTGAGCATGCGCATTAATGTCAATTTTATAAACAATGGCGACTCGCTTTGCCGAACTGTTCGATAAAACGAACTCAAAATTGAAAATTGTGTGGTGAATGAATTGAAAATTAAGTGGTGAATGATAAAACAATTATTGAACTCGGTTCTCGCAAAATATCGTGATTTGTCGGTGGCTCGCAGATCAATTATTTGCCTCTGCCTTCGGCATCGGCAAATAATTGATCTGCTCGCCACCGACAAATCACGATATTTTGCTCGACCTCGTCCAATAATTGATAATTATTTGAATGTCCGAGTTATGCTACACGCACAGGTGCATGGACACATCTTCTTGAATTTTAACTAGCTTTTATTAAAAAAAAGGTCGACTTGCGACAAAATCATGGTTTAACCGACCTTTTTTGTAAAACTTTTGTTATAATAGAATTAAATTAGATTATTTTGTGTATAATCCCGTTTTAGCCAATCCGTGAGTTTGTTTACATTTTCAATAACCCAATCAGAATGGATAACAAATAACTTGTATAATCAAATTGTTTTGAATGTTAATGCCCTAGTCAATGTTGTTAAATTGAAAACATGCACCTTCAAACGGGTTTGTAATTATAATGTGCTAATGTGGTTTCGATTTTAACGAAAGCCATCAGAGTCCCTTTTGGGACATCCGCTGTAAAGTATTTCCTTATAGGTACCAAACCTCTACTGCAACTACAGCTGATTGCTATAATTGCTTCGAACAACATTGCTTCGTGAAACAAAACTCTTTTCCCTGCGACATATAGCAGTAGAAAATATTTATACAGTCATTTTTTATGTCACGAGCTTTAAAAAATCAAGGGCGTAGGGTTTCGGGAGACATCTTCACCGGCAAAATTTAGAATTTTAGGGCCTCTAAAAACTTCCTACTTTGGATCCAGTTAATAACTCGGCTGACGACTGTCAAGTTTATAGTCTATTGACAATGAAGTAGGGCAAGCAAATCTACTGAAGCCAATGAAGTACTGTTTTACCAATAACACTACGGCACTGCATAGCTACATTCCATACGTCTGAAGTAAATTGGATCCAACAAAATTCAATCGTGTGAACGGACCGTAAGTTTGATCACCCTCAATACTATAACAGGTACAAATTGGAACCCAAGTTTAATTTGTGGAAAATATTTATCGATCAGTGATCTAACTATCGCTAGTGTGGAACTCAACAATCTACGGTTCAAATTGTTTTCAAATATGCTTATATATATACACACAATACCCATCAATAATGACTACCTACCATTGATAATGGCGACAGGCTTGAGAGTCACTTCTGTACCTTGAAAATACACCAATCTCTGTGAATATTTTCTTCTATCTTCCTTCTCTAACGCAGCTATATACAACCCACTGATCATGAATATACTGCTTGTCTGTTGACTCTGCTTCGTAGAAAGCCTAGCATATACCATACACTATACACATCCCACAAATTCGTAAACTATGAAACGCGTTATGCTGCACGTTATGTTGCATTAGGATATGATGCTAAGGCTTCAGTCGTGCACACAATAATAATCATGAAAGCTTAAAAACAAACTTTCAAAATCAAACTACAAGTGCTGTTGAATGTTCCTGAGGCCTAGATTATACGTCGCATTTTCGTCGCGTCGAATGCAATTCAAACAATAGATGAGATGGTGCACCTCATTAAGCTTCATTGCCATCTCATTATCTATTGTTTGAATTGCATTCGACGCGACCAAAAAGCGACGTAAAACCTAGGCCTGACCAAGGGCAGATTCACTGTTAATTTTGAGGTGCTAAACTAGCACCAACGTAGGTGTCAAATCAGCACAATGCAGTGGTGCTAAATAGAAAGTGCTATTTTGACACCAATTTCGGCGCTAATTTAACACCATCAAATCTGACATTACGCTAAAAGTGCCAATATGACACCTTTTAAATTCAGCACCATTGTAATGTGTTGAAATAACACCTCTGTTGCCGACGGAAAGTGCTAAAATAACGCTATATTGAGAGCTAAAGTACGGGGTGTCAAAATAACACTAAATGGCGGATAGGAAAAAAGCGGTTCTTTAAGTAATTATTGGAAAATAAGTCCGTATTTTCGATTCAGATGTTTTGGAACAAGAAATTCCTGTGCGTTTTGGCACAACTATTCATCTGAGTGATCTGACGACATGGAAATTCGACTTGTTCTGATACAAAAAACCGATAGAGACGAATACTAGACAAATGGTAGATGTATTGATTGCTACAAAGTATTTATTTCGCAATCGCCTGCGGTATATGTATGTCCATATAAGGAACAAAATATAACACGTGATCAGCGCCTGTATGCAAATTTTTGAGCGCGTCGTTTGAAAACTCTTTTGAATCGTACTTCATACTGCAGTGTTGAAGACGTTTTGAGCGTATTTTCTTAACTATTTTGGTACTTCTAAATATGCTGAACAACAACGGACTCACATAAGGAAATATCAAGACAATTAGCTATGATATTATCTCAGAAATATCTTGGTAAGTTGAATTGAATTGAATTTGATCGAGTACGGAGGTCCATGTTCGCTCAAACGGCCAAATCGCCAAACAAACAAATGCGTGTTATTTTTTTTTATAGAGAAGCCAAATGAATTCTACTTTTAATACTGCGATGATCTCTTTAGCAATCTGGGTCAAAGAAAATATCATTGCAATGATAGGTATCTATTCATGTTTATTTTTTTTACCGTGATTTTATGAAGCATCTGCGCTAGTCTCTTATATTGATGTAATTTAACGATATTGATGTAATTTAACGATATTTTATCCTATATTAACATTTGACAATTTATGCTCTATTTTGATACATTTGATGTTAGAGAAAGTTTTTTGTTTAATGAAATATCAATGCCTGTGTAATATTCTTTGATAAAATTATTGAGAAGTATAATCTGCTACAGGTTAGCTGAAAGTACTATTAATAGCCTGCTGAAAAATTTGAGTTTAACTTGTATTCTAACAATTATTGTCAGTCATTCAATTGCCCAGCGATTGATTGTGTTCTATAGTAAGGTTGAATTGTGGACTGATACATTTATCAACTATAAATAAGTCTACAATATCTATATGATTAATTATTATTCTTTTCTATTTTAAGTTTTCACCAAGAGTGAACTAAGGCTTCAATGTGGAAAATTAAGGCGAAACTGTAATTCTAATGATTCACAAGGGAATAAGGGATATTTACTGTCAACAATGAAGTGTATACAATTATTGTATCCAACCATGGAAGAAAAACAAAATATTTCACCTATGATAATTTAGAAATATCCCTTCCTTGCTGACTCAATTGTGGTGGAACAGTAAGTTAACCTTGTTGTTATACATATCTTTATGATCTATGTTTACCACCTCTATGATACCCTGGATCTGACTTGTTAAACATCTGGAATGGATCTGACTTGTTAAACATGTCGATAATTCAATTTATTCTGATACAGGGTTCATGGATCATAACAAGGCCAAGGGTAGAAACAATTTAAGAAAAATATCCTGCACTCCAGATTATTACAGAGGTAAGTTTGCTTTTAGTTTACAGCATTCATATTGATATTGGTACCTGTTTTATTGATATCAAGTGCTCTATTTCAACACTTTGCTTTAATTCTTGTTGAGAAACTATCCAAACAGATAATTGACTGCCAAATTTCTTTGTTCGACATAATACCCATGTGTGCTAGTTGGCAACTTTTTAGTTAGCCTGTCATATTTCGTGTAAAATTCTCATTGATATTTTAGTTAATTGACAGAGTATGTGTTAGAACTAAATTACCAGTAGAATAATTTTCTTTCACAATGTATCTAGCATACTGTATTAATTCTTTTTCAGGTAAGAGCTGAATTTTAAAGAGTAAACTACAAGTTGATCCATGATATGGTTGGCAAATTTCAATCCATTGATTCAGAAAAATGTTTTGGACTATGCCAAGAAATGTAACAAGAAAACTACATTGGTTCTTATAAACAGAGTGGAAAGAGCAATTGCTGGGAAATCAGGTAAATCATGCAATTAATAATAATTTGTCAAAGCCAATGGCACAATTACAATATTATAGCAATACAGGCTATTGCTACATGAAATATGGCCTATTTAGATTCTATCTATATTGATAAACAATTTTTTTAACAGACATCAAGAGCACAGTTGCTTAGATTTTGAAGGAACTATTGAAGGAGAATGCAGGAGAATCTCAGTCTCTCTTTTTTAAGATTTGTTCTGTAAGTGTAAGAAACTCTGTGGGCTGATTTTGATTTTTAAACACTTTTAAAGTCCTTTTTAAAAACATTGGTTTCTTATTAAAGTTTGTTGATTCCATAGCTAGATCAGGATAATTGGTTCAGAAGACCTTTCAGATGTTCAGACTGTGATGATTGCGGTGAAGGGGCAAATGTTAACTTATTCAAGAACAGACTCAACCTTATTTTATCTACTAAACATGGAGTACATTGCTGGTGTGGCAAATGGAAACTGCTCTCGTCAGGAAGCCTTAGGACAAAAACTTTTAAAGGACGTTAAGTACCCTAGACATTTTATACACTCTTGTACATAGATTTTCCTGTCACAGCATATGTAGAAATAAATATTTTTAAATCGCATTTTGTCCACTTTGTATGATTATAGCTTATGCTATTTATTCGCTCCATTGCTAGCGCTAAAGTGCAAAAACTAAACCACACAAACTTCGGGTGTTAGATTAACACCATAAATTGGCGTAAAAGTAGCACCAAAGATCGTGCTAATTTGACACCTTATTTCGCGGTGTCAATTTAGCACCCGAAATGGTGTTATTCTGTACCTTTTTATCTGACACCTTTTTTGGTGTCAATATGACACCGCAAAATTAACAGTGTTGTCGTTTAACATGCATTATTAATTTTTAAGGTTTGTGGGTTGAAGCCCAGGATTCCTATATCGGGTGACGTACGACGCCTTATTATGCAGATGCCTTAAACACGTACCCTAAAGCTGCATTAAAATCAGATCTTTTGTTTTGAACGTGGGTTGTGACATCCTTTGGAATTTAATCGGGCAAATACGAAGTAATTATACCATTTCCTGATCGCCTATGATAACATAACAGGACGAAAATTAAGAAAAACAGTTTAACACAAATAAACGGGTTTTTTCCTTCACAACGAATACCCGATGTTCTGCAGTCATTTGCAGCGTCACCAATAAACGGGTTTTTCCTCCACAACAAATACCTGTTATTTTAGTCATTTGCAGCGTTCGAATTCGAATTAACGGTAAAATGGGTCATGTCAACAACACGTAACATTTAAGTAAAATTTCGTGCCACGCATACTCAAGTTATACGTACCACTTTTATAGCCTGCTCAAGTGTGCTACTTTTTCGAAACATTCAATGTCATTATGAGACATGATGTTACATCGATCGGTGATTTGCGTATGAAACAAGGTTATATTAAGTTTGAGACACGGATAAATCAGTTCTTTCTAACCGAAAACTGCAGGTTAGAATTTGCTTAGAATTTGACGTCGCGCCGAATGCAACTGATAAACAAAAGATGATGAGAAGATGATGAAGGTTGTAATTACGCCGTTATCCTGTATGATTATACTCGTTGTGACGTTTGTTGCGTCGACAACGAGTTGCGACGTTTAAACAAGAGTTCATGCACGGTCACGTAATAGATGCCAAAAAAAATTTTAGCTGGATGTAATTCGAACCATAATAATTCGGGGTTAAATTTCGTTGAATAGGTGCACTTTACTCGGCCTATATCATTCAGCACGTTGCAGCAATATTCTCGATAATTTTAATTCCAGAAGCCAATTTCTTATTAACATATATAATGTGAAAGTTGTTCAGTATACGCACATTGAGATACTTGCAATTTCATATTCAGTTATAATATAGTTCTATTTGATATCAATACCCAGCTGGGGCCAGTTGTAACTGAAACCTCTGGTAAACGAGGTTGGTTCAAACTTCAAAGATATAGGTTAGCGCTAACTCTGGGTTTAATTTTAATCCAGTGTTAATGTGCTTTTGAAACACTGTTCGTTTACACCTTAAAAAATTACTTCTATCGGTCCAGAAAATATTTAAAAAAAAACATATTCAACTTTGTGCCAACAATTAATGTAAGGATTTGCTTTTACCCAGGGTTAAGCTAACCGGCCCCATAGCAGTTGCTATAATGTGAGCCCCTGTCTCTGAAAAAGATAATCAATTAAACCGCCTATATGTTAAAAAGAAAATCAACGTATATATGTAGAGTTAATTCAAAAGACGAAATCATAAAAAAGTTCTTTGCGATCCAAAACCCATCAGGTTTCAACTTCCCTTGACAAGCGTTTAGTATAACGACATCCGCATACCTCAGTTCTGGAGGGTATTTCGGAAATAATTTCTTGAGAGTATGAATGTAAATGCATGCCTAATACGATGATTGCCTAATGCAAAAGATTACAAAAGTCGTGAACTTTAGAAGAGGTATATAGATTCTGAGGAACGTGACCGCTTAAAAGTCTGGCTTCCTGTTCTACTTAATGTATTCGATTGAATTGTTTAGCCCAGCTTGAGAAATCAGCAGCAAACTAGACTCATAATAGACCAGCCTTCGTCGTCATTAATAATCATTCGTCCATATCAAGTGCTTGTAAGCTAAAATCATGTCTGAATTGCTCTGGAATCATGGAAGAATATCGAAGGAAGAAGCAGTCAGACGATTTCGTCAGTTCCACCCTGATGGTAGCTTCTTAATGCGAAACAGTGAAACAGTAATGAATGCTTTCGTTCTTTCAGTCGGGTGAGTTTCGCAGTTGTTTAGTTTTGAATACCAGAGCCGGGTAAATATACGGTTGCCAACTGATATCATGGCATTGCCGATTTAGAGGAAGGATATTTGCGACTTCCAAAAAAAAAAGAAGGTTTCATTTGCGAAACAGTTGATCGAATAAGCAGATCGGGAAGCGTGGCAAATTTCTGCTGGAATAAAAACCACTAAAAATATCAACGACGTTGCCAACTATGCGAAATTATATTAACAATAATATTTTAATACGATGTATATCTTGACACCAAAGTGTATTCGAATAACGGCAATCAGTGAGAATATAGGGCTTCAAAATGACGATTTTCAATCAATTCATGAAATTCGCCTCAGTTTAACAGTGTTTACAACAACAAATATTTGTCATTGTCTAATAAATTAGGACTGGTAGCCGCTCCAATAAATTAGGACTGGTAGCGAGCAGTAACCAATATATTTACTAATACTTTCAGGCAGGTAAATACATCTCATAAATGGACAGTTATATTAAGTTGAGTTGCAGCCGCTTTACTGTCCACGAGAGGCACAAATTCCATGTTTGATAATCGTCACGACGTCGATAAACCAAGCATTTCATTTAGGTTTTTAACTAATAAAGGATACTGTATAATATATAACTTTGAACAAACTTGGTGGTCGTAATTTTGCACCCTGTAGCCACAGGATTCCTCTCCGAAATTAAACAATGTGTATATACTAGCTATACGTATATGACGTACGCTATATAATATATACATGCATTATAATGCATCGCTTCAAATGTGGATTCTCTGATTTAAAAATACTTTCAATGTTTTCAGATTTCAAAACAATGTTTACCATTACAGAATACTTCAGGATACGTCAAGGCGTTTGCTGTTTGAAGTAAGAACTATTCGCATGAACGTTATAGCGTACTGATATATATAACTAATGAGATTTTTACATACCATTCAATCTTTTTTTATCACACTTTGTGTAATTCATTACGCCCCTTGACCTTTCTCTTCGAATGTTTCTCGTATATCATGCATTACAAAATACCACACTCTTTTCCCTAAATTGATCCATACATACAAAGCATGCAGCGTCCGAAGATTATCATCTTGAAAAAACAAGATGTTGTTTTGATCAAAAAAGGCAGCCACTGCGTGTTTCTGCTCTGTTTGTGTACGTGACAGTACGTCAGTCATCAATATACACTGGACGATTGCAACTATAAACCGAATTTTAATATAGCAAGAAGAATGAAATCCTAAACTCTACAGCTATAGAAATTTTGGAAACTTCCAAGTTTGGTTATAAAATTTAGCTAAAAGTATGGCTTATCTTAATCCTCTTGACTCCTTGTAGCCTGCATGGCAGGCGGTCCTAGACTCCTCGAGGAACACGAGTTCGACACAAGTTTCTTCCATCCAGCACGGTAATGGATTTCTTTTCTGCCCCACTTTATATGAAAACAAGTGTTTTCAATTCGCCCTCCACAGTTGCCCATGCACCAGAGTCAGTTATATGTATATGACCTGACAAAGGCCCTCATGCAGGTCGAAGCTTCGAGAAGTATTTTGTCTATTTTAGGCAGTTGTTATACCACATTTGATGCAATAGTTACACTTTGCATAATTAAATCCTAGTTAACTCAGAAATATACGACTCTTATTGGCCAATGTCCTTATCCCAGGAGTTCCTTGGTCTCCCACGAGGACGTACACTCAGTGTAGTCCATCGCGTATATTATCACGATTATTAGTTTTCATTTTCTGTTCGTAGATATACAAATACTAACAATATTATGCAAAATTAGTGAACTTCACAAGGCAATATTTTCCATCATTTTGAAATCCAAATTTGCGTCTTTACTCATTTTAGCTGCTCCTTGCTCATTTTAGGATGCTGCATGCATGCGGGGTTACACATTCGTCTTTATTATAGATCAAACTCTTATGTCTATATAGCCGCAGTTACCATTTACTTCGACCACAGCTGTCATCTTAATGATTAATATGTCTTAGCGATTTAAGGAAAACTAGTAATCTTTAAGCGTTTATACATTTTGTGTCTGCAAAGTTTTAAACATGCATTATGTAATATAAAATACTACAACATTCTCACGATTTTTTGTCAATTAATCTGGAAGATAACGGCATTTTCATTTACTTTATTCAAGAATGTAAAGTATTTCACCCATGCGTGCATGTATTCTGTAGTACTGTGGTGCATTCTACATGCATGCAGCACAACAAATCTGAAATGACTACCATGTGCAAGACAATTTGTTGATCATCGTCTTCTTCTTCCTCTTACATTTCAGAATAGAATATACTATTCGTTGGCGGATATAGTGGAATATTACGGAAAGTACAGAGGTTGTCTTGTATGCACCCTGAAACACCCGGTATTGCCACCGTTACCAACTGCGATCGGTACGTTCATAATCAATCTCTGCATGGTTAATATTCTTATATATACTTACATATTTATATAAACAGCAATTTGTACCTTCAGAAATATATAATATATATAATATATAATGAAACTGTTCGTGTATTTGTAATGATTCGATTATCCTTTTTTTACTGTAGATCAACATAACGGTTATGACGTACCTAATACCAGTCACATGTATGAAACATGTTCAGGAGATCGTGGTTATGAAAATGTAGAGGTAATTGTTCACCTCGATACAAACACGAAATTTTTTACAGCGAATCTGAGTACTAGTGTGCGTTTTCACTTTCGTTCATTTATAACGGTGCACTGTTGTCTTTTCCAATTTTAGTAATTTTGGGCTGCTCTAGATCTTTCCAGCTGTACATGCATACTGATATATTCCTTGCTTTAAATTTAGCTTAATAAGGAAATGATCCATTGAATCTCTACTTTGTAATAAATCATATTAGGTCACCTTTATTTTTTTAAATGTTACAATCAGGATTGTTCTTTTATACTTACACTATAGTTACACTCAAAGTCACCATCATGAAGAAAACAAAATGGAGGTTTGACAAAAAACACAATATATTCTTGAACAGTCCTATAGCTTTCAGTACCTTATACAAAGTATTTAAAAAAGGTTTATAGGGTGTATAGTCTAATATAAAATTATATCGCACGTATGTAGAAGTACCAATGAGGGGAAATTTCCCAGGTGATGCGATAGAATAGCTAAAGCATTTGAGATGTTAGACGAGTCGTATTATATCGTAGTAAGCTAACAGTGGTCGATTCAGGGTAAGTCAGAATAAATTATACGGCCAAGTTTCAAATTCAAAATACTTCATAACAACGCTATTGGTTATTCATTCTATTTACATATGTAAATATCTACCAATGATTGCAACTGTGGATACACAGAATGGTAATCTGTATTCTGTAATGTATTCCATAATTTATACAGTTCGACTTGAATAAATCATATCATTTTGCAAAATGTCTGCATCTGTACCACTAATTTAAACACATAACACATTTTCTATACGCCCCCCTGGAAATTATTCCAGTTTAAACCTTTAGCAAACTATCGATAGAGGAGGAGCATATTAATAGTGGGTGTTATTAAGCATGATTATTCATAAATTTTAAAGAATAATCTGCAAATTATAGCTTGTACGTTAATACCAAACATGGCCCTTAAGTACAGCGATGTAATGATTTTACGTTCTTACTATCCGGCCGTAAAAAATGAAAAACACATTAAGTCTAAGTTAACATCGCTGGAAGGTTATCTTATTATGGTGATTACATGGTGATTTATGATTGTAAGTAAACGCGATTGAATGAATTGTTATTGGTAATAAAATCATATTAGCCTACAACAAGCATGGTGAAATAAAACCAAGGTCGACTTCATCAAAATCGTCAAGAGGATATATTATATATTGTTAACCTTCTAAATCAACCACCACCTACGACATTGCATTCACATAGGCGACGAATTGCAATTGACGTAAACTAATAACTACATTTACAATGTATTTTTTACATCCTATTTCGATTAAAATGACACTGACGGCTGACTCAAGGAATTCATTAAATAGGGTTTTAAATTAGTATTGGCGACATTCATGTTACTACACAGTAAAATTATATAAGGCTATTCTACGCGATGCGATCCGAAATATTATATTCTAAATTACTGATTTCAGTTTGATTTAATTTGAGTTGACTGCAATATTTTTTACCATGTACTACAGTCTATATCCAATTTGCTACGGTTTGAACACGCCCGCCTTTCGTAGACTTTCAACTTGCCCTAAAATCTATAATGTATACAAAACGGAGACTGTAGAACACTGTACATGCAAGTTTAAAAAAAGATATCATTAAAAATCGTTAACAATAATGCCTGCATGGTTCCATTACGTCGCAAGTGAAAAATTCTGTGCAGTGCTATTTTTTATATCGCGAAAAATGTTATTTTAGGAGCAGTCCTAAGCCCCGTTTACACTACACTCAATTTAATGGCACGGCACGGCTAAAATGGGTACCCGCACACATCACATTTGTGGTCGACCTTTATTTTGGTAGCCTGAACACTAATAAAATTGGATACGAGTACTCATTTTAGCCGTGCCGTGCCGATAAATTGACTGTAATGTAAAAGGGGCTCTAATAAAATATACATATATAGATGAATGTATACCTTTTTTATATGACCAACATCAGTTATACCACTATCTGCCAAATCTTCATCAGAAATAGGTTCCAAAAAAGAGATATCTTCAAAACCGTTTTCAACCAAATTCGGAAGGTAAGTTTCTAACCCAAGATTCGAGAGAAATTCACCCACTGTTCGTGGAAGCGGTAACGTTTTACTAGTCTGTTTATAGGAATAAAAGATATAGTGAATTAAATTAATTTTACTATTATCAACATAACAAATAAACTTTCAATATGAAACAAACGATATGACGCAGTAAAACAAACTCGTCATAGTTTGTATTTGTAGCCTTCCAGTATTCTGAACGGAGGATGGGATAAAGACAGTATTTTAAAAGCAAACAAACATAAAGTGAGACTGAGATTGTTGCACTGCGCTTACAGCTTTCTTTGTGGGCCTATTATGATGTGATACGTGTGCATATTGCAAGGGTCTGTAATATACGCCCTACCTACAAAACAGCACGCAAGCAAAGTTGGAAAAGAAAAAAAGACTACGACATGTTTATATGCAGTTCTACACACCTTTGCGGGAAGAGGTGGAGGTTTCAAAGAATTGTTTATCGTTCCTTGATCCGATGGGTCCTAAAAATGAAACGAGTCAATAATTACACGTGCCGCTGTTATCTGTCAAGGGGCATTACCCAATATCCAGGAAAACTGACTTAAACTATCACTCCTACCAACTCTATATTACTACCGTTAATTTGCGCTATCTTATACACAATAATAGGTTAAGAAAAAGGTACATACATTTGATGCTGTGTCGGGCATAAAACTAGGCAATGAACTAAAAAGTAGATGCATAATAATGGAACTGAGAAAACGAATACATGGATTTAGCCTACAGTAAGTACAGTTATAGCTACAAAGTATATAAGGCGCTTTAAAGAAAGACCTGTAGGAAATGGGAATCAACAGACACATTGACTTACATGTATGTGCTTATATTTGTGGTATCGGTGGGCGCTGAAGGGCCTAAAGAGCGAAGAAAAATACCGAATCACTTAAGGGCATTACAAAATACGTCATACAGATCATTACAAATTTTCCATGCGACTTAAACCGTACGTGTAGCACGTCGAGGAACCAAGTCCGGTGGTACTCTACCAAGAGATGCGGCTATGGATATAAAAAACAATTGTTTTAATCTTTATAGTGGAACGGAGCGCCGCACAAGGGCAATAACGCACATAAATACTACTTGTATACTCACTTGTCTTCGACTAGGTTTCGGGCAGGTACAACTAAATTTTATCTCAGAATCATGATTCAAATCGGTGCTTTCGGTATTAAAAAAGCCAAAGTTCCTGCATGCATGCCGTTGGGTATGTTAATCAAAAAACTATGCCACTATAAAGGGCATTAATCCGGTAAGTTCTTTCTGTGTCATGTAATATATAGGTGTAATATCTGTATGAGAAGTATATAAGGTGCAACACAAGCAAACTATATGCATTTATACCAACTAGAATAAATATTGTATGGAAGAAAAAGGGTACAATGCTCACACTTCTTTTGTGGTGTTAGAATAGTTCCATTGTTGTTTGATGCGATACAACTGAACGGTCTGTGTGCTGTCTTCGGTGAATTAGGTGTCTTTCCCCCTAAAATTCGCAACACATTTGACAGACATTGTTGTATGAACAAAGCGCGTGTGAGCAGAGATCAACATGATCGATGAATGACAAAACTTCTGGTATTGATAAAAACGTAAAACGAGTATAACTTTTAAAGCCTCCGCGTAATTTAAATATTTCATGATTACGTCTTCATTAATCTTCTCGCAGAGTGCATGTGCATGTGACGCTTCTTAATTTCAGTACGTCATTAGACTTTAATAACGAACCAATAAAGTATAGGAATTTGAAATACACACCTGTGTCAGGCTTTGTATGAACTGGCGGTCTTCTCAAAGCTGCTAATTGTTTCGTATTTAAAATATTCATGCTACCTCTAAAAATACACCAATAGAACGCAACTTGAAAAACAACACAGTCCTGTGTATTATGGCTTTAGGTTAAGTCTTATAACTGGGCTTACCTTATTTCACCAGCTTTCACACCACCATGCGTCAGGTCTAGCTGGAAGCATTGTGGAGTTTGAAACAGATGTGCTTTCAACGACAATACACATTCACCTGCACATTAAAAATAAAACAGCAAGATGAGCAAACAAGTAAAGAACAACTTTCATCGCAAAAAATTGAAATTGCTCGCGTTCGCCTTCGGGGTCCCTATATATGCGAAAATATATTAAAGCAATTTATGAACTTCAGCATCTAACTAACAATTTTGGATTAGCTAGTTTTTTGCAAAATGCAAAATTTACACCATTATGATAAATGGTAAAGGATTACTTATGGCGGTTTTCTACCAGCCAGAAGTTTTCAACCGAACGAAATTTTTGTCTGATGTTCTTTTCAATTGTGAGAATTTGACCGTAGCGGATTCCTTTCACCGGTCACAATTGAAAAGAAAATCGAGCGATAAATTTCGTTCGATTGCAAGTGGAAAACCGCCTTTATATATATAGGGTGCCGCGACAGACCGTTGTTGAATACAGATTACGCTAGTTTAGAGACAATAAGTGAGATTTTCTCTTTCGGGGCGTTATCTTTACCGGTTACCTACCGTAAGATTCATCGCCTGCTTCGGATTTCACCGCGATTAGAATGTGTTGTTCTCGGAGATACTCGGGATTGTCAAGAATTGGATTCAACTAAACATGAAATGTTTATAAAGTAAACCAAATATATATTTTATCAATGATCCGCAGAATGCGGTAAGCAAGATGTTACGCGATATTGGCTCAGAAGGCTCATATTACGCGATATTGGCTCATATTAGTTGATCGATTTTACTGTAGACTGTAGTTTAAATGAGATATGATTTATGGATTATGACAGCTAGCTTGCATTTCTGCTTCAATAGACACTTCCCGAGTTTGCTTGAGAGCATACGAGACAACAGCTTGGAAACGAGGCGGGCAATGTAATCTATTGTTATTGTATGGGTTGCATGGGGTTTTCATTTCCCGGGGACAAATTCGGGAAGTGTCTATATCGCGGGGATTTATTAACGTAAAGCTTTAACCTCTGGCAGTGCAGATCCAGCATTCCATGCCAAGTAACTGGTGAGCGTTGGATTCGAATTGACAGCGCGTGGTGGTTCCCAAGGATTGGAATCTTTGCCTGTTTTGCTTCTTTCACTAGCTTTAATAATCAAAAAATTTATTGGTCAGTTTTTCTTAACTGTTGCAGAAATTAGGAATCTAATTTTTAAAGTCCAGTGATTAACGGGATATGTGTTACAATAAGTGCATTCATTAATCGGAAAGTATATTTTTGTTGTACTTGTCTTGATTGCACCGCCAAACAAAATTTATGATTGACAGAGTTGAGTATATACCGCTTAGGCCTTAGAGTTGTATAGGTAACACAGACTTACTTGCTAGACAAACTGAATGGAACTCGAGGTAAAAATCAGTTTTGCTCACTGTCTTTACCTTAATAAAAATAACAGCAAATTAACTATGAAGTAACATGCATCTAGCAAGCTGCTTTGAATGACAGCTTTTATTGTAGCTGAAAACAAGTGATATTTGGCGATGCTTACCTTAACTTTTATGAACGGAATGTTTATTTTGCACGAAGGTTTGTTTGTTTGGGACTTTGGCCTACCTTGATCTATAATTTATTACATTGTGATAATTATGAAATATAGTAAGTAATTTTTGCAAAATATATAATATGCAAAATATATATATAAGACAGCATCCACCATCAGTGTTTCCAAAAATCATGCATTGACCATGCATGCATATAACAGTGACTAGTGAAGTCAGTGCATGCATATAACAGTGAAGTCAGTATTAATTTAACGCACGATTTCATTAATTGGTACATCATTCTGCATGTGCGCAACTAATGGGGCCATACATTTTATTGAGAGCTCGAAATCATCCTACTTACTTTATTTTCTTTGAAGACAATGAAGGCGAATTATGCATGCACGGTTGTTAGGTGTTGATCTCAAAATACAACCGGCAAAGGTGAATCAGACCGTCCAGGCGTTGTGAGACATTCGAACGTTTTAACTGTGGAGAAAATAACACTTACCGGGTGAGGCCACAAATTGACTTGTGATTGGAACATCAAACGACGCAAAAACAGGTGAATGGTCACTTGAAACAATGTCATTTGTACAACCTGGAAAGAGGTGATAAGAGAATGATTGAAAATATAAAACACGGAATATGCACAATGCAAATCAATATCCCAAGAATGTCATAAACTGCGCGATAAAGAAAAATACGACTTGCACCTTTAAACTAAATTTTAATTAATCAATGGCATTGGCATTAATACTTGAGAGGATTTTCTCATCAAAATTTATCCAATCAAGTTTTATAGAGAAAAGAAACTTCCCGCAAAAATCTTAAACATATTTGAGTGGATAATAAATAAACAATACCACCAGTAATTCTCCAATAACAGTTATTCTCCCCTGGAATGGCCATGCTTTTTTTAAGTATGTCGTATTGGGCGATTACGGTCATAAGTGGTAGCTATTTTGTAGGGTTTTTGTTGTTGCAATGCATGCACACATAAGGCTTACCATACGAATTCTGCATGACGTTTAATTCTGGAAATGACGTCCATAAAACCCTGTCGCACCAAGATGGTACATTGATACGATTCTAAAGATGAATTTATAACATCTTAAACTCCTACAAAATGCCAGCCTGATTGATATTCACATTGTAAATACATAAAACGTCCACATTCCAAGCAACTCTTTATTAAAGGCTGCGCAACTAGCTGTCAGAGATGCAATAGACCTTTCCCCTTTTACCTTTCAAGCGCACAATGCGTGACGGTTGTTGATTATCAAGATCAATTTGAGTTGTGATTTCGCGATGTTCTGGAGCGATTTAGTTTAACAAAAGTAAAAAGAATCGGCCAGGTTTTCTTACAAACAAAATCGCTTCTAAGCAGGCCACATCGCAACTCAAAGTTGCTTGATAATCAATTACCGTCACGCATTGCGCGCTTGAAAGCTAAAAGGAAAAGGTCTATTGGGGAAACTGAGAGAATAGCAGAATAATGTATTTTGACTTACCCCAGCAGCTCGCTTAATTTTGATATGTTCGTACGACTCGCGTGTTCCTCTTTTGTATCGATAAGTGGGCGGAAAGTGAGGAACTGACTCGTCTAAAAATTGTATAAGAAAATGAGCTGTTTTCGTGACTATAAAGCACCTAAGAGCTACTTGAACATGTGAAAAGAGCACGTTTGAACGAACTGTAGTTCTGGTGAACTTCTGGTAAACGGGCATGGGACGATAACTTGATCACCATAATTAAAGCTATATAAATTGACGTAGAGAATGAGTCCCTTCCAATTCTTCATCAGTTTCCTGTTGTGTCGTTCAGGAGAAGTGCAACACTATATAATTCTAAACACTAACTGCTTGTTTTCTGACCCCTTATGGCTGAAACCATTAGAATTAATTGCAAAACAACGAATTAATTAACATGACGTGTCATTGGTGCCATCCTAGTAAAGAAGGCCATGCACGTTTCCTGTACGACCATTGCAATTCAAAAATAGTGCTACTCAAATTGGGTCCAGCAGGAATCTTCGGGACTACAATTTCTCTTCTTCTTTGAACAAAATTCGTACTCTTCTATCCAAAAATGGAAAACATGCATAAAAATAGTAGTAATGATGTACTCACGAAAATTGACAAAAACATTTCCAGCTTCTTTTTCCTTCCTTAACTGATCTTCACTGGATAGCTTTTTGTAATCCATACTACTTATTGCTTTCATGATTTCCTGAAGAAAAACGGAAAATTCAAGAAAGAAAATAAGCTAACCCGAACACAATCATATATAGCTCGTACAGTTATATTTTTTATACAGAAAAAAATACACATATCAAAGATGGCGGTCACGATTATTGTTAAATATATATGCGTGGTGGGAAAATCTGATCATAGCAAAGTTTGTTCGTAGAAATTAAGAGAACTTTATTGACTTGCACTTTTGACTTGCCCATCGTATAGATTCTCACCTCGTATTCCAAATCAATTCTGTAATTTAGATCTCCGAACCAAAATACGTGGTGAAATTGATTTGTTAGATCATAAGCACTTTTATGGCCGAGATTAAGACCTTTTAAGATGTCCAGATAGTTCTGCTGTCGCCTACGGAAAAAAAAAGCATATCCTTCGAGTAAAAATATTAAAAATAACATGAACAACAGTAAACGTACAGTAACAAAGAATGACCTACAGTATATGTACCACAGAATTACACCAAAAAGCTATAACCCATACAAGCTATAAAGGGATCGCTAGCTATGATAGAACCTAGGTTTATGTAAAATAATACCTTTGTTTTCTTAAATCTTCATTTCCAGATGTAAGATGACAGTTGATGAAACATAATGACGTTGACAAAAATTCGAATGAAATTCCAACGCCCCCTTTATTTCCTAGAAATGATTATGCAGGCAATAGATTTTTACTTCGGTTTGATATACAGTGCAGTTCTGCATAGGAAAAGTAAAATAAGGTACCCGCCATGAAACTGTTAAACCAAAGTTCAGCGGAAAATTTGCGGTTCACCAGTCGCGTTGGAACTAGCGCGTTAGTCTAATTTCTTATATGCATGTACATTTTGAGATTTACGCACTGTACAAAGATGAAATAACTTGAATTCGTTCGTAAAGTACATAACCTATTGAGTGTTGTGAAGGACCGCAAAACACATTAGTAAGCGGAGTGATATTGTACGCACTCGCCACTGCATAAAGTAATCCCACCAAACATACCTAACGTGTTAGCTATTCCCGTTTTCACACTGGATTTTTCAACACGACAAATTCTGTTTGTATGTTCTTGTTTAGCGAGAATGACCAACCGAATCCCCCATAAGGAGTGAGATGCCACCTAAAAAATGAAATATCTAACATATATATAGATACGATAGTATATATTTTAACGGTAATATATTAATACATATACAGAGTATTTAAATTTAGTGAATATCCGTATTTATCACATGGGCAGAGGTAATTTACTGGAGACCGTATAGCCCTTATACGCCACTGACATGTGAGACACGGTGCGTGTTTTCCGTATGTCACGCTTAGGAGTGACATATCCTCGCCGGCGCAACCGCATTATATCCTCTTTTTACATATATAGTACTCTTATATCATAATACGCCACTATTAATGCACTTCCTACTCTCTAGGCCCTCTTCCATGCCTCGTTTTCATTCCGCAATTTTACAATGCATGAGCACGGTTGGCGTGCCTGACTAAATCTGAAATTGATCTACTACAACAAAATCGCTGTTACAATTGAGATAACGTAAGTTTCAAACACAATATTGTAGAACACTAACCGCGTTGTAATCTATTTTAAATAACTTCTTTAGCGTTCTTTTTATCTTCGAAACCCAATTAGCTTCGCCGACCGAACTTTCCTAGAGAAAATACAAAGACGTTTTGGAAAGTACAAAGAAGTAATCATCAATAATCATGATCAATTTATCGTGCGAGAGATAATGCCAACTGCTGCATGTGTTCTGTTCGACGCAAGAGAATGATTAAAATAGGTTGAAAGACTGACAGCCACTGACTAGGGCATGCATGGTGGAAGCATATATCACGGACACTTTGAGCCCTATTTTCTTCGTATCATATGGCACTTATGGCGCAAAAAACATGATGATGTAAACTTATTAATATATAGTAACAGCAATTAACAACACGATTCTGGGCACGTGTACGTACCTGTGTGCCGATTGCGTAAATGTCGTGTCCAACGACCTCCATGATTTGATCACTTATTCTTTTTTCCCCAGTACCGTTGCATTTCAACCATGACTCTATCAACGGTGGTGCGGCCCCGCCTAAAGGAAGGTCAGGCAAAATATCTCTAAATGATAACGTTAGTCAAACATTTTCCTATACGTTGGTGATACAACATAGCAGAGTAAGGAATCCTTTATTTTTTTTTGAAAATTTTTTATCGAAACTTTTTATCGTTTATAAAAATCGTTTTTAATAATACTATACTACTAATAATAATCAACTAATGCAATTCATGTATTGTATGAAAAAAAACTTACCCATGTTCCACGTGCCAACGAATATTGATATACGTTTGGGTTCCTTTTTCGTTGGATCATGTGTGTTCATCATATGCTGTACAAGTTGACAAAGATTCTCTCGCGCCTAGCAAGGTAAGACACTGTTGGTGGTGATTGCCCCCTGTTGCCAATTGCGGGTGCCTGAAAAGTATTTTACCTGAGTATCTTTGAATAAATGTTCTCGGTTTCCTTTGGGTATCTTTATGGTCAGCTTAGGTATAGCTGGATCTTTGACTACCTGTAGAACTACAACGAACACGAATGAAGAGTCAGAATGCCGTGGTCTCCAAACTCTCTCAACTAACTTCTCAACTAATCTCCTCAAACCGTGTGCGTGTGAAGGTTTGATAAGAGCCACCACTCGAGCTCAGCACATCAGACGATTTGGCTCAAATAGTGCACGAGAGTTTAATGGCTTCATTGCGAGAGGAAATTGAGTGTCTGTGTCTCTCTAGCTATCCTCAAAGAGTGGCCCATTAAGATAATGAATGCATTTGCCTCAGGATGATTGCGCCTAATTTATTACATATTGTTTTCTTTCACTTCTTGGATTTTGTCGTTCATTGAACTTGTGGGCATCGTGTTGCAGTCACTACGTAATCATTTTGAAACTGGGGTGACCAAGCTCATAGCACCAAAAGGAGACTTAGTACTTGTGAGTACAATGTTAAGGAGATTAGGAGAGGGGGATGTGTGCTTTCGTCATATTTGCCCCAGAATGAATTGAGGAAGGAATCGGAAACTATGCCCGAAAAATACTGCTTCCTTCGTCTTATATGTAAATTCTTACTTTTATCATGTTCCACAATAGAAGAGTCTTCCAGGGAGTCATTCTCATTCCTCATAAACCAAAGCTTTCCTATTTGGTAGGAAGTGAATAGAAATTGAATATTTACGATTAAAAAATAAGTTCGAGTCCGTGTACGTAGCTAGATGTATGCATGCACTGGAGTAGAGAATTTTAATATATATAAAAAGTGAATCATAACATATACCTCCAGTAATGTCAACTTTGAGATAGGACTTTGTTTTGAAATTTCCACAGCTTGTTACCTGTATAAGAACAAATAATTTCGTACGCATTTAAAATTTACCGAAAATGCGGTCACGCGCGGCCAACACAAACTCCTAATTACTTCTAACAGCGTGAACAAGTTAATGACCGATAATCTATACCTCGAATGTTCTTGTCTGCGATTGCTCATCATTCGTTAAAATACCGTATTCTTTGTGGGCTTCCTTAGCCTAGAAGTGTTTTGTGAAAGAAGCTCTATTTTGCGATATATTACATATTGCAAGTAACAGGCATCTATTATAGCTAGTGGAAGTTGTTACTTCATCCATGCATTAACTGCTATTTTGTATCGTATGAAAATCAAACGTTTGGATACATATTCTTACCAATATCTCAAGGGATTTCATCCCGGCAACGCATATGCCGAAGTCTTTAACAAGATCGCAATATTCGCTGACATCGCTTGACTAAAAAAATACCTCGAATATCAGTAGCATCCTTACAAGTACATTGTAGTTGAATTTAGTTCCTACAATACATGTATATTTATGTACATGCAGTATCTTCGAACGTGTTTACCAAACAGCCGTGTTGACTACCACATCACAGTATACGGATGGTATGGCGAATGAGGTGTTAAGTTTAAGTCGTATCTGCGTGTAAACTAGTGTCAAAGGGAGTATCAGAACTTGTTTAGCAATTTTTTTCAATATTGTCAAGTTTCGCCGAGAAAATCAAAGTGGACGTTTTTGCAATTCAGGCAAAATCGGTATCGGCAGTTAAAACATTAATTAATAATGGTAATAAAAAAAGTGCAATTAATGCCAACTGACCGCGCAGCAGGAGGTTGATTTGTTAACCACGAGCATGATTTTGGCTTTAATTGTACGACTTAATTCGTTCTATTACTTATTAATTTTATATCTATACACTAAAATGTAGCATAATTTAAAATTCATATTTTCTTTGCTGAATGGTGGCGATTGACTAGTTGTATACAGTGAACTGGTTGTATATACTAGAGTGATTTTTATTGGCAATGAGCAAAGGTGCAATTACAACTCGCAAAGGGTGCAATTGATGCTCAAATCGCACTCCTCTTAGCAAATGAAACTGCAGCATTTGCCAAAGATTACAGAACATATACAATAAGAGGTATTAATGAGTTTGATAATATCTATAAACAGGAAATCTGATTGGACACTTACCTGACGCGCAGCTGTCCCAGCACCAATTCCCTATTAATAATATACAATTATACGAGTTGAGTTGGACGATATACGATCAAGGTAAAGAGCCAATGGGAATTTCTTTCATGCATTTTTCCGGTTACGGTTGACCTAAATCAACTGCTATAAATTGCAACAATAAACAATTGCAACAACTAGACATATCATAATATAAACAGAACGTTTACTAGGGTTACCATGCATGCATGAACAATGCATATGGGTATAGGGAAGGCGAGTTCTCACCGTTAACAACTTCTTAAATTCATCGTTTGTGCAAAAGAGTTTTTGTAAAAACTCAATTCTTTCGAGGAAGACTTTAAGTTCTCTGCAAAGATAATGTCATAGTTTTACACATTGCAGGCGGTGCGCTGATCAGCATCGTTATACCCGTGGCCTGAAAATGGTTGCGATAATGGCGGTACTCGGGATGGTACGTTGTACGTTACATAAGACGGACGTGCAGACATAAGAAATAAGACGGACGCGTGTAGAGTTTATGAAAGACGGACGGCATTATTACAAGAACATGCATCGGTCGTTTGCTTGTCACATTTACTGAAAATTAGACTTTAATCTTGGCCAAAACTATTGACTGCATTCTATATAATATTCGGCACACTTGATCTTTTTAGTTATTAACGTTTACATTGTATTTTATAATCCCCCACCCCCCACTTCCAATTCAATGTTGAGTTTTCGCTCAATAGACCTTTTTGACTGGCTCTATAGTTTTGTGAAGCCAATCAGACTTTTCGCGTTTGACGTCATTATAAGAAAGGTATATTGTGTAAATATTTTTTAATTGGTAACTATCCAACATTGATTGGTGGGGAGAAAGGAGGAAAATGTTTTATTTTGATAGGGGAAACCGTTAATAGTGGACGAATGTTTGCAAATGTCACCAATACTTTGACCAGCATTGTGGCTATATATATCGTTGTGGTAGCTACGAATTTCACATAACCATGCAGTATATAATTCGTCATATTTTTATCACTCTTTGAATTATAGTGAAACTAAAAAACAAACCTTTTTAAGCCTACAGCAGAGGCTACAACTAGTTTTTGAAGCTCAGCAGCTGGCCTTGATTCAGCTAACTTCTCCCCGTCACGTTCAAATCCACCGCTTAAGTAGCTTCGTACGTTATTACAGAAATCGCTGTCCAAGCTATATGCACGGAAAACGGACTTTATATCAGAAACTGCACATACATTGATTGATTGATTGATTGATTGATTGATCACTTTATTAAGGTGTCAAGTCTTCTAGCAAAAGAATAAATCTTTCACTAATCGGGGACACCGAATTGAGAATTGTTGTAATGAAACAGACATAATTGAAATAATTATTATTCCATACTGTTTCGGGAAAAGTGTACAGGAAGTTGCACATTGTAAAAAATGTATAGTGATATAATTTATTTTTAAAAAAACGGTTATTTTTGTTAACTTAGACCTAAAAAATCTCTAAAATGTTTCACAACACAAGGCATAAAAGGGGAGGGGGTTGTAATCAGATGCAATTAACTCACTTATTGCTTTCAGATGTTATCAAGGTCTGTTCACACGATCCAATTGTAACGGATCCAATTCACGCCTGAAGAACGGACAGTACTGCTTTATTCTTGAATTGGATCCGACAAAAATGGATCGTGTCAACAAAACTTAACAGTATTTATTTATATTTTCAACTAGCTGAAACATACCATGACGTATCCAGTTCCTCCATTTTGTTAAAAAACACTGAACTGATATCTGTATTCATGTCTACTGGTCCGTCAACAATATCGATTTCACCATCCTCTTCTTCATCATCTGTGGTGATATAGTGAAGTCTACTGAATTACTGAAGACCTCGCATTGGACATTACATACATCCGGCAAAGAATTTTTTGATTTATTAAATTCATTGTCAGTAGGTTCCTAGCTGGATATCGGACAAGGAAAACGTGAACAAGTGAACGAGTAAAACACATTTTAGATGGATATTTTCAAACATACACGCAATACATGCATGCAGTATTAAACGATTCAAGAAGTTCAGTAGAAGTATGTAATGAAAGTTTGTTTTTCAGGCTCGTCGCAGTCGCATGGACACATTTTCAAAAGCCGTGCGCTTGGCCCGCGCGGGTGAAACGGACGGTAATGGAGAATCGCCTTAAGGTGTCCTGTGACATGTTATAAATCAATGATGAGTTCAAAGTGATCATTGCTCACAGTAATATATACATAATATAAATAGTACAAAAAATTTCGCCGAACCTGTTTCGTGTTCATCGATTTCCTTGATCGTTTCAAAAAATATTGGTTGCTCAAGTTTGTGCGGCAGTCCTTGACCGGGTTGTTTAAAAAGTTCAATCACTTCATCAAGTGTGCTAAAAAATCTGGTTGAACCACCGCTTGAACACGAGGCCTACAAAGGAAACGACATTGCATAGCGTTCAGTAGTTAACCTAGACAAGGAGAACTCTGTTTTGGATTAATAGCACAGGATGGCAGGAAAATATATAAGTGAGTCCCCATTACTTTAGACTACTTTCTCGTCCAGGTAACAATTAAATTTTTATCAACCTGTACAACGAATTTGTTCGCATTCTTTAATATTCTGAAATGATGAACCATTCCATCAAACCTAGTAAAAGGAAGAATTTTAAAAAAAAATAACATCCAGCCTATAGTGGTGGAAAGATCTCCATCTGATACGTTTCACAGTTCGTATAAGGAAGTATGTTAAATTGGGTCAAAAAAAGTTATCCGATCAAAAGCATTCCTATTTGAACATCGAACATTGTTACAGACAAATACATAAACATGTTTGAGAAGTTTGAAACCTTATGGAAATTTTACCTTATGGGCGTGAATGAAGGGAATTCTCTACCTTATGGGCGATGGAAAGCTAGTTCAAGTGAAGGCTCACGGAATGCTTGTATATAACGGAAAATCTTGAAATTTTTATTCAATTATGTTTCGTTCGAATTTTTTTTTGTTGAATTCGTATTAAAAAAAGGCTAAAACAAAGAAGACCAAGAGCAACATAATTTTCATTACACGGAAGAAGTTAATGTTTTGGAGCGACATAAATCACATTTAATAGACTTTCTCATAATGACGTCATAATGACGTCATATCTGATGTGAGCCGAATTTGATTGGCTCGTTAATTTCACTCGTTAATTTTGCGGAGCTGATCATGTGTATAACATCAAAAATTCCGCGTTTGACGTTATAATAAGAATAGTCTATCAATTTATCTTGAAACAAGATAGGAAGGAAAATTATAATGAAAACGAAAGATCCTGGCCCGCCAGTGCCATAGTTTTTAAGAAACCATATTTTTACGATATCTTATTGGTATAAAATGAAAACAAACGCGTGATTGGCTTAAATCGAAGTTCCTTCTTATACAACGCCTACGAGTATACGCTTTATACGGCTCGGCTTTTAATGGGACCTTTTTAATTTTTAACTACTCAAAATGATAAAATATATCCTTACAACTATCACTAGTCATTAGTCAGTTACGTGCTGAAGCTGATTACGACGCGTAGGTTGGGATTCAAAATTTTTATTTTATTTCGCGTAATTATTTATTTTATTTTATTTTTATTTTATATTATATAAAAAGTTATATTAATCACACAATTTATGCAGCGCTACGGCAAATCTAAAAATAGCAAGCGATGAAAACACAGTCATAGATATAGTATACGAAAGTTTGGTATTCGAAGCATATACGCAACTTATATTTTTTGATTTTACGTTAGTCGAAATCATCTAAACATGTAAGTATTCTTTACAACACACCCTTATCATGATATGACCTTAGTTAATTTTACTTATCTGAGCTAACTTATTTGAGTCACGTTTTAAAATATACATGACATTATGGCACTGCCAGTTTTAACGTTAAAGTCAAATAAAAAATTAGTTGAATCCTTAGCCTACAGCTCGAAAAAAGTTAAAATTTCGAGGATTGCACGAGCACAAATTCGTTGCGAACTCCGAACTGAAGCACTTCGATCAAGTCTTAGCTCAGGAACCACGTGGGCTAACGACAGTTTTGTTATTTGCAAATCCCCCGTGATTTACTTTTATATTGTCAGTGATTGAGTTTATCAATAGTGGTCGCCGTTCTGCAAACTTTATATATGTATGATATATTGTGTACAGTACACAAAACGGTCGATACTTGTTATGGCTTGAAAAGCAGTTTTCCGAGAGGGTATAAAATAAGGGGTCATAGCTGCCTATAATTAGAATTCATATTTAGGGCCTATTTACATGGAGTGAGTTACCCGGCTAGGTGAGGTAAAAAGCGCATCACTTTAAAGGCTTAAACCTGATTAGTCTTTCATTATATGCAGTTTCCACCTTGCCTAGCCGGGATAACTCACTCCATGCACTCCATGTATAAACAGGCCCTTATTCCAATATCAAAGAGAAAGACTGCCCTTTCATAAATATTTACCCTAAATTGCTACTGGCTGTGTCACCTCTGGTAGTAAAAACAAATTTTAACTGCTATAGATTCATAAACATAATTCTGTACAGACAAGTCCTTTCAGCAAAACAATTGAAGCAATTCTGGTAATTAGGGCAAATCAAAACAAAGTAGAATTATAACTATGTAACTTTTTCATTTAGGAGAAATGTATAATTACCTTCCTAAATTAGTGTTGTAATAAATCGCCAAGTGTAAAATATTAACATATATCTCTTAAACATATATGGTACATTTTGTTAATTGTAAAGTATAAATATTTTATCATTGAGACTGTATACAAACCTTTGCACTTGGAGAAATTTAGAGATTTTTTAAATCCATACAAATTTTGGTTGGAAAAATATTTACTTGTTAATTTTAACTGATTTATGTTGTGAATTGCATAATTTTTTAACTATTTTGTTATTCTCCCAGGTTGGATGCATGCCTGTATATTGTAGTTAGCCAGCTGTCATGATGGAAAATGGTGGCAGGGGATCGGTCATGAAAATTTTTTTTACAATTTCAGTGCTTATGTTTACATAGACTGTTTAAGTTATTAACCATTTAAACCCATTCGTTCACAGTTAAAATGTCAAACTTTTTGTAATTATATATACGTCACAAGGACAGCTGATAAAGAAATTCCACCATCATCACACTTTTTTAATATAATGCATCTTAATTATAACAACCCTTTTTAATCTGGTTGGTGTTAGGTAAATATTTCAAAATTAGGAAAAATTAAAATTTCAACTTTTCTTCAATGTGCATAAGACTTTTTGAACAGCTTTAGGCAGTTGCAAGTAGTGCAGCTATAGACCTCTATCTAGGATCCAAACAGCAGACACGCATGAAGAAATGCATGTAGGTGGTTACAATTTAAAGTACAGTTGATTATATCAATTGATGCTTGATTTCTTAATGAATTAAAAAGACTATGGCATGTCCCCTGTTCAGAATAAACAAATACATTGCTGATCATTAGAAAGAACAATGTACAATGCAATAAGAAAGAATCTGCATCTAGGTAATGGGGTACCTAGTAAGGAAGTAAATAGCAGTATATATACAGATTCCATATTTTGTAAAACTCAGTTGTAGTCCATTTGTTTTATACAAAAATGTTGCCTAATTTGTTATATTTGCCTGGGATAGCAAATAAAGTAAAATAAAGTAAATATTAAATTGATTAAATTACTAATATAGCTGCAGGAACTAAAACGTAGATTGCAAGAAAAATAATATTACGAGGATTCAAACCAGCTATCCTGCTGTATATAATTCCCAGAATTGCTATTCGAGGTCATTTTATATTTTATTTTGGCTGCAGTGGCCAGACTGTTCCCCAAAAGTAGCAAACAGGGATATTATTTCTCTCAAAATAAGTGAAACAATTAAATTAAATTGCTTTAATTCGAATCATTAATTCACAGTACAAAATAGCATGTTTAAAGATGCCACTAAGACTCACATAATCAGATAAACGTACCACAAACTCAAGACGTGTGCATCGTTGACACTCTCGCTTTGACGAACCAAGAATGCCCCATCTATGCCATTCGCTACCAACAGTTGCTCTGCTGCATTTCGGCTTATTTTGCCGTGGTTCCACGTAGCTGACATGCTAGTAAATCATTCAACAATAAAAACAAATGCCAATTGACTACCCAAAGAGGATTATGCAAAATGAACAGCCAGCGTGATTGAACAAACTCATATTGAACACAACGTTTTCCTAAACGATTTTCAGCCCGTTTCGTCTTCTGACAATTAAATATGCATTGCAGATATAAATTTCAAAACAAAACAAAACAGAAAATGTCACACAATATTCGATCAACTATAAAACATGTCAATTTTGTTGCAAATTTGTCTTGGGGAAAACGGAAGTGAACATGGTCATGGTCATGGTCATGCAGTGAGCGCTATTTAAGATCCCTCAAAGTGTCTTTCGACTGACTCTGACCCAGATCAGTGCTTTGACCATTGCAGACATTACTTTCTCCAAGGCAAAGCCTCTTTTTCACACATCGCAAATTTGCAATGACTAACTCGCGAATTTGCTGAGAGGTTTACATGAAAATCCGCAAGTCGTGTTTTCAATTATGAATAATTAGCTTTCAAAAATTTTAATAACAGTGCCAATAAACTATGTTCTATTCTTGTGGTCGACTGATCGAATTGGTTGATACGGATATCGATATATAAGACGTCACAAAAAATTAATTATGATTCGACCACACTGATTTACAAAGGTCAGACTTCTAGTTTTCAATGTGTGAAAATTAAAAGCATGAACGGATTTAGATGATGTACTCAATGGACGCTTATATCAGTCATACGAATTCAATTTTTGCGAAAAACAACCCTTTTTGTTTTATATAATTGTGGATGATAAACGAAATACCTTTTCTTTGCATACACTTGTCCCCAACGAACGGTTAAAACTAAGCAACAATGCATTGACTGCAAATTGTCAATCTGGAAACATTTCGTAAACGGAGGGAAACGGCATAAAATAATGCGATTTACGCGTTTATATGAATAAAATACTATCGGAAATAGTTTGGACCTGCCCAAACAGATACAAAACGACTTTCGCATTAAGAATGCATACGCCCACAGACACAATTCAAGTTTTCTGTTGATATCACTTTCGCCTTTGTGGCCAGTAGTTCTTATATCGCAATAATCGGCGATGCGTTTGTCTGAGGGTTATTTTGTTAAATTTTCTTACCACTGGCACTGACAAATTGACAATAATGCCAGTTCGTGATATATCGGATCCGGGAACAGCCCAGTTATTTTAAAATTGCGGACACCAGAGGGTGGGCGGTGACGAAGAAAATTTAATGAAATAACTAAGAACTAGTAAGAACTGAATTTATCAGTAAAAATCGACAATTGCCATCGCCAATAATTGCGTCTTGTGAGAACCGGGTTATTGATCGCCGATGGAACGGCGATGTATTGTGAGTGGCCGGTGAAAAAGAAAATTTATTTAAATTGGGAACTGTGACTGTGCGGTCAGGCTTTAGCAGAAGATCTTCAGCAGATATTTTTACGATTTAAAAATTTATTAACAGACACGGGCAGAGGTCCTCTCAGGATAATAATAGTTAATAGTAAACATGCGGGGGGGGCAGCTTTCAGATGAATTGGAGAGTCGGACAATTTTAGCTGAAATAACCAGCTCTAACAACAAATCTAGCCTCGGCAAATCGCATTTCAAAAATCTAAATCTCAAATGTTTCTTCCCCCAAAATGCCAAAACTTTCGCCGCTCGCGAGGTTCTCTCTGCCAAACTTTGCGGCCGCCACAAGCCCATGGTAACACAGGTTGGTATTGGTAATGGGATAAACGGCACAATGAATGCCTGTGGTGTTGAAAACCTTGTCTTGATAACCATTACCCGCCTCTCACGTTTTCCAAAACGTTGTGGATGAACACGCTGCAATATTTCTTGAAGTAAAACAAAGTTGTGCTGCAGTTTATAAATAAATGTCGGCTGCTTGGGCGAAATTTGTTTGATGTGTAACAATATTCTATGCGGTGTTTACTTTTGGAATCTTCGACAGGTGAAATTTGAGACATGTTTATAATCTTTAATTAAAATTGTTATATTTAGAATATCACATGGTGAAATAGACAACAGTCCAAACAGTTCACATGACAAACTGTGACAACATTAACAACAGCACTAAGTGGGTGCTGAGAAGGTCGATTAGCTGAAAATTAAACCATACAAATGATTTTCACATCACCTTACGCTGAAACCATACAAATCATTCTCATATCGCCTTTTCGGGCAGCAGGTGGTAGTCTGTTGTGAAATTATATATTATAATTTATAATGTCATGGTTCAAATCCTTAACGTTATTCACAACATGATGAACTTTGACAATGTATATGCTGAAGCAAATACGACGTTATTTTTTCTTTGCAATGAAGAATCGCCGAGAATAGTGCAATATGTTAGACAGGCTATTTTCTTTGGTTTTAGTTATATTTCTGTACGTTTCCATAGTCCCTACTTTGGGATTTGTTATAAAAGATATCTACGAGGATCACACATTTGCATTTGCAAATAAACCTCTGGAAATAAATCACACTGTACATGTTCACGAGAATGCAACGTTGACAATTAAACCTGGTGTTAAAATAAAGTTTTCAGCAGAAGGAGGTTTTAATATCCTTGGACAACTTGTTGCAAATGGGTCCGAGACACTTCCAATCGACGTTGACTCGTCAAACGTCGAAGGTGCAGCAAATATTTTCAGCTACGATCTTGCTGTAGGGTTCCACATTCTGAGGTTGATTAGTGGAAACGGGTTTAGCACTGGCAGACTGGAAGTCTTTCATGAAGGAATTTGGGGAACTGTTTGCAGCGATTGGTGGTCGCAAATAAACAGTGATGTTGCGTGTCGTGAACTTGGCTTTTCAACTGGTACATTGACGACGGAATTTTCCAATGGAGAAGGACAAATCTGGCTGGATGATGTGAGGTGTACAAAGGCCGATAACTCAATGAAACATTGTTCACACCGTGGATTTGGTAACCACAATTGTGGTAAGTTTAGATAATGTTTCGTCGATTGGTTTTTAATACCAAACTCAAACAGCCAAACAGTACGAGTTACGAGTACATTAGTGTAGTGTAAGCGTACACGGTCGACGTTGTTGGCATCGTATTATGATAATAGACTTTCAGAATCAATTTAATTGGCGTGTATATGGATATCGTGCGTTGAGACTACATTTTATACTGTAAACTTCACTATTCAAAGCGAACTGAGCCGCCATGTTTGCTTAATGTGATGTAATACCGGAGCCGGAGGTCCGGCAACCTCATACCCAGGGTTCCCTCGTATAACCTCGTATGCTTTCGGCGAGGGCTTTAATTCCGCGCGGAGATTCGGGATTACACCACCTTTATGATTAGTTCGCGTCGAGTAAATACTCATTTTTACAACTAGTGAAATATATAGTCTAATAACAAGCTATATAGAATGTATTTTATTGGCAATTGACCTTTCCGCACGCGGCGCGTGGGTTTTGCGTGGAAAGATTTGAAAGGATTTGATTGGTTGTCGCAAAACTTCGGACAGTCGAAGTGTAAATTATTTTCAGGTTTTCAGGTCAAGGATTATTTATTGCAAGACGATTTATTGCAAGATTTAATTTCATACCAACTTGAAATAGCCCATAGCCCTCAAACGCTTTGTAGGAAGCAATTTTGTGTCCGTTGTATTCGCTTGATTTAAATATTTAAATATATCTTCAATGCCAAAAAGTGGAATATTTTCAAGGCGTCCAGACATTTTTGCCGCGTGTAAACTGGAAAACCGATATCGCACGATGCTAATTTTTCTGTGGGCTTTATTTTGAGAGCCGTCATGTTTGCTAGTTGCAAATGCGAAAGTGAATTTTCTCAGTGAATTTTCTTGAATTGTGTGTGTGATCAAGTGATGAATCGAGCTTTTTTTAAGATGTATCAGAATAATTCATCAACCAACACACAGACTATAGATGCGAGCAAAACATCGAAAGTCTGACCATCCTCGCTGGCGGAGCCATACCTTCGCGAATTAAGAGCGCGATCCATCGTGGCCCTGGAGATGAGGATGCAGTCTGAGGGACTTCTTGTGATCGGAAATAACTGTTCAATTTTAGCTGGAACAGTTAGCAACTTAACAAGAAACATGATGTTGACTGCAATGATTTATCTTTTAAATGAAAATATTTAAATAATTTTACTATGTCTATGAATACTGACCTTCTTCCTTTTTATGTTAACTAGCTGACCTGTCTATTTCTGAACCCCTGTGACAATTTCCCTTAAATTCGATATTTTCGATTTCTTTTAGATTTTGACGGGTCGAATAAATTATTTCTACTTGCCTGCATGCTCACAACTTCAAAGTATTTCCGCATTTGACTGATCAAAAAAAAGCGCCTGCAGAAATGAGGATTAATTCGAATATAAATTATATGGAACCGACTGGAAATCCAAAATCTATAGATAATATCTTTTCAGCATTGTGTTCCTGGCTGTTAAAGGCACAAATGTTTAATGGTTCCTGGTTCTTAAAGACAGGAATAAACAATATTGTTCTCCGCCCATTGGCATAAATACACCTGATATTAAAGCCGCATGTGGTAGTGCCAGGATTGTCATGCTTTGAACCCTTTCTGTACTATTGACACACGAATAATTATAATTTACATTCCACTGATGTAACGAGGTGTTGAAAAGCAGATCAAGTCAATTATTTTTGTTCTTTCTCTATCGCTTGTTGGCATTTTTTAAAATTTTTAATATGTCATTTTGCCAGTAGCCAAATTAGCCAATTCATAGTAGAATAGTTATATAGTTATAATAGTTTGATCAATAATACTCAATATTCATAAATGAATATATTCACAAACAGATGGTGTGGATTTTGTTCTGGTAAAGGTGACAGTAATGACGTAGACTGCTAGTATACCTTTGTGATTTTTGACCTTAATATCTTACATGTTTTGTAATACCTACCTTAGAACACAACCAAGACGTTGGGCTGAGATGCACCGAATCTAAACTGAGTGAGAAACCTCAAGACCGCTCGAAAGGCCTGTTCCATTTTAGTGGTAAAAGAAAATCCTTCTTGAAATTCGTTAGAATACAAGGCACCCAGCAACACCAAGCAAAAAATTTATCACCGCTAAAATTTTCTTATTTCAAACGCAGTGCAATTGTATGTGAAGGTAAATGTCCCTATTTCGATGAGCTACACATAACCGGCTTCGCTGTGGCGGTCGAAGTCCGCAACTACGTTAAGAATCTGCTTAGAAATATAAACATCTCAAACTGTCTCTATGGTGTTATGGCATTGAATGGTTACGGCAAAGATGTTTCATTTCATAGCAATATCATAGATGTCTTCGGCTTGGAGAAAATTACCGTTACAAACTCCCGTGTTGGGATTATGTTAGCTAATCATTCTTCTCTACCGATCGAGTTAAAAGAAATTGCGATTACCAACTGTTTCTCCGGGGTGTCTATCTCAAAGGCGATATTAACAAATGTTAGGATGTCTGGACTGCAGCTTGATACTGGTGTCAATGCAATCTCATCAACGACAACGCTTGGGCATTTGCAAAACGTGGATATTTGTAGTAACTATCACGTCTATAATAGGTCATTTCCTGTGGAAATCGTTCATTCCACTTATGGAGCTAACGTGAACCCTTGTTCCATGGTAGGTGAATTGTTTGACCATGTTATTAGAGTTATGAAAGAAAAGTTAGGATGCCCTTGTATATAGGATTACAGATTCAGGCGAATACCAACATTTCCCGGGGTGATATTGACGTGGGGGTAATATATTGATATCACTCCCATAAGTCGATCGGAGAATGTTTACTATGAAATGTTAAAAAAATTCACTTTAAAAATTCACTCAAAAAGAAACATGCACAGTCGTACACGATCGTCTTTCACGTGTACACCATGCATTGTATATATAAACAGCACAAGCAATAGTATTGGGCGGGGCAGTCGCCAGATCACTGAAGAAGTCAAACAGTGCTATAGGCGCGGCCGTTTGATCTCTTTACCTCAAACAAAGGTTATGTTAAAATATTTGGTTTACAGTCTTTACAATATTATAGCCCCTGCTGTAACAAGCAACCCTTTAATGTTGGCCGAAAAAATATTTCATTTAGGTATTTGCAACATCTTCAGAGTATGCTCTCTCAGCCTTTATCTCGGTAGCTGAAAATATCAACTTGCGGATTCTTGATTTTAATTCCTCCGAGCTTCTATTTGATCTTTCCAATGCCAGTCTCTCTGAACATTTCATCATGGACTGGCAGAGTAGCGCCGTCGTTGTAGAAATCCATTTTAAAGGGGCCGCATATGCAAAAAAGGAGCTGAAGATATTCCTATCAAGTCGAATAAGTAAGTTTGAAATATGATATAATGATTTTATCTGACATCACTATCATCACAGAATGTATAACTTGCGTGATCACTTTTTTTACGACTTTTTAAATAAAATTTCTAGAATTATATATAGAATTTCTTTCAACTGACCAAACGACTTGTCATTTTAAAAAATCTGATTAGTGCCTGCTTATCGGGTAAAAAACAAGATCGTTTGCGCACTCAACATCAAGGTCGTTTGCGCACCCAATATCAAGGTCGTTTGCGCACCCAATATCAAGGTCGTTTGCCACCAAAAATAGTCACCTTTGTAACTAACAAATACTGTTATCATAATTATGTAATGTGATTTATTTACGCACAGATATATTGCCAGCCATGAATTTTGCATACCATGAATTTTGCCAGCCATGAATTTTGCATCAATAATGACACATCAAATTTTACACCGTTTTGGGATAAATTTGTTTATTTATGTCAAACAAAACGATATTTATGAATACATTCATTAAAATTTCAAGTATTTGTGCTGAGATATAACGGTACTTCAATTAATGCAATGTACATACATAATTGCTAATGGAGGATTTGTGGAGGAGGTGGGCTCAAATTGAAAGAGCTCTGTCTTCTACGATGTCTTGTGGTTTGGGAATTCGTTCTCGTTCGTTTTCTACAAAAATTTCTAATTTTCTTCGCAAATATTTTGTTTTATGCATGCATTGATACCAATATAACACTGCACGGCGCAAAAGAAGATTATAAAACCATAATAGTTATCACATTTTTTGAATTCCAGAAACTATGAAAGATAACAAGATTCTTGTGATATCAGACGTGACGATACACAGATTTAAGGGAGCAGCAATCACTTTCAATGCTAATCAAGACACAGCGATTATTAAAAATTCGGTTATCACTGATTCAAGTGCAAACTGTATATCTGTTTCGGGCAAAACATATGTATTGAAGGTTGTAAATAATACATTTCAACGTAATGGGAATTACTCGTTAAAAACGTCCATGCTTGTATTATCCGCCAAGCATTACTCCCTATTTATCGTGGAAAGAAACATTTTTCGAAGCAACAACTATGCAAAAATTATCACAACCGTTGTCAGTATTCAAACTGTAAGATATGTGTCACAAATCGACAATAACGATTTCCTTTATAACTCCTGTGAGAATCTGGTGGACATTGAATATGGAGGATATTCTTGCCCAGTTAAAGACTTTACGATAGTTTCTATTTTCTCAAAAAACCGTTGGATTAACAATCACATGCGAAGTGCCTCAGCTGTGGCATTAAAGAGCAACAATTATTGGCTGTGTTTTCCCTACAAATTAGACGTTGCGATAAAGGAAAACGAATTTCTGAATAACAGAGGTAAAAGTATTATCGAAATCCATTCGAGATGGCTGACAACACTCGCGTTAAACTCGAACCATTTTCAAGGGAACGTTTTAGAAAAAAATGCTGTCACACTGTCACTGGAGTACTATGCATATGGCAACAAACTATCTTTATTACACAACAAAGTTTTCGATAATGTAGCAGAACTTTTGTTTGATATACTGTCCAAAGACTTGGTATTCGTCGATATTCGAGGTAATACCATAATGCGAAATGAAGTGGAGAGAAGCATTCTTAATCTTGCCGATCTTTCGAGCTATTTCAAATTCACGAGAAATATCCTGATTGCCAACGTCCTTCATCGACGTGCTGTATTGCCGTATTATGATATCAACTATTCTGCTGCTCTAATCTGCTCAGGCAGACTCATCTCTGCGAATGAAAATTTCTTCGAAAATCCGCAATTTCCTTTCGAAATTATACTTACGCCAATTGACAATACATACGAAATTGACGGTAGATACAATTGGTGGGGAACTAATAACGGGAGCGAAGTCATTGCGAGGATTTTTGATTTCCGTCATCGAAATTATTTGCCTCGATTAAACTTTTCTCCCTTCCTCGCAAGTGCTAACCTTTCTGACGTTATTAATGAGGAGATACGTAACATATTTAGGAATGATAGTGTACTAGGCGGTCTCTTAACTGAAAACATCGTCCTGAATAGAGACCAATCTCCTTATACTGTGACAAGAGATGTTATCATTCACCCAAATGCCTCACTGACGATTGAAAAAGGTGTTCAGGTCAACGTGCGCCCGTATCTTGGATTTATTGTATACGGCAAGCTTGACATACTTGGAGAGAGGAGTAATCCAATAAAATTCGATATTGCAACGAAATTGAAAGAGGTTTCCAACTTTGGACACTATTCAATTCGTCTTGTAAATGGTTCAAAACCTTGGGAGGGAATAGTTGAAATACTTTATAACAACACCTGGGGAGCGATATGTGACGATGGTAGTTCATATTCAAATCGAATTGTCTTGTGTAAGCAGCTGGGATTTAAGGGTTACACTCGTACTTATCGTTATCCCATCTCTAACAATACAGGGCTAGTATGGTGGAAAAACCTAAAATGCAACCATAGAACCCATGATGACATCAGCAGTTGTCCTTTCCAAGGTTGGGGAGTATCGTGCAACAATCGTCTTTTATGGGCCGTTCAGTGTCATCCAGGTTATTGGCGGGGAATTAGATTTCGCGAAACTGCTAAACCAAGTAAAATCACGCACGTAAAGTTTGAACGTGGTGGCGATCTTGTTCACAAGTATTTAAGCTCCTATATGTTGAATTTTGACGTGTTAAGGCAAGTTATCAGGAATATCGAAATTCACGACTCTGTTAAAGGTGGTATTAGAATCGCTTTTCAGGTTCCTGGTTTGGATATGAGAAATATATTAATAGACGAACAATATGGACGAAAACATAATAGCTTTGGAATTGAAACATCGTCGTCATTAATATGTTACAATTGTAGCGTGATCGCAAAGGAGTGGGGCATTTACTTTAGAGAAACTGGAATGGAATCATTTATAGATGATGTAGGTGTTAAACGGATCGATTCCCTAGTTGTGCCCGACATTTTGCTAAGGAGGAAATATTCACTGTGCGAGCAAAATAAAAGCATAATCGTCAGCAAGGATGACATGAAGATCATTTTGGGACCGAAAACCCTTTCCGAAGCGAGTTTTGAATGTTCTCTTAATTTAACGCTTTTGTCTCAAGCAACCATGGTTGCAGAAATAATACTATCATCGAATGAAACATTCACCATCACCGCGACCAGTTCAAGCACATCAAGCAACATACACATCGCAGCTAGCCAAAACGATACTTACAGCTTAGGACCAGGTAACATCACTTTACGTTATTGGCGGAAAGCACATTCACATGGAGCAAGAATCAGACTCGTTATCTTCAGTACAAAAGGTATTATTATTTCAACAATTTTATAGCCTAGGAATGAAATTTGGCTCATCATATTTTGCCCTATCCACAATATAGACATTAACCGGTAATGTTTAGTCATATACTGTATATTTTTAATACATTTTTTGACATATTTAGGCGAGGGGGAGTGTGCGATGAAAAAGGTTGTTGGTGAAGCGGTCCTCTCGGACGGTTCAGTGATAAATAATAATTATGGAATACGGCTAGATCGCAACAGTATTGTAGAATTTCTCAAGATACAAAATGTCACGTTGAAAATTTTCTACTACGGAATTTATTTATACTATTCATCTTCAAATGTTTCTATAAACAATTGTGTAATAAGCGATGGAAGCTACGTTATAAACTCACATTATTCTTCTCAGGGAGTGTTCCTTAAAGATTCAGAACTATCGGATTGTAGTCACGTTGTAAATCTTGTCCACGAAACTGACCTGAAGTTTGTAGAAATGGAAAACTGTGTTGTTCGCAGAATGAGTGCCTATGTTATAACTAGCTACTATAAGAACCTACAACAAACCCAGGTGATCATTTTACGTCGTTGCATATTTATTGAAAATCAAAGAATACTCTATACCTTCCGTGCACTATACAGCCACATAGAGGTTACTGAATGCAACATTTCGGGAACAAAGTTTTATGGATTTGAGATTGATTCATATCAACCGGAAAATGATTTTGCACTTGCAATCAACAACAACACATTTTCTGAAAATTTGCACTATCTATTTCTTATACGGAAGCATAATGTCGACACGTCACGATCATCGATCTTGTTTAAAAACAACGTTTTTGTAAACAATTCTATGCCATCAGGCCATGGAATAATCTACTTGTTTGGGAAAGGAATACGTACTGCAATGACTCATATCAAGCAAAACACCTTTTTGGAAAACGAGTGCTCATTCATAATAAATGTTGATGCAAAGTCAAATTGGATGCCTCAAACTTTCTCTGTTAGAGGCAACATTATAGAACACAATAAGGGCGTGCCTTTGGTTACGCCGACGTACACCATCCCTGCTGTGTATTCATACTCCATTGGACTTTTTGGATGCGCTTTTTCTAATTATGACGTTCGGGCTAACGTTTTCAACAACAAACTAATGGGAAAAGAATTGTTTATTGGGCGTACCTGCGGCTCAAACTATATACCAGAAAATGATTATATCGACGGGACGTTCAATTACTGGGGCACATCGTCGGCCGAAGAATTGTGGGAAAAGATATTTCACTTCGATAATTGGAATGACAGACCAAAAGTCCTGTACCTTCCAGCCTCTGCTACGCGAAACTTCACAAGCACTATAACGTCCAAACCATATGCAAATCAATCTCAGATTGGTGGATACATTAACACTTCCTTGCTTTTGACTACAATAAATAGTCCGTACGTCGTCACGAGTGACCTGACGATATCAAAAAACACGACACTGTACATTGAACCAGGGGTTCAGTTATATTTCAAGCCCAATATTGGTCTTCTCATCTTAGGTAATATCGTTGCTAACGGAACAACGAACGAAAAAATAAAGTTTTGCTCTTCAGAGAATAGATGTAAAAATAGACAACGGAAGGTTCGGCTTGTTAGCGAAGACCGCGAATACGCAGGAAAGCTTGAGATATTTGTTGATGCCATTTGGCAGGCTGTGTGTCCTGACTATTTTACTTCGAAGGATGGGATAGTAGCCTGCAGGCAGTTAGGGTATGGTAGATATATCAATCATCAAAGAAGATACTATGGTGTTTACACTAGTCCTCGGTACAGAGTTTCCTTGAAATGTCGTGGTAATGAAACCTCCTTCTCTAACTGCAAACACCAAATAATTGGTCAGTGTAGCAGTTACTACATGCTATTTATGCAATGTGAAAGCAATTTTAAGTGGGGCAGCATACGAATTATCCATCCAAACGTTGTAAATTCAACCGGTCATAAAGACAAAGAACAGAAAGAGCTGTCCTCACTGAAAAATATTTTCATTCACGATGCGGGGATTCTACACGACTATTCGGTGCCTTCGATTCAAGTTATAGCACGATCGCCGTTTCTAGCACACATTAACATCAGTGGAAGCAACGGGATTGAAATCATTGGGCAAAAAGATACGATGGAAATCCAACATGTCACAGTAGAAAGCAGTTCGAATTATCCAGCAATATCCATGCTAGGCAATCAAGGATCAGTTTCCATCTCTGAGGTTTCAATAAAAGGAAGAAAACAACATGGAATTGCTATTGCCCCATTAAAAAATATGACCTTATTACAGCCATTTTTAGGACAGCATGATTTATGTGGTCCTGTTCAAAAGGTCTATGTGCACGATCGTTCATATGCTTTCCTAAATCAACGAAACAAAATGAAAGCAATAGTTTGTAGGATGGCATTCGAATCCTCTGTCTCTGATAATAGAAAAATTCATTTTCGTCTGCTGTCTTGGACGAAGAGTTCGTACTCTGTAACGATTTATAACAGTGATCGTTCTACGAAGTTCGCAAGCATACACAGTGGAAACACTAATCTATATCTGGATAAATATATTGTAATTCCAACAGATTCATTTGTTATTGAAGCGGACATATCGACGTTAAACAGATTCATGGCAGAAATTACCGTTACTGGCAAAACAGGTAGGAAAATTCTTCCTATTTTCACATAGGCTCAATGCAAAAAGAGATTATTAAAAATTATAAAAGAAAATATATGATCTCTTACACAACTATTTTTATAACATCGTTAAGGTAAAGGAAGCAGCAACGTTATTGTTGGTGAAAGCAGTTTTCAAGAAACATCTGGTGCAGCTCTTCATTATACATCAGATCATGCATTACCGATCCGATTAAAGATCAGACGTAGTCATGTTGCTTTGGTGGGAAACGACGGAAAACCGATTAAGCCGCCATCAATTGAAATGGTGGTTAGCAACAATGATTCAATTGAAATCTCAAACAACGTTTTTACCGCTAGCAATCGGGGAGGTATTCACATTTACCTTTTTGGAAAAAAAGGAATGGTGAATATAGTGAATAACATCATTTCCGGAATCAAGAAGGGAAGTGAAGCTATTCACGTGGCCGTCGTTGGCGGCGATGCACAGAGTAAACTTTTCATGGCGGGAAACTTTTTAAATGTCAACGACATTATTTACCCACATGACTTAGTTAATATAAAGAATGTAGATGAAGCTACCATTACGGACAACGTATGTTATGACAACGCCGCAAGAAATACCCTGAATTTGGTTGCGTCAAGTAAAACGAACAATATGTCCTTCATCACAAGAAATGTTTTTTTCTTAAATAAGGGACGTTCGCATACAATGCAGATTCAATCATACGGTCGTGAAGTTATCAAGCAAAATTACTTTTCAAACCCAAGCAATCAGTTCGAACTTAGAACCTTATCAAGCGGTTTCAGTGACACCATTGTAAATGCATCATATAACTGGTGGGGTAATGCGAATCGAGCCGTAATCATGAGAAAGATTATGGATAGGAGAATGTCAACGCAGCTGCCGCACGTAATTTATCAGCCTTTCCTCCAGTCACCGACGCCAATTTTCGCAACAGGTAAGTAACCACTGAAGTATATGCATGTGACAAGGAGGAATTTCGTTTTTGACCAATCGGTAAATTTGTTTACATTTTCAGTTACCCAATCAGAATGCATAAGTATTGACTATACTTCCGGTAAAAAGTACATTATTCACCGTCTAACATGAAGTATAAAAAATTTAGGTATTCTGATTCGCTTAGCGTGAACAATGTAAACAAATGGGCCAATTAGTTTGTACGAAATTCCACGTTGTTTATGCATATTGTTGATGGGAGCACGAGCATCATGATACACTGTTTAACCAATTTTTAGGCTTATGTTCATTTGGTTGGATTTTCCTAAACGCCAAATGCTATTACAATTTGAGAAGTGCCCAAAATTTTCAGAAATCCAAGGAAATGTGCAAGGTCAGTAGAGAATACCAGAAAACAATTGAAAAAATGGGAAAATTCGTACTCTGGAGTACAACATTTAATCATTTATTAAGCCAAAGATTTAGTTGTGTTTGTAAGATTTGTTTTTTTTTATTCATTTCTTTTGTTTCTTTTATTTTAATATTTTTAGCCGCTAATAAAAACTATTTGCGCTTGGCAAGGAATCAAGTTATTATTTGGATTATGTTTTTCTTATACCGTACAAAATATTTCGACATTATCAACACCAACATGCCCTAAAATATTAGACATATTATATATATAACTTAGACAATCAAACTCCATCTTGTATAATTTAGAAAATTGGAGGAAGCATGTTTTCCTCTCAAGACTTTCTGGTGGCCTCAATGGTTTTAAAAAAATTGCATCATAAGCTTGCGTACGGAACCAAAATAAGCATTTGGATTGACGTCGTTACAAAGGTACTGAGAGATTGTTTACCAAACAATTTGATATTAAATTTAACATTCTATATGTACGTGTGCACAATGTGTGGGTCTCTATAGCTGTTCTGAATGAACCGAGTAAGGGCTTAAAAGTATTATCTGTACTTTTTGTACATACATTCAGGTAATTAATTTTTATTTCTAATTTAAAATCGTGTCTATAAATCTTATCTTTAGCAAGGTCGTGGTTGTTGGGTGTTCGACGGGGCAATGAGAGAAACGTCGTGCGATTTAGCAAGACCTACGATCTGTGAAAGGAAACCAAGTAAATTTCTTCTGCCTATACTTGACATAAAATAGAGCCACAGACGGGCATAGTACATATAAACATAACCCTTGACTTACCCTATAGCATGCGCCGAACATTAATCTTTAGCAACTCTCTTCATCTTATCCAGCAATATCATAATCATCATATTGCACTCAAATGTAATCCATCCTGAAAGACTAATTTCATGGCCTGAAGTCGATAAGGCATCACGCCTTCCCCCAAAATTTGGTCATTTTTCAAACTTCAAATTTTCCTTCAATTTTGCGAAATTTTGCAATTACTCTGTTACAAAATTCCGAAATTCGGACACCCCTTTATATTATCCTTAAAACTACAGGGGCTTCCGAAATTCGGACACCCCTATATATCTTGCTTACAGATATAGGAGTTTCCAAAATTCGGACACCCCGATATATCTTGCTTACAGATATACTTTTTTCTAAAAAGGAAGTTTGTTGCGGGAAAGGAAATTTAAAAAACAATTACTAAATCAGCAGGTTTTTCAAATCTGGTTAATTTGTGGGGAAAATCGTAAGTTTGAAAAAGTTCAAAATTCTTTGGAACACATTAACTCACTGTTCTATAACGGCATTCAAAACGTCCTATATCAGAAACTATTGCAGAGACCATTGAATTTTTGACATTTTAAAGGTGGTCTCTGTACTAACGACTGTTCCTCTAATGGAATCTGTCTGGGACAGACGTGCAAGTGCAATAGTGGATGGGAAGGTGCCGATTGTTCATCATATCATTGTAAAGATCTTGGTAATTGCAGCTCTTATGGCAATTGTGTTGGACCAAACCATTGCAAGTGTCGCTTAGGATGGATGGTAAGCGTTATAGTATAGTTTCAACAAATCGAATTCCCATGCATAGCTATCTAATATCTCGGCCTCTCTTGGAGAGAGATTTTAGTGAAGATTCCAGTGTGAGTTTCTAGTGCAAATTCTCATCTGATTTTCTGAAACCTCATGAAAAATCAGATTACTATAAACCATATTCAAATACCATCAGCATTTAACATATTGTATTTTACACCTACTTCTTAAATCATCTTTTTAGGGTCGTGGTTGTACAGTCAGTTACTGCCCACCTTTCAAAACTTGTCGTAGTTGTCATTCACGGAAGGGATGTGGGTGTTGACGCACAAGAACATGTTTACCTGGCACAGCATATAAGACGGATGTTGGTCAATGTCAGTCTTGGTTTTATCACAACTGCATAAGTGTTGGAAGAAATCCGTCATGTTCTAGTGATATGAAAGTTGGTGCTCATTATAATTTTGTACATTAAGTAGCCTAAACATCTGTCGCCATATATACTGTAATGCTCGTTTGGTGTGTCTTTATGCTGACGTTTGCCATGTTTCTTTAAAAGATAATATAATGATTACTGAACATTTCAGCTCTCCAAAACGCTGTGTAAATGAGCACACTAACTAAGTGATATCTAAATAAGTTTTTTTAATTCCATAGGTCATTGATTGCAGCACAAGGATGTGTAACGTCGAGCGTTCACAGTCTAGCAAAAGAAGTTGCCAGCAATGCAAGGATTTGGAAAATTGCTACAATAAAAACGTTTTGGTATGAGTAACCCATTTAAGAACCCATTGGCATCGTCTTGTTTTATAATTAGAATTCACTATGGGATTTCATGTGGTGGTGCATGTAGACTTTGGGAACTAAAATAACAGTTTGGTACTTTTTGGTCTGAATAAGCCTTCCAGTTTATAACAGGCTGCAAACAAATGTTACTGCATACGCTGTAACAGTCTTTATTAGAGGGGGGAACATTTAATTTGTTACTGTACGATGTCCTACTGCAAACAAAAAGATAAAGTTTGCGGTTGCATCATAAAGTCTTTACTTAATTTATTAGTGGAAATTTTCTTTCTGCCTTTAGAATAATACTACTGTGCCAGGATGTTATGACTGGAATGAAATCAAATGTGCAAAGGGGTTTGTACAAAAGAACTACGATGATAAATCCCGGATAAACCATGTCGAACTGATATCAAATGTGAAACTTGTTAATTCTGATGAATTAGTGATATATGGTTGTCCCAATGAAAATAACCTGATTGTTGTGACAAAAAAAGACAGAGTAAACTTTAAGAGAAGAGATATTATATCAAGCACACAGGCTGAGGGAATATTCCATAAAATTCAAGAAATCACGTTCACAAGTAAGTGCTTCACATAAGGTAAATAGAGTGAATGTACACAAGTAAGTGCTTCACATAAGGTAAATAGAGTGAATTTACGTCGTGTTTTATGTTGTTCTTATGTCTAAAATAATAATCTTGGTTTATTTGTAGATCAACATGCAATTATGAATGTAATCCCAGCAAGAGTGGAAGATGTGATTTCCAACAGTGATTTTGATCAAGAGGTTCCGCTGCAAAAAATATTAGATCAAGACTTGCTTGAAAACAGCCCTGATGACAGTTTATTGCAAGATGTTCTTTCAGGAGATGCGCCGATAAACAAAACCATTAAAGTACACACTATTTCAAGTGGTAAGTGTGCAGCATCTTTTAATTGGGCAAGAATTAGCATGCAGTACATAAATAACAAGCTCATTGGTCCACTGTCCAGGATAGCAGGTTATATATATATATAAGCTGGATTATATTTATACACAGTGAATTATAATCAATCCTAAATTGTGAATATGTATGGAAACATGATAATTTTATAACCTTAACCCTGTGTATTTATAAATAGGACACGTATATAAATGCCTCGCAAAAACGTACACAACTGATAAGGATGAGGAAGTCACTACACTCTTTGTTGTTTTTCCAATGACGACTATTAATGGCAATTTGAGCATTGGAAATGTTATTGTTGGAAGTACTAGCAACGGCTTTTTGGAGACTGTTAAAGAAATTGTTCAAGATGAGGGGATCAATTTTATCTATACCGAACTCATGACTTGTAAGACTGGATTTTCAAACTCAACAAGGTATCAGTGCAAATCAATCAAATCCCGATCAGCTTTGAAAATTACCAAATCGGTTACTAAGAAAAAAACCTGATATATAATATAAATTTTCTTCCTCTTTTTGGTTATACTAGATATAAAACTTTGAATAAGGCGACGAGTTCATGTTTGGGAGGGGATGATCTTCTTGGTTTGAAGATCACCGAACACGACACCAATGTCACAGTCGGGGATATCATTGTGGGAAGAGATAGTGGGTCATTTTTTGGAAAAGTAAGATAATGTAGATAAATTTAAACTTATTTAAAGAACAGTGCGTATTTTTTTACTAAATTAACAATCACAACGCGTGTTTCTTTAAAACTTTGTTACAAAGGGGAAGGAAGAACAAACAAGCGAGCATGTATATAGGCGTTGTACAAAATGGGAGGAACCAATTGTTACCATTTTTTCTCTATGATGGTAACATTTATCCGTAATTATAGGTCATTAGTTTCTATGCAGAGAATGGCAATTATTTTGCGGAATTAATGCCAATATCTAACGTGAAGGATGGGGATGTACAAGAGCAATACAATGTAAGCGAAATTTCTTCGCGTCGGAGGCGTGCAGTGGGTAGCTTGACAACCGGAGCCAATTTCATAATGGCAAGAAGTGAAAAGGTAGGTTCTTCACTAAAAGCATAAAATACCTTAAAAGATTTAAGAAGCAGTCGACTTTATGTTTCATATTATAATATTCGTCATAGATTGGACCTCATCTAAAAGTCAGCGGAAGTGTCCAGTTCAATGCAAATGTAAAAATCAATTTCCATACGTCCTACTTAAAACCAAAATCAGTCGGCGTGGGTTTATCTGGTGGTTTAAAATTAGACCTCAACTGCGATTTTAATCCTTCTTCAAGGTAGGCGAGTTATTTTCAAGGCAACTTATCCACACCTATTTAGGTCAGGATTTGTGTGAAATAAAGATGTCAGTACATAATTGCAGTATATCAGTGGAGCAATTCTGAGTATCTTCAGATTATATTATAAGACATGTATTTGTTGTCGAAAAAAATAGTTTGAAAAGTTAATAAGAGGCTCCTTTCCTGCTGTAATCTCCAAATACCAGCAACAATTGATATATTATGTGCGGTGTACCAGAAGGTTCAGTGGTCGGCCCCATATTGTTCATTGATGAATTTTTTTGTGCTCTTCTCTTTTACCTTTGCTCATGATAGTTAATTTTTATTAATTAATTGATGCTTAATTTGACATTTAATTTATTGTGTCAAAATAAATATTTTTTTCCAAATGTTGTTGTTGTTTATGTAGCTATTCGGTCTCGCAAGTCAGGAAACTAATAAACAACAAGCAAGTTGGACGTTTTTGTATCCCTTTTGTTGGTGCTGTGTGCATTCCGGGAGTGTTCAGATTGGATGTCGGAGTGTCAGCAACTGCTTCAGCCAAGGTAATAAAATTAATTAAACGATCAAGGGCCGCGGTTGTTCATTTGATGATAAGGACCTCGAACAGGTTTTGTCGCGTGTCAATCTTTAGGGGATTTACCTATACTTTGTTCGGCTAAGCCAAAAATATTTTTTTTAATTATAATTTTCTACCTTTCTGAAAAAGATCCTAAATATATGACATATTAACATTATTAGAATTTCGTTCAACTCTTGTAGTATAATTCATTGAATATCAAAATAAGTCCTTTCATCTCGTTGTATATAGGCCGCTTCATCATTATCTGCAAGCTTAACGTCAAAGTATTCTATATCAGCTGGTGGAATATGGAGAAAAGGGCATGGGGTTGAGCGAATTTTTTACGAGGTAAGCCGAAACTCGAACTTTCATGGTTGCACACAAGGTTACTACTGTTCAATAAATTTGGGCGGTGTCAAGTTTTTTGAGTTAAAAGCACCTCTAGTTTCAGAAAGGATCAGCAATTCCATCCTTCAAAGCTCACATGGAGAACAAATATGCGTCATTTTTGGTAACTCTTACGCCATCGTTTCAAGTCCATTGGCCATCGGTAATTCCTAGAAAATTAAAACACCAAGCAGCCACATTTCTTAAGAGAATATTTGGTATGTTATTAATTCATTATGAGTATTGTGCGATTTCTACATATGACAATATTATAATATTATAATGCCTCATTGGGATCACGTAGTGATTCATTCTTCTCGTTTTTAGATGTTAAAAGAGGGACATCTATTCCCTCTCTGTTCGTATTTACATTAAAAGTTCCATTAACAACAACACTTGATGCAAAATTTTGCACTGAAAAATGTCCTGATGCAGGCCAGAATATCGAGGCTAACTTCCGCGGAGGAGTGCCGAAAGTCACCGGATCTTTAACTCTCAACATTGGCTCGTACAATAAAAATTGGAACCTCTTTACAACTTCACTGTTTGAGCGTGCTAAAAGGTGCAGTGTAATTTTTGAGTGTAGTCTATTTTTCCTCTGAAAGATATTCCTGTGGTTTTTTGACAACGTCTTTTGCCTTGTATTCTCCACAAAAAATATGTCTGTAAAATTAGTATCGATACAACATTACATGATTTTTTGTAGAACGAATTAAGTCCTGCAATTGATGCGAAAATCATACGCGAGAGTGTATTACTAATTAATTATATATCTTCTGGAATCTAAAGTTACAATTTATTGAACTTCAGTACAATTGTTAAATCTTATCACAACAATCATGGTAAATAGTACAATTTGGAATGATTAAAGTTTAGCATAATTTGAAATCCGTCAATGAAGGTGATTGGCTAGTTGTATATACTAAAAGTGGTTTTTACTGGTTATGAGCAAGAGTGCAATTCCAACTCGCAAAGGGTGCAATTAATGCTCTAATCTCACTGCTCTTAGCCAATGAAATTGCAGCATATATATGCTAAAGATTACAGAAGATATATAATTAATGAAATAATTGTACTCCTCTCGACCAATCAGCATACCGTAATTTTTAGTACGCTAATAATAATGTATAATAGCATGATTGCTTTTCATGCATAGACTTTCTAAAATTATATTTAATTGAGTATTCACAGCATACATTTTTAAGATAATAATTTTTAAGGTAAAAAATTATTTTTTTTTTAAATATACAGTGAATGCTTCTTCACCCCAGTGAAAGTTCCATGTTGCATTACGAACGGCAAACCCGGCAAAGTTGATCCAAAAACCGGTCAATGCGATGAGGAATGCGACTGCTACTCGGGCGATCCCACAGCGCCAAAGGGCATAAAGGTAATGCATGACTATAGTTGTGCACCTACATACGAATCTTTTTCTAATTTCAGTTAATCATTATTTCATATACAGATGAAAGATGGTACTTGCAAATGTGAAAAATGCCCAGATAATTCTATGAAACGAAAAAGAAGCAAGGAAAAGCCTGAATGCCCATGTCTTTGCAAAGATGGTACAGAAAAGGTAATGAATTCTGACGGCTCCTGCCACGTAAGCTGTTTACAATCTTATTTAAAGACTTCACTTTAACACCACTTATCGCGAAAGAAAAGTGGAAGATTTTACAATTTGAAATATTGACTTTATATATAGTCGTTCATGCAGGATTAGAAAACAAATTTTGCATGGTCATGCATAGTTTTTTAAGACTGTCAGGTTCGATCCTGGAATATATTCTATAGCTTACAAACCCATTCTTATATAGTGCGCCTGTGCGTGTGACGACGGAAGCAAAGACACAATTGCGTGGGATGGTTCATGCCCGTGTGAATGTTCGTGTAATGGATATGAGAAATCAACCCTCGGACCTTTTGGGTGCAAGTGCGAAGATAGGTAAGGTAAAAAATTCCACGCGTGGTCCCAGGAATTATACACGACTGTTTCTTACAATTATGACAATTATTTTGGTGTTGTTAAATTCTTAAGCTTAAATAATAATTTCAATTATTTATTGCTTTGCTCTGAAGATGTCCTGTGTGTAAAGACGGAGAAGAACCAGTATGGATAGATCGAAAATGTTTATGTAGAAAAAAGAACAGCTGTGGTGTTCCACCAGTGTGCGTTAATGGACGTAAGGGACCAGACTGTAATCAGCCTAATTGCTCTCCTTGCCAAGGTAATGAAATTAAGACATTCTATAAATAAGGTCTGCCTCTCTCTTATTTTAGGGCATATTCAACATTCTATTTTTAAAGCGGATTAATAAGCTACATCTATTCTGGTAGTTGCATAGAAGTTAAATTAACTGAAGTGAAATTACTGCCCATAAAAGCATATTGCAAACCAACTGAAGTGGTATTTGGCAACTTCTTCAAATAAGATAATCGACTCTTACAGGATGTTCAGGAAATGGCGTTTGTATTACTGATTCCTCTTGTGGCTCCAGATGTTCTTGTCGAAGACGATGGCAAGGTCGATGTTGTGAAAGACGTAGACCAGTAAGGTGGTTCGGAGATCCGCATCTGCAAACACTCGACGGTTGGTTGGTATTTAGTGTCTGTGCATAATTGAAGACGATTACGTTTCCATTCGCGATGAAGATTTTATGCTCGAAGAAATATCTAAGTAGTTACGACTTACGACGCAAAATGTAGCTAAGAGTTTTTCGTACAACCATCCCGAGGATATTTACAATATATTTTTATTCTTTTTACCACACTTATAAAGGGATGGAATTTGACTACTTTGGTATTGGAGAATATTGGCATTGCAAGAGCATCGTAAATGACTTTGGAATGCAAGTTCGTTTCTTTGGTTATAAAGGTGCTTCTTTGACTGGAGCAGTCGCTCTAAAGGTGGCAGAAGACATCGTAACCATAACGACACTACCAACGTCCTCATATGGTGATATGCCGAAGCTAAGGTATTGCTAATGTTTTGAATTCATTAAGTTACTTGTTTGAAGAGAATTCGTGCTTTTTGTGCAAATAATAAATATATTAATATTCATGCAGAACCCTTGGACAAGGTAATTATACTTAGCGGTACACTAAAAATCTGGTATAAAATACACAAAAATACTATGGCTAATTATGGTAATATACATCCATGCAAGATTGAATTTGTCTTCAATCTTGAAGTGGCATCTCATCAGTCTCCTGTGAACAAAGTGAACATTTTTCTTCCTAGAATTAATGGTGTCTTGCAGAGTTTGTCAAACCATGACCCGAAATTTTTGTTTGCCAATGATTCTATCAAGCTAAATATCTTTAACCCTGATAATAGAACAGAGAGCGATGGTGTTGCAATATTCGCATTCCAATTCAAATCTGGTAAGTTTTAAATGTACGCTATTTGTGGAGAACACGCTATTTCGATTGTGACCAAAGTTCCTCATGATTTTTATGTTGTCCAGGTGTAACGGTCACGGTTGAAGCGGAATACAGCCCAGTAATGTCGCGACAATATCTTAACGTGAATTTTATACCAACGGCTGCATTTACCAAAACTACTGAAGGCCTTTGCGGATTTATGGACGATGATGAAACCAATGATTTGATAGGCCCAAAAGGAGAACAGTATTATAATAATACTATTAAATTTTCTGAGTCTTGTAAGTCCAATGTATTGATGTATGTTTAACAATTTTTCTCCATGCATCCAGGAGAATCAGCCCTCGCCCTCTAATCCAAAACATGATGATGATCAATTGAGGTTTATATGCCTCAAAGAATCATATGCTTCAAAGAATCGTTTTTTGCCATGCATGCTTGTAAACAGCTATTCCTTTCCTAATGAAAAATTAGCAGTTATTGATATAACACAAGTGTAGACAGAAGTGCTTTTCATAATTTTTCGAATATCGATATTTTTGGCAATATTTTAGGGCGAATAACAGCGAATCATGATGGTTCAGGTCTCGTGGGAAGTTGGGATTGGAATTCTTCAAATTTTTACATTGACGATATAATGGATCCATCGTACACTGACGAAGGACACACGCCGCTGTACTCGTTAGATAACTTCCCATTAAATCAAGTAAATGTATGTCACTAACACATATTTTTCTAAAACTGTCCCCGATAGGTAATATAGTTTACTATTACAACTTCAAAAATAAAACATATAAATGTTCAAACAAATATATATGTTCACACCGTATCGATCGCAGCGATAAATCTATATGAAAACGATTAATACATTTAATTATATATAGGTAAATAATTTTATAATGCTGGGACTTTTTCCTATTACTACAGGAAGCTAAGCGGATATGCAAAGAAAATGGATTGGAAAATGTCATACTAAATAATTGTGTCTTCGATATCTTGATGACCAACGACACTTCCTTCGCAGACCAACAATCACTGCAAATCGGTAAATAGTTGCATTCCTGGATATCATTATTCTCCAATCGTGCACCAGACCAGGCTATCCAGGTTGTTCAGAAAAAAATACATATATCATGCATGCAGTTATCTGTTGGATAAGAAGTATAGCCCGCCATTTCTGTGACAACGTACGTGTGCGGTCACAGAACGCCAAAACTACCCATCTTTCAAAGATGTTTAAATTTTCACATACCCAAATACAAAGTATATTTTGATAACAGAAACTTTAACAGTCGACGTTTCTCTGCGCTCTGATCCATATTATCGATTCAGTAGGCAGTAATATCCTTCGTTTGAATATTTTAAAAAAGCATTTAAGTAGTCCAAACGAACGACTCGGGTGATTCATCCTCAATACTTCTGGGAATTTCTCATAGTTGTATGATAAAAAACATTTGCAGGTTGCCCTAATGACTGCACCGGGAAAGGTCTTTGCAAGAATGCCACGTGCTCATGTCTTGAAGGTTGGTCAGGTGATGATTGTAGTATTGGAAGCTGTGGAAACTGCTCACGTGGTTCCTGTGTAGAAGGATTCTGTCAATGTCACATTGGTTGGGAAGGTGCTGAATGTGATAGGAAAGCGACATGTTTCGCTGTTGACAATTGCACTTCAGAAATTCATGGTCTCTGTAAAACAACGGATATTTGCGAATGTAACGTAGGCTATACAGGTGATTGAAGCTTCCTTGCGAAATTTTATCCATTGGTAATGTTCGTTGAAAAACAACTTTATCGGGGTTAAGCCATCTCTTTATGTATTTAGGCTCTAATTGCAGCGTCGTAGCAATCTGCATCGATGTCCTTAATTGCTCTTCAAATGGAGATTGTATCGCTGTAAATGTATGCAAATGCCACAATGGTTATAATGGATCTTCTTGTAACAAGCCTTCGTGTGAGTCGCTTGGATATTGCTCAGGTACATTCATTTCCAGAGTGAAATTTTTACTTTAGTTTTATTTTTACCAATCGTAATATCATTACCATTTATTTTCTTTCTGTTCTTACAATATTTTACATTATTTTTATACATTGTCCTGTTTATATTAGAATGACTTAATAGCTAGACCTCGATTCTTATATCTCCTTGCAATGCTGTTTCGGGTTGAATGTCCGATTTACAGGAAAGAAGTCAATTTTATCTCCATGTTACAATTGTACTATAGGCGCTGCTGCAGTTAATCAAGAGGCGTGCAAGTTCTTAAATTCTTTTTTCATAGGAAACGGTCAATGTATTGCTTTTGATACATGTGATTGTAATGTCGGCTGGTCTGGACCTAGTTGTTCCATCCCTGACTGTAATACAGTGAACCAATGTTCTAACAATGGCGAATGTGTTGGGCCTAATATCTGTAAATGCTTTGAAGGATATCAAGGAAATGATTGTACTGCTCGTTTGGATTGTTCGCATTTAAATAATTGTAGTGGGAATGGAGTGTGTGGATTTAATAATGCTGCAACGGAAGACTCCAATATTTGCAGGTAGTTATTCTCACTTTAGTTTTCTCAGTTTAATTTGGGCAAATAATTTTAAGAAGTTCAAGCTCCCCAATAGGCCCCAAATAATTTTTAAGTTTTAATTGTCAATTCCTGGGTCCTTAAGAATGTGGTGCCCTTAATCTGAGTATGCAAACTTTAATTTACGCTTTTTATCTTCATTCAACAATTATGAATGGTGTTGTTTTTACTTTGATTTATTGTAGTTGCTACTTGGGTTATGCTGGAACCAATTGTACTCAGTATGATTGTACAAATGTCAATGATTGTTCTGGAAATGGCACGTGCGTACAACCTAATCTGTGTTCGTGCAAAATGGGCTTTGAGGGAGAAACGTGCGTCAACTTTTCATGCGAAACACGAAATCGTTGCTCAGGTCGGTGGTTTAATTCCGTCTAATTTTGTGAAGCCTAAAAATAAGATCAATTATGTTCATATCAATTTCCAAACGTCTAGAAATACAGCGGAATTTTTAAATGTTTTTTATACAGGCAATGGAGCCTGCGTTGGTTACGAAGAATGTCACTGCAACAAAAACTGGATTGGTTTATCATGTGAAACGCCAACGTGTGATGGCGTTAACAACTGTTCATTTAACGGATTATGTGTTTTTCCAAACAAATGCGAATGTTATGCGGAATATGACGGTAGAAACTGTACAGAAAAAGTGGCAGCGAACCTTAATACGCCTATGTTCTTAAACAAATCTTACGTCGCTGTGGTAGCTGAAAATCGAGCAAAAGGCTTTGTTATACTGAAAGTGCATGCAAATGACATTGACATCGGACGCAGTGGGATGGTTTCGTACACAATTGAAGGGGAAAATTTTGTCCTGATGAACCACGATACCGGAGAAATCTCAGTCGCTGCTGACGGTGTTTTCGACTACGAAAGCCAAAGGAATCTGACATTCATAGTCAAAGCTGCAGATAATGGTACCCCAATTCGAAGTTCTGAAGCGAACGTTACGATAATCGTGAAAGATGAAAATGACAACTGTCCTGAGTTTAGTACTCCTGCAGGAAATTACAAATTCCCAGTTCAAATCTTAGCAAGTGATGACGATAGTGGAGATAACGGTCGGATACGATATTCTATCACGTACGAATCCGATCCCGACCAGAAATTCTTTATAACATCAAATGGTACCGTTCTACCCAGAATAGTTCTCCAACCTGGTGCTTACTTGTTGACTATCGTAGCAGAAGATATGGGTGCTATACCATGTGCTCGAAAACTAAGTTTGACCATTGTGGTTGATCGCACTGTCTCGGCCGTGGTTCTTCCAACTTCCATAATATCTTCGTCTAGTATTGAACTGTCGCCTTTAACATCTACAACTACAGTAGGCGTAGGTAAACAATCTTCATCAGATTTTTTTCCAGGCCTCCTAGCTTCAACATCTACGTCCTTGTCTCATGCAAGTACCAAAGCTCTTAGACCAACATCATCCCGTCTTCCCAGCTCCGTGGCTCAAAGGTTACATTCAACAATTCTAAGCTCGACGCCTTCGCTGCAATCCTCACAACCTCCGAAAAATGGTACTTCGCAAAAAGCATATTCGACAGTTTCATTAAGTTTTGTTGACTTACAACCATCCTCGTCACCTCTATTAAGTGCCAATTCCATTATAGAATCTCTTTCGAAAAATTCTATAGCTGTGTATCCAACCCAGACCGATAACTCGGCCACTTTGATCATGTCAACTGATTTTACCCGAAACAAGAAATTGGTATCTGTAAAGTTAAAGATCCTGAACGTTGTGTTTGTCATGAACTATCGCGAAAAAAACAGTTTGGATTATAAAAATCTCCGACGTAGAGTCGAAGCGGCATTAAAGATCGTATTCGAAAAAATTAGTGGATACTTAGCAATATCTGACATTGATTTTGATGAAGGGAGTGTTTTCGCTAAAATCCAAGCAGAGTTTTCATCAGAGAATACGCAAGTCAGTACAAGTACTCTCGCCAGGGCAGTCGTCGATGCTACTGATAAACATGGCAATTTGGGCGACTTTCGACACAATACTTCATTTCTTCAGCAGCAAATAACACCGACTAAACCCCCTACAGAAGATGAGGGAGGCGATGAGGGAGGCGATGGTGCTTTAATTGGTACAGCGGTTGGTATCGGGTCAGCAGGATTGGTTTGTCTTATCTTGGCTCTGTGTTTGGTAAGCAAATATTTATTTCTCCTAAATATGTTATTTTACTAGTTCTATGAAGCGTATTCAGTCTAGAATTCGGTGGCTCACAGAAAAACCACACATTTTTTAAATGTCATGCGTAATGCCGTATTTTGAATATTTTCTTTATTATTTTAAGGTATATTACTTCAAAATCAAGAGGACTAAAACAAAACATCTGAATAGTGAACGTTCAGCTATAGAAATGAATTCAGCTCATGACACTTCTTACTACGACAACGATATACAAAAATATAACTAATATTAGTTGTCGTTATGGCAGATCGAATTACTACATATTCAGATATTTTGCTATATAATTCACAGATGTTTTGTGATATTCAGATCATGTGATGAGGTCCACGCAAGCGGGCAATAAAATTTCTTTAGGGAGGACTACGAAACTTGATGCCCTTTGGCAAAAGCTGAAACCGAATCTAATAGTTCTTCCATGCACCGTTGCTTTTCATGATATAATAGTAACAAATTACTTACTGTATTTACTGACATGTCGAAAAAAGTGTTTTGTTCAGAAATTTAATTTGTACGTATGTAATAGTACCCACGAATGATTTTAACAATATCTACACTTTGCAAAATATGGATATGGGATTTATTTAACCACGCAACCCTCATCACCCGTGGACGATTTTCATGAGGGGCGTCACACAATTACATATATAATTAAATAAATTTACAAACCAACAGTATATTAATAAAAGTATTTACATATACGCATGCAACTATTAAAAAGAAGTTAGAAACTAAGACTAATTGATGTCTGAACTTTATCAGATTTTTAAAATTGCTTAAAGATTTTGTTTGCCTAGCTCGCATTGGTAAACTATTCCATAGCACAGCCCCACTACACCCAAAGCTCGTCTCAAGTATTCAGTATTTGGTTTAGGAAGTGAAAGATTGATGTCAGCATTTCTAAGATTTTAATTAATTCAGATTTAAATTTTCTCTTGTAATGAATTTATCTTTTAAATTAGGCCCAAGTGGTTGTTTATTATTCTAAACATCAAAACAGATTTATTTATTTTATGCCTGTCATTCAGATTATGCCTATCACTCAATTATCTTGGTATATTTCAGATGTATATGTAAATAGCCTTCGATAAGTTGCTACTGATAGTATGATATAGCTAGGTAACTTTAAAATAGGCCCCCTTGCTGTAATCATTATGTGAATAATTTCTGTCATCTTTTTGCTCTTACTCTTCAAGGACTGAATACAAAATTTAGCAAAGGCCTGTCGTAGCTATGTGTTTATTATCCAAAAATAGCTAGATACTTTGTGGTAAAAAAGTTGATCGTTTCAAAAAAATTCCCATAATTAAGGGAAAATAAGTTTTCCCTTAATTAAGCGAAATTAGGCAAAATCGTGTTTTCTTGTAGTCACCCCTTCAAACTCGTTCCCAGGGTTTTCTGGGGTTTTTTTTACTCCATTTTGCATTCTTGTTCTTCCTGCATGCATGTGCGACAGCAGTTCCCTTTTTTGTGAACATCAATCGAGAGGGAAGCAACCTCAGTCAGGGTTATATGACGCGTGTCAAGGTAGTTAAAACGAAAACGTGTTATGATAAGCAAGGAGGAATTTCGTTTTGAACTAATCGCCATATTGTTTACATTTTTGAGGCAAAGCCAATCAGAATGCCATGTAAAATTATATTTATTGTACTTTTAATAAAAATTTATGCATTCTGATTGCATGGGTTAATGAAAATGTAAACAGACTTGCTGATTGGTCTAAAACGAACTCCCCCCTTTTTGTTATGATAAAAACCACCAACACTTCATATTGTACCTTAATTTGTGCTCTATTTACTTACACGTCAAATACGACAATATGATTTTTTTTATTGAAAACAAAATATATATTCACTGTATGTAAATATATATTCACATTTCTCCCATAAAAACTTTACTTCTCATCCACGAAGATTGCATATAATATAAAACATAGTCATAGTAAGTTTTTTTAATATTTTTACACTGGAAGTAGTGCAAAACCCCTTCAAATTATAAAATGGGAAATTTATAAACATAATGGATTATGGCCAATTGCACTGTCAACCTTTTGTTTTAGGCAAGAATAGCTCGTCTATTAAATAAATACTGTATAGATATATTGTGAAAAGTGTTAACAATGAATTATATTATAAAAGCAGTAATGTAATATATATATACCTGTAGCCTGGACTTTCACAAAACATTTAAATACACGCAACCGCCTGTTGTTCCAAAAGCAATCACACTATCATCGGGATGAAGCGAAATGTAATAAATCTCCCCTAAAACAACACAAACCAAATTTATACTTAATCAGTGTATTATTATTGTAGCCATGTAGGCAAACAATAGACCGAGCCTACAGATATAACCAAAAACAGGGGCTTCCTTACCAATCTTTTGGTCGAGAACAATCTTTTCGTTTGTGGCAATATGCCAGAACGAAATCCTCCCATGCTGAAAGCTGCTCATGACATAGGCACCGTTTTTCGAGCAAAATAGGAGTTTATTTCTATACACAATTGAAATGTCGAAATAAATATAAATTTGACACAATAAAATATACACTGTAAATTCGCATAACTCGTGCAGTTGTCTATAATTTTGGCATAGCGATAGATTGCTCACGTCTTATTGTCCTCCACATGAGCTATGCTCATTACTTTCAGATGTGCTTCGAGTGAGGTTTGAGGATTAATCGCAACCAAATGCACTTTATTTTCCTCCTACAAATTTTGCAATAGTTTTACGCAGTTGGCAGAGAATTATTGCACAGCGACGTTATAGTTAATAAAGATTGGAGTGCCTCTTTTTAAAAAGGAAATTAAGCCGTCCACTTCATCCTTTCTGTCGATGAAGGGAAGTATGGTTTCTGATTTTTCAATAATAGGATTGCAGCCATAGATATTGCGGGCAAGGTGCGTGGTTTAACGAAAATAGTTCCAAAGACTAAGTGCATGGTTATTCATGCGCTCTCATCCCATATATATTGCCTCTTATTTATTTTATTAACAAATGTTTCAGCAATTTTGCCACTATCTTATAGTACGAAACAAGTTAGATGTCTTATTTGAAAGTGTATATAAGAACTGACCTTGTGTAAAAGCGATAGAAATATCAATCCCTAAATGCAAATAATACAAAACTGTCAAGAACTCTTTAGCTTGCAGTAAGGCTTCACAGTAAGTCCCATACTGAGAAAGCCAATATACGTTCATCTTAAAATATATATTTATGAAGATTCTTCTAAAATATATTTATGAAGATCTATTTTTCTCACCATCTCTGTTTCAGCACTCAGGCATACAGGAATAGTTAGTTGAAGAGTCATCCGATGCAGCAGTTCGCAACTTTTGTAGTTCCTGTCGTTGTAAATAAGACGTTCACAGTATAACGTTTACGCAGGTTGCACGCGTCCGGACATGCAGATATTGAAATATGCAGATCAATGACAGGATTCGCTTCATTTCAAATGAATGCAAGTCCAATTAAAAATATGGCAAATATACACCCTTTGTTTAATTCTCTATCATAATTTCCAATACATTCAGGTCATGACTCAGGTATATATAGGGGTTAAACGGACATTTTTGTGTATTGCACTCGCCACGTGCTCTAGTAATCAGTAAGTGTAAACTAAACCTGGTCTAAACCTCACCATAAGTAAACATCTGAATGCACAATGCCAAGGAGCAGACACTTGCTTCCTTGAACAAGACAAAGGGAAGATATCTCGTCCCCAAAAATGTCTGGTAAGTCTTTACAATCTTCAAGACAGCTGCAAACAATTACAGCTCGCCGTGAGATTTACGGTTTAAATGTATCCATGTTAAAGTTAAGAGACTAAAATAACATTTAGACTGACTACCACTTCGAATCAAATTTAATCTTGCCCTCGGGTGAATGACTACTCACAAGCATATTAGATCTATTGTCCACTTTGTCAAGACGATTTTCCCTCCAAAAGCACCAGCCATAATAATACCAACATTTTCAGTCGATTCTTTGTTAGGAAGTAAACACATGCCCTTGTACGCATATGCAATCTCTCTATATAACAGAATATGCAATTTCAAACCGAGCACAACAGAAGCGCCAGGCCCAGGTAGCTATACCAAAAATTTATGAATAGGAACCGTTCATGGGTTCTCAATAAGTGAATTTTATAGTTTTGAAAAGCAGCACGATAATTTTCCTAAATTTTAACTTTGCATTTTTTACTTCTACTTACTGGTACAATTTGAAATTGTTCACACCTTCACCTACCCAAGGTCTGAGAAAGATATTTCTTCGAAGATGTCAAATTTACAGTCACCCTTATCATGAACAACATATACTCTATATATAAATACAAATATACCATAAAGCAAAAAATATATTAGCCATATTGTAAAAACTAGTCAGGTCAATGACTAGATACATATGTGGTGATCTTCCATCAAACGATGCATGGTTATGCATGTGTGTAAAAAATTAAAAATGAAATAAGCAAACATTTTTTCAATTTAAAAAATCCCTCCCTAATGTATTACTTAATGTATTGCTATTTATAGCTTTCTGCAATAATACCTTTCTTATTTCATAAACAGCTTGGAGTTATATGCATTAGATTTAAAATATACAATAAGAGGTCGAAATTTGAATTAATTCGGAAATTTTATCCGCGTATGTTTTTTCAGACATTTTATGTAACAATTTTAGATAACTATAGATATCTATTCCTACCTTCCTAGGGCCTTATGCAAGTTCCCACCGATTATTAGAGCAATACAAGATCCTACTGAAACCACCTCCAGGGAAATAATTTCTTCATCCTGAACAAAGAAGCTTTTGAGCATTTTTTAAATTATATTTGAAACTAAAATTTTGTTTTTTGTTCTCAGTTTTAATACTCGCGAAACATGAAGCTGTACCTCTCCGAGTAACCACCTATGCATGGCAATCCATTTGCACTGATCAACAGCTCTCCACAACACTAGCAGCCGTGGTAAACATACAGCAATCATGTCCAACCGAGTTTCACCAAATTGGTGCTTTAGAAATTTGATTGCCCGAACTTCGTTTGAACCTTCAGATGAACTTAAAGAATGCTGGAAAAAAGGTGGAAGTGCCATTCTAAATGAAACTTTACTGTCATAGACTCACAATAACAATGAAATTATATCTTACAAGATTTTGAAGCTTTTACATAATTATTTTTCCTAGAAAAATCTATGTCAGGTAGAATACAGTAAGACTAATTATACAATGTCCCGACTTCGGCCCTGATTTTCAAAGTTGGAATTTGGCATAGGTAGAACATTGGGGGTTTTTTCCAGAAATATCAGAAAGAAATACCTGAGTATTAATTTCTTTATAATACACATAGTAATCTCAACTGTACCAATAAAGTTAAAAGTTACGAGTACATACACGACTTCGAAACAAGGGGGAATTTCACACAAGGAAACATTGTCATCCACATTTTTGTCGCCCAAACATATAAACTGGATTATTCGAAACAGGTTTTTAATGTACCTACCTGTAAGCAAATCCCAGGCACGTTGGGATTAAATGAATGAATCTCATTGATTTCGTTTTGCTGATGAGGTATAGACGTTAAGTCATCTGAGAGGCATTCTTTGGCTGTATCCCGAGATGATTGGAGGTTCTCTACATCCTGTTTGGTAATATTATTCTCCCTTTTTGCTTCATTATTTACATTCTCGTATTCTCTCTTTAACATTGAGTTTGTATCGTTTACTTTCAATTCATTTGCCAACATTTTAGCAATTTGGGGAAAATCTTTTAAAATGTCTTCAATAGTCTCAGGTTGCAGCTTCATTTGTTGCTCTGGGTGTAAACATGCATCTTCATGTTCCGAAATCTTTTTGTGTCCCTCAGCGATGTTACCTTTCATCACAAGAGGAGTTGTATTCTTTTGTCGCTTCAAAGTTTCATTGTCTTCACGTGTTTCATTGTTGACAGTTTCGTTTTGCTTTATATTTGGCAACACTTCTGACGATAGGGCAGCAGGCATGCCAGATGCACCATTCGACATGTCCGACACAACTGTGTTTACAATGGTTGATACATGACCATTTTGTGCTTCGCAATTTATCAATGAAAAGCAGTTGGCTGACATATTTCGTTCCGAGCCTCTGGGCATTTCATCACCATTCGAGGCAACCATCGGAGTATTTTTTCCTATTTCTCCTTGCGAAAGTAGATTGTCACCACTTCTCTTTTGCACGACACCGTCCTGCAATGTATCCACTGATATACAAGACTTGTGAGCAACGGCGCTATTTTCATGTTGTAAAAATACAGAATTATTTGTTTCAACACTTTCTGTTTTTCCTTTTACAGTCATCTTTTTACAACTCAACCATTTCCCAATGTTTCTGTTGGAGGTATTCGGTAGATTTCCACATCGTCCTGTTAAGTCGTTTTCATTAGCTTTTTCTTCCGCGGCTCTTTGTTCCTTAACAAGATTATCTTCGAAATAACTTTGACTAAAAATATTTTGAGAAAATTCGTCGGATCGCTTATTATACGGGGAAACAGCTGAGCAGGACGAGAAAATTTTCGTCTTCTGATTTCCTTTTGAAGACGTGAATTCAAGCATGGAAGGTTTTTCTTTTCCATTGTTTACTTTACCATCGTAGTTTCGAGGGTTTGCATCTTCAGTCCCGGCAAAGATCTGAGGCTCAGAATCTTTTTCTAACGCATTTCCTGAAACGCTTTCTACTTTCATAATCTTTCTACAAGGCCTTTGGTTCTTAGAGACAAATAACAGTTCCTTCTTCTCATCATCGTTTGAAGATGTGAATTCAGGCATGGAAGATTTTTGTCTCCCTCTGTTATCTCTCTCATGGTTGTTTTGAAGGTGAGGGTTCGTCTCATTCTCACCATCTTCAGTTCTGGAAAAGGTCTTACGAGGCTCAGAATCCTTTTCTAACGAAGTTCCTGAAACGCTTTTCATTTTCCGAATATTTCCAATGTACCCTTGTTTCTCAGAAACAGACATCTTTCGAGAATTGGTAGGGACAGGAAATGTTAGGGGACTGCGACACTTTCTTGAAATCTTAAGAGATTTAGTTAATCTGCCTGGATTTCTTAGTTCAGCAACGTGAGGTGAAAGTAAACTGGTTTTTGGTGTCACATCAAGAGACAGCACAGGTTTGGAAACTAATTCATTAGCATCGAAACTTGCATTCTTGTTTTTTCTTACTGGTTCGCTCATGTGCGGCTTAGAAATTTGAACGTCTACTCTTTTCCCGTGAGCCACACCTTGCATTGACAATGTATTTGGTGTCTTTATTCGGGGTCCACCAATCCTGCTGCAACTTTTTGAAGTTGTGCCCATGAAACCATCCTCGCACTGAGCTGGGGTTGTAACATCAGTAATTATATTGCGTTCACTGCTTCCACTTTTAGCAAGTCTAGGGTAGCCATGGGTGGTGCGACGGCGCTGTTTCTTTTTTGCCTTTTCAACTTTCTAAAATATTTAACCACCTAATTTAACAATAACCAACTAACCGCCTAACTATATACACAAACTACCATGCCAGGGATGAGTATACCAAAACCTTCCACACAAAAACATCACATTTACATTGTTTATATTCTTATTATGACTTACTTTTAGTTCTCTCAGTGCCTTAAGCTGCTCCACTCTTAGTTGTTCTAACTTTTTTAAAATTTCCTAGCAAAGAAAAGCCACAACCTACATGCATCACAGAATCATAATTGTTTAATTAAACTATTGTATGATTGATAAAAAGACTTGTACCTGCATGTACTTGTACTTGCATCTTGTTTCAAGATGCATTTTGTGAAAAAAATAAGGAGGGTCTGACCATGGCATACAAGACTTCTTTAGTGATTTTAAGGTGGGGAGTATTAACAAACGATAAAGCATGATAAACAAGGTATCAAATTCATACTTTGTAAACATATTAAAATTTTTAACACTAAATTTTAATCACTAATTTGTCGGTAAGAATTTTTTCAGTGAACAGGTAATATATTGCCATTCATGTCAATATTTCTGCGGCAGGAGAATAATTGGGGGCTTTACCTGGGAGCCTGCTGCCGCCTAAAAAATTAGAGTTGGCATAAAACTGATAAAAAATACAGGTAGATGATTAATTCTTATTCACAAATACTCTAATACAGCTTTTCATGATAATCCAGATCAGGCTTCACCTTTACTGAATTCTTCTTAGTGCCAACAGAGTAACAATGGTAGCACTTTGTTAACACACCACCACTTTACTTTCTTGTTTAATTCTCAGACGAGGTCTGTGTCAAACTCGTTTTGTGAGGCACAAAATACGTAAATCTCGAATACTTATTACTCTTACAGTTTAATATGTGATTCAGCTACATTATATATAATTCATAGCATTTATGCACACTTTTACAACTTTAAAATAAATCCCTTCCTTCGGTTAAAACTTTATTAATAAACAATTATCAAAAACAATACATAATGAGACAGCTCATTGATTATCTCATTCTGTCGATTTGAACTTTGAAGTCATTCTACTTCTACACATGGACCCTCGAGGTTTAAAACCACAGCCAGGCAGCATGAAAAACTTAATAGTAATGTTACCTGTTCTTTATCCATGTCAAAAGAAACATATGAAATTTAGTAAATTCAGATCATTATAAACGACATGATTTCGGCGAAATCGGAAATCATCAGCCTGCTTCTGTTTCATCTCGATTTTCGCGCCATTCCCCATAATCGACGAAATTAGGCACGCTGAATACTTCATGTAAGAGACTGTTGAGACTGTCTTACCTCAGGAACATTTTCATAACATCGCATCCGCAAATGTGATATAGCAACAACCTACAAAATAGATACTGTAGCCTTTTCGACATATCGACCTAAAGGCTTTCTTCAAGCGAATAAGCGTGCATGTAATCGATATTATCTTTCGATCTCCTAAGTCCTAAATCCTAACCAAAAGACTACAATTTCGGCAGGCGGTTGTACCACTACCAAGGCCATGCCCATTGAGCTTTATACGGAGGATAAGCTAGAAGTAGATAACACCTTCATACATGGAGTGAACGATTGAAGTTTAAATCTGATATTTTGTAAGTGTTGTTGTAAACAATTTCTTTTTATTTTTTATGTTGCAGTGTTAGATCATGGAAGGCTGGATTTTAATTAAGGAAACCTTGCGTTTTGATCATTGCGAAAATCCATACAACAGCGAAATCCATACAACAGCGAGGTCAAGGAAGTTAATCAAGTTTGGTTATCTTGCACAAAAAATTGGTGTTCCGCTGCAACGCCAATTTTAGTTAGCGAGATCAGTACCTGCGCAACTGTGGTGTAATCAATGTTGGTGCAACATGCTCACGCCCCCACATAGCAACTTTCCAAATATAAATTTAGCATTACGTCAATGTTGCTATTTGTGTTGCAATAAATAACATGCAGCACATATAAAAGCGAGCTAACAAAATGTCATTTCATGGTTTCGCTCCTGAGCTGGTGTTGATCATCCAGAGTAATGGAGTGGAAACCGAAACAGAAGGCAAAGTTCGGAATTCGTACAGGACAAACACTTCGCCGCAATTATCCTTCTTTAAGATACTATTACTCTCGCGGTTCTTGTTTTTCAACTGTTCAGGAGTATGCTATCGTAAAGGAGGTAAAATTGAACGATCCAATAGCGCGGCTATCGTTTGATAAAAACAGTGTCGATAAACTTGCCATCGACGATGGCGGATTGCCCTCAGTATTGAATGATTCATCTATCATTTACTCTATGAATAAACGCAAACGATGGCTGCTGCCTGATATCGTAAAACAAGATGTAGAACGCCTCTACTGGGAGGAAATATCGCAGGCTGAACAAACGACAACAAAACAGTGTTCAAGGAAACCGTGCAAGAAAGTGAAAACCGAAGACACCGCTACACTACGCAAGGCTCGAGTGACTGTGGTAGAGCGTCATGCAGGCAGCAACATCGATCGTGGACACCCCGACTGCATCGGAGTTACTTCGAGCAGCCATTGCCTGAATTCGGGAAAGCCTCAGAGAAAGCCACGCAAGAAATTTGCATTTGTTGGAGATTTGAAATCAAAAACGCCTATCACGGACGATGTAGAGTTGTGCTATGAATTTTTGTCACCATTCCCAAAGCAAAGTTGGCCAACAAACAGGCAGCTTGGTGGAAGGAAAAGGAAGTATTTTTATATTAATGATCTAAATGGTAAAAAGTCCAGTAAAAAGTGCAAAGGAAGAAGAAATAAATCGTATATGCGTCCAGATGTGGATATAGACGATGCAATGTTAACAAATAATATTCAAGACAAGGTTAGTAATAATTTCATGAATGCATACATACCTGTTGTGTTGCTCACAATAATTTTAAATACAAATCAATTCTTGGTGCATGCATCCAATGTGTATAAATACAATGAGTGAAAAACTCCACACTGCTGCTTTGATCATTTTTTGCCCACCATTAAAAGGAAACTAACCAATCCAGGCATGTGCCTTGCACCTTAAAGTCTAACATATTTGTAGTTGAAAGTGAAGTTTGCTGTCAATTATATAGACCTTTATGAAAAGTCTGTTGTGACACGCAGCATTTTTTGATTGCCCAACTGGTGTACTAACCAATCAGAAGCCTGCTTTGTCTGCAAACAACATCATATCACAGACTTTTGTAAAATTCAATAGGTATAAGCCCACCATATTCATTGTTCAAGCAAATGTTCTACTGGAATTAATTGCACTGCTTAAGTACAAGTATAAATAGAAAAAAATTGCAATTCCAATATACTAATATATGGCTTCAGTTTTTTCTTATGTTATTCAAGTTCCATTGAAATATTGGCAAATGAAAATAAGATTTTTGGATCAAGTAAACCAAAGTAAATACCAACAGTTACAAGTGAATATTACCTTATTAGTAAAACAACAAAAATGTATAGATTTGCAGCCTCCACCTCATAGTAGCTCCAAGGTGAACGTACTGGTCTTAGAGAGTACTTTTAGCCTTAAGAGGTCCCTTTGCATTTTTAACACTGTAACACTTTGCACATGCCATTGTAAGGACAATTGTCTGACCAGGGCTGATGTTGCAACCATGATTGACAATGTCATAACTTGAATTCACAGCTCAATCAGATTTAAGGAGGAAGTTTCGATTAGGTGCTTCAACTTATTTTTGCTAATTTTTGTAAACAATTCAACTCTTTTTGGAGTCCCTCTTAATTTTGTTCTGTTTTTATTTAAACTAACAATTTGCTAGCATTGCATGGTCACAATTTACTCCAATTAAGTTGAGGAATCTTAACCCTCATTATAAAATGCTAAAATAAACATTGCAATCCTGCTAGGATGATTTCTTTTGTGAGAAGCATAATTTGAAATGTTGGAAGCTTGTGTAAACTGAGCTTTTTTGGCATTGATAAGTGTTACTGGGATTTCACAGTAATTGCCACAAATTAAAAAGGAATTCCATTTATATGCTATTTAAAATAACATCACTAGGCAAAGTTGTAGAATTTACTTTTGAGGTTACTCTTTCACGGATAGCGATGGCGGGCCTTGTTGAAAAAGTACAATTGTTTTGCAACCGAAAATCATGTCAAAACATTTACTGCGGTTAGAATTATAGCGTTTGATAGATTCTATGAGCTATATTAGAAGAGCTAAGTAAATACCTTTTACTTAAGACCACAAACAGACACCAAATCTAAGGTATATCTCGTCGACGTCGCTACATATATTATAAACATGGTCGACATTTTGACACACGTGCATAACACTAAAACACCTTTTCCACAAGGCGAATTTGTTCGCAATGTGATTGGCTCAACAAGGAGGAATTTTGTTGTAGGCCAATCGGCAAGTCTGTTTACATTTTCAGTAACCCAATCAGAATGCATAAGTGTTGACTTCACCGCGGTAAAAGGTATAGCTCACTGGTATCAGGGCGTCTATAAGATATCTTATAGGCGCCCTGCTGGTATAGCTACATTAAAATTTAGGCATTCTAAAAATGTACGATTATTTTAAAACAATTATTTTGTTGATTGGCTAATCCATTGTGCATGCCTGAATTTTTTCGTTTCGAAGCTGTACGCTTATAACGCTAGCCTTTCTTTACCTTCCAAACGCGCAAACCGCTGTTGTACAGTCGAAGTGGAAAACTGTACGAACTTTAAACCTTAACTTCATTCCCAGCGTTCCTAAGGACGCCATGCATGGAGATAAGATTGCCTGAAATATATAAAAATAATTCTTAAATGCAATCATTGCAATGGCGAAGGGGGAAATGCTAAGGAGAAACTCAGAGTGCTGGTTCTCTCTGACTTGTTGTTCTCTCTGATCTGTTTTCCGCTGAGTGAAAAGGCGCCTGAACACATCAATAATAACTTATAACATAATCTTATCTCATTTCTAAAAAAGGTCACCGACGAAGAAGGTGCAATCTACTCTGACAGAGCATACACTTTCCCGCTTGGTGCCTATATTGAGGATATGTTTGAAAACAAAAACCCGAGAACTGCTTGCCAGACCGTCAATAACAACAAAGTAGTACCTTCAAGCCCAACCCTCTATGGCAAAGGTGATGCAATTTTTGTTGAAAAAGAATCAAATGCCTTCACAAATGAACATATTGACAACAACTTTAAAACTGACAAACCAATGACCCAGGTTGAACCAATCATTAAGGATAGAAAGGTGAAGCTTAATGTATTGGTTAGAGACATTGCCCCGAAAAGTTTGCTGCAGCAATTTGGTAACAATTACATCGAAGGCGATATCTGTCCGCGAACGTTCGTCGTTACAGCTAACTTTGGCGATAACTTGCACGGTAATGCTTCTGAGAGTATAGACGATTTCTGCTTGCTGTTCGAAGTAGCTGATTTACTGGCGTCAACAAGCGACTTTGTTGAAGCCGATGTTTCAATGGCATTCCTGAGTGAAGATGTAACGCCACGTAACTTGCTCCAAACTCTTGCATCTGATCTGACTTGCTTGGGACTTGTCGGACCACTGACAGTAAAGGCGATTGTCGATCGTACAGTGGAGACAATCATTTCTGAAGTTGTGTCTACACCTAAAGATATTTGCACTAAAAATGCCGCCTTAAGTCTTGCGAAACCAACGATTGATTTCATTCACAATGTTTGTGAACGGAAACCTGAAATCTGCGGAATTAGAGATGCCGCTCGCTATTCAACGGAGAATTCTGGGGCAAAGGAAAATCTCGCGCCATTTCATCGTGTCAGCATTGATAAACCTTATCAACGCTGTTGTGGGATATGTTTTGTGGAAGAGGATTCTCAACTAGAAATAGGTAGGTAAAATAATTATGATTCTTTTTACTGTGCTAGTAAAACATAGCATGATGGAATACTCTACGACTGCGGTGCAATTTTGTCTGCAGATTTCATTTCAAGAATCGAGCAGGGAACACTAGGATTTCCATAAAGTGTTCTGCGCTCATCTCTGACTGTGTGTCCAGCAGAGAACGTTCTGTTGTATTTTAATAAGGAATGTCAGTGTGCCCGCGTCTTATATGTTACCTGCAAAATTCAATTAACTATGCTGGTTATTGTTGGGTCTAAATAATTTTTAACTTTTTTCAGATTTCACTTCCTTACTTCGATGTTCACATCACTTTTGCAACGACTGTTGGACAATAACATGATCAGGATGGGTCAATCTTGCATCACTTGCCCTCACTACAAGTGTAAAACCGTTGTAGAAGAGCCGCATTTGTGGGCGCGAACCAACTCGGACGTTTACCGACGATACACGCAACTGAAACGCCAAGTGGCTATAGATATGAACCAGCAGCTTCGCCATTGCCCCGCAGCTAACTGCACACATATAGCACATGTCGATGCTTCAACAAAAGCCGAATCATCGACAGCATTGCCAGTTCTTTGTAAATGTGGCGAAATATGGTGCTTCGGCTGCCAAAAAGATGCCCACTGGCCTGCAAGCTGCGAAGAGGCTGAGTCGTATCGAAAGAAATGTGACGATCATCAAAATTTGAAGAAAACTTATCTTCTCCCAGGCCGTATATCTTCAGTGCAAGTGAAACGTTGTCCTTTTTGCTCACATCCGATTGAGAAAAGTCGGGGCTGTCAGCATATGATATGTCATTGTGGTAACGACTTCTGCTGGGAATGTTTAACACCATGGAACGGCCACAATTGGGACTTGTGTGACCAAAGTCGTAAAGAACTCGAGGACGTTGAACTTGCTTTTGACTATGGCAGTGTGCGATTTAACAAATACAGTAAAATTGCACTTGAAAATTTTCTCGAACGCAGTGGTAAAAAACTGGCAAACTTTCGAAGGCTAGCGAAAAAAGTCAAGCTTTTAAAGAATGGTGATGAATCTGCGTCTTTCGGTCTGGATACTTCCGCTTATCGTCGGCTTACAAAATGTACGGAGAAACGTCTTGGGATTTTCTTGGAACAAGTCTTGAAATTCAAGTTTTTGGCTCACTTGGTGCTAGAAAACACCGCCGCCGCCTTAGCTATCAGTAAAACGAAAATTTTGCTGAAGTCACTGGATAAATTAATGTGCAGGCTGCACTTCGTTAATGGAAGACTTAATGAAATCGCAACCCAACCAGAGATCCTGATGCGTGAATTTAAACTTGAAAATGCTAAACTTATTTTACGTCAGGGTGAAAAACTAATCAGAGACATCAGTATTTATACACGAGCTAGAAGGAATAATCCTACTAGATCTGTACATAGAAATAAAAATAAATAGATTGAAATCCAAGTCTTGAGATTTTCTCCTTTTCACTGAATGCAAACGATTAAGTTGTTATAAGTGCTTTTAACACAACTTGACTTTCCACTCATCAAACGAATGTTTTCCTTGATCGGTCCGATATTCAGAATAGTATGCTTAAGCACGCAATGCGACCAAAATTATCCGTAAAATTTCAAGAAACAACATGTACTGTAAATAGATGGTATTTAAGACAGGAGAGAGATCGTCCTGTAGACGATCACAGATTGTGACATTCCATTTTGTTATTTTGTACATAGATCAGTGCAAATAAATATTGTGTCGCTACCATGACAACACGCTTATAATCAACAATCTTATATATACTGAATCACAGAAAACTTGAAATACATGAAAGAGAAAAAGTGGTAAAATGGATAATTTGACGGGATAAACATAGTTCGTTCGTACTGTATTTTCACATTCTTACTTTTGGATCAACTGTCAATTTTTGAACGCCAAAAAAATGGCTGAATACGCCGATGAAGCTCATCGCATAGTGGATGCAGCCATTGAGAATGCCTGCAGACGATTAGCTGAGGAATCGGGTTTGCAAAATAACGAGCCGAATGGGGATCTCAGATACAACGAGGATGATATACGTGTTGCCAAAGAGGGAAAAGACGAATATTTGGATAAACTTGGGAAAATAGATAGTAAAACTTTTGCAGAAATACCTAACATAGCCTGGATGAATATAGGTGATTTCACTGTGGATGGTGGACTGAATAAAATTGAAAAATTTATAGAGGTTTGTGTGTATTTCTTAGTACAAAGCAATCCACACCTATTGTGTTAAATAATGATTAACAATATGTTTCACATGTATGTACGTGAATGTGAGCATTGACACATATACTCCATATTTTGAGATCAGTGGGATGATCACCATATACAGATGCAGGTGTCAATAGCCAACTGCATGGGGCAGTGATAACCCTTGATCAGTATACTCACTATACTGTACCATGTAGATGTGGAGTTACCAAAATATACATATGGCAAAATATACATACCAAATTATAATGGAATGTACATACCAACACCTTTTTTGAATAATTCATTTCAATGCTGGAATTGTAAAAATATTAAACATATGCATCACATTTCATGTTAACATATATACCCATATTACAACATTATAAATGTCATATATAGCAAATACAGAAAGATATATATATTCTGTTTAGCATGAAGATCTGTTTGTGTTAATTATATATTGACTGATCTACATGAGGCCAGACCTGAGCTGAGCTGAGCACTTACATGTTCATAGTTGGACATATTTTGTGCAATTTATCAATCGAGAACTGGGAAAAATGGAACAATTTAGTTGCAGTTGTACATATATTCACCAGGCCTCTCTCAACCAGCAAAGGCAATTATCACAAAACATTTACTTAATTTAGTTGTCACACAGATTTTGTAAATGCACACTCACCCTGGCTCGTACGCATTGGTCATATTTTTTAATTTTTATACTATACAGACTTGGAAGAGGGATACAAGTTGGCTCCATTGTATAGACTTTCTCAAAGAAGAAGATTTTCCTTATAGTAAACGTTATAGATATGAAGTGAAGTGGAGTATACCAACAAGAAGAAAACCAATACCTCGTGCAACAGCATCAACATACTTCACACTGGATGTGAACAAAGTCAGGCCAAAGGTACCAACATAGGTTTAGGCCAAACAATTTACATAACTATGCTTGTGCTCAATGACTGTGGTAAGCTAACTAGGATAATTACTTTCCAACCTGAGGCAGAACTCTTGTCATGGGACAAAGGTTCTGGGTTCACATGGACAGGTTTTTTAATTATGGTGGAATATTAGTATAACATTTGGGGGTAAACAGGAAAATTTGACTATTTCATCAACCATTCCTCCTAAATGCCATGTTTTAAATTGCCACATCAAGGCTGTTCAGTCCAGCGAAGAATCACAAAGCGCAAACTTCTCCCGGCAAGCCAGCCTCGTAATCAGGCGCTTTCCTGAAAAACAAAGGTTTATAAAGGTTGCATTCAGCTAATATATGGAGATACGTTGCCAAAGGAAAGCGTGATTGCTGAGCGCGCAGGGGTGCTTGGGAAGGACGCGACAAAAGAGTGAATCTTCCTTGCTTAAAAACCTCCCCAAACTGCCCCAACCACACCCGCAACCTCATTTCCAGGGTTTTTATCTTCGGAACGAGGTTAGCACACCCGCGCGCTTTTGCTTCCTTGGCCCCGATCATAGCCAGTTAATTTTTGCAGTTACTTACACGGGTCGTTGACCGTCAACCTATCACTAAAATGCCCATCCAAAATGTTTTTTAGAACTATCCAATTGAGGTATACTATGTATTCGAAGGCCATCAACTTGTCCACAGGTAATTAATAATTAGTTTGACCTAATTGGAAAAGATAATAGCATTTGGCCTTTGGTTTGAAAGCTGTTAATCTGATGAGTTTATAAATGGAGAACAGCAATGCAGTTGTCAATCTCAGCAGTGCCAAAGACATCAGTCTTGATGAAACCAACCTTTTTACCGGCCATCACCCTGACATGTGCTCTTTGAATTTTTTGCACGATCTATCCGCAATTTATTTCCAAAATATTTTCTATTTCTGTATATCATCATTAGGCCTGGAAAGAGCAGATTTAACGAAAAGTGGTTGAAAAGTATAATAGAGAGTAAAGTGCGTTTAATGCAGTCCATCACCTTTTGAGATATTCTAACATTGTGGTATTGGTGGAATTGCTTAGAAGCGAATGATGTCAAATATTCCATAATTACATGTAAATTTCACCACTGAAGATCTTATACCTAGTTACTAAAGATCTTTGGTATGGCGGTGTACATATAATCATTGCAAATACTTTTTGTATCATAATGGTATATGTTACTTTGATGTATAAAACCGTTTTCTTAACTAGAATGCATAATATCTGGCGTTTAGTTTCATATAAAACTAATCACAAAGTCACACTGAACATTAACAATCGCAGAGGCGTTATATTTCCAGCGCGGATAGAGTTTAAGGTAGAAAAGTCTGCGAACAACTATAATAACTACACAATGGGGACATCTGTCGACCAAACTCGGAGTTCGATTTTTAATTAACGTCTCTATTAAAACGCGAGTTACAATAATTTGTGGGTATTTCCGGCAAAATTGATTAGACCAAATATTCAACACCTCACCAGTATAGCCAAATCCAATGTCCATGATGTAAATATAACTGATATTTGAAGCTATGTTGAACACAAGTAAAATGCCACAATATTCGATTGCTTTGGATTATGTGCCGGCCATGGGTACAACGCTGTTTTCCATCACATCACGGCAAAGCATAGACCTATTCCAAGAGGCCTGTTACGGGTTACGCGAGAACGAGGCTAGTCAGTTTTCTGCTGTCAAAATTTCAAAATCATTTTTATATTTTTAAATTTTGACTGGGACTGAACTTTATTTTCTCACTTTCTAAAAGTAAGAAAATAAACAAATTACTTTAAATTCAGCAGCGAAAATCTGACCAGCCTCGTTTTCGCGTAACTCGAAACAGGCGTTTTTCGAATAGGTATATATAGAGCCTGCTTGCAGACTGATTTATACATCTAAACGACTTTAAGTGCGCCAGTACAACGTTCACAACAGTCAAATGTAATCCTAAAGTTATTAGTAAGGAATCTGCTCGCGTAACTATTTCCTATATATTGCCTCCCCATCTTGCTCATTGCAAGTCCCATCCCATTTGCTTCGTCTGTCTCATTCTTTAATACCTGACAAGCCATTTGTTCGGCAGGTGTTAGGTCGGATACCGGGATGATCTCCTCGTCCGCTGAGCTAATTGTGTCAACCGATGCGTAAAAATGACCGGGATTAACCGTATGGCAAATATCTTCGGCCAAACTGAAGTTGATATGGGATAACTCGACTATCGAGCTTTTTTGAAATTCTTGCCATGCTTTTGTTTTTGTCGATTGATGCGCAGCCGAGTTTGTTCGCTTATGAATACCTTGCAATAGTCTAAAGTAGTAAAACAAGTGTTAACAAGCAGAGATCTTAGCACATCATTCATCAAAATTCTCTTTGGTGACTGCTATACCTATTAGTAGCTCGAAGATGCTGCCTGATATCAGACTGTTCTTCCAACAATTTCTCCAGAGCTGCTTGACAGTTGCGACTTTTCAGAAACAGCGTCGTCTTGATGTCTGTAAGTCCATTTGTCATCATTCTAATCGAAAATATCGACTTGCAAAACAGTTACAAAAGCTGAACCATGCAACAGCCATGTAAATTAAATTTCGTTAATTATTTAAATTTTCCTTCTTAACATCACTGAAATTACTGAACAAACCTGCTTGCCAGAAATTTACTCCTCCATACATCACACTCAATAGAAACTTTGTTCAGTTCTTCGGAAGTCTCTTCAAGGTCTTTCTCTAGATTTTTCAGTGTTGTATCGAATTGAGCTTTATCGGAGGTCATTTCTTCTAGCCTGTATGACAATACAAATTAAATTTTGCTCATGCTGCACATAAGGTATCGATGAATATCAATTTGACTACAGATACAAATACATCGCTGTATAATATGAACTTTGAATAATGTAAGCTGTGGCATATTCTATAATATCGATCTTTCTCTAACGGTGAATGCTTGGAGATATAGATATTAAATCTGTTGGAAAATGGTTAAGGCATTGTAAATCTCATGGTAAACTATCAAAATTTAAATAAAATACAGAACGTATATATTAACTCTACCTCATTCCAATGTCCTCGCCAACAGATGCAACCAACAACTTTTTCAGGTCGGCATTTACCTTAAAAATTAAACGTTTAGCCTTAATCACCCGATGCAATACAGCCTACAGGGGTCGCCAAGAGGTTTAACATGCAGGGCCATGGTGGAAACATGCGTAGACATCCTTTTGCGATGATAATAATCTCATTACCCACGCTGCTTTTTCCCCGAAATTCCCCGAATTTGTAATTTTTGCTGGAATCCCAGAATGTGCGCAGAAATTTCACACTCGTGAATACACACGTTTATACGAGGGAAGTGGCTAAATTTGAATCCGTAGTTGGTACTGATCTGATTTTTTTTATGAGGAACTTACTGTTTTCCTACCTTGCTCAGGACGGAAAGTTTCTTTAACAGTTGATTATTTTCCTCTGAAAGCCCTTGATTTTTAGTTTCTAAGTCTTTAACAAGCGATTGTAAGTCCAAGCACTCAGCTTTTCTTTCCACTGACAATGAATTGGTACAAATCACCTCGTTTCCATATCCTAGACACGTATCCGGGTCTGATGCAACAAATACCGACTGAGTGCTAGTTTCAATCGACCTTTTCAAAGGCGAATTTCTATTCTCTTTTTGCAAGGCCAATGGTCGCAATTTTTTATCACACGCACCATTATCAACCTCGCTAGGACTTCCCCCGAATATCGCTGCGTTATGTTCCTTACAAGATGACAATGACAAGTTGTGTTGTTTTACTGATGTAGACTCATTGAAAGTTTCCGTGATTTTAATATTATCGCCTGCTCCAATATCTGCAAGTAACAATTACGTTTGAGTATTGATAACACAAGTTCATTTTCTGTCAGCAAAATCAGAATGAAGTAATTTCGAAATTATGTGACTGGAGAGAAGACTACATCTCAGTATTCTCGGTATTAAGTGACTTTAAATGTACATGTGTGACGGGAATTTTCAAAACAATTTTTTAAAAAATTCGTGAAATTTGCAGGAAATGCAGACAGTGGAAAAATAAACTACAACGGATATGCTACTGTACAATATAATAGACGTACTTTTATCATGATTGGAGAAACTCTGGGATTCCATTCCATCTCCACTTGATCTAGGTAATTTGGCATAATCTGCAGAAAATTTGTAGCACAGTTAAAATTGTCTAAGACATTACAGTTATAGCATGTCAGTAGGATGAAAAAGATGAATATAGCTTAAGTAGCTGGATAAACTTTTTAGGTGGAATCATATCAATAAATCATATAAAATAATTCATATCAATAAATCAATAATAATTGTGATTGTCCTTTTATCTCATAAAGAAATAAGAGTCCTTCTAATCAACATTTTTTCATTGTACCTAGAATCTCAACAAAAACGTTACTTATCTGACCTAATTTATCTGAAATAAACTGCATTGCACATAGGGCAAACTTAGATTTTGTGAGATAGTTAAAGATTACAGGGATACAAGTATTTGACGTAATTTTTGCAACTCTATATAACAGAAGTCAGAGTACAACAGTCACTGCCTATTTTAATGGAAGGCATGGATTGAAAATTCATTCTATAAATACAGGCATGTAAGGTAACACATGGGCATAATAATATTGGATATAACTTGATAATAATTGGATAATTTATGGTTGAGATTATGTGCCTACCATTTTGTAAATTACCAATGACCAGTTGGTTACCAAGGCCTGTTACAAGTCCAGCCATTTTCCTAAATAGAGACCATGATATACAAATTTTAACATACACTCTCAGGATCAATACCCTTTTAATTTAGTATTACTATAGGAAGAGTCATGCAATGAATAATTTACAGTAGTATGTTGTTGTATGGTAGAATGAGGCACAGTAACCTCTACTAGTCATGTGGTTCAGTGCCACTTGTTACAACATACTGCGAGGTGAGTTAATTACTGTGTCTATTACTGTGAAAGATTATATACAGAATTTGGTGAGGCCACGGTGAAGCCGAGAAACTCCAGTGTGGAATTGTGCAACCGAGATATTCCAAGGGCATGCAATTTTGACATCTATTATACAATTACTAGTATTTTTTTGATCTCTCGGTTGTGCAATTTTCATACTTTCAAGTAAGGGAGAAACTCACTTAGCCAGATAACTTGGCACCATATACCTTACTTAACATATATACTGATAAGAACTACATGGCATAAATTTAACAGGTATATCCAAAGTAATCACAAGAAGATACAGAATAAATATAATCCTAATAAAATATTATAACAATATAGGGTACATAGAGTAAGAGAAATAAAATGTAAGGTATATTTGCCACCACTATAAAATTGTTGCTTCTCTTCTATATTTCTAATATCAAATATAGGCGACCGGCGACACTGACAGGGTAAACGTTACCTTTGAATAGCTATATATATGTCCCAGATATTCAATCAATGATTCAAACACTTTGGCATAACAACACAATAAAATAGGCAGCTTTTTATACAAATAAGTCGACAAAATCGTTTTAGAATTTTGTACATGTAAAGCTACATAGGAAAACCACAAAAATTTGTGTGATGATGCACTGTATACGTAATACCACTTCCGTTTTTTCCAGGCTACTTCCTTTCAACGACGGGTATACATCAAATGATTCAAATCGCCTCGTTCGTCTGGTTTTACACCCCTTATTTATATTTTTCGGTAAAAAACTAAAAATTTAGTTAAAATGTTTTGTTATTTAACACCGTTCTTTGGACGTAAGATTTTTGGGGATTTGATAAATTCCGGGCGATGATTATAAATTGTTTTCATAGAAGGTTAACGTTACAAGGGTGGATTCCACTTGCTTGCTAGCTTGCAGGCTACTAAATATTTACATGATATTTTTTTTGGATTTTAACAGAATAGATAAATTAGTTCAGCTTGACTTTTCACATTTCAAAGTTGTTCATCTTACTTTGCGCACTGGTAGTGACCTCAGACAACGAGAATCCCAAATCCTCGCACTTGTCGCACGAATCTGGGATTCACTTGTCCGGTTTCCTAAAAATGTAAAATTTTATTTCAAAAACATCATGAGATGCCAAGCTTAAAAATGTTTCATGGCTTGTTTTTTCACAGCTACCACCAAGTACAATAAAAATAATAAGATAATGAGCATTTCAGCTAACCAGTATATCCAATTGTTAGGTTGGTTTAGAAAATGTCGATCTTTTATTGGTACAAACCACTAACAAAAGATTTGATAGTTTAGATTTTTTGGAATAGACTTTCAAATAACAAAAGCTTTCATCTTAGATGTCAATCAGAATGAAGAATTTAAAATTATTTAAATTATACTGATTACTCGACCAAAGAGACTCGACATTACTGAATATAACTACAGCGCACGCAAGTATATATAAAAAAAATTCAAATCCAACTTTGACAGACTCATGCTGCTGTGACTGTGTATAAAATACTACAGTAATCATCAAATTTTTTCGCTTATAGAAATTCGAAGTGACACCTGAAAGACAAAAGATAATGCAAAATTGAATGAACAAAGTCAAAGCGCTTGTTTTGCACAAGAAGAAGTTTGCAGTAAATTTGCATTTTAGACTTTAGTTTTCATTCATAATTAGCATTTCATCAGCCTTGTGGGACAAATTTTCAAAAGAAACATGTCTAATTCCCATCGGCATCACCAATGATTTATCCACTTTTTTGTCGAGCCAATTTTCGTTCAATATATTCGTTCATTTTCACTATTCCTTTTCGTCACTAACATATATTCTGTGTAAATACACGGCGCCAAATTGGCATGCCGGATTCGAATTTTATTAATACACACGAATATTACTGGTATGAATAAGCGAAATTAACATATTCTTTGTTTTCTCTGTTTAAAACAAAATAATGCCCCGCCTATAACAATGTTAGGCTAATTTATGTAGTCATCTACCAACCCTTTTTGAGGCATCATTTGGCCACTGGTCTTCAGAGCAGTAAGACAAGACATGCTTCTAATGGCGTAATGCTCAACTGAAATTTCGCCTGAAATTCTTAGGAATGATCCCGTAAGAAAAGTATAGTATCTCGTTCGCCCTGTCGTTTGTGTAAAACACCACACTCAGTACAGGTAATTTGCCTTCTTCTTCACGATTATCTGCTTTCTTTAGCGAGAGATTTGGGATATTTCCGCCACGTGGCCCAACTTCACCTCGTGTATATGCCAAAGATCGAAGTGTATTCGCCTTGTGTTTGATTTGAAATTGTTCTTATAACACTAACGTTGCTTTTTATTCATTTCAGACATCATTCTGACGACTTAAAGCTAAACTTGACGATACAATTCGTGAACAAGAGATTAATGCCGATAAATTGTGGCTGAAATGGCTCGAGATGACTCGCCTTTGATGAGAGGGCACGACTAGCTTTTTCTCGGAGCTTATTGGTAAAATGAAAGAGGTAATATTATACGCACTAAAGTCAACGTGAATTCACGGGAGCTCTGATGTGCAGCCGCTCACCTACGCTAGCTTAAATCTAATTTAAAAGCAAATGATACATTCAATTAAATTCTAAAGTGCAGAAAACTAACATTGCTTTCTCTTCTTTTCAGGTACAGTTTTAAAGCTACACTAAAGTCAAACAAAACGAAATACCGTGCATTGCCAAGAAATTCGCCATCGACAACGGCTGAAATTGCCCAAGAGATAGTGACTCGAGTTTAATGCGACAGCAAATCCAAAGCTGCTCGTCTATAATAGTTACTAAAATGAACAGGTAAGTTTATTTTGTGTCTATTTGATTCACATTCACGGGGATGGGAGAAGTTAAAACGCTTGCATGGTCAAATTTCATCGTTGAAATCATGATCGTATGCTATTTTAACTGAGTGCTGCATGTTAACAACTTCGACGCGAGTTTTCTCCTGATATTTAAGCTTGTTTTATTGAATAACTTGCGAAATATCACCGTCTATAACAAGAATTGTCTTCGTTTTATTTCAGGGTAGAGATTGAGCGAGTCAAAGCCACTTTTGAAATGACGATTAACCTGTTCAAATTAAAATGTAAGTATATATAAGAAATTGAGCATGTTATAGATATAATAAAAGGGAGCTTGCATGCTTTTTGCTTGGCTTTAGCAACTGAATTTTTCAGAGAAAAAGCGTTGTCTATATGTGCCTTGGCTCCAAAAATGCGTATAGTGTAAAAATATTTTTTCCAAATGCTGTTTCTATAAGGACAGTTATAGCTTTTGCGCTTGCTCTCAAGAAATGTACAATGAATTTTTGCCTGAGGAAAATGCTTTACTCATGCCATTAGGCAAACCGCTTGCTTCGGCTGTACGCGCCTATATATAAGTTTCACTGAAAAATGTCATGAATGACAAAAAATATTTCTTAAGAACACCGCAAGTCCGCATGCATGCATGCCTATATTAGGCTAATAAATTTTTCTGCAGAATGAATTTTATTTTTTGGACGAAAAACCGTCGTGGCTTTAATCATAAAATGTTTTCAAAAGACTAACGACGTTTCAGACTTTTTTTTGTAATCTCAATCACGGGTACTCACTTACAAGTAATGCCCGTGCGGTTCGAGTGTGTATATAATTCAGCTTCCTGCGTTATATCATAAATAGTTTTTATTATTACTTATACCCATATATTAAAAATAGTTTTTTATTTATATCTTATAATTCTATTTCAGGTTGATGAAAATTAATATATATCACCAGCCTGCGTGGAGCTATATTAAACCAACGCGCCAAAACGACACCAAAACGACGCAACACGATACCACGCGATACCACGTCGAGAAACAACGTAAATTGGCGATTTCCCCCGACATCGATGAAGGTTAGAGTAGCCTGGTGGTCAAAAAATGTGCATGCTAGGGTTAAGATGTGATTTCGCAAAAAAATAGTTTACGAACAATTTTTCTGCAAAGCAGAAGTTCATTGTTCGTCGTTCTAAGGTTCGCGATGTTTTTTAACCATAACGCTATTCAGTTAACTAGGTTCTGGCCACCAGGAACATAGCTAATGCATGATGCATGTGTAAATAAATTTGCATGTGGGTTATAAATGTTGTAACAATTCGGTTATATAGGATCCGGCTTTGCACTTAAGGTCTGCTCGCTGCGTTTAGAGCAACGCGCTAAGGTTTAGGTTGATAAGTTGCACATGTTCAAACTATATATATAGGGTTATATATATATGTCAAAACTTTTAAACATGAACTTTCATATACGAAATGACTTAAAAAATGGCAACGCCATAGGTTCCTTACCTTATTTCCATCTCTCGGAACCCTATTCTTATCAGTAATTTGCGGTTCAGAATGTAGATTGTAATTTGTAATAATATAAAACAAACACTTCTGTGTACACTGCACACGTACAAATTATAGCCTCAAATGGCAAACATAATCCCATAGGTTTTTACTTTGTTCCATATCTCGGAACGCTATTCAGTCTATTTTTTATTTATTTCCGGCTCAATGTAGATTATATAATTATAAAACTTGCACGCAATACAAATCACAGCCTAGCTCGTATAGCAAACATAATCCCATAGGTTCTTATCTTGTTCCATATCTCGCGGAACGCTATTCTTAGGTAATTTTCGGCTCAAAATGTATAATTAATGTAATATAAAACACCCTATTTTGTACAGTACACACATACAAATTATAGCCTTAAGCTCCATAGGTTCTAATACTCTGTTCCATCTCTAGCAACGCTATTCAGTCTATTCTTAGGTAATTTGCGGCTGTAAAATGCAGTTTGTAATATTATAAAACAAACACTGTTTTGTACATCACACTCGTACAAATTATAGCCTCAAATGGCAAACATAATCCTATATAGGTTCTTTCTTGTGTCCATCTCTCCCTCTCCGAATGTAAATTGTAATATAAGAGAAACACCACTTTGTACAGTACACACTTACAAATTACAGCCTCATAGGCGAACATAGTCCCATAATTTGAGGTTTTTGTTCCATCTCACGCAACGTTATTCTTACTTAATTACATGTAATACTAAGTTGTAATATAAGAAGCACTCTTGTACAGTACACAAATCAAATTGTAGCCTCTAATAGCAAACATAATCCCATAGGTTCTTTGTTCCATTTCTTAAAACACTATCACGTATAATTGTAACATAAATTGCAATATTTAAACACTCTTTTGTACAGTACGCACATACAAATTATAGCCTCAAATGGCAAACATAATCCCATAGGTTCTTTGTTCCATCTCTCAAAACACTATCACGTATAATTGTAACATTAAATTGCAATATTTAAACACTCTTTTGTAGAGTACGCACATACACAATTGTAACATTAAATTGCAATATTTAAACACTGTTTTGTACAGTACGCACATACAACTTATAGCCTCAAATGGCAAACATAATCCCATAGGTTCTTTGTTCCATCTCTCGAAACACGAGCATGTATAATTGTAACATTAAATTGCAATATTTAAACACTCTTTTGTACAGTACGCACATACAACTTATAGGCTCAAATGGCAACAATTCGCGGCTCAGAATGTAGATTGAAA